AACTAGAAAGTGAGAAGGCAGCATCTACATTCAGTCCAACCGAAACTACAACTGCCTCTACACTGGGATGTGTCATAATACATGTATATTTTACCAAACATTATTTACCTTTGATAAAAATAACAACTGACTAGTATTAGTATTAATCATTCGCCAAAAATAACAATTCACTCATAACATAATCGGTGAAAAATGGTTTCAACTAATCATCCTGAAAATTTCTCTTTGATAATCTCCTTAATCAACAAGATATGCCTACTTCTATTCCAACTAGTACTACATGTAAGAAAGGTGCATCAGTCATACAAATCATAAGTCCAGAAAAATTAGTGGATGGAAGAATTGAATATAAACATCCGAGAAACTTACATTCAAAGGAAAGAGGGGAGTACTAATTAATCAGCTGATTGGATAATCCCTAATTTACTTCTCACCCCTCTTATCTGATTAAGTAACATGGGCTGAACAAAGTAGGTCATTTTGGGACTAACAAATGGATCATTTTTATACAGTCATACATTCATGTGGATGTATATTGTCGTCGCCCCTGTCCGTCCAGATGTCTGTCTGTCTGTACATCCACAATTTGTTTGTGGACACTCTAGGTCACAATTTTTATCTGATTTTAATGAAACTTGAAATATAGGTAAGCAAAGCGATAAGCAATTTGATTGGTCGAGACTTTGGAGCTCGAAACTTTGTTACTAATTGCATGTGTGATGTATGTGAAACTTCGTGTATAGTTTTATTACATCAATACTTTAACAAGGTTTGATGCTGAGCATTTTCTGATTGGTCGAAACTTTGGAACACAATAACTCTCCTTCCAATTGAGGTAGAATGTTCAAAATTGGTGTAGGTGTCTATTACGTGAATGCCTTGGCATGGTTCGTTCATGCGCATTTTCCAATAAGGCTAAGCAGAGATGAGCAATTTGATTGGTTGAGACTTTCGAACACGATAACTTTGGTTCTATTTGGGTGAGAGCGATGAAACTCTGAGTATAGATTCATTATATCAATACATTGACTAAGTTCGATGATGAGAATTTTCTGCTTAGGCTAAGTAGCAATAAGAAATTTGATTGGTCAAGACTTTGGAACATAAGAATTCTGCTTTTAATCAAGGTATAGATGTTCATTAGGCGAATGTCTTTACTGAGTTCAATGATTTTAAAATATTTGGTTGATGCTTTTGGACAAGATAACTTTGAAACTTAGTGTATAGATTCACTCACAACCAGGTACTTCAAAATCTGATAGTGAACATTTTATGCTCAGATTAAGCATAGATAATAAGTGTGATTACTCGATACTTTTGAAAAAGATAAATATGCAATTGATGTGTCATCTGTTTGGTTTTTTTTTATTTCGGCGGGGGACATCAGCCTCACTGTTGGCTTGTTATATCTTGTTCTCTATCCATCTCTTGCAAAATGTGGGGTATTTTGCCTGGCAACCGCTGGTTATATTTAAAAACTGTTTAAATATATAACCGTTACACCAAAAAGGAGATTGAGGTCTCATTTCTGCAGATAGTGTAAAAGTGTGATACCAAGGTTGTGGATCCTCTAGAGGTCACAGTTTTTGTCTGATTTTGGTGAAACTTAAAATATAGGTTTACATTCCAAAGATTTCAGTTCCTTTCGATATTCGCTCTTTTCAGACCCTAACTGCCCAGGTTATGGCCCCTGATTGTACGAAAAATTGCATTTGTTTTTTTTTTTAGCTTGTTCTCTATCCATCTCTTGCAAAATGTGGGCGTATCTTGCATTCAAAGGAGAATCTTTTTGTTTAGTAACATTTATATCTCAGATTACTGGTCAGCCAGAAAAGAATAATAATCACATTTTTCTTTTGCTTTACAAACTTTTTACAACCCTCCAACTGTGTAAAATGTTTCATATAAAAAAACATTCTTGATAATCAAGGCCAATCAACCAGTCACTGAATGATTAGTACTAATAGTGCACTAATTTGAAACCAAGGTAGTGTTTTTAAGATTTCAGTGTAAATTTCAAGTTCACTTTTATTTGGATAAAGTACAGCATGATCATTTATTTAGTGATCATAAATTAGGAAATCTATGGAAAGGCCTGTCATTGTGCCACTAATTATCAATATATCTGGATACTATTTTTATTGTGGGACACACTAGTACAAGCCTGCCTTGAATGAATAGAAATGGATTTTGTGGGTCAATATCTTGAACTTTGACTTTGATTCATAAAATCATAATTCATGTTATTCATGATATTGTAAACGTCAGTTATTGAATGCTACTATTTACAATTACTATTCCAGCTGTTCACGACCTTGTTATTTTTGAACTTGAGAATTAATTGATATGCTTCATGTTACCGGTTTTAATTTCAAGCCTGGATTAGGGCACATTGCTCAGTCATTGTCAGACACAAATTCAGGCTATTAATTGTCAGGCACAATCTCTCAGTTTTGTCTTTTCATTTTACTCCTTCAATTGGTCAGTTCAATGTTCAAAATGCCAAGTACATGTAGTTCAGTAGGGCTTGAAAATTTGTTAAGAGACAACTAAAATCATTATTCTTGCTTTGTGTTAAAATTGAATCATACTATGAGTATGACACTATCTTTCATGTTTTAAAAAAAGATACATTCCCGTGTGCAAACTTGGTGATTTGACATATTTGGACTAAAAACATATTCAAACTAATTAATCAAAAATTTGCTTCAAATTGCGAGGAAATACTCCAAGATACTGCCTAACCATCCGATCAAGAATTAACAACCACTCCCTAAGTCAAGCTGGCAGACAACAATCCATTGGGCTGCCAGTTAGTGATACATGTCCCCTGACATTTTTACCCACTGCTTGCCCATGGGTGTTTTTCAGGGAATCCAGTATTTTTCTAGTAAGATTGGATGTCTCTACTTTCCATATATACCAAATTTGCCATACTTTTATTGGAAATAACTACCCTATAAAAGTTGTCATCCGAAATTCATACACATTATGTTTATGTTCATATGAAGAATCCTATTGATTTTCAATGAATTCCAATAATTAATGTTTGATATCTTGGGGCTGCTTCTGGGGCTAAAGTTTTGTTATGTTAGGATTTAAGAAGAATCAGAAGCCTATGAGGTTTAATGATTTCTGACCCATTACTTCATGAGGTGCCTTCATTACCTAAAAAAGAACAAAAATCTGACAGTCTTTATGGATGGCTTGACGACTTAGCTCATCTGGCTGTGTGTTTTGTTGCCTGACAACCTATCTTTCACAAATTTATAGTAAGCTTCAAAATGTCCATTTCGAAGTTGACATTCTGTTGTATTAAACCCACTTCAGCTACTTGAGATACAGTTCAGATCAGTTTCTGTTTGATTCAATAATTACAGACTGTTATGACTAGGGATCATTAGTAGCTTCATCTTCCAGATCTAATTCTAGCCTTTATTTTATTACATGCATGTATGGATTCTACAAAAATCTCATCATTTAATTTCACGTTGAAAATAACCAGCCCTTGATTGTCCGTGACCTCTGCAAGACTTCTAAGAAATTTACTGAGTTTTCTTCGTGTTGGTACATGTAGGAGAATTTAATGTGATTTTGATTTAGAGTGTTATAGTGAAGAAATCATCAGGTTATTGGTGTTAGGACCAACAAGAAAATCAATATGTAGACATAATGAAGGCAAGGAGAGAAACACATAGAGAGAAGTGGCTAGAGAATATTGGAATTTACTCAAGCAGGATTTTCAAATGCTCCATCACATGCATGATCTAACACTAATGAGACGTATTCAGCTCAGAAAAACTTTCTATCAATATAGTGAGATTTTAGAGACTTGATGTGATTTAGACGTCAAATTATGTACATATGTTAATGTCTAAATGAACATTTTGTGTAAAATATGCGTTTCAGATTTCAAAATTGTATCACAACAAACCAGTGACTTATAGAAACAAACAAACATAACCTTTGAGCTAAAAATCATTCAAATAAACACTTAAAAATTTAACAATTCAATTTAATCATGTAAATGTTACAGAATAAGAAAATGTTTTAAAAGTTTTCTTGCAAGGCAAAAAGCATCGATATTTACATTTCAATATGACCTTGCAGATCTGTCAGATCTTAGAACTTTATGTAACATTCGAATGGCATTTCAAGATATTCAGAATCATTTTTTTTTTTGATTAAAGGATAATATTTGTGTCAGCCATTGTTACATATGTGGCAGAACTGATTAAACACATTCCAAATGTAATTTTAACACAGAGATCATTGCTACAGTAGATATGTAACAAACATTTAAATAAAACGGAAGTGACACCAAAACACTCAAGTTATCCTTCTATGTAACTGACTGAAGTAACGAGCGATTACAGACACATGGTCAAATTTCATTTCACTGATAATTCTGTTGAAGATGAAAAGGTTTTATATGAGACTGAGAGAATATCAGACAATTCCAAAAAAGAATTGACTGTCAATAGATAAAACAAGAAAAATAGAAAAGGCCCGTGCATTCCCTTGGTTTTATTCATTCTGTACTTAATGCACAGACTTTTTCTGTGTTAGAATTATATTTGGAGTGGGTTTAACCAGTTCTACCACATATGTAATAGTGACTGACACCAATATTGTCCTTTAACCTATAGGGGCATATCATGGATGGGAGAGATTTTAGATAGTTTCTATGCTGTTATTATGGCCAAATTCACACCTACTTGAAGAGATAAAAATAAAACAAAATGTCTGTGACCAAATTCACAGATGACAAGTTTTATTTGTCAGACACACCCTTTTTTCCCCACTCTCGTGCATTTGAATGGTATCATTATTTGTTGTAAAAGAAGGGGGAAAAAAGTCCATCACATAATTTAGCTTAAACATTTTGACCACCTATTGTATGATTAATATAAAATTTATCATTTCAGGACCATGTTGTTGTGTACCACAAAACATTTTGACCACCTATTGAATGATTAATGTAAAATTTGTCATTTCAGGACCATGTTGTTGTGTACCTTAAAAATCCTACTACAGGTATTGTAGAAGCTGATGGTGGAAAAACCATACCATCAGATGGATTACTATGGTATGTAAATCATTTCCATACATTTAGATGCATGCTACTTATTTGTATTTTTATACGCCCACATTTTCATGTGTATGTATATTGTCGTCGCCCCTGTCCGTCCATCCACAGTTGTTTGTGGGCACTCTACAGGTCACAATTCTTATCCAATTTCAACGAAACTTAAAATATAGGTTTATCTCCGTAAGATCTTGGTTCTTTTCGATATTGGCATGTATCGGACTGTAACTTCATGGATTATGGCCACTGATTGTACGAAAAATCACATTTTTAGCTTGTTGGACCCTATAGAGGTCACAATTTTTATCCGATTTTGTTGAAACTCGAAATATAAGTTTATAACCCAACGATCTTGGTTCCTTTCGAAATTCGTGCATATCAGACTGTACCTTCCTGAATTATGGCCTCTGATTGTATGAAAAATCACGTTTTAAGCATATAGACCCTATAGAGGTCATAATTTTTATCTGATTTAAAAAAACGTTTGAATATATCACCGTTACACCCTAAGGATGGTTGAGTTCGAATTTCATAAAAAAATCGGACCAAAACTGACAGACAAAATGGCTGCCCCTCATACTCAAATAGCATAAAAATATGATATATTAATTTGTGGACTCTCTAGAGGTCACAATTTTTATCTGATATTGATGAAACTTAAAATGTAAGTTTATAACCCAAAGATCTTGGTTCCTGTCGATATTCGCACATATCAGATCGTAAGTTCCTGAATTATGGCCCCTGATTGTACAGAAAATCACGTTTTTAGCTTGTGGACCCTATAGAGGTTATAATTTTTATCCGATTTCAAAAAATGTTTCAATATATCATCGTTACACCCTAAGGATGGTTGATTTCAAACTTCGTAAAAATTGGACCAAAACTGACAGACAAAATGGCCGCCCCTCGTACTCAAATAGCGTAAAAATATGGTATATGAATGTTGTGGACCCTCTAGAGGTCACATTTTTCTTCTGATTTTGATGAAACTTGAATTGAAATGTAAGTTTATAACCCAAAGATCTTGGTTCCTTACGATATTCGCGCATATCGAATCGTAACTTTCTGAATAATGGCCCCTGATTGTACGAAAAATCACGTTTTTAGATTGTGGACCCTATACAGGTCATAATTTTTATCTGTTTTAAAAAAAACGTTTAAATATATCACTGTTAGTGTTACACCCTAAGGACGGTTGAGTTCGAATTTCGTAAAAATCGAACCAAAACTGACAGACAAAATGGCCGCCCCTCGTACTCAAATAGTGTAAAAATATGGTATATCAATGTTGTGGACCCTCTAGAGGTCACAATTTTATAACCCAACTATCTTGGTTCCTTTCGATATTTGCGCATATCAGATCGTAACTTCCTGAATTATGGCCCCTGATTGTACGAGTAATCGCGTTTTTAGCTAGAGGTCACAATTATTATCCGATATAAAGAGACGTTTGAATATATCACCGTTACACCGTGATTTTGGCCGAGTTCAAATTTCGTGAAAATCGGACTAAAACTGCCAGACAAATTGGCCGCCCCTTGTACACAAATAGTGTATAACATCTGGTATTGTGGACCCTCTGAAGGTCACAATTTTGATCCGATTTTGGTGAAACTTGAAATACATGTTTATAAACCAGAGAAATTGGTTCCTTTTCGATATTAGCGCGTATCTGATCATAATTTCCTGAATTATGGCCCCATATTGTACGATTATGATGTTTTTAGCTTGTGATCCCACTAGAGGTCACAATTAATATCCGATTTAAAAAAAACGTTCGAATATATCACCGTTACACCATAATTTTGATTGAGTTTGGATTTTAAAACCGTTTAAATATATCACCATTCCACCATAATGAATGTTGAATTCGAATTTCGGAAAAATCGAAATGAAACTGCCCGATAAAATGTCCGCTCTTTGTACGCAAATTGTGTAAAAGTATGCAATACGAAGGTTGTGGACCGTCTAGAGGTCACAATTTTTATCCGATTTTGATGAAACTTAAAACATATCTTATATCCCAAAGATCTTGGTCCCTTTTAATATAATTTGTGAATTTCAGACCATAACTTTCTGGATTATTACCCCTGATTGTACAAAAAATCCTGTTTGTTTTTATCTTGTTCTCTATCCATCTCTTGCAAAATGTGGGCATATCCTGCCTGGCAGCCGCTGGTTAACATACATTAGGCAAGAGCTATATCTACCTATTGCAGGTCTTTCTGTAGGCCTGAAATGTTATCTAAATTATTATTTAGACATTAATTAACTTATCCAAACCATAATCAACTCTCGATGTCATCGCTAGCCTGCAATATTTACTGGATTAGGATCCGATTTGCTGCTCAACTTTCATTCATGATTAAATCATGAAACAGATAATCGAGACTATGTTTTTATTGTACCGACTTTAGTAATGAAAGATGATGTTCAATCGCTAAATTCAGGGTTCAGTGTGGATCAATTTGACTGAAATTTTCAGCAAATACCCTTTACATTATCTAGTTTTTAACTATTACAGTGAGAACTGCCAGCTTATTATCTAATCTCCCATAATGTATCTTTAATCTTCTTAAGTCGAATTGAAACCTGAAATCAGATTGGCTTCTTTTGACTACATTCTATGTATCTCTGCAGTGGATGATTAAGTTGACTAATATCTTTGTAAATACTGGACAGAGGTTTTGGACTGATAATAAAGATTCTGCTACAATATTGTAGTTTTGCAACAATCCTCAAATGACGATCAGTGGCTTCAACTGCTTATTGCAGTGATTCTCAACCAGTGTGCAAGTTTGCCGCGAGATCTTCCTAGTCAACTAAGTGTGCCGCGAAATTTTGAACGGAACACTAAGGAAATGGGTAAAACCACGGAACCCCAGTTGAGTATTCACTGGTGTCTGCTGGCACTGACTACTGGTAAGCTCATAGCTGTGTTTTTCTTTATTTAGTTTGAGTCACTTTATGTACCTATGACTAGTCTGTGTCTACAGTTTTATGCCGTCTATGATGACTTTATTTTGCAAAATTCAAATATTTTTCACATATATATTTAGCCAGGTGTGCCGCTATTTTTTCATGTGTTCCAAGGTGTGCCGTTGACAAAAAAAGGTTGAGAACCACTCACTGGCTTATTGAGTCTGTCACTTAAAGCTTGTGTTTTTAAGTATTATCTAATGAGTGTTCTAGTGTAATCAATAATAATAAATAACAACGAAAACAATGTCTGTAGCTAGAGATAAGAATGTTATTGACTAATTTCATCATCATGATTTGTGTTAGTATGAAATTCAAATATTAATAATTAATAGAGAAGGATTTCTGTTAACTTTAAATCTCACTAGTGCCACATATCACAATAATACAATTTCCTCTTAGAATACCATAACTGTGTGAAGCACTGTAACAAATATATTAGTTGATTTTTTTTTTTAGTGTTTTTTTTGTTTGCTCCCTGTAAACTTGATAATACCATTTCCTCTCTGGTATAAATTTTATATTTAAGATTTTTCGTATTGTCATGCATAAATCCGAAGTCAAAATTTGTTTATTATCTTTACATGCCCATTTAATGTGAAAGTATGTTGTCTGTCGTCAGCATTCTGCTGGTCAAAGCTCTTGACAGCTTTTTTTTTTTAAAATTTGGGATCGTTAATTTGGTCATAAAGAAGAATCCTATTGAGATTAAGAATTTGTAGAACACAAATCACAGTATGTTGGAAGTATTGAACGTTTGGTGGGGTTATTTATTAGGCGTAAGGAGGAAAACTTTCGAAATTGAGAAAATGTCAATTTCAAAGCATAGAATCATAATACCTGTTTAGGCTACTTTCAAAACCTAAAGATGCTGGTGAAATGGATACAGGGCCGAATTCTCAACAGAATAGTTTATAAATTACTTAGTGAGATTTTTTATTAGGCATATATTAGATTCTTTTTCGAAACTTGCTCTGTAGGATTTTTTCAAATTTTTTTGACTGGATTTTCTAACACGATAAATTGAGTTAAGCTTATCTGAGCAGACACGATTCAAATCCCATGCTTTGAAATTGTATTCATGAAGATTTAAACTTAATAGCGAGATCTTTGCAGTGACCCCTGTTTTCAATGCCAAAGGGATTTACACCGACCAATAAATTAATTCAATTTATTAATATTACGAAATAATTCTCAATAGTCTATTGTTATTTTATTGATTTTGAATTTCAGGCATGTTTTTCATCAGGAAAATGTTAGTGTAACAGAATGTCCATCGACTCTGTTAGATCCGTTATCAGATTGTTTAGGATTATCTGACGAAGAACAAGAAAACCATTCTGGTACGTTTCAGTAAATTCTATAATTTTATATTTTGTGTTTCATGGAAGAATTGTGTTGATTTGACCGCATAATTTTTGCTCCCACACCTACTGCTTTTAAATTATTTAGACAGTATTGACAATGCGTTCAGTTCAGTGATGGGATTTCAATTTTTTTTTTGTCGAACATTTTACCAAAAATAAAGGGGCATAACTCTTGTCGCTATTTAAGCAGACGAATTCGTACCACAATTAAAAGTCACATGTCAAAATATTCAAATCCCTTACGTAATAAAAATAGGTGAACCTCGCTATTTTTCATATTTAATTCCCGTACAGTATTCAGTTCATACCACAATTAAAAATCACATGTCAATAAATATTCAAATCCCGTACGTAATAAAAATTGGTGACCTCGCTATTTTTCACACTTAATTCCCGTACAGCATTCAAATTTATGTCAGTAAATGTCCTACAAAATTAAGCATTTTCATAATATGTTGAATGAAAGCTTGCCGATCCTGCTTCGGCATCAAATTCACAACCATAATATTCCTTTAGAATTACGTGTCTTCGTTTATACGGCAGCAAATGAATGCAGAACTTCCGAAATAGTTAAATCACTTGTGAACAGGCATAGCTAACTTCAGCGAATAACATTCTTTCATAGTCACGACAGAGTGACAGGCATCATAGGCAACAAAGCAGAATGGTTGACATGCTTCTTAATTCCCGCCTACAAATACGTTAGAATTTCTGCTCATATAGCTATTGGTAGCTTCTCCCCTTTTTGTTATTTTGCTGGGTGCGGTATAGCATCAACCAACTTCGGCGTACTAGTCTCTGTCACCCAGAAACTCCTAGTCTTCAACATATTCGTAGAATATTTTTCTGGATAATAGAGACTAATAGCCTACGTGACTCAAATCACACGGCTTCATAGTAAGCACTGCCTAATAATATTATGTTAAGCAATATTCGTGCCACGCTCGAGATCAAGGGAAAGTGGCACTGCGGATGAGAATTTCTATATGGATTCTTAAAAGACGTAAAAGATATCGTAGACAAAATGACTGTCCATTGATTTAGGGTGTTATTTACTCTTACTATATGTGACATCTATGATTAGTTTATTATAGATGCTGTCGGCTTACATCAATGCGATTAAGATGCCCGACAATTGAGAAACCACGAGGTAAACAGGTGGATTAAAATTATAATCATTCTTATTGAATTGATGAATAGTCGGACAAAAGGAAAGCAATGACTTCTGTTTAAGATTAGATTGATGAATTGTCCGACAAAGGATTAAGTCAGTCAATCAAGGCAGATTAAGTAGTTAATCAAGGTAGGTTTTAGACGGTATAACACGATAAATACGTTGATCACTTAATTACCTAATAAACCCAGCGTATTATCGACGATAATCGGGTTGAGTGGTAGTTATACACTCAGTAAACTATATTAATTTCGGAATTTTGAATATTATTCACCATGTCTTGATGGGCATATTCCCGGTCGGACAATTTTGGGCGTTTCTAAAAAAGATTCGGACAAGTCCGGAATATACGGGCAAAATCCCATCACTGGTTCAGTTCATGTTCAGATACAATCTGGAACAATATTATTTACTTTGATCACTTTGTCTTCATCTTGTTTGTTTCTATGAAGTCCACACTAACCTTAGTAATCCTGTCTTCATTAGCCCAGTTGGTGCAGAAAAGCAGGATGTTAAACCCTGTTTCATTTCATTCACATAGGCCAGTGTTAAAAATATTTCAGTTTGCCCAAACCCGACTCATGATGATTAGGTATGGGTAGGTAGGTAGGCAAATTCTTTTTTTTTTTTTGGGGAGGACCAGACTTTGAGAACTAAGTGCAAAAACAAAAAAATATTTAAACTCTAACTTTTTTATTAGGCCTAACGAGAACAGTTGAAACAGTCACAACCATTTTGTCCGTTGTCTTCGTGTCTATTTCATCAACAGTGACATCATCAAAGACGTCCCTCCATCCATGTCTTACTGTTGTTAAATCGCTGCAACTTGTTCGAAACGATTGGTTACTTTATTTTCGGTGTGTGTAATTTTCTGCCATGACACATACCGTTCCTTAACAACAACTATCGCGATAAATAACGAGATTTTACAAAATCACGTGTCGAGTTTGGTGTTACTATGTATAGACATGACAGTGGCTGTTCAATCTCCCGACCGATTATTTCGCGTTTGGGTGTCATTGTCAAGCGTAAAAATAATGCTGTTAAAAAAAAAAAAATCTCAAAAACGGCAATAAAAGAATTTGACTCGGCAGCTTTTTTTTGGGTCGGTCGCGTTTGGGCAAACAGACAATCTTTTAATTTTGGCCTTAGGATTCATGCTTACAGTTACAAATTCCAATATTGATTGGTCAGCTATACCTTTCAAAGTGGTTTTTATGTCTACTACATTTGATGTACTGATACTGTCATCACCCACATGTACATCTAACCACATTATTTGTCAGATTGTTTTTTTCAATTCATTGGATAGAATTTTTTCACATTTACTCTGATTGTTCATTCGCATATATTGATTTTTTTTAATTTTTAGATTGTATCTCCTAGTCATATTTATAAAGAAATCTGAATGTGATATTAGACAATTTTCGGGATGGATTTTTTTTAAAACATTGTGGAATTGCAGTTAGCCTTCTCCGTTATTCTTGTATCTTTTAGTATACAAAAGTAACCTTTTTGGATCGCAAATTTTGCTACTGGTGGGCACATTAGGGATCCTAAACCCAATACCTGTTATGAACATGTAAAATAATACCCAAGATCATTGTTTCCAGATGTTTAATAATCAGAACTATCAATATGGTGGGAAAAGGTAATCACCATTCACCATGGGCTACGAGGGCTACCTGAAATTGAAAAGTTCTAAGCCCGAAAAGGATAGATCAATTGAGTTGAAGAACTAACTTTTGCCAACAAGTACAATCATTGAATGAATAATGGACATAAAAACTGCATATCTGCAGAAATGGACAAAACTGGCTATAGAGCAGTCATTTAGTACCTGCAACTAGTGCTGAAAGGACTAACCCTAGCACAGATACATGCCAACATGGTCTCCACTTTAGGAAAAAAAGTGGGCTGCGGAAGTGTGGCAAACTGCAAAGACGGCCATGACGATGACCTGCATCCTGGAAGGCCATCAACCATTCAAGAAAACATTACCTGGGTGCATGACATGCTCATGGCTGATCGACGATTGACCATGCAACATATTGCCAGTGTTGTGGCCATTTCTCATGAAAGGGTTGAGCAGTACCCCCCCCCCCCCCTCCCAATAAAGCCAAGTAGGTTCATTCTGCTGGAGAGGTGAAAGCTTCAGTCTTTTGTGATTCCAAGGGTATTCTGTTGATTGACTATCTTGAATAAACCCAAGCTATCAATGGAAGATATTATGCTGAAGCTAGTTATCAAAGCAAGGGGGAATACTCACTAAAGGTGTCCTGTTCCACAAAGACAATGCTCTTGTTCATAAATCAGTGATTGCCATATTTGCCATGTCAGCGATCCATGATTGTGTCTTTGTACACATTGACCATCCACCTTACTCATCCGATTTGGCCATGTTACACTTCCACCTGTTTCCAAAAATGAAAAATGCGGCTAGCTGGTTTTCTTTTTCCTAGTAATGATGACATCATGTCAGCTGTGAATGACTCTTTTAGGGTGGCTAAAGAAAATTTCTTCCTGACTGACATCCAGACCTTGCAACATCGTTGGCAAAATTGTGTACACCTCGAAGGGGACTGGGTAGAAAAATAAATGCAAACCATAGACTATGTACATGGTTTCACAGAAAGGTTTAGAACTTTTCAGCCAGCCCTCGTACTGTACACATTCTGACTATAATAATGTGTAAAATCTTATATTTGTTGTTGGGTTTAAAATTACCATCATTGTGGGGTTTAAAATTATCATACCTTAAACTGTTTTTGTTTTCACCTTTCTTTTGAGCTGATGAGCGTAGTTTGCATTATAGTTATTGTCAAATACACTACCTTTCTATCTGATGATGAGTAATATTAGAAGTTATATAATTAATTCATCAGGAGTAACAGTGAAGATTAGCATTGTAGCACTTTACAGGTATCATAAAGTTTATGTCACATTCTAAATGGAAATTACGTGTCATAAAGGGATGAGAAATGGTTATTTGATATCCGATCATGTATAGAACCGTTACGAAATCAATAGAGTAATATTTATGGCTTGGAATATCAGATCACAATAGTGACAGTAAATAGATTGACCTTCGAGTTTACATACTTCAATAGTCATCAATAACTCTAACAGCTAGGGTTTGATTTTTACATGAGTTTTTCATATATCCGCTTGAATGATATTTCTGGTATGATCTGTAGCTCACACTAACAGCAATATTTCTTCCAGCATTTATGTCAAGAGTCCCAAGAATTGTAACCTATTTCATTATAAGACTGATTCCAGACTATTAAATAGAGTTTTATTTGAATCTAAATCACTGTGGTAATTATTCAGACTGCAATTTTTTAGAAAGGCTATTTATTTGCAGCTAGTAGAGAGTGAAATGGGGAAAATTAATTATGGTAGCATAGACCAGAGGCAGACAGTTAAAAACCATGTCTAATGCCAGCAGATCTGTCTAATCGATCTCTATTTCAATTGTCTAACATGGTAGATAAGTAATTTCTTTCTTTCTCACTCCCAGACTTTTACCAGGAGATAATGGGCTTTTAACTTTCAGACTGCTAGGTATCTGTTCAGGATTGATATTGAGGATATTTTTGTTTTGTTTAGGAAATTGAAATAGTTATAGTAGTTCTACTTTTTCAAGCTATGTTCAGACTTTGAATGTGGCCTTGACAAACTGAAATACACTCCATTATGTTTATCAAGTCATCGTAACATGTTGTAAATAGAATTGGATGTTTTAATTTTCATGAAAATACTGGTAGGGTTTACCAAAATATTTTCAGTTTTTTAGGGCAAAAATAAATTTTATTGTAATGAGTTAAGTAATCTTTTGGTGATGTGACGCTTTAACTTCATTTATTTTACACAAAATTCTTGACCATAAGGCCACACCCAAAAAATATTCTGGTTCTCAGACAATCCTTTTCAACAAATTGATGTGGTAAGGCGGTTTTTACACGGCCACATTTTCATGTGGACGTATATTGTTGTTGCCCCTGTCCGTCCGTCCGTCCACAATTGTTTGTGAACAGTCTACAGGTCACAATTTTTATCCGATTTCAATGAAACTTGAAATATAGGCCGCCCCTCGTTCTCAAATTGCGTAAAAATATGGTATATCAAGATTGTGGACCCCTATAGAGGTCACAATTTTTATCCGATTTTGTTGAAACTTGAAATATAAGTTTATAACTCAAAGATCTTGGTTCCTTTCGATATTTGCGCATATCGAATTGTAATTTCCTGAATTATGGCCCTTGATTGTAGGAAAAATCACTTTCGTTTTAGCTTGTTTTCTATCCATCTCTCGAAAATGTGGGCGTATCCTGTCTGGCAGCTGCTGGTTGTTGTTTTATTTTGTCAAATCTAGCTTGTTTTTCATTTTTAAGAAACACATAAAATTATTATAAATTTAATATTTATTCAATCAACCCTTAAAGAAAGTCCAAGTAATTCTGTGACTTCATCTATGTACATTAACTCCTTGGAAAATGTTTTCAAATCCGTGGTATCAATAGCTTACGGCTAGCACCTGGATCCATTCACTTTATTTGAATTTTTCGTTTGTTTGTGATTTTCTGCGTATTGTGTCTTGTCCATATATTTGTTTTTGTGTAAATTATGTGTGATGCAGTGCCCCTGCGCTTACTATTAAAGCATGGATTCTGCTGGCGATTTAGATCGAAGTCTGCAGCCTAAATCTACCCGGGGAGATTATTTTCGGTCATATTTCTTGAGAAAGATGAGACATTTTGATCATAAAAAAAAAGAGACAGATGACAGCAAAAGTGTTGTCATCTTTATTTGCGAATAATAAATTAGCATTCGATTATCCAGTGCCGTTTGTGATTGTAGTGTTTCCCATGTTTACGTACTTGATAGTCGAGTCTAGTGTTCATTTCCTGTTATCAAGAAACCTTCAATAGAGTTACTTACCTTGATCGCGGGAAATATGAACATGTGGAAATTATTGACTTTGTTTTTATTTATTTATTTATTTTTTTTAATAAAAACATGTGACGCAGCCCATTTTGGATGACGTGGTGGTATCGGATAACCAGAATATTTTTTTTGTGTGGCCTAATGCTAAACTTGTAGTAGTTCTGTTGTGGTTCACATCAGCATAATTAATCTATGATTTAATAGAAAAAAACAACAAATTGTTTTCATAGTTGTGGAACTGATCGCAGATCGTCGTTTATTTGATTTTTAAAACGGAATGTGTTTACTGTAGATCTTGAAAGGTACTTAGTTGTTTGTAACAGAATCTCGAGTTTTACTATTATATTAGTACTATTACACTGTTTTTTATCTAATCATTATGTTATAATAAGATCAATGTAACTGTCAGTTATTGCAAAGTCCTACCATATTGCTCTGACTGACTATACACTAACAGTTGTTGCTTTAAGCCTTGTCTATACTCATCAGGTAAGGCAGGGTGTCCTTTCTCTGGGATTCAGGTATCATTTTAGTAACAACAAAGCGGGAGAATCTCTGTCTGTTATCTAATCTAGAATCTAGGCTGATACACATGTTCAGTTAATGTACTATGGTCTAGAAAGTCATAAAAACATCAAAAATAAACACAGTTTTAATGCAGACTCTTAAATGGTTTCTGATAATTACTGTCAGAGTTATCACCCTTGATCAATTGGGAAATTTTTGTGGACGTTCTAGTAAATGATTTTCAAATGCCCCCATTGGCTACAGTACAAAAGAATAAATATGTGAAAACCTTTGTGGACTTCATTGTCTGGTAGTAGTTATCGAAACAACTAAAATTATTTTCTGTAGTGTGACGTTAAGACTAGAGAATCCTGGTTGAGATTTTGCTCAGTAATGAACAATATTTGTATTACATAGAATTGTGACCTGTGTATTTATTTTTGACCTTGATTTTAAAAAGGAATTGTGCCAAACTAGATTTTTGATTTCTAATAGCATTGGGGGGTGGGGGGGGTATCCGAATGGTTAGCACGTATCATAAGGTCTGTCATTGAGCCAACTGGCATGGTTTCGAATCCCCGGTTGTACGTGACAAGGAATAGTGACGTCGCCTGTCCAACCTTGTGGGTTTTCTCCGGGTCCTCCGGTTTCCTCCCACTGCTAAAAAATCCTACACGCAAGTGAATTATTGAAATAAAATTGAACCATATGTTAGTCCCAAAATGACCTAGTGGAAGTTAAACCCCAATTTTCTCTTTCTAATGGCATGCATGAGAATATTTATGTTTGAAATAAAAAGCAGCACTGTATAAAACTGAACACTGCTCATTTATGGATGGTCGTTTCTAAAACTTAACAGTGTTAATTAAAACTGGATAGTGACACAACCACATGTTTTGTTTATTTCTGACAACTTTTACAACTTTCTAGTAGGAGAGATTCTCAAGCCTTATGATCATTACTAAATGCATGTTCCTGAAGCAACGACTGCGAGTTTCACAACATCTGGCCGTTGCTTGTTTACTTCACAATTCCCAAACTTATAGTTATGTTATACAGACATGTGAGCAGTAGCGTCCAGTCAGAGGTTGTGACATCGCGACCTCCACGGAAACCTTGACATTGAATGAACCTTGAACATTGCAACTCGATTATCACAGGTAGACATTTTAGCTTGAATGCGAGCGACTTGGTATTCGCAACGATCGAGGAATCTGATAGGCTAACAAGTTGGGCTTGTACCCAATCGAAATTAGTGCCGCAATATGCAGGGATCAATCCTTCTATTGAAGATGTACTAAATGATACTCAGATCGTAGTGTTAAAAGCAGTGTGAATGCTAATCTACAGTATAATTATATTTTGTCAGTAATTGAGTAGTCAATTATCTATTAATACACAGGTCATCTCCAACTAACCTATTTGTTTTTCATGCTCAAGCCAAAGCCCCAACATGCCAGAATAATGGTTACATATAGAAAATAAGGTCATACACAATCAAAAGTACTTTTATGAAAAACATTTTGTTAAAAAAAAATATTCAAATCTGTCAATTATGATTCTAGTTATGGTCATTTAAAGTTCATGGGTTTCAATTGATTTTGTCAGATAGTAAAAAACATCTGCTATCATATCTTTATTGTAGGTCTTCAAGGCCAACTACCCATTCTTCAAAAATGTTTTTTAATACTTGGATGTGGGTAATTACATAATAACAACAACTGTTTTTATAAACGACCCCATTTCACTGGCAAAGAGATACACCGTCAAAAGTGAAAATGGATGTTTTTGATTTTTGTCTTAATAATGAGTAATTGCTCCACCAATCCTCAGACATTCAGCAATTCGTCGTGGCACGCTCCTAATAATCAACCTTCCAATCATGATTTGGGGCAATCTGACCCACTACCCTTGCAGTGTCACGGCCATTTCTTGCAGTGTTGTCTGTTGACGTCGACGAACACGTCTCCTGATGAGAATAAACGTAACACACTAATAAAGCAAAGATACGCTAAACAGTAAATCTTATGCAAGAACCAATAGGAATGCTAACATGGATAGATAAACCAGCACCCGGCAGTTTTCATGAACCCTTCCTTGAAGTGTCAAATTTGACAATGAACCCCTCCAACGTGTATGGCGCTATTGCATGTCGCATGTGCAGCTCATTGGTTCTGTTGGGGCAATAAGTTCTTCATCTGTGAACATACTCTCAAAGCATGTCAAGTGTCCATGACTATTTATCATATCACAACCTGCATAGGTATTTGCATTTCAATATCCCCTACTTTTTTTTGAAGAGTATATATAGTCCATCGGAAGGGACGGAAAATGGAGGCCCTGTGTGCACGTAAAAGATCCCTTGACAGTTGGAATTTGATAATATAAAGGGTAGGCTGTAGCCCTGCTGTCCTGGCAAAATTTCCTTCTTAGCACACTGTATGGCATAAACCCATCTTCATTAGCCCAGGCGCAGCAGAACAGTACGACGTTAACCCCATTTCATTTCATTTCTCAAATATATCTTGCTAATTGCTCCAAACCTAAATTAGGAGGCATATTAGATATTAAAACATGACAGTAGGAAAATTGCATCTTTCAAATATCTATAAATTTATTGTTGTAACTCGCCTTTTGTAACACAACTATTCTATTCCAGTAAGCACTTTGTTTTCTCCTAATCCACTACATGAATTTCAAAGCAGTGGGTGCTTACAGCTGGCTCCCGATCCAGTCAGAGAGAGAAATGGGGTTTAACGTCCACTCGACACAAACTAGGTCATTTCGGGACTAACATAATATGGTTTAATTTTCTTTCAATAATTTGCTTGCGCGTAGGGGTCTTTAGCAGTGGGAGGAAACCGACCCTATTCCTTGTCACATGTAGGACGTTAAACCCCATTTCATTTCATTTCCTTGTCACATACAACCGGGGATTCGAAACCACGCCAGTTGACTCAATGACAGTTGATCAGATATTTGTTGTTTATTTCTTGTAATGTCTGTGTAGTTTATCTTGTCCACAAGTTTTTCTTATCGGTTTGGTTTTGCGTGTTGTGTGGTTCTCCTGCACTTATTATTAGATGAATTATTACTGTATATTGATCAAAACTGAAATGCTGATGGACGGTAATAGTCCACCTGGACTCATGTTTGTTATACTTGATCAAAAATAAAACAATTTGTTGAATCAATATGTAGCCTATAATCGTCATTAGTTTAAAGATATTTCTGTATATATATATATTGTGTATTTTATTACAGTGATATGTATACCAGTACCAGGTAAAAGTGAAGAAGGAAGTATTGGAATAATTGCTGTAAGTATAACATCATTTAAAAGAAGATAGCCACACAAAGTGTGGAAATAAATATGCCTACAGAGCAGCTATGTCTCGCAAATATAAGACAGCCACAGAAAGCATCTTATTCGAAAGGAAATAGGGAGGGATGTTGACCTAATTTGATAAGGATACCTTCAAACATACTAATTAAGCTGATGGATTTTGTAACATTTATGATTTGTATAGTATAGATCAGACCAGGGCTTTCACTTCAAAATTTTCACTGCTGGTCATTTTTGATAACGCACAAAAACTTTGCAAAGTAAATTCATATTTCATGTTTTTTATTCATGGTAGGGTATTGTGAATTCAAGTGTCTATACCACTTTGTCAGCATGGTGTACACAAAAAATTATATTTTTGGACTTAAAAATGAAATATTAATAAGGCTTGTGATAATTATTTATTGATTAAATATTCCCTTTTGGCTACTTAAAGATACATTATGGGAGATTAGATAAAGAGCTGGCAGTTCTCACTATAAATTGTATAATAGCTAAAAACTAGAAACTGTAAAGGGAATTTGCTGAAAATTTCAGTCAAATTGATCCACTATGTACTGAGATTTTAGCGATTGAATTTTCAGCCTAGCCTCGTTCATTTCTAAAGTTGGTAGGATAAAAAACATAGTTTCGATTACCCATTTCATGATTTGATTATCAATGAAAGTCGAACAGCAAATTGGAACCTAATCCAATAAACATCACAGGCTAGCGATGCCATCGAGAGTTGATTATGGTCTAGATCAGTTAATTAATGTATAATTAATCATTTAGATAACATTTCAGGCAATAGGCAGATTTAGCTCTTGCATAATGTATGTTTAATAATCAAAATGGCTGAATTGGCCGTAGAGAAACCATTCCAGTTGCTGATACGTAATTACCATGTGCTCTATAGAAAACACACTGACCTGGCTAATTTTGAGTCGGAATACAATAACTTCGAAATGAAGATATGGCATATATCTCACATTTAATGGTTTTAGACCATCTCTTACGGCATTAAGGACCGCAGAATTGTGACGTAAATCCTAATAATGAATAACCAAATAAATAACGGATAACTAACTTCACAGCTAGCGACACTAGTGCCCCCTAAAATATCGTCGTGTGGGTCATTCTCAGAAAAAGTGGCAAATTGAGCGTAAAAAATGTCTTCAATTTTTTCACCTAAAAGTTTCTTGATTATCATAAATTTTATATATTAATGTGTTGGAACACCATTTTATCTAACAGAAAAAAATTATTCAACCATATTTACTCCAAAAATAGACCTTTCGAGATCTAATATAGGCGTGAAATGTCCTTACCGTTACCATGTCCAACTTTGGATTCCAAAACTTATGTACATTTTTCTAGATGTGAGGAAACTGTGAATGTTAATCCCCATACATGTCAATTCATATGATATTGGTCTATTTCCATTCAAAGTCCCTGGTTCCTAGGGGTTTCAATGTAGCTATGAGGAGAGCCTCAATGCATGTCCTGATTTTCTGTTTCAAAATGTCTTTACTGTTACCTCGCTGTATATTTCACAAATATCTTAACTTTATTCAACAAGGCTTTTCAACAAGGTAAAGGTCTTTCTCAGCCATGTTGGATTCCTGAAGGTCATAAAAGTATACCAAGGAGGGAATTTTAAAGGAAAGAATCATAATTTTCACATGTCAGGGAAATTGTTTGTCTTTACTGTTACCTGAAATAATGAGGCAAAGAACGGAATATTTTAAATAATAATACATTACATAAGATAACTGGTATTCTTCAAAATAAGCAAGAAAAAGATAAGAATATGTTGTTCTTATTCATTTTTCCAAGCAAAATGTGTCTTTACCGTTACCACTCGATGTCTTTACCGTTGCTTTTTTCGGTAACTGTAAAGACATTTGTTGGAACGGTAAAGACTTGTCCACTTACAAGTTGGACTGTGTGGTCAGCTCTGGTGAGGCATATTGGCTGAGGCCTAGAAAAATATTGAATGTTTCCGGGGACATGACCTCCTACCCAAACAGCGAAAACCTCACCATTTTATTGACTTATATAAAAATTTAAAAAATATTAGAATTCGGGGCATAAAATAGAATAACTAAACAAAATTTCTTACCCCTTTGAACTTTGGGGTTTGACTGATTGAAAGTTTTTTTATCAAGTTGAGACAATCTGATTGTCACACACAAATCATCACGATTCTCGATGCTGAATTACATCCTATACTACTAATTAAAACGCTATTCCATAGTCCAGATACTTCTTCAACGTCAAAAACTTTTTCAAAGAAAAACAATATGTAAGAAATCATCTACACCGGAATTGCTTTAAGATGTTGTTCGATCGTGAATGATTTAATTGTCATTTCGGCAATTCTGGACCGAGTCTGTTTACTAGGTTTAATAGAGAAGATGTGCTCCAAATCTGTGATCGGCATTGTCGTGTGATGTCTGGTTGAGGAGATATCGTAGTTCAAAAATGTGTTTGATGTTATTTCATTTAATCAAATTTCTGTACACCATTGGAATATATTTTTGAAGTTTATTAATATTTTAAAAATGTGAATTGAATTGGATTGGTTGATGTTAATTCATTTAATTAAATTTTTGTACATCACTGGAATATATTTCGAAGTTTATTAAAGACGTAAACTCGGACGGATTACTGACATTCGAGAATGAATACATTACTCTGCAAATGAGGCTACAGTGAAGCCTTTTACGCCACCATGCTGCATGCTCCATAATCCACCCGAATTTAGAGGATGAAGCATAAATCTAAATAGAGATTATTAATTGGTTTAATTAAATGTCTTGTACATTATCATTATGTAATTTGAAGTTTAAATAATATAACATATTACAAAGCAAGATACCTAGTCAAAATTATTTAAGATTGCGATTATTCCCTGGATTTGAGACATCAATCATGCCACCTCGGACGACTCGAACCAGAAAATCCGATCGGCAGTTCTTACATATTGAAAAATGAGTCTTTACCGTTACCATCGATAACGATGGTAACGGTAAAGACATTTTTTTTGAAGGGTTATAGATAACTCAGAATACATGAATTATTGATCTTTGGAGCTCTTCAGCTCTTGACATGTTACAGAAATGATTCACATTGCAGTCTGCAGAGATAGAAGGCCCGTGACGCTTTAGTTCTGACATAATGAAAAAATGTCTTCACCGTTACTGTTGATGTCTTTACATAACGGTAAAGACGGAGATATTTTTTTTCGAAGGGTTATAAATAACTCAATAATGCTGATCATGCATTGCTAACATGATTTTGAACGAAAGAACACCTTCTACTTCTGATTTATGACAAAAAATCACATAAATGGCCTCATAAAAAAAATGAATGTGTCTTTTCCGTTACTTGCCACTTTTTCTGAGAATGACCCGTGTATAAGAGTTAATATATATATACACAACATTTTTGCAACACTTGGAATTATCAGTATCGTACGCAATAGCACTGGAATACGTAATTTTCTTAATTTTTTTCCAGTAAACAAGATAACTGATCACTAGATTTTATTTCTACAATTCCCACAAGGCCGTAATACCGCTATAAAAAATTATAATGCATTTTTCTCCCAACACGTATGTTGTTGAGGATTTACCTAATTTCTATTCTGTTTTTATTTAATATGACAGTTGTTTGGAGTAGACGAGCAGTACTTCATATCAATTGCTCTTTTTTCGAAGATCATAATAATCGTGTTTACATCGTGTGTGACTGTAATAGCGGTAAACGGCTTTGTTCTGGAAAATTCTTATGACATGTGAACAATACGTGATTGACTAAGAATGGACCGCTTCACGCCATTGATAAAATTCTCACATATCAATTAACTTTTATTATTCTACTACCAGACACTCCTCATTAATTATCAACACAGCACTCAGTAAAATCTGTTTACAACTATGTATACAACCCTATAACACCAATCATGAGATTATGTGGCTTCTATACGTGCGCATTATTCTGCACGGGCCATACAATTTTATAGTTACATAGTGGAAGTCGATCGTAGCCATGTTTGAAAATTGGGTATTGAAAAAAGGCTATTATATCCGGCGTGCAAAATGACCGATGGGTCAGATCTAGTTACGGTCATTTTCCATAGCCCTCGATCCTGACCGGCATATATGGCCGACATGGAACCCATAGATCAGACTTAATAAAGCAGCTTGCATTGTAGTTGCTGCTCATCGGAGATCATTCAAAATCCTCTCTGATAAAAAGTTAATGTTTTTTTATGTATAGATAAATAAATGTATCATTACCGTATGCTTATTGTTTATACACAGATTAAAAATACCCTACATTCTTCAAATTTATCCTGTACATGTTGTCTTTATAACGATTGTTTATTATTTCAGGCCAGTTTTGAAAATGGAATCTCTGTTAATGTCCATGATTCTAGATTTGAATATCTCAAAAAACAGGTCAGTGTTTCATTTTTTGGTCATACTCATGTATCACCAGTCTTGTCTGTTGATGGTCTTTGTCCAACCATCTATCTGCCTGCAATTCCTAACAGTAACATTCCGGAATTAATCTATCTTAGAAAGTTGGCCCAGATATGATAAACTAGAAATCTCCAGGTGGCGGGTAGTCATTCCAGATTTCTCTCATGAAGCGACTAGTTTCGTTCACTTCGAACTTATGAGGCTTAACTGAGATTTCAGCTTTTCCCTTTATATAATCATCGGGGACTGTAACACAAAACAGTCTCTTGGGTGGACCAGCGCAGTTCTCTATCACTGGAGCAACTGCTTCCGTTATATTTGAACAGAGAGACGACAAAACCTTTCCCTTCAGTAACTAACATGTCACTCTCAATTATTAAAGACCAATCACATCACACATTATCCATACATGTAGGTACACAAACACTCTTAAATTGTTTAGGTCTTTACGTACATTGCTCCATTTAAAATATCGTAATATGATAGGGTGACCCGTGCACCCAAAATTTTCTGTACAGATAGTTGGTCTCGACACGGCGAATGTACACGCTTCATCAGTGGCTTATCTCGAAGTGATTTCTCGCTTACTACGCACTATGATAATACTCAGCGGTAGAGTCTATGATACTATAAATAGCCATCGCACATGCAATTCTCTACACATCTATCAACTATTACAGCCGTATTGCTTTATCATTAACTGTACCATCATATCTTTGAAATAATTGCATTGGGCAAGAACATGATACTAGCAGTAGTTTCATTTTACTTTTACAAGGTTCTTAAAACAATTGTTGAGTTGCCCAATGTGCGTGTTTCTAAATTCAATTTATTGTTCCAGCTTTCTGTTATGTTTTGTAAAAAAGTAGTCTTGATTACCCCGGCCTGTTAATCAAACGTAGAATGATCGGTAGACTGGTTAAGCGAGACTACTTTCAAAACAAGGGCACGTAACCTATTTTTTACTTGCATGTGCTCAGATGTTATGGCCGACACTCGGAACCATCTTTCAGTGTATTATTTATGGATGATTAAATGGTCATAGCTTATTAAGTACAACATGACCATTTATTTAGTGACTATAAATGTTGGAAACTGATTTAAGGCTTGGTGTATATATAGATATTGTGTTGTAATTTTCGAGATATTTGGAGATATTTATTTATGGTGGGGCACACTAAATATAAGACCTTTTATTTCTTCGAGATTGGAATGCCTAAAAATTCTTGAAAGTCTGCGTATCTGCTTTGGCCCAGCGACTCAAAGATTCTTGCAATTCTATAATCTGTATCGACATGAATTCCCCCCAAGTATCATGGTACCAAACTAGCTTGCTAAATTGAATACTTCGCCGTTGAGGTGTACAATTCAGATTCTAAAATATCCGTAATCAATTGAAAATCAAAACATGACTTCACACCTGTACATGGTACCATGTTTACATGTACTGCGTACGGAGGACAGGTAAAGACCCCTGGAATTCGTTTCTTACATATCCTGTCTATATTTACGCTACAAATTAAATATGAAATATTTTTCCGACCAAATTATTGGATTTTGTCAAATTTTCTTATAAATTATTCATAACCTTTATTTTGGGAAATTGTTTTAAACTTTTTAAATGGTTAAATACACCAGGCAACGAGTCATGTGCATTTTCCATTCCAGCCACCACTTATATTTACTGTGGTGTCGTTGCAGTAGAATTATTTCAGATGACTTGGTGTGCATTTTAATTGATTTAGATATAATACTTTATACTGCTACAGGGCTTGCCACGAGACGCGAGTAATTACTCGCGCGCACGCTACGCTCGCTTAAAACCAAATTTACGTGAGTGATTAAGTACTCGCGCAAATATAAAAAATAATTTAATCAGAAATAATTGAATATCGTAATATAAAAAGCCGTAAACAATTTGTATGCCTTCATATCGATGCACTATTGCGCACGCGATATGTGTTTTTCCAGTGCGAACTGTTGTTACTAAAAATACTTTTAGACGCGTACTGCCAGGCGGTTTTTAAGCGGATGTCCTTTGCCGTGTCTGGATAATCAAACATTGAGCGGATGTTGTCGTTTCTATTAATAGCAATTCTTTCGATCCCGCATCTTTTCTGCAAACTGATGGGATTGAAATTGTTTTGCCTGTTCTTTTACCTTTCTAAGCTTTACCCGAATCCCCTCAGCACGCCAACGATGGCAAAGGGAAGCCCAGTTTCTCTTGCAACGTTCTTGTCATGGGAAGACGATTTACAGATATTTTTTTTTGCCAAGGAAATAAAAGAGTATGCATTGTCATTGTGTGTGAAATTGCTTTATTCAACGTCCGCTTCCACCGAAGTGACAAGAGCATTGCCATTAGGCACATGAAATTTAAATGGCTACTCACGCACATCATTCTGCGTGAGTAAATACATGTACTCGCCTCACTCGCGCAAGTCTATATTTGCGTGAGTAGTCATCTACTCGCCTCCAATTTGCTCGTGGCAAGCCCTGCTGCTATAACTAGTGTCAAGCAGATGAAAACAAGTGTAGATGGTCTGATATTTATTGTTATAAAATTGGCTATTTCCAACTGTGTGAGTGACTGTACGACCGAGCCAATTGTAAACAGTGCAAATGGCGGCTTTTCATGGTATTTCTGTGCTTAATTCTTGCATTTAGAAATGAATAATTAAATGTACCTGACGTGGACATGAGTATTGTGGTCTTAAGTCAATTTACTGAACAGCAAGTAAGATTTAGTTTTACTTGCTACTTGCCAGACGTAAAAATCGACTGTCGGTGACAAGTAGACAGGCGAACATTTCGAGCCATGATTACTATTGACCATTATAAAAATGCTTATTTGCAGACTCTAAAATTCCCAACCCTTTTTACTATATCGTTTAATAAAAAAAAAATAAACAGATGGGAACTGTTTGAATAACCAGCTGGGTTATTGAAATGCTTATGCACTGAATTCAGTAGTGTTGAAAATCTAATCGAAATTTGTGATCCGAATACTTTTGTTGGCTATCCGAATACTATTCGGATAATTCGGAGACGTGAAATTCTTGAACACAATTACATCAATTACATATACTGGTACTCATAATTTCTTACTTGTTTCAATGTTTATGAGTGTCTGTATGCCGAGTATGAAATCGGACTTTCGATTTGCAAATTGTTTGAGCCGCGAAGAAAAAAAACGTGCCTACCTTTAGCCGTAATTATTAAGACTATCTATGACATCGGTCTGACATCCCAAAAAATCAATGAGGTGAAGGAATTTGTATAGTATATCTACTCCTGTTATCCGCACCCTTCCACTTATCATTTTGCTCAATCAACACAAATGAAAAAAGTAAAATAAAACCATGTGCCATTTATTCCGGCAAGGTCGTTTGCCTCATTCTGATAATCTACTACTATTGAACCAATCAGTGAGTGGGAATATACGTGACCTAGGTCGTTATGAATAAATTTCATTGTGGGAAGTCAAAACACGGTCTAAACTCGTATGCCGTAAACTAGCGCAGGGAATGAATGAATATTTTTTTTATTTAGACTACTGTTTTCGTTGCACTGCATTAATAATTTTATTAGTTACCATCACTAAATAATACGCATTATGTTGACATTTATGCTCATGGAGCTGTGTACGTGATCAATTGCATTGGGGAAAATTTCAAAGTGATCAGACATAAAAATGGCTAAATATAGAGCAGAATATATTGTAACGAATAGTAAACGGATAGTAAAATGATTTGGATAAACCCCTATTTTGTATCCGTTAACAAATATCCGAATAGTAGTTTCAACACTAGAATTCAGTATTAGAAAATGCTGTGGGATTTCCATACTCGGCCAGACCAGCATTCTTAGTCTACAATTGGACTGAGTATTCAACTGCTATTTGGCAATTGTGGTATTGAGTTATCTAGATAAATTACTCATCGATGGTTTTAAGTAAAATTATACGTATTCTGTTTGAGTGTTTTCCCTTTTTGATAGGATCCTATATTGAATTATTTAAGAAAAAAAACCCCACACATTTATTTGCATAATTTACAGTGTTTTAGAAATCAGACACTTCCTGAAAGTGCAGGGTTTTAGATTAAGTGAACATGTTACAGTGAGATAAGAAAAATGAATTAATTGATTCATTATTCATTTGATTTCTATTGTTAAACATTCATTATCTCAACTCACATTTATGCGAAAGTGGGTATGTTATTATGAAGCCTAAGTAATAAAGAGGTAAAAATGATGGAATTGGCATTTGGAAAAGCAATGATGCATACTTTCTACTTCTTTAATAAAAAAAAAAAACAAAAAAAACGTACCATACACCAGAAAATACAATATTGGTAGCAGTAAGTGGTGTTGTGCAAGAGGTAGGGTATGCTTCTTTGTTTTAGAATACTTGATACTATTTAAAATGATCACATAGCAAAAAAAATAGAAAAACTGTTTTATAGTAATTTGTTCTACAACTGTATATAAATTATCAAAGTAAATATGTAATGAAAACCAGTAGGAATCATTTCATTTTAGTGCTAGTTTTATAAGTTTATTGAATTAAGATAAGACCACTGCCAAAAATTAAGAAAAGATGAAAGGAGGTATAGTTGGTTGGTTAATTTGTTGGTTAGTGAGTGTGATTTACACTCTTATGGTGGAGATAAAGCCATGTATTAAACAACCTAGGAACCAATCATACAAGCCAGTAAATCTCTCTGATGTTACCAGATCAAAGAAAACTAGAAAGCACATCCTTATTTCATAAGATGTCTCATAAAAAAAAATAATCTCTGCATATATCCAATTTGTGTTTTGATTATGCTAAAGCAAATATTATTTTTGTCCTCAACCGTCAGGAAACTTATCAGAAATAAAGGATCAATGTGATTTTTATGATAGAATACATACTCTTCAAAAAATCAAAACAGTGTTAAGTACATTGAAGAATTTATTAGAAACTGAATAGAAAACATTTCATCTAAGATAAATCTTTTTAGATTGCAATGTGGTGAATAATGTATTAGTACTAATAACATAATACATTGCAGAACAAGTAATCAATTATTCCAACAAAACTTCCTTCTGCTTTTCATCAAAATGATAATGAAAATAGTGACACTGTCTTTCTTATATTAACACAATTTGTCATGTTTTTATACACATCGGTCCATTGTCTACAATTTCTTGTAAACACTCTACAGACTCTAAATTTATCAACTGATTGTTTTGAAATTGATATATGTTGTTTACATTAGTGAGATGAAGAAGCCTAATTAATTTCAATAATTTCCGTAAATTTGTTCTGGAGTACTGGCCCTTGTTTCATTTTATTGCACCTTATCATCCAATCTGTATGAAATTTATGTGTGTGTCCTTTAACCCTTTCACTGCGTATACCCCGTAGTACCGGGTATTATAAAATGTCGGTAAAATGCGCGTACCCGGTATTACCGTGTACTCAGTAAAGCCCTCGCTAAAATTAGTACCGTAACTGCAAGTGCCATCTATTGTATTTTCTATACACTAGAACATATTTCCACGTGTTTCAAAGCGGCAAACCGTAAAATGGCGGAGTGCATAGTGACAACGTAGATGATGCACTCTCGACGAAGTCGTGAATGACGTCTTGCTGACCAACACGTGGACAATTTCGAGGCGGGTGATACACATAATTCGTTTCCAGTTACTTGATAATGATAGTAGTCAGGACAGTGATTGGTATTATGAAGTGTGTGATTTGTTGCGCGACGTTCCGCCCATGGCTAGCTATGTCTCCCGTGCATGATGAACAAGCCCAATGTGAACACGATAGCCCTGTGTCTGCAGTAGATTCTGACAATAATTCTGATGTTGATTATAATGCTGGCCTGCTGGATCGTAAAAGACGTAGGCAAATCCTGAGCCCCGAACGTGTAGATCTATTGACTGACTATATTGATAATGATATGGGACTTGGGGATGAAAGTGAAAGTAAAAACAAGGTATTGCAATCCGCACGTGGTCATGGCAGCGGGAGATGTGATGCGCGTGTTCGTGGCGGCACTGCTCATGGCTGCTATTGATATTTTTGTTCATTTTATATATCTTTATCAAAATCCAGTGAAAAAAACAATATCTTTTAAGTATTTCATGGAGAAAAATTCGTTTTCGTTTTAGCTTTAGTGAGAAATGAGAAATCCAAAATGGCCGCCATGACGTCATGTGACTACATTATTATGCAAATTTCCAAAATTCTATTTTTTCCTCTTAGCCCATGGCAACCTCATGCCCATCCCAACAGACAAAAAGATTTTTCATAAAAGCTTCCATAAGTACTGCTTGGCATTCAGTTCCAACCTCTCTTTTTTCCTCAAAAAAGGGTCTAGCACAGGCAGTGGATTTACATCTAGCATTGAAAGGGTAAAATTAGTGAAACAAAGAATCGTATTGAATTTCAGCAATTTCCGTTAATTTGGTCTAGACTTATGTTCTTGTTTCACTTTAACGACAAAAGGTATCATCCAATCTGTATGAAATGCATTATTTAAATTAGTATTCTAATTCTAAAATGAAAAATCCTACTGAATTTCAGCAATTTCCGTTAATTATGTTTAGAGTTATGACCCATGTTTCACTTTGTAGAACACGTAGAACACCCTAACAACAAAAGTTCTCATCCGATCTGTATGGAAATTTATATGTATTAATTAAATTAGTGAAACGAAGAAGCCTATTGCATTTCAGCAATTTTCTTTAATTATGTTTAGAGTTATGGCCCTTGTTTCACTTTGTAGAACCTTGTGAACACTCTAACGACGAAAGTTATCATCCGATCTGTATGGAAATTTATATGAATTATTTAAGTTGGTGAAACGAAGAATCCTATTGAATTTCAGCAATTTCCGTTAATTTGGTCTAGAGTTGTGGCCCTTGTTTCACATTATTGAACCTTGTGAACGACGAAAATCTGATCTGTATGAAATTTATATGCGTCATTCCAATTGAATTTCAGCAATTTCTGTTAATTTCTTCTGGAGTTATGACCCTTGTTTCACATTGTTGCACTTTGTGAACGCTCCAATGACAACAGTTATCATTCAGTCTGTAAATTAGTAAAACAAAGAAGCGCTCCTATTGAATTTCGACAATTTCCAATAATTACTTCTAGAGTTATCACCCTTGTTTAACTTTATTAAATCTTATGAAAGGTATCATCCGATCTGTATGAAATTTATATACTATAATGCATCATTTAAATTAGTGAAACAAAGAAGCCTATTGAATTTCAGCAATTTCCAATAATTACTTCTCAAGCTACTGGCCTGGTTTTACTTTGTTGGAAAATGTGAATGCTCAAACAACAAGTCACCGTCTGATATGTATGAAATTTATTTGCATTATTTAAATTAGTAAAACGAAAAATGCTCTCAAATTTTTTTGTATATTACTTTCAGGCGTAAGGCTCTTGTTTCAGTTTGTAGCACCCTGTGATGGCCCAAAGGACGAAAATTATAATCTGACCTGTATGAAATTGTCTTGTAAATGCCACCCATTACATACAAAAGATTAAATATGCAACAACCCTTGTTTACCATTCGGACGATTTAGCTGCTGTGGACATAAGTTTTGTTGCCTGGCAACCTATCTTTTACATTTTTTATTGTATGGTTGATTTCTTTAAAATACCTAAATTTTTGGTTTAGGTTATAATAGTTATATGAGTAATATGTAAATACATCCAATATCAAATTCACTGGTAAATCTGTTCCATGATCATAATTGTCAGATTGAATAATCCTTCAGATGGGACAGTGTATGCAAATGATGTATTTGAATTTGGAAGATGGTTAAACTGGACAATAGCTATTTTCTTTTCAAGAGAACTGCACTTGTGAACAGAGCATTAATTAGCTGGCAAGTTAGGACTGTGGCCTGGTTTTGGATCCTATTTTGTTTTTGCTTATATATTATAAAATATTTGCAAATGAATATTGCTTAAAGTTAAATTCTATTTATATGGCTATATACAGCGAGTTAAGCAATCTGATTAAAAAAACAGATCCTATTTCATTTCAGTTTTTATAGTTCAAAATTGCGTTTTACCATTCTTTACTACACTAGGATCTGGAAGAGTTGTTATATAACCTCCATTCTGTTTGATGTGAGGGATTAGCTAATGAAATGGTCTGATGCAGGGAGTTATTGGTGTGCGATGCACGGAATTGTGGTTATCCTACTAGAAACATCAACACTGATTGCCCTGATTGGTTAATAAAATGTCTGATGTCATAGTTAAAAAGCCACTAATATGACCCCTGACGCGAACTCCCACGACGAAATATAGATCTGTATTTTAATCAGATTGCCAGTTAAACGCCCTGGTTGATACCATTAAAATCATGATACATCTGTTGAACAGTTGTAATTTTTGATTAATGTCCTGTTAATGAGTGGCCAGTTTGTAACCTTTAGAAATTAATTTTCTCCTTTAGATCATGAACTTTCTTAAGATGCAATCTTTCTCAGTGTATTAATTAATATGATTGTCATGCTAAGGTTAATCTGTTTTATATATGTTTGAGGCAGGATTAATTTTGGCTACCAGCTTGTATGACGCAGAAGAATAATTCTGTAATTTGTTTTCCACCCTATATTCCAACTCTATATAAGCTTATAGTACCTGCAGATTGAAGAGATTAACAAATTTACTAGCAGGTGGTTGATGTAAATAGCCTTTCTGTAAATCAACACCACCAGACTTGATACCTTTGAGTCAGGGACACTGACAGGGCTGTTGACCAGTGAATTTACAGGATTAGGATTAAGGAGCATCTTCTTTCCCATGTATCTGACTACATTACACTATCTGCTCTGAAGAAAGGAAGAATCAGAGTAGAATTATTAGTCATCAAAATATTAGAATCCACGTTCGACCTCTGATAACTTTTAATCCATTTTATGATATGGCTGCTGGTTTATAGTTTTATGTATTTATCCTGGTTACCATCTTTACCTACTGACATATTAATATTATTGTTTGAAAGCTGTGGACTATTAAAAATGGGTCTGTATGTCACACTTTTTGGGACACAATAACTTTTCTTGTAATTGAGCTAGTGTTTATTTGGTGAATGCCTTGATGGAGGTCGATGATGAGCATACTCTACTTAGGGTAAGTAGAGATAAGCAATTCGATTGGTCGATACTTAGGGACACAACAACTATCCTACTAATTGAGCTGGAATGTTCAAACTTGGTGTAGATGTTTATTAGGTGAATGCCTTGATAAATGATACTTTATAAAAAAAAAAAAAATGTTTAATTAATTAATGTGTCATCTATTTATTTTGGTGGGGGACATCAGCCTCACATTAGCTTCTTTCCTTCATGTATGGTCTTTATTGACTTTAAAATTATTGCCATATATATTTATTTCTTATATACATCTATTTCAGACATCAGTTTGTTACCAGTTGATTAAAAGTTCAACCAATATTAGAAGAAAAAGTGTTTGTGAATCCGACTCCCATATTGAATCTCTAATAGGACTTTGTGGTAAGTCATGTTTCTCTTAATCAAATTGTTAAACTGAATAGCAAAGTAGGCTCATAAGATAACATTAGATGTTTTTCGCATCAAAACGTTCATTAAGGACAGCATGCATACAAGTAAATGTACATTTACCGGTAATTGACTTGGGTTTTGCATACTGCTAAAAGATTCTACAGACTATTCCATGCAAATCACCTACTTTCTTATCATTGTAGAAATATTTCTAAAAGAAAAATGTTGGCTACCCCTCTTTAATTTTTTACTTGACTTTATTGCTTGCATGTTATATCAGTCTTACAAAAAAAAAATTGACATTATATTGTTTATTGCCTGTTGGCAGTGTTGTAATCTGAGAAATATGTGAAGTATTATTAGTCAATATCACCAAGTGCTCATACTTGTGCTAATTTATCAAAAGAGTTATAAGAAGCCCAAGGACATTTCCTTCCTTCTCGCTAAATGAAGTCATGAGTTCAGTTATTCGCACTTGTGCAAGATATTATTAAGATAACTTGCAGATAGTTCCTGAGTAACATAGCAAACACTTCACTTTAGGAGAATCTGGATAATGGTCAATAATCTCTAGAAAAAAAAGAACAAAAATAAAGTAGATCTACTTAATGTTAAGCTATGTGCTTCGTAATGATATAGTCTGTGCAGTCACTTTATTACCAATAACTTTGTTATTTTATTTGCTGTAATAAACATACCATACTTTAAATATTTTAATGATATTTTCTACCTGTAGTAGAATTTGAATGTTTTTTTTAGAATTGTTTGTAGAAGACAATTCTGACTTTTTAGTCATTTCATTTCAGTCTGACAAAGTTAAGAATCAATGTTTTGTTGGGTTTTTTTTTCAAACCTCCATCCACAACATTGTCAGGGATTCGGTCAGTAAATCAAATGGCTTTTCTCAGGCATTGACTGTTGAAATTCCAAATTCAAGTAAAGAGTAGGTAGTGCTGCGCTTGTGCAGTATTACTTATATTTATATAGGCTTACCATTATGAAGATCCAAAAATATTATATTATGTCTACATCTAAATCTTTCCAATTCTCACCATCTAATGTTTTAGTTTTACAGGATGGAATGACAAGATATTTTTCATCGATTTATTTACCAAGACGATATAATTTCACAGTAGGGATAATCACATTATTAACACATAGTAATGTCTTTCTGATCTTATTCTTTAAAAATACAGAAAATGGAATTGACAATATATCATGATACATACGTTGGCTGTGTATCATAATCATAGCTATCGAAATTAATTGCAGGACGAAGCATTACCATCTGAGTAAACTTCTCCTGCCTTCTATCACAAATACAATACCAAAGATGATCTTGTTGCTTAGTAATCGACTTCTGCATATTGGTCATTACAACATTGATAGAAAAAACAATAGAAATCAATAATTTTGATGGAGTTTCTTAGACATATATTTTCTTGTTATTATAAAAGTACATAGTATAGTAACTTCCTACAAGATTTAATTGAGAGTGACAGGTAGTTTGTCAATGGTTTATAATTGTCATCAAAAAATGTACTTGTAAGATGTAATGTTATGAAATGGGAGGCAGATTGAAACATTAGAGAATAAGAAATCACAGATTATTGCTTAACTTTCTTATTATACAAAGATTTGTGTTGATAAGTGACAAGGTTCACCTCTGGCATTATTCTACTATTATATGAAACGGCTTTGATATCATTAGTAGAATTATTATCTTGATATTTGCCCGCTTATTGTCCATTCTGTTTGGTCTTAAACCAATCATTTGTCATTTTCTGATGGATGTTTCTTTAGTACCACTGTACTGTTTGTGTCTGTAACTATGTAATTTTTTTAATGATTGACATTGTGTAGGGCCTATATAAAAGAATAGTTGCTTTTAGAAAGTGAACAGTACTTTGATCATTTAAGCTTCATTACAAACAAAAGAATACATAAGCCTGTAAGCTAATTTATTTTTGTTTACATTTTCTAATTTTGTTGGCGTACTTTACAGGAAAATCTAACTACTACTGTTTTTATTCTCTGCTCTTTTGGATCTACCACAAGATGAAAGAACAGAAATCAGAAAATTAATAGAATCAGATCGGTGTTTAAAGGCTCAATACCACTCTTGTTGTAACTGAATAATATGTCCCAATCTTTATTCTGGTCAACAAATTGTACTATTTTAGAATATTTCAATTAATTGATGATACAAATTTCATCTTAACACACCTTATTTAAAATTTTTGAAAAATTCAACATAATGGTTTGAAACGTCTAACGTAAACCTTTTCAAATGAAACTTCGATTTAAAAATATTTTCGAACCCTCTGGACAAGTAAAATAGGATGTAATGGATAATTTACACAACAGGTAGGACACTTAAACATCTAGTACTTAGATAGAGGATATTATTTATTTTCTGGAGCTTTCAAGCCAGCAAGAGTGTTATTGTCCCTTTAATTCATTTTCAATTTTCTGTTGTGGTTTCCTCTTGTTTGGCAAGGACAAGCATCTAGTCATTAGGATGGGATAACAAACTGGTCCCATGTAGTGTAATAACACTGATTAACAGTTCAATTCAAAATGGTCAGCTGTTCCAAGTCAGCGTATATGCGGGTTGGGATGGACTAGTGGTCAAGAGTGTCATGCTTCAAGCTCTATTTGGCTGGTCACCTCTGGCTTGATCAACGAGGGTGTGGCCTTGATCCCTAATAAGAGTATGTGGCTTGGAGATAGGGGCGGCTTCTCAACCTCTTGGATTTACTCAGGGTATACCACAGGAAAGACACATTTCTAAGTATCAGTATCACATGAAATTAATGTCAAATAGGGTTTAATGTGCTAAAGTCTATCACAAGCATCATTAATTATACACATATATTAAAATAAATTATGCATCTGTTATGCCTATAAATTGTCATACTTTAAATTCTTCAAAAGCCCGAATCATCTCGCTAATAACATAACAAAGATATGTCTTAATTTTTTTTTTGTTTTGTCAACAAGAAACCACTTTGCCGTCATGTCAACTCTCTTCAGATCCCATTAATTTCTTGTTTTATATTTCATTAGTTTGAACTGATCTATTATCCAGATAACTCTTCCTAAATACTAAAATAGGCTACTATTCCGTCTTCCATAAAGATTTGTCATTTCAAAACAAGGTCACTGGAAAACCTAGTAATGGTCTGACTAACAAAAAGTGGAGTAAAGCAATCAACTAATCTATAATTATTATAATATTGTCTTTTAATATATTATCCTGTACTGTAAGGCAGGAAATTGAGCAATTCCAAGTTAATACAGTTCTAGGCAAAATGACAATATCTAATGAAGACTCACAAATTTGTACTTGGCTAACAATTCACTATATAAATGTCAGAAATGGAAGGAAGAATGATATTGATAACCTCTTCATGAGTTCATTTATTAGGTTCATAGAATATATTGAATTACTAGTTTAGACCAGTGATGGGATTTCAAAATTTTAGTTGTCAGACATTTTCTTCCCAAAAATAAAGGGACATAACTCTTATCGTTATTTAAGCAGGCGTTTTCAAACCACAATTAAGAATCACGTGTCAACAAAATATTCAAATTCATACGTAATAAAAAAAATTAGATGCACCTCGTAATTTTTCATATTTAATTCCTGTACGGTATTCAAATTTATGTCGATAATATTCCTAAAAAATTACATGACATTGTAATACCATAAAATGAAAGCGTGCCGACTACTGCCCATCCGTACCGGTTTCAAATTCCCCCAAAATTACCGTATTTTTCAGGTCATAAGTCGATACATTTTTCAGCAAAGTCCGGCATTCGTCTTATACTCTGTTTCAATTTATATACGGAAGGTAAAAAGAATGACATCCCGAAGTTAACGTCACTCTAACAGAACGAGATAGTGACACCCAACTGCTAAATAATCCCATTCGACTCTAATCACGCGCTATCGTTTAAAAACAATTAATGTAACTACTGATGTTATTCCAATCGAAATATTCGTCAACATTTCTTAGCGCGTTTATTTATTTATTTAAGAACATAAACCCCATTCAAAATATGATCATAAATCCAACAATATGTCATCAAAATAGAATCTTTTCTGCCGACATCAGACGTATTACATTCGGCACATTTACACCCCATAATTCCACGTGTCTCGCGGGATTTCTACTTCCATTTGCGTGTGTGTGAAATAGCTTTATTTAACTTCGGCTTCCACTGAAGAAATATCACAGACAAGTTGTCGGACACAATGTATATTGATTTGGGGTGTTATATACTATTATGATATATGACTAATGTCTATGGACGACATCAAGGAGATTAAAACGTGAGACAATGGAGAAATCCTAGGTTAATCACATAGATTAAGTTTATTGGATTAATATATAGTTCGACAAAGGAGAAGCAATGACTTCTGTTCAGGATTGAATTGATGAATTGTCCGACAAAGAATTAAGTCAGCAGATTAAGTAGTTAATCAAGGTAGGTGTATAGACGGCATAAAACGATAAATACGTTGATCACTTAATTAGCTAATCAATCCAGCCTATTATCAACGATAATCGGGTTGAGTGGTAGTTATGCACTCAGTACACTATATTAATTTTGGAATTTTAAATATTATTTACCATGTCTTGATGTCCGATTGGGCATACTCCTGGTCGGACAATTTAGGACATTTGGAAAATAGCGTCGGACATGTCCGGAATATACAGGCAAAATCCCAACACTGGTTTAGACCACATAATAAAAAGCATATTAATAACATGGCCAAACCATTCTCTAATTTTCTGTCCAATATAGCAACGCGATCTGATCTAGTCAATTTTGAAATGAATTTTTCTGCACCGACTGGGCAGCGGCTTATAAAGATTGGCATAAGCTATGCAATGTGCTTTGAGGGATATTTTGGCCGAACAGCAGCGCTGTGGTCTGCTCTTAGTCTTAATCAAATTCCAACTGTCAAGGGTTCTTTTACGTGCATTCCAAATAATATGTACACAGGAAATCCTTTAAATAACAAACATTTATATTTACTGAACTGATCTGATCATGAGACGCATGAACATATCTGAAAAAAAAATATAGCATAGGAATAGGATAGGTAGGTTGAACATCAATTATTCACATGGTTATTTAACATTTTAGTATAACTACTGGTCTATTTTTATAGTGCTGAAATTCCTGTTTGAAAAACTATGTATACTGTATGTAGTCCGCACTCCTATTCAGTGACATCTCCTTGTAAGCGGTCACGATAAATTTCCCCCGTAGAAATTCTGTTGTGTCATCTCTTTAATCAACGGTCACTCCTCTAATGCGGCCAGCGGTCACTATTTTACTAATAAATTTAACAAAACATCGCCCATTCAACGGCCATTGCTGAATGATACCATCTTGTACTTCGTAGCACCTCCGCTAATCCTATGATTACTGGGTAATACTATATAGTTAATTATCTGGCCCCCCACCGATCGGGTAAAAAGAACTGTGAAAATAACAATAAACCCAGGGTTATCTGTTAATTAATCTTTTGTTTTATTAAATTTATGACAAACCCTGATCATTGTTTTCACACGTAACAAAACATTATTTGATACTGATTGAATAAACTAAAAGTTCCATCAAAGCCGAGTTTTGTCACGATCATCTGGTATCTATTTTCCATTGCCACTTTTGTTACTAAACAAAAGTTTTAGAGCGTGCTATATTACATACAGAGTACCAACCCCTGAAAATCAGTGACAAATTCAGTGATGGTTTTTTGGACATGTGTTTTTTTGATAAAATAAAATTAATTCATAGATCTTCTTCGCAAAAATGGATAAATATTAATGAATACATCACAATGGTAGACAGTTTTATCAATGTTGGTTCAAAATGACACGTTTACAAAAGGATTTAAGCGAAAGAATTTTTGTTCCAAGCATGTTTCAGCGATGGCCAAATTTACCAATGCAAGTATTGATGTTTGCTCCCAATACATCCAAGCGTAAACTTGGATGGTTGTTTGGGGGGGGGGGGGGGGGGTATAAGGTTGGGTGTGAAGGAGATACAGTTGGTTTGGGAGGAAATACAGGTTGTTTGGGAGGAGATAATTCGATGGGGGAGGAGATAAGGTTGGTTGTGGAGGAGAAAAAGTCCATTTGGGTGGAAATAATGTTTATTTGGGAGGAGATACCAGGCCTCGTCGTTTAAAAACCTCAGGAGAGCATAAATACACACCTGAAAAAGTTCAGGAGAGTGATTTACACTCCTCATTTTAAAATGGATGGAATCTTATAGATATTGTATTGTTCTTAAGCTATCTTTGTATGTGTGTCAGATGTGAAAATCCAAAGTTTCGCTGTAAAAGAGAAATGTACACAGAAACCCGCCCAGAGCCTATACTATGCAGAAAAAATGATTGATTCTGGTGATTAAAAACATCAAGGGAACTGGAAAGCTAAATTGACATCAACTTATTCTCCTTAAAAGAAATTATAACACATTTTCATCACTTTAAAAGAGGATCAGTGTATCAAACTGAACATTGGTTTTCACCATAAAGAAGTGGTTGACGTCATAGATTGCGTAATATGACTATAAATCAAATAAGCTTATAGACTTGTCATGAATAGTGAACTGATCATTTATTTTATGAACTCTTTTTTTTTTCACATTGTCAAAGTCTTATAAAGATTAATGTTAATGCATACATGTAGTTGATCTTAATGAGCTTCATTGTATAGTCATTTTTATACAGTTTCCCGTTGTCAGGATTAGGGAGAAAAGTATTCCTATTATTGTTTCTACGAGTTATTTAAAACATACCCCTTAGTGACTTTGTTTTCTGAATTGTAGTAATTGGCCTTTTACAAGGTTTTAAAAATCAATCACTGATTTATAATAAATTATCAAACAGTTTTTGGTCTAGTTGAGAGTCTAAATTTTATTCCTAAATCTTTTATTATAACCACTGTAGCTCTTTCCAAAATTCTATCCGAATTATCGTCCTTATTGTTCTTAGCGTTATTTTACGTTCTATCTTAAGACTTCCCTGGGCAGACTACCACGGTCAACAGCTGTTATTCGGCAGACTTACAAGACAGCTAGATCATTTACATTGCTTCTTCTTATATATTCAGTACTTGGTCTTCTGTACTTATAATGCTTTAAACCCCATAGATTCCTTGTTTTGGATTTGGCTTTTTGCTTCATTTCTTTAAACTTAATAGTTATAAAACGTTTTGTTCAGTGTGCTGACATTGAGATGTTTTGTAAACACACAACTGATCATGACATACACTGCAATGATATTATGTTTGGGAAATATTCCTGTTTGGTACTTCACTTAAAAGTTGAAATAAATGTCTAGTCAAAATTTTTGTTTCTCTTATAAGCCGATATTTCAAACCACCCCACTAAGATGGTCCTGGGAGGTATTGCTTTTTTTAAGTGCACTTTTGCCCAGGGAAGTTGAGATTGTTAATCGGATTAGTTAGACAGGCAGATAAGTTGGACAGGCAGATGATGTACAAAATTAACAACATAAGACCTTAGGCCTAATAAGAAATTGAATCATTTGTAGATCACACGACAATACTAGATCCAGAATAAAATATGTACATCCAGAATAAATAAATTTGAAGAAGTGGTGAACTAGTGTTAAATGAATTTAACAGAAATTCTGTGAAAAGTTGCTGATTGTCATTTGACTTTGAGGGATCTTGAATTCCTTGCAAACTGCAATATTCTAAAAGGAATGTCATTTCAAATATTGCTCTTCATATTTTAGATTTGATTTTTAATTAAGTATTGAATAATAAATTAGAGTATATTTTAACGTTGACTAAGCCATGAAAATCCAGATTATTTTACTAAGGGTACAAGTTTCAGCTGACCACTTTTGCACTTTGCAGTCTGTATAGAGGGATCTTTTTAAAATGTTCACGTATTTCAGATGAGTACATGTTATCTGTGTCATTGTTTTGATATTTTTGTTTTCGAAAAGATAGATATAGATTCTTATTGATTTTATGTCAAATCTAGTTTTGTAGGGGGAAAAATGGAAGAAAGTTTTACCAATTTACTTCAGTGGTTTGTTTATTCAATACGATGATGTATATATAGCACTAGCAAAGGTTACATGTCACTTACATCAATATACTGTATTTCTGAAACCATATAAACCTTACAAGAATGTCAAAAAAAGGGAAAAAACTTGACATAAATTCTTGGCTTTCCATGTCAGTTGGCTTTGAAGTAGATGATTTACTTCCAAGGCATTCTCAATTAGTGAGGAACTATAAAAGCAAGGAAATTTAGATCCAGAGCTTACTTCATTCATCTGACCAGAATCAATAAATTGTCCAGGATCAGTCTAGACCATTTTAATATCAGAATATCATGCTCAATTTCCAATTTGATATATAAATTATAAGCTTGACACATTTTCATTTTATAGTTCAGAAGTTTCTGTTTTAAATGTTAGTGATCACAAGTTATGTAGTCTAGTCAGGCCCACGTCAATATGATAGACTTTGTACATACTTACCTTCCTTTCGCAATGTCCAAGATCCAATCAGTTGTTAATAGTTTTTTGGCGTTTACCATTTTATTTGTAGTATTTGTCTGACTGGTTTTCAGATACTGTCAAGTTTTGTGATTGTGAATGATAAGTAGTACTAGTAACAGAGAGTTTCCTGCATGAGGCAGGGTATTCTTATCTCTTCTGAATCATCATTTGTTTGGAAGTTCACATGGATATCATTGCCACAAGCCAATTTCCAATGGGTTTCAAATTACCGCAGCAGTAACTGTTGGGTAACCTTTCCTGAACTAGCAGCAGTCATACAAAATTTTATTGCCTGCAAACCCTGTTGTGACTTGGGTATAATGAGTCAATCCAGCAGTTAACAATATATTCTGCATACTTCAAACACAAGGTGAAGATCATTTTACCTCTCACGATGTGCATAAATCTCTTTTTTCAGGTGAATTATATGATCAAGATGCTGCCTCATTACAGATTAAAGTTATTAAATATGTAAGTGAAAAGAGTTAAATTCTCTGTGAAAATATTAATTTATACTCGGTTACCGGTGCATATTTGTTGTACCGATTTGTTACAAATAGTCAAACTTTTATATTTTCCAAAAACATACACTTCTACTTAATTTAAATAAAACATAATGAAATAGATAATGGATAGAATTGACAGGGTATTCAAATGGTATATTTGAAAAAATTTGGGTTGCCCTCATTATGAAAATTTAACCTCAACAGTAATTTAAACTTATTGTACAACTTCTGTACAGAATTGATCTATATTCTGTATCTCGTTTATCACCTATTCAGAGCTGTGTTCAATCCATGTATGCATTCTGATGAAAGCTGTGGGGATGCTCGATTGTCAATCCGGAACGTTCCGAATTGACATAATTACAATTGAGTGGGACCAACATTTGGTTCAACCTTATTTCAATAATTCGCTTGCGCATAGGGGTCTTTAGCAGTGGGAGGACCCGCGGAGAAAACCCATGAGGTCAGTCAGGCGACCCTACTCCTTGTTACATACAACAGGGGAATCGAAACACCGCCAGTTGACTCAATGACAAGCCTTATGATAAAACGCGGACGTGCTAACCATTGGGCTATCCCCCCCCCCCCCACAATCATTAATGAGTAATAAAACTCTATTTATTTTACAGTTGCAACAACGAACGCAGGCACAGAGTGCATTTTTATTACTGGTTGTCCCAGACACACAGGAATTATTCTGTCAGGTTTGTACTCAGTTATATCCATTGCATAAAGGGTGACAATAGTGTGAACAAAGGAATTGGACAAACATGTTCCTAATTATAAAGAACAGCTCTTAGATGCTGTGGGCATATATTTCATTGCCTGGCAACCTGTGTTTACCGGTAACTGAAAACTTGATATTTCTCATGGACCCCAAAAAATATGATTATAGACTTAGTAATTAACAAGATCACAATAAATTAAATAGTAAAGAAATACTTTTTCTCAACAAGTAAATTTTGAGTAGCATGGCTTTATTTATAGCATGCTCTAGCAAGAGGTCAATGGTTATAACTAATAGCAAAAAATTCCCCCCCCCACCCCCTTAAATTCCCACAAATGTGGTTCAAGTCGTAATGGCAGTATCTTTCAATTGCAATACACAAAAGTTTGTTGTTTTGAATTTAAGACGTCAAATGTTTGTCTTTAATTTAAATTCACATTATGTTTGATATTGATCAAATCCTATAATTGACTTTTGTGTATATTTTTGTTTGTTTGGTGATTCAAACATAAGTAATGGTTATTATTATTCACGGTTATGTTCAAGCTTTGTGGTAAAATATTATTGCAAAGCTTTGAATTCCCTCTAAAAGTTATTTTGAAAGATTAATATTTCTTAACCTCCCCAAAATACAAGAAAAATAGTTTGTTTTTTTATGCAGTGAGAAATGAAAAATCCTTAGATATTGTGTCTGAAAATATCAGTTCAGACCATTTGTAAATTACTCTTGGTGTGTGTATGAGACAAACTTCGGCTTCTTTATTGATTATCGAGAAGAGCTAGGCAGGCTTCGCGAGCAATAAAACAAGCCCCACTAACGGACACATTGTAATTTTCTTCACAGTTTTATGTTTGGTTGGAAAATGTCAGAGGTAGCCGTGAAATGATTTAGACAAGATGATTCGAAGCCTCTCCCATTCTAAACATTAATTTATACAGCACAACTTCAATAGAAACTGTTGCTATGTTTGGAAAAATATGAGATTTCTTTTTAGGTGATTCCTTTAGTTAATTGAGTGACAGCCACATTAGACAACTATATTTTATTGATATTTCTTTCTATAGAAAATCTTTTTTGGTTCTGGCAAATTTACAGGTTGAAGTGACACACATCTGCTGTGCTCACAGATTTGATTTCAACAACATAATGATGAAAGCAAATACTTTTGCGTTCTGATATAGCCGACCAAATTATTCTTGAGTGATAACACAGGGCTTCTCTTTATGCTGTTCAAGATGCCTGGCCCAGAATATATATGGCAGCCAGTCCACTTTTGAATGAAATATTCTGAATATTTTTAGTCAGAATTTCACTTACTTCTCAAAAACAAAATTTCAACCATTCAGTCGAGACATATCTAAATGAAATATACACAAAGGTTCAATAACTCCAAAATACTATATACAGTGGCTTTATTATAAATAACCCTCTAATAAAAGGAATTATGTACTGTCACTGAACTGTGACACGATGAAAATGCACCACTGTATTGACTGGAAATGCTGGCAAGACATAAATGCAGCTGAAATGTGATTTTTTTTTTTTTTGCGTGATTGTAATTTGTAGGCTGGATATTACAGCCCCCCATGTAGACCATAACAATTGTACAATGTACAAGGGGTAAAAATCAAAAGTCAGAAAACAAATGTGTTCACTACTCTCCACCTAGGAGCTCACAAGCCATGCACTATCACTGCATGGAGGAAATAAATCCTCTGCTTTTTTAAGACCCTTCTCCACTCTTTTGGCAATTAATTCTGCTACAATTGACTCTGGTACTTTTGAGTTAAGGTAGTTACACATTCCTGTGTTCAAGCATTGCATCTTCCACAGAACTGTAGGAGCTGTACTGATCATAGTTTTTTGAAAGCCATGTTTTTTACCCCATGAAGTGGTGCTTTTTCATTGTGTCTCAGTATATAAACCTGTAAAACTTTTTCAGTTATATAGGGGTGATGATTTTCCGTTTCAGAAAATAGCAAATTCCGTTTTAAGTATTTTTAATTCCGTTATTTTCCGTTTCAGAGCTGACCATATTTCGTTTTTTCGAGATAAAATGTTATTTTATGAATAAATGAATAAAACATCTTAAAATGCCTTTTATTACAAAACGGATCATTTTAAACCAATGATAACAAATGTTGAATTGTGAATGACTTGTAATGTTCAATAACTAGTTATTCTTTAAACCTGTTTCCCGAATTAAATAACAGAAAATTACATCTTGTGAACTCGTTTCATCTTTTTAGCAGACAAAGCCATTTTTCTCAGCTGCTAGGTGTAGTCGCGATTTATCCAGACATCTTCGTAGTTACTACCGTTTCTTCGAGAATAAGGGCTGGATTCACAAGGCTACGGTATATTTCTGATGTCACGTGGTTAATGCGGATAAACACGAGTCACGAGCCCGGCAGTAAAATAAGAAGTAAATGAAACGATTTTTACTTTTATGAAGTGACAGAAGTTTTTTTTAAGACATATATATACATTACAATGTTTAATTCAAGTTAAACTACAGAGTAATTTTATAATGGGATACATGAAAGACGGGTTTTCGTTTCGATTAAAATTATGATTCCTAAATGAAATGATGAAATGAAAGTAGCGAAATACTAAAATAGACAGTAACAAAACCACGCGATATCATTCAATATTTCCGATTTTTATGAATAAAAAGATGAAATACTTTGATAACTGCAAAATTATTTTGAGTTTGTGTTTAGTATCAGCAAATATCGGCTTTTCCGTCTTTTTCCGTGTGAGATTTCAAATTCCGTTTTGAGTGGACAATTCCACGATTTCCGCGTTTTTTCCGCGATCACGGAAAATCATCACCCCTAGTTATATTTGTATCACCAGGTTCAAATATGTCAAATTACAGACTGATAAAATTCATACCTAATTATGCTGGACAAACACTCTGAAATGTTAATTTCGAACCCTGATCATATATTTATAATATTTTTCAGAATAAATAAGAACACAAAAAACAAATCTCTTGAATACCAGTTTCTTAAGTAAACCAATTTTCAAAAATATAGCTTTTGTTAAAAAAAGAAATATTGTGGTAACCATAATCAATGGCTATTTTGGGAAATTTTATTTGGAGATAGATTGTAAGAAGTAGGGTGCTCAAGTTAAGAGTAAATTTGTATTGACCAGATGATGATGTTTGAAGTTCACTGTCGTACAGGAAACCCATCTATATCTCAAATAGTCCGCACTATAATCATGTTTTCCATATCCAGCGTTTCTAATTGCTTTCATTTAATTACTCATCAATTATAGTGGTAACAGTAGACTTGTCACGGATTAGGCAGCTAAATTACACTTCTTAACTCGTCAATAAAAAGCACTTTCATCACTTCACTGAACTCCATGGAAAAGACTTGATGTTGTTATTGAGTAGTGTAAATCAATGATATGATAAAGGGTTAGTTAGTGGAAGCAAACCCTTTTTTGTCCAAGTATAGAAATTGACTGGCTATGCAGCTATCTAGATGGTAACTGGAATAAACTTGGTATTTCAGTAACTCACTCCATGATCTATAATTACATGTTTAAGACACAATGAGGGAAATAAGTGGTCTAAATCTAGATCAACAAGAATAAATCTTGGGATTGCTCAATTTAGATGTTATAGACCTATTTGTGACTTCATTTATGTAGATTGGTTTAAATCACAAAAATTTTGTTGAAGGAAAATATGTAAATTTAGTAATAAATATATTTATTGTATGGGAAGTTCAACCAGAAACTATTCCAATCAAATAATATATCTTAAAATTGTGCTTTTTGATTCCAAGTATATGGATAAAATTAGGAGATTAAATACCTTTGTGCATAAATATTGCTGAGTGACCTTGACAAGGTCTTATGAAAGACAATCTTACAGTAACAAGCAAGTGACAATAAAACGATGCATTTTATTTTAGCAAGAAAAAGGACAATATCTAAATTAAATCTATCAAAGTTAATAACGCTAATTGACCATTAAACTATACAACATGAACATCACCAATCAGTTGGCTGCTGCTAGCAATTGGTATCCAGTGTTTTAAAAAGGAATAAGCATACTTTACAACATGCATAACACCAATTTATATTTAGAATCTGCTTTATTTATATTTCAGGTTGTGGGAAGTAAAGTCTTACAGGAAGAATTCCGATTTCCGGCAAGTAGTTTTTCCTAAACCTGATGTACTATTATGGGGATTATTTCCAAATTCATTACCATTTGGCCATATATACTCTTGCACTGGGGTGAAAAATATAATGCTTCTTTGTTAACCTTGAGAAATTGCCATTTATCTTGTTTGTATTAGTATGGAGCAAAGTTTCATTTTTTTCCTTTTCTTTTAACTCAAATTCAGTCACCAGCTCTCAAGTAAAAAATGCTGTACAGAATATTTTTTGTCAACTCAGTTCTAAAAATAATGACTATTGTATAGTACTATAGTGTTGGTTTAAGGACAGTTCAAGTAAAAACGATGTGTTTCACGATCTTGGGTACTGCATATCTACATTGAACAAGCTACGGTTTCTTCAACTATCATGATATTTCATAAAACAGCGACTTGCTTCACAATGCATAATTTTATTAAATTTTCCCATCTGTCTGTATGGAACAAATCGATAGGAGGTTGTGAAAATTCAACCACTTCAAAATTAGAGTTTATTGATTTCCAGTGTGAGACAAGATGTATTCTGTGTTATATTGTACTGTCATATTCAGGCACTTTTTGTGTCTTTCAACTGAGCATTTGAGAAAAGATTAAAAGTCTTGATCAGCTTTCTGATTTGATTTCAGTTTTGACATTTATACTATATAAATCATGTATACTTATTTTCTTTTTTAGAAATTTTATGTGTAGACTTTAAAAAAAAGTGTATGGCTCTATTCAGTGGAACATTAATATAAGCGAAAATTGGTCTAAAAGCACATATTAATGTAATATGAATGTATATGAAGTGATTTATATTCAATTTTAACAAAGTTATTGTAATTTCTAATCTATCATATTTGGTGAAATACGTGAACAGTCCAATTAGAACAGCAGTTGTTTACGCCTGCTAAGTACATTTTAATTTTTTTTTTTTTTTTAATCAGACACTATGATTACTTCTGCATTGTCTTGTAGGATATGGTTTTTATACGCCTACATTTTCATGTGGACGTATATTGTCGTCACCCTTGTCCATCAGTCCGTCCACAATTTGTTTATGGACACTCTACAGGTCACAATTTTTATTTGATTTTACCAAACTTAAAATATAGGTCTATCTCTCAAAGATCTCAGTTCCTTTCGATATTGGCATATATCGGACCATAACTTCATGGATTATGACCCCTGATTGTACGAAAAATCACGTTTTTAGCTTGTGGACACTCTAGAGGTCACAATTTTCATCTGGTTTTGGTGAAACTTAAAATGCATGTTTATAACCCAAAGATCTTGGTTCCTTTCGATATTTGCACATATCAGATCGTAACTTCCTGAATTATGGCCCTTGATTGTATGAAAAATCGCATTTTTAGCTTGTGGTCCCTCTAGAGGTCACAATTATTATCCGTTTGAATATATCACCGTTACAACCTAATGATGGTTGAGTTCGAATTTCTTGAAAATCGGAACCAAACTGCTGGACAGAATGGCCACCCCTCGCACTGTATGCAAATAGTCTAAATATATGGTATATCAAGGTTGTGGACCCTTTAGAAGTCACAATTTTGATCCGATTTTGATGAAACTTGAAGTATATCTTTATAACCCAAAGATCTTGGTTCCTGTTGATATTCGCACATATTGGATCGTAACATCCTGAATTATGGCCCTTGATTGCACCAAAAATCGCTTTTTGTTTTAGCTTGTTCTCTATCCATCTCTTGCAAAATGTGGGCGTATCCTGCCTGGCAGACGCTGGTTTTTTGTTCTTAACAAACGGTGCCTGAAACTATAGAATACACGACTTGTGTACTGACTTTAAAATGTTCACTTTGTATTAATATTGGTTATTAGGATACCATATTTTCACGGCATGATAACAACACCAATATTAATTGAAATGGGCCAATATTGAATTCTAACTAGTGTTCGCCTGTCCAACCTCGTGGGTTTTCTCCGGGTCCTCCGGTTTCCTCCCACTGCTAAAGACCCCTACGCGCAAGCGAATTATGTAAATAAAATTAAACCATGTTAGTCCCGAAATGACCTAGTTTGTGTCGAGTGGACGTTAAACCCCATTTCTCTCTCTCTCTCTAACTAGTGTTTTTAATTTTGAATATTTTGAAAAGTATTGAGTGAGAGGTTTAATGTAGTCATATATTGTCTTTGACCTGTTGGTCTTCTTCCTACAATCTGATTAACATACAAGGCCCTGTTTCTCAAAATCTTAACTATAAAATCCAAATTTTAGTTGATACTTCAATTTTGATTGGTTAAGCACTAAAATCAATCTAATATTATCCAATCAAATTACTAACATTTGGATTTTATCTTAGTTAAAATTTCGTGAAACAGGCCCCAGATCTATATTTAGTTTCGTTTTGTTATACTTTAGATGGCCTCCACTACACAAAGATCTAAACGTTTGTAGTTGGAGGTCACATCAGGGGGCAGATGGATAGCTTACAACCCTATAACATTAGTCATTCAATTAACCAGTCAGCATTGGTTTTTCAAGTAGCTATTTGGAAATACAACTTTAATTTTGTTTTCTGTCGCTGCGTATGTCTACCCTCAGTTCCAGGAGCCAGACAACAAGAACTCTACTAATCCCTCACATCAACCAGAACACAGGTTATTTAACCAAGATCCTGATGTAGTGAAAATGAGTAAAAAATAAATTTGAACTTGTATAAAGAAAGCACTGAAATAGGATCTGTGTTTAAATCAGATTGGTCTTCCTAACACTGTAGAAACTGCTATTATCGAGATTTTAATATGTTGATGATCTTATATCAACCTAGATTGATTTGGAAGGATTTCTATCAATCACTCATGGATGTCAAATTTATCATGGGACAATTTTGATCGACTAATTATCTTATTGAAAGGAAAAACACTTGTAAATTTTCTACCATTTTTAACAAGTAATTTTGGTGTTACTTCCCTTGATTCAAGAAGGCTTGTTAACACTCTATAGGGACCACAATTATGAATTTATCGTGGCTTTGATGATGTGTAGCTACCGATAGGCATATGATTTGTTGCTAAGGCTGACCTTAAAAATATCTTTGTTTCACCAAACCCGACCCACAATCGAGGAGAAGGGTCGGTAGGTCGGGTTTTTTTCAGATTTTTTTTTTAAGAGCTAATTTGACAGCTTGATAATTTTCCGGGTGCAAACATTCGTCTTCTTTTATTGGCAAACAAATCAATGACATCGGCATCGGGATTTTTCTTGATGCACGACTCGCACACAAATTGCGACAAACTCACGTTTGAAACTCCCTCAACGCGTTTTTAACGATCGTGCGGGTTGTGCCTTTATTTTTCTCGAAAACGGATATTGAAAATATCGTCGTCATGTTTAAAACAACGCCCCACAGACATAGAGGCAGAATCATTTCGTGGGAATGGACGTGCTTTCGTCTGCAACCATTTTGTTGAGAAGCGACACCTATGACGCTTTCGTCTTGATCAACCAGTTTCAATAATGAATCAAACCATAGCCATAATAAAGGGAAATAACTCTCGTGATATATTTCAGGTTAACACACAAAATAAAATAAAAAGATCGCGGAAAAGTGCAATAAAATAATTTAAGTCGGGGGTGGTTTTAGTTAGTCGGTCGCGTTAGGCGAAACAAAGATATTTTTAAGGTCAGCCTAAGCTACTTAATTATATGTTAATCTTATGAGATTTCCTTGTTCTGTTATGGTATGGGAATATATTGTGAAACATAATAAAGAAAGATTTCTTGTACGTTGCTGTACGTGGGAATTACAAGAATGTATTTTTACTACATATTCTGTGGATTGTATATTGTTTTAGATTGATCGTTTAAGATATTCAGGTTAAATATTATATTATAACCCAGACAAACTCCTCAGAAATTAATTTAAAGGAGATAGTTTGTGTTGGCAGAATAATCAGTGACATTAAAATATGTCTGCTGACCTTGAGTGTATGTATCATAATAAGTTTAAGGATTATGTGGTTATTTGAAAATTGTAATTTATTACCTTATCTTTTATAGGGACAAACAAGTTGTTTTGCTCCTGCTTTAGAGAGGAAAAAACCTATTAACTTGGATGACCTTCCAAAGGTAATGATAAAATGTTTGTAGTATTTCTTACAACATATTGGAATTGAATAACAAGAACAAGATCAATAGTTTGCCTTGCAAGTAGATTGTCTTCTGTGTACCAGTTGTTCATTTGTAATATCTTTTTAGATCGCTAATCTCGAAACATTCTGTTGTAACAACAAATTAATAAATTTAAATAATGCATAGTACAGTCAGTATTCCCACATTATACATTAGTCGATTTAACTGGATTTCCAGCAGGACCACTTAATTGTGATTTGAGAATGCCTATTGCTAATTAATGAATCTCAGGCTAGTTCAGCCAGTTCGAAAACTTATTTGAATATTGCAGAAATACTAACAAATATTGTCAGTCATGCATGTGTGCGGAATATTTATTGACCTTGAGAAAATTTGTTCTTAAATAGAATTATATTTTTTACGCAACACACGCGAACATGAAAAGCACACATCATTAATATAAGTATATTTGTTTAACATTTTGTCGATCTTCCATCTCTCAGTTAATAATGAGGCTTGATATCAACAGCTACAAAATTGAAAGAAAATAGAAATTTGAGGACCATCATTGTGATACATTTGAAGCTACCATACATGCTGACATATTTAATTAATTGCTTTGAATAAAATAATTAAAGCTTGTTCAGTAACAAATAAAAAACTTTAGTTGAAAGAGATCTATTGTTTTTGCCTGGTGATGTCAGTAAACTTATTTTTTATCAACTGTATTGGTGGTTGTCTGATTCAGAATATATTTTCTTTCTTTTAGTTAAAGCAAGCCACATTAATTGATCTTTAATATAATGATAAATGGACTTGATACCACTTATTATAAATTATATACTTAAAGACAATATTGGTGTCAGCCATTATCACATATGTTATAGAACTGGTTACACATGTTCCAGATATAATTTTAACACAAGATATTATTGCTACACAATAGATGCGTAACGAAGATTTGAAGAAATGAATGTGACAAAAGTAAAAATAAATCACAAGTTATCCTTCTACATGATTTCTGCTCACTCATAATATTTTCGAAGACCAAAAGATGTTGTTTGACATGAGACTATTAGAGGATATCTGACAATCCCCAAAAATAATTGAATGTCACTAGATAAGAGAAAATGAGAAAAATAGAAATAGCTTGTGCATTCTCTTGTTTTTATTCGTTCTATACCTAATAAAAGCATGGTAATGCACAGACTTTTTCTATTTTTTGGTGGGTGTGGGGGTGTCTCTTATCTAGTGACAATCAATTCTTTTTATAAATTGTCAGATATCCTCTCGCAATCTCATATAAAAATTTCGGTCTTCGAAGGAATTATCAGTGAGGAGAAATTCACCTGTGTATCTGTTATCGCCCATTACTTCAGTCAGTTATATAGAAGGATAACTCTGGTTTTCCTTTTGCTTTCGTCACTTCCATTTCTTCAGATCTTCGTTGCGCATCTATCATAGCTCTATCATAGCAATGATCTCTGTGTTAAAATTGTTTTTGGAACATGTTTAACCAGTTCCATCACGCCGAGGCTGACACCAATAATATTGTCCTTTAAGTATATAATTTTATAAGTTGTATAAAGTCCATTCATCATTATATTGAAATAGAGGGCCATTATAATACTTTTAAACTAAAGGCATTCATTTGGAAACCACTTGGCTTAGACTGAAATACAATAATAATCATTTTCTAGGGCCCTGATCATTCAGTCAGTTTGACTTTAGTATATTTTTTCTGTTCACAAAAGATAGAACCTTTAGATAGTTAGATTATTGAGAAAAAAAAGTAATTAATGTAATACTATTTATTTAATTGATCATGGTTTGCATGATGTCTATGTTGAGTGAAGACATGGTTAATTAACAGTAGACAGTGCAAACAATTTATTCTGTTTACTAAATGTCTCACTGACTTGAAACAAGGGGAAATTAATTTACTTCTGTGATGTATTGTACACAATGCAGTTCTACTTGATTGATTTATTCCAACAATTGTAAATACTGTAAAACTGTGTCATTCTGTTTGTTGTATCAAAATACTGTTACTTGGTTTCCAGTCTGTTTGAAATATGCATGGTTAAGATTGGTGACATGAAGAAGCCTATTAAAGTTAAACAACAATTTCCGTTAATTACTAAAGGAATCATCTTCCTAGCTCACTTTGTAGAAACTTTGTGAATGCTTTATCTGCAAAAGTCATGTTATGTGTTTTGATTATTGCGATGCATAACAATATCTTATAGTGTTGTTGCCCATGATTATGTCACAGAATCTTGTCAATGTATGTACCATTGATATGCAGAAAGCTATAAAAAATTTGCTTTCTGTATACTTAAAGATTCATTTGTCACAAAATGTATGAACTATTCGATCGATTTGTTGCCTGGTATTTATTGATACTGGTATGTCAACATTGACACTATTATAAAATTCTAATCATTGTAATGATTAGGAAAAATTATGTCTTCAATAATGTCTTTAATAAGTCAAGAGTATGGCACTAAAATCTTGCAAAGTTGTTCATAATTCATAGGCATTTTGTGGTTTCAAATATTGTACCTTAATAGTTGTGTACCTTTATATAAACAGTGTTTTTCTCTGACTGCTAAACAAAATCACTTCATTTAGATTTTAAAATTCTTAACTGGGTTAAACACCAGTTTAGGATGTCAACAGAAACATCAATAATGTTATATGCCCTTTTTTATTTTTTATACGCCCACATTGAAATGTGGACGTATATTGCCGTCCGTCCATCGTCCACAATTTCTTGTGAATGCTTTAACGCCAAAAGTTATCATCCAATTGTTTTAAAATTGATATATGTTGTTTACATCAGTGAGATGAAGAAGCCTATTTAATTTCAATAATTTCCGTTTATTACGTCTAGAGTTATGGCCCTTGTTTCACTTTGTTGAACCTTGTGTGTACATTGTTAACGCCAAAAGTTATCACTCAATCTTTGTGCAATTTATATGCATGATTTAAATTAGTGTAATGAAGAAGCCTATTGAATTTCAGCAATTTCCGTTTATTACGTCTAGAGTTATGGCCCTTGTTTCACTTTGTTAAACCTTGTTAAGGCTCGATTGATGAAAGTTATCATCCGATACGTGTGAAATTTATATGCATCATTTAAATTTGTGAAACAGAGGTCTATTGAATTTCAGCAATTTCCGTCAATAATTTCTAGAGTTATGGTGATTGTGAACACTTTGTAAACGTTTGAATGACAAAAGTGATCATGTGATCTATATGAAATTTATATGCATTATTTAAATTAGTAAAACGAAAAAGCCTGTCAAATTTCAACAGTTTCTGTAGATTTCTTCCAGAGTTGAGACCCTTCAGTTTGTAGAACCTTGTAAACCCTCAAACGACAAAATTTATAATCTGATCTGTATGGAACTGTCTTGTAAAGGCCCCCAATTACCTACAAAGGAATAAATATGCGACAAGCCTTGTCGACCGCTTGGACGATTTAGCTGCTGTGGGCGTATGTTTCGTTGCCTGGCAACCTATCTTTAAGATAATTGATCACCCATATCTGTAGGAAGTTAAACACCCCATTTCATTTCATTTAATAAAAAAATGTACTAAAGTTATTGAAGCTTTCTTTTATTCCAAGTACCAGAAACTACAAACTCACTTTATATCCAATTCCATCACTCCCTATATATAATTTAAATCAAGTAAAAACTACCAATTTAAAAAAAAAAAAAAAAATTACTATGAATTTTGCGCAATCAATCTATAAATGGAATTTAGACATTGAAGTATGATATAACGACAAAATGGAGATGTTAGAGGTTGGCTGGAGTGACCCTTCAACAACATGTATGATTTGTTCAGATTGATTTGACTATCCTACATGATGGCCAGGTCACACTCCTCTAATATTGATTATGATGGCCAGGTCACACTCCTCTATTATTGATTGTCTGCTATTTTATAGTCAGGACGATCATGTCGACAAAATACTCACTTGCCAAGACACAAGACTTTTGATTAGTTATTTACACTGTTCAGACACCTCATTGATTTTTATACACCGTCAGACTATCGACTTCTTTTCTATTTTTTCTACCAGCAGGACATCTAAACACAATTTTTCTGAAATAAGGTTTCTGACATATATTTTAAAGGTGTAAAAAATGTTACAAAATTACTGTATTCCTCGTTGGATTAGGCGCATGCTTAGATTTAGATAAGACGCAGGGTGTGTTTGGCAGCTCAGGTGTTTCATGAAAACTTAAAAGTGAATGATTCTACAACGTTTACTGTTCAAACAATACCAATATATATAGTTTTTAATGGCATATCCTTAGGAGATATTGCTTTACATGAATTTGATTGGTCAATTAAAAAGGAACTACTCTTCTTTCTTTTTTTTTCTTTTTTTTTTTCAAAGAACTGTTCATTTTTATTAAAAGTAACTTCTTTTATTTATACATATATCCATGTCTAGTTTTTAGTCCCATTAGCTGCATGCTTGCTTCTGCACAAGTCTGAAATATAGTTCTGTTTTTAGCTATTTGTATATGCCCACACTTTACTGTGGTTGTATATTGTCATAACCTTTGTCCGTCTTTCTATTTACCCTTACTGTTGTCACCGATTTTCATCGAAAACATAATATATATTATATATATTTGGGTGAAGATGGTCCCAATCAATTTTGAAGATTTTCATAAAAGTAATTCAGACTGTCGACACTCAGCTCAGTTTGTCACCAATGTTTATTAAATTTTTTACTAGGACTAGTGGTCGGGTTAATTTTGAACAATTTTTCCAAATTTGTTCAAGAGTTATGGCCCCTTGACAAATGTCATGAGATGAAGTTGCTGATTGACGTATTTTACCTCACCTGGCAAGCTATTTTAAAAAATATTAAGTTTGGATGGATTTGTCTCTTAAAATAGTTTTATTGAAAAACTAAGTGGAGTTTTAATTTGATGTTGCAAAGATAAGAAAAGTTCAGTAACTTTCTAGAACCAAAATCAAAATTTGCTCCAAAACTCAAAATATCTAGGGGTCTGTTACATCCACTATGATTGTGTAAATTGTAGTACCATGGGTTGTCTGTCAGATTTCGAAAGCGGACATGCACTCAAAAGCGGTCGCCACATCCGGCGTATGGATATCATTGCTTCAAATAGCATGGTTTTGATTCCCAGGTTGTACGTGACAAGGAGTAGGGTCGACTGTCCAACCTCGTGGGTTTTCTCCAGGTTTTCTCCGGTTTCCTCCCACTGCTAAACACCCCTATGCGCATGCGAATTGTTGAAATAAAATAGAACCATATGTTAGTCCCGAAATGACCTAGTTTGTGTCGAGTGGTCGTTGAACCCCATCTCACTCTTCTTACTACATATCTTGGAACAGCCCTGGATCTGGTTGCATTTGTAATTCTTTAACTGGTTAGGACGTATCTTTAAATTTTTCTTTAACATCTCACGTTGTGTATCTTTAAATGTCATTCTGACATCCCACTTATCAGTCCCAAAATATCGTATGATAGAAACAAAAGTATGTTTTCTACAGTTTTATATCAAGCAGGATACATAGTTAAAAGCATACATTTATAATAAAGTCATTCTCTACTCTCTCAACCCCACCAGTCTGTAGAACGAGTTTACTGACGGATCCCACTACTCATATGGCTCTCCTATGACTTAACGGGGCATTCTGAAACCAGATGGTGTCCCTTGAACCTCAATGGTTTCTCCTGTCGTAGAATTCACCTGGTGTCTACCCTAGAGTGCACATTCTATTAATTATATTACTCTCAGATTCACAGCCATTAATTATTCTATTGGCTAATTATGATGTGATTGGTCACTCATGCCAAATATGGAATGGTAACTTTCCTATCGCATTTTTTTAGACATAGAATTTACCCTTGGCATTAGACCCCTTTTCCTGTTTTTCTCACAATATTTCAATAAACAATTTAATTTGCATTTCAAATAAACTCATATCATAGCTAATATTTTGACAATGGAAAATAATTAATCAAGGCCATAATATTATTATACATATGTGTTTTGCACAAATCCCAACATCCATATTACTACAAAATGGCAAAAATTTTCTGTGCCATTTAAATGACTTCACAACTGTCAAAGGGGTTTTTAGGCTTACATATTGAGGAATTTAAATCTTTGATCCACATGTTATAATAATGATTTTATAATGATATTCACATCTTATAATTTGTTATCTACTTACAGGATAAGAGACAAGAGTTGCATGATATTGCTGGTACTAATATTAACTCATTTCTTTGTGTTCCTGTTCGGCGGAAAGGTGGCGAAGATCTTATTGCACTGGCATGTGTTCTAAACAAAAAAGGTGCAGATAGGTTAGTAAAGAAAGGGTACTTTATAGGGCATCATGGTGAAATCAGAGGTATTTAGTTCATGTGATATCTGTTGAATGTCTGAATGAATTAGTAGTCTTCTGATACTGAAATCAAGGTAACTCAACTGGGTCTAAAACACTGATTTAGAACGCTTATATCAGGTAATTGTCCCCCGCTTTTCTATTAAAATGGTTCCGTCCGTTTGTCACACTTTTTGGGACACAATAACTCTCCTTGTAATTGAGGTAGAATGTTCAAACTTGGTGTAGGTGTTTATTAGGTGAATGTCTTGACAGTGTTCGATTATGAGCATTTTCCACTAAGGCTAAGCAGAGATAAGCAATTTGATTGGTTGAGACTTTAGATTTAGAACACAATAACTTTGGTTCTAATTGGGTGAGAGTGATGATACTGAAACTTTTTTCTTAAGTAATAAGTAATTTGTTTGTTCAAGTCTTTGGAACGTAAAAACTCAGCTTTTAATTGCAGTAGAATGTTTAAACTCGGTGTAGATGTTCATTAGATGACTGTCTTGACTGAGTTTGATGATTAACATTTTCCGCTAAAGTTAACCAGAGCTAAGCAATTTCATTAGTCGATGCTTTAGGACAAGATAACTTTGATTCTAACTTATTTATGGAGAGTGACAAAACTTAGAGTGTAGAGTTCAATCGTGAACATTTTCTGCTTAGACTAAGAATAGATAATCAGTTTGATAACTCAATGTTTTTCAAACAAATGAATGTGCAATTAATTAATGTGTCATCTATTTATTTTGGGATTGCGACAGGAGCATTAGCCGCACTATTGGCTTGTTTTCAACAGTAATGGCCGCTCCGCAAAGGACAATCGGCGAGATATTATGAAGCTGTGGAAAAAGAGAAATTGAATGAATTATTCCAGGGGAATTATTCACAAAAACTTTTAAAAATGAAAATACATTAAGGATGCAATCTGATTATTAGCTTGAAGTTAAAATCCGGTCAGGGATTTTAACTTTTTAAGCCAATAAAAATACCACATAATGTTTTGGTTGATGTTTTCATGGAAAAGGCCACAAGACTTACTTAATTGGTTTTGTGAGAATTTATACAGAATATTATAGGATAGTTATACTAATTTTGATTAAAATTTCATACAGAGAAGTTATATCATGAAAGGTATATATGTATGTACTAGTATGGTACATGTATGTGATGCATATTAAGAGATACAACTAAAATGTACAGGTGGGATTAAATGTCAAAATATTCTTTGAGTTTTTCATACAGATTTAACCAGATTATTCACTTAATCATTCAGGAGAATTTTGCGAAGTTTTATATGAAACATTTAGTTTCATTTCCTGTGTCTGATAATAAAAGGATTCAGTGTCAATAAAACAAGTAATTTTTTTACATGGCTGGATGACTGACAGTTGATAATTATTACCAGAATATGAGCACAAATATAATAATAAAATAACTTGGAATGTGGGGAAAACATTTAGTGATGAAGCAATTAGATAGAGATGGAGAAATTCATTAATTAATTTGATTTAAAAGGATGATATCTCTGTCTATTTGATTAACAAGGAACTATTAAGTGGATGTATTGATGTCGAAATCATTAATACAAGCACTAAATTAATGTATTGTCTCATGGCAAAGACTTATTATATTTTTAGATGATGATCTATTGCTTTTTGAAATCATTATCATCTAGACATAATGAATAGCATGTTGTTGAGGAAGAAAATTTGTTAGCTTTTTATTGTGGATTTAGCAAAAAAGTTGAAAAGTTAAGATTGAGAGCAATACAACATATTTTTTTTCAGATTTTGTGGTGATGATGCACAAGCTATAAGGAAATGTTTTCAGTATACAGCCACCGTATTGACCAGTACTTTGGCATTCCAAAACGAAAGAAAATTAAAAAATCAGACTCAGGTATGCAGTTCACAACTTAAATTAGATTTGAGGTGTAAGGCCGGTTTTTCATGTACCGGTACACATTTTCATCTTGGTCAGTCTAATTCAAATGTAATGGGACCGTTTCTATGTAACCAGCGAAAATGCACGTGGAAACGCGAACATGGAAAACAGGCTTAAGGCATCATATCATATTACCAATTATGGGTCCGTTGTATACATTGTGATAATGTCAAATATCTATGATTCACTTCTATTTAAAAAAAGCAACATAATATACATACTGATGAACTGACATATTGGCAATGACTTGTTCCATTATGATAAAGCAGCGTGTGTGCTGGACAGAGGACCATTTGATAATGGCTTGTGTAATACTTTCCCTATGCTTACCGATGCTTACTGACAAATAGCAATAAGATATTGTATTATAATCTGCTTTCTAACCACTTAATTTCATGCTTATGAAACATTAAATGTTATGCTGAGCACAATAAACTCAAACTATTATTTCCTGAGAATATTCATCATTGTCATGTGTAATTACTAGAACCTTACTTCAAAGAGATGTACACATTTTAGTTCACATGTTAAAAATTTGAAATTCAGATTACAAGCAAATTATATCTGTGCAATAAAAAATTGTGTAAAAGAATTTTGAGTGATGCATGCCCCACAAGTGTTTGTCAATTGATACCTACCCTTTAAAACAGTTGTCAGTAAGTCTTTATAGTTGAACAGGACAGGATAGCTGAGTCAGGGGTACACTGTTGTATGGCCTCCAAAAAATTTAAAATAAAGAAAATAAATTTTCTCAGAACTTGTTCCTTGTGCGGCTGTGAATGATTGTTGTATTTTTCCAGGTACTGTCCAAAATTATCATCTCTAATTAATTTGTTACTTTATCCAACTCTTTGTTAACCAGACATTTGAGCTCATGCTGGTCAATCATACTTGCATTCACCTAACATCTCTCCACTGTAAATGTGACTTTAAAGACATGAAAGGTTGTATTTGGATTAACAATCAGTTATAATTTATAAAAAAAAGGTTTTCCGCAAATCAACATATCAACGAATTATGAAAGATTGAAATTCGAAAATTTATTTCAACATGAGAAATGTTGGAAAAAAGATTCTATTTTGATGGCATTTTCTAGGGATTATGATTATATTTTCAATGGAGGTGTGTTTTTAAATGAAAAAATAAACAAGCTTTATATATTTAGAAATATTAACAGGTATTTTGATTGGAATAGTGTAGTTTGTTTCAAACGATAACAAAAGTTCGAACAATGACAAATGTGCTTTGACTTTGCCGTGCGCGAGTGCAATTATTTAGCAGAAGATGTCACTTGTCATTGTAGAGCGACGGTTACTGACAATTTTTTTCTTTTGGGATGTGATTTTTTTTTTACTTTCATATATATAAGTCGAAACAGAGTATAAGATGAGGACTAACTTCCGCGGAAAAAATCAATCTATACCCTGAAAAATATGGTACTCTGTTTAAAGAATTAGTAGTAGTGTATCAAGGCTCGTCTAAGCTTGTATTATATTATATATTTATGGTGATGGATTGTTAATATATCATGTATTCACAAATTTCAGGCTTTATTGCATGTTGCAAGAAAGTTATTTACACGCTTAGGTGAGTATTTGTATATATTTGGAACTGCACATAATGATTATCCCTACGTAAAATGTGGATTGTATCGTATGAATATTCATAGTCTTAGACCACCTTATGTTCGGTTACACATCCCAGAGGATAATGAAATGGATTCAATACAGTTTGCACAAACCATTGCAAAACAATTAAAATGTCAAGAAAAGATAGCTGACTCTCTTATAGCTGATGCAAAGTCTGGAAAGAAATCAAAATACAAGGTTTTAGCCAAGTTAAAATCTACTGATAATACCAGACACACAACACAGACATCACCTTACACAAAACAAAAACCTGACATTCACAATGAATCTACAAAATGGTTCAGCCAGCCAACCAGTTCAAACTACCGAGGTTATCCACTATCTTTACCTCTCGAATCAGATTCGGAATCCGATACAAGAGTAAGTCCAACCAAATCCACAGATAGCGACATGGAAAGTTGTATTAGCAAAATGTATTCTCCTAAAACAGAACCTAGTTATGTCAGTGTTGGTGAAGAATTTTCCTCTCCGATGCCTTCAGCCCGTGCAAGTTATCAAGGTACTAGACGAATATCATTAACACCGAATTCCATGTGTTACTTCACAGACAATGATAGCGCTCCTAGAAGATATTATGATGTGTGGTCAGAGTTAGAAATTGATTTAAATGTTAAATCTAGTAAATCAGAAGCATGTATAGATAGTCACCATGATTTACCCGATGTTATTTCTACTCATCCACCAGCACAAACGTCATTTAGTGAACCGTTTATTCATAATAAACAAGACACTGATTCAATTTCCATAGACAGCCAAGAGGATTTCAACTTGGCTTTTCTTGATCAACAGCACTCAAACCATACTCTATCGAGTGTAGCCAGCAGTGAAGCAATGACAACACAGTCAGCTCAGAATCTAACTATTTTTGTGGAAGATACTGATAACAAGCTGTCTCATAAGTTTTCTATAAAAGATATCAGTTTAAAGAAAGTTATATCTATCAGCAAACTTCATATAAACCCAAATAAGACTCTTCGAAAACTTCTGGCATCCTTCCCGCCCAAGTCGCATTATATGCAGAAAAATCAAGCTCCAAGTGTAATTGTCCAAGAAATTTTGGAAAGTAGGTTTTAATTTTGGAAAGGAAGTTTGGTCACGTTCTGAGTTCACAGTTAGTTGTCTCTTTCTCATTTGAGACTTTTTGTTAAAATGTTCAGATGATGAGCATAGTATGGTAATGCTCATTATTGTTTAAGAAAATTGCTGTTTTTATACTTCCACATTTTAATCTGGTTCTATATTGTCATCACCATGTCCGCCCATCTGTTTGTTGTTTACATAGCACAGTAGATGCTACAATAATCCATATATCTTTTTGAAATTGATTTAGGTTGTTTGTCTGTCTATCCTTTTGAAAGAAAAAACACACAAGTTCAATTTCAACAAATTTCGATAATAACTTCCTGAGATTTTGCCCTTATGATCTGATGTTTCTAAAATACATATTTGTTGTCTATTATTGATAAGAAGAACCCTATTCATTTTTGATAATTGAAAATTATTTCCTTTTGTTACGAAATCTTACAGATGAACCCTATTGATTTTCTATAATTAAGAATAACTTCCAGAGTTATTCCTACTTTGTAAGAAAAACACCTTAGAGGCTTAGCTGCTGGTGGGCATATATTTTGGTACCTGGCAACCTATGTTTATTTATTGAAATATTTTTCGTTTTACATGTTTTAGCATGATAATTTTTCAGTGTTCATGTGTTTCGTTAAGAATTCTTTCTTCTTTTTTGAAAAGTAGACAAACACTAGATTGGTGACGGATTAAACTGGTAGCCTTCTAGTCTTATGCCATTTTCCATCATAAATTTATTGTGCAATTAATAAGATTTACCAATATTTTGTAAATTGTCCAAATTTATGTTTGCAAAGGGATTTAATCAGATTCATTTAGCTTATTTTAAAAACAATGAAATTATTAAAATTAGGAATTCTCAAAGTGATATATGATACACTTGATATTTTCAGATGATTTAACCAAATTGTTAAGAGAAATTATGCAAGAGGCCAGAAATCTGACTCAAGCTGAAAGGTAATTTAACTATATTACATATCTAAGGTAAAAATTGATTTTTTTCATGTTGCCTTAGAAGTTTATATATAGTAGATTAATATTAAATACAGAGGATTGGAAGAGATAAATATATTTAATATTGAGAACTGTGAATATTTTGTATGTTAAGGTGGTGGAACCTGAATAAACTATGTAGTATTAAAATTTGACACTTGATTGCATGGTCTGTACACCTTCCAGGCAGGTGTTCCATTAGTTGAATCCCAACTGGAGCTAGGTCTACAGTTGTTACATTTATCTTGTGTGTGACATCCAGACCTTGCAACTCTACCACATCACGCGGGGAGCCTAATTAAATCGACCAATGACGATATTAGTTATTATGCAAAACAATTATTTTTACGGTTCCACCTCTATTCCTATTGTAAAAATACTATAAAATCTGATAAGCACACCAGTTATCTTATATGAAACAATATTGAGAAAAAACTCGAGAATGAGGAAGACAGGGATATTTTTAAAATCATGCTAGCTAAGTGGTAATTGTAGATTATATTTGACATTATTTCTTTCTGTAGACTACATATTTAATTTTTAAATTATAGTCATTTGATTAATTACATAAATTTTATTTTGTTACCATTGCTTGTGTTTATTTTATATCTATTACCCATTTAATACAATTTTTGTGTTGTTAGGCCTGTAGTTCAATGCTTCATTGCTAAATTAATTACGCTTGGAAGTGCAAATTTACGCACATTTGGAAATCTACTACCAAATCATGGTTTATTCTGCATTATATACACTAATCTACTGCATTGCGGCTCTGAGGAGGGGGGTTGGATGGCTGAATGGTTAGCGTGTGCGCGCTGTATCATGAAGTCTGTCATTGAGTCGACTGGCATGGTTTCGAATCCCCGGTTGTACGTGACAAGGAGTAGGGTCGCCTGTCCAAGCTCGTGGGTTTTCTCCCACTGCTAAAGACCCCTACGGGCAAGCGAATTATTGAAATATAAAATTAAACCATATGTTAGTCCCGAAATGACCTAGTTTGTGTCGAGTGGACGTTAAACCCCATCTCTCTCTCTCTCTCTCTCTCTCTCTCTCTCCCTCTCTCTCTCGCGGCTCTGAGGGGTTGACTGGTTGGTGACATCCTGAAATATTACCACCCCAAATATCACAAATGTAATGATTTTTACCTTTATAAAGTTAACATAAAGATTTAGCATTGATTGTTGTTGTATTTTAGATGTTCTGTGTTCTTAATTGATGAAGATGAACTAGTAGCTAAAGTTTTTGATGGCATCAGTGCTGGAGAACAGCAGGCAAGTCTATACAGTATATAAGATAAGATAATTTATTGCATAAAACACCCAGTTACCCACATGGGGCAGCATGGTAAATAACACTTCTCAGTAGCCTTTTTGTCAGACCTAGTGAACATGGCAACTACCGTAATAGTAAGTGCAAAAGATTTAAAAATCAGAAAAAATAAAAATCACAAACAAAAACGGAAGCTTATGAATAAATTTGAGAATGTAAGATTATTACATAGGAAAAATATACTTATATTGTTGTTAATCGATAAGATATCATTTTCAGTTTGATTGTTTTGACTTGTGCTGTAATTTCTTTTGTAACTTGTATACTAAAATTGTATTTATTTATAAATTTAGATTGAACAAGAAATTATTTTACCCAAAACCCAAGGAATAGCAGGTCATGTTGCTACTTCAGGTGAGATGGTTTCTAGTTGAATAAATAATGTACGCTGTGTTTTTAAAGGAAAGGTACGACTTACTAGATTAGATGTACATACAGTACTATTTCCTAAAAATCAACTTCTGTGGACGTGTTTGCCAAAGTGTATTACTTTGAGAATTAGTGGCTGTGGTTGCCATGTGGAATTTGCTGGCTAAATGCTGTTATAATGGTTAAATTCACATTAATCTCCACTCTTGCATTGTACCAGTAACTATGAAAAAGCAGCACATAGGACGAAATAGTTAAATGGCTGCAACTGTGATTGTCTGTCCCAAAACCCTACACAATAACAGAGAATTTGAGTAATATGTAAGATCTATGCACCAGTAAAAGTTTTGTACACACAGAAACCAATATGTGAGGTGCACAATTCAACCATAGGTCGGACATACAATGCAAGTTTGGTGAAGATGGATGCAGCCGGCCAGATGAACAATCCATAGAATGACATTTCTATGACACCTGGACATTAGTGAATTCAAACACTTAGGGTTAAAGGAGCCTTTGTTATTTCATTATACTGTTGTGTTATATTATATGCAAAATAATTGAACAGTTTGTTAGTGTTTATCAACTTGTTTTTGTTCAGGTCAGTTATTGAATATAAAAGATGCATATTCCCACCCCTTGTTTTATAGAGGTATAGATGATTCTACAGGGTTTAGAACTAGGTATGTACTCGTTATTTGACAATTTTGCCAATAGATTCAGGTGCAGATGAAGTACTGTATGTTGTGAAATTATTGCCTGCTTGAATGTAATTACTAACAGGAGGTTATACCTTTCATTACTGGTAACTATGGTCACTAGCTTCCTGTGCTCATTTCTAGGTTGTTCTAATAATAAAATGGAACCGGACACAAAAAGGTTTAACTTGTGTGCCATGACCTAGTGATTGGGGGTTCACATAATGACAATTCGCTAAATTGGCCAATATGGTTACCAGCTTAATGTGCCTATTGCAATAATTTTACTTGGACAATCCTAATAGATGCCCCACGAAAGTATGTAGTGTGTAATGACCCAGTGACTGGTCCCCACATAATGAAAGGATCAATTTGACTTTTAAACACAATAACTGTTTCTAATTGAGGATGAGTGATGAAACATAGTATATAGCTAATTACATCATTGACTAATATAAGTTTAATAATGAAAATTTCTGCTTAGGTTAGGCAGAGCAATAAGTAATTTGATTGCTAGATGTTTTATGAAATGATAAATCCAGTTATTACATGAGTGTCATCTATTCATTCTGAGATTGAGGCATGGGACGTCAGTCTCACTGTTGTCTTGTTACCTTTTGAGTCATCCATAGAGATCCATCTCTGCAATACATTATTTCATTAAATAAATCCAAGCAAGTACTATTTTTATCATGGATCTGCATATTTCACTCAAAGAATCAGGTTATCTGTTATCTAAGGCGTTTTTACGAGAAAACAAATCAGTTTCGATTACCTATCTCGTTTTGTACAAAGACATAGGTCTCAAGTTGGTATTCGAATCGGCTCTCGTAAATGCGATGAGTTTCCTCGCAAGATGGCTGAAGACTGAAGAATTGAGGAAAAATGTTTAAAAAAATCAATTTTTTTTTATTATGTTCTTGGTGACACTGCCCAAAAATAAAAACGAAAAGTTGACTGTCCCCAAATGCCCCGCATTTTTATTAGGAATGTCCATAATATTCATATTTTAACATGAATTTCAAAAGAAAATGATCTAACGTCGGGCACGTCGTGTCCCTTGTTGGGGACACCATCTTGGAAATTGAATCGTCAATCCGGCAGGCGAGCAAGTTGGAAGATTTGCATAATCGATTTGGCAAATCGTTATCTAAGGCGTTTTTACGAGAAAACAAATCGGTTTCGATTACCTATCTCGTTTTGTACAAAGACATAGGTCTCGAGTTGGTATTCGAATCGGCTCTCGTAAACGCGATGAGTTGCCTCGCAAGATGGCTGAAGACTGAAGAATTGAGGAAAAATGTTAAAAAAATTCACTTTTTTTTATTATGTTCTTGGTGACACCGCCCAAAAATAAAAACGAAAAGTTGTACCAGTTGACTGTCCCCAAATGCCCCGCATTTTTATTAGGAATGTCCATAATATTCATATTTTAACGTGAATTTCAAAAGAAAATGATCTAACTTCGGGCACGTCGTGTCCCTTGTTGGGGACGCCATCTTGGAAATTGAATCGTCAATCCGGCAGGCGAGCAAGTTGGAAGATTTGCATAATCGATTTGGCAAATCGTCGTGGTAAATACGACAATTAGGTGAAACCGATAGGCTAATTTTTGCCGTAAATGTGTTTGGAAAGGAAATGCAAATCGATTAGCCCTAATCGGTTTCTCGTAAAAACGCCTCTAATTTATGGTTCATATACAAAGTATCATTTCAGTGTTGGTCATAGAAATCCCTGCAGCTGGAAAAAAATCATGTTAGTGTTGAAATGACATGTTTGTCTTGATTGGACATCAGACTTCCTTCATTTTTAATCACAATTTGTTATTAATTTTTGCATTTCAGAAATATTTTGTGTTTTCCAATTAAAAATGAAGATGGTAAGTACACACACACACACACATTTAATCTGAGACACTGTGAAAACATGCCACTGATACTGGAAAGCTGGACATTTTTCGACACAAAAAAATGAACAGCCCATGGAGACAAAATCAACTTTGTTTTACAGTTAGAAGGTGTGTGTTCACTTCTATTCGCAACATCAACACATGAAGGTTGCTTGTGGGATGCTTCAGCACTCTCATAGCAGTGCTGCTTACATTGGCTCTGGTACTCGCGTCCTCTTGAATTAATGCAATTGCGCGTTCTCAGTCTTCAGGTGTCAAAGTTGGCATATTGTTGTGTCTACTGAATAACTGTGAGAGTTGTACTGACCCTAGCTTTTTAAGAGCCACATTCTATACCCCCATGTCTGAGAAATAATGTCTACACCATAAACGTCCATTTATAGAAGTGGTGCATTCTCATTTTGTCGCAGTATACGCAGATGACACTCAAATCATTGACAGCTTTCAGTCCTCAAACTACAAAGACCCCTTCAATAATACTGAATTCTGCACGAAAAACATAAAAGCCTGGATGATGAAGAACATGCGAAAGCTTAATGATGACAAAACAGAAGTCATGTTAATCAGTACCAAAAAACAGTTGTCCAACATAAATGAAACTGTTATTACAATAGCTGACTCAAAAATCTCTTGTTGATAATATTAAAGATCATGGTGTCTATTTGGATGCGGAGCTTTACATGGAAAAGCCGGTTAATCATCTTCGCAAGACCTGCTAATTCCATCTGCGATCCATTCATCAAATACGTAACCTAATCTCAAAAGATGCCACCCATACATTGGTTCATGTTTTAGTATTATCAGGAATTGATTACTGCAATAGTCTTCTCTTGGATATCAGTCAAAAACTTATTAATAAATTACAGCTGGTACAAAACACCGCAGCTTGGATTGTTTTTCAGTCCACCAGAAATCATCACATAACACCACTCCTGAAAGATCTTCATTGGCTTCCTGTCAAAAGCAGGATAAATTTTAAACTTATTTGTATAGCTTATAAATGCTTTAATGGAACAGCACCTATTTATCTACCGGTAAATAGCCTGCTAACAAACTACAAACCACAAAGAACTCTCAGATCGCAGAATAATAATAATAATAAGTCTCAATTTGTATAGCGCAAAAATACTTTATGGCAGTTTTTATTGAATGAATACCTTTTAACTGTACCTACTTATAAACTTAAAAGGGGGGTTGGATGGCTGAATGGTTAGTGTGGGCGCGCTGTATCATAAAGTCTGTCATTGAGTCAGCTGGCGTGGTTTCGAATCCCCGGTTGTACATGGCAAGGAGTAGGGTCGCCTGTCCAACCTCGTGGGTTTTCTCCGGGTCCTCCGGTTTCCTCCCACTGCTAAAGACCCCTACGCGCAAGCGAATTATAGAAATAAAATTAAACCATATGTTAGTCCCGAAATGACCTCGTTTGTGTCGAGTGGACGTTAAACCCCATTTCTCTCTCTCTCTATAAACTTAAATCATTTGGACACAGATAGCTTTCTCCTACATAGTACCTCTCTCTTCCTTTAGGAATTAAGAATTCTAAGAGCTTGGAAACTTTCAAGTCACAATTAAAAACATATCTATTTACTTTATCATAATAACTCTTCCAATATGTGTATATGTGAAGAGCTGATAACTGCGCCATGAGCACACGAATGAAATGTGCGCGTTATAAATATTATAGGTAGTCAGTTGATTATTCCAGATTCTGTAAATAATGAATTTCTTGTCTTCAGTGGATAATTGTCCTACACAAATTCATTAAGATGTGATTTATTTTATAGAAATGGTGTTGGGTGTGGCTCAGTTATGTAATAAGAAAACAGGACCATGTTTTACACAGTTTGATGAAGATATTGCTTCAGCTTTTGCTGTTTATTGTTGTATTAGTATCAGTCATGTAAGTTGACATTTCCCTTTATCATCTGTTATCTTATTCCAAAAAACTAATTTGGCCAATCAAAAACACAATGATACACGTGATCTTGTAATAATATGCAGATAATCTCTTAAAATGAACATTAAGCCATATGTGGATATACTCTCTGCTAACTTTACGCAAAATGTCTTAGATTAAATTATGACTTGAAAACATGATAATGGAGATTTATTTAGCCTCACAACTACATTGTGTTAACATGAAATATGAGAATTGTGAAATTAAGTTAATTATTTAATTGTAGTAAATGGTGTTACTGAAGGTGTCTAGACAGTATACATCACTTCAAATGTAAACAACTTTGTATTCAATGTTAAAAAGATTTGAATAATACTTTCTATCAGTATGTCTAGATACATATAGCAAGGAAATTTTATAGCATTCTGCATTGTACATATTTCTCCAGTATTCGAAAAGGACGGAAATCAGGCTGCTGTGTCTTGTGACTGAAATTCTTATTGTAACATATTGTGATACAGCCAGCATATTGGGATAGCCTAGGTATTAACAATAAATGTTTTAGAAATAAAAAAAATAGTTTTATATAATAGATGTGGCTTTGAATAGGAACAATTTTGCATAATTCATGTCATTTTAATGGGGGCAAAAAATGCAATGAGCTTCCTTGCTTTGTTATGCATTCTTGCGTTTTACCATTTCTTTTTATCAGTGATTATCTTTCAGCTATGGTTTCAAGATTTTGTCTTTTGAAAACTAGATTTAAGATGGAGATTATTTATTCGCAGATGTTCATTTTGAGCTTTATTTACAGAGAAATATGCTCTATTGCTGATAATTTCCTATTAACTTTCCAATAAACAGAGTCCTATTATAAGAAATAAATCAATGGTAGATATTTTTAAAAGAAAATTGATATAGATCAGTTTAAAATAGAATTTCAATAAGAAAAACTTGGCCATTGCAACAGCAAAATCTTTGTTGTTATTGACATTCATAGAAAAATTGAATTTTCAGTCTCTGATGTATCAAAAGATGATCGATGCTCAGTCCAGAAACAGTTTAATTAACGAATTAATGATGTATCATATGAAGGTATATAAAACAGGGCATGATTACCTGGACTGTAGTGTCAATATTTCCCATTAGTGTCTCATTACCTGGTCTTATTTATTTTTAGCTGTATTGAGTTTTTAATCCATTAATTCTTTTTTAAGTGTATACCTTTTAAAAAAAAATTTAGTTTGTTTCATTTTAACAGTATTTACATTAATTTATAATATAGAACATTTACTTTGGTTTTGATTCTGATATACATCAAAGTATTTTCGATTTACAAATGGCCGATTGACATATCCAAAATATTAACTCAGTGTTACTAAGTTTGGTTCTACTATGAAGTTATACTAGTTGAGTCAAAGGGTACTTCATTAGATCTGTTCAGAATCAGACACTAAAAAAACCTTAAAAGCTCCAGTTTTTTGTGTACAGAAATTGAAATGAAAGTAGATGTTGTAATCCTATATATATTTGTATCCTTATTTTTATTATTTCTAGTGGTTACAGTAGCTGTAGTATTTTTATTTTCATCTTTTTATTGGATTTTGTTTTTCTGTGGTATGTGTGTTTTGACCCCGTCTTGTGTTTTCAGTGTTTAATGTATAGAAAGACACAAGAAGCACATCATCGTAATAGACTAGCTAATGAACTCATGATATTTCACATGAAGGTTAGTTTTCAATCTTTAGTTTGCACCCTTTATTTTAAAGGGTAGTTTACACTGAATTTGCATTCTATATCAAAAGCGCTGATCGTCATTTGGATTATTTTGATTACTTTGTAAACTACAATATTGTGAATTTCTAAAAGGAATATTGTGTATTATGAATTGAACATTTCTCAACATTCGGCATCTACTGCAGACAATTCTGTTTAGTATTTACAAAAATTTAGCAACATTTTCCATCCCCTGCAGACATTAAAAACAATAAACAAAACTCTTGATGGGCATCTTTCATTTTTGTCCGATTTCATCCAACCTGAAAGATTACCTTCTGTTGATATTTATTTTATTTTCTTAATTAAATGTCAAATAATCAAGTACATTTTAACTTGGGTTATACCATTTAAAAAAAGGCAAAAAGTTGCATGATGCGGAAGATTGATATTAACATTACAATGTTGAGAATGTTTATTGCTTTTTTAGAACTGCACAATAAAAAAAACCCTAATTAATTTTGTATCGTGGTTACATACGGTACCACAATCCTGAACAATAAATAAAGCTAATAAAACCTCATATATTTTCTCCTAAAAATTGCTGGAAAAAAAGTCTTCAATTTCATGTACCCGTACTTTCATTTTTTTGACATACATAATAGTGTAAACTTCTCTTTATTGAAACATTATTTATAGTTTTCTTGTTAACATTCTTGAATTAACATACAAGTATCAACAGTAAAACAACTTTTCTTCTCTGTGAGAAATTTAATCCAGAATAATATATATTGATTCATCCTAGTATATTATGTTATAAAGGTAAGAGTGTGCAAAATATTATAAGATTGATAGTTGATCTAGTATAGAGGAAATCCATCCAGTGAATATTGATATTAAAACGTAAGTAATGTGAAAAGCCCATCTACAAAATGGTGGAATTACATCTATTTTAACATGGTAAATGCTTGCTTTTCAAATACTAAAAAAGAAATTCAGTAACCTTTATGTGTAATGTATTCAAAAGAATTTTAGATATTGTTGATTGATAAATGGTAGTAAATTTATTCATTTTTGAGTATGTACCTTTTCTTATTTTTTTATGTGCATGTATTTTATTACGGTATCCAGTTTTTACCACTTATTTTAATATTGTATCAATGAATAGCAACCTACTGTAAGCCAAAGTGAATACGGTCTCAATTCTCATTACAATCAGAAATATTTTGACTTAAAAGGTATACGACAGATGTGAAACATCAGTTATCTTGACTCTTAACTTTTTGATCAGCATGTGGAAGTTATAGTAAATCATGCTTTTATTATTAGTTAAAATTTACCACAAATTATTAATTGAAATCTAAGATGTTGATGAGCCTACCCAGAAGATGCATGTACTAGCTAGGTTCAGTCTTGAATATTAAATTGTGCCGTTGAGTAATTACCAGTGGGAACACATTTTTAAGGAACCATTGCCACAATTGAGGATCTCCAGAAATTTCAGCATTGATTTCAGACTATCCTTGAAAATACAGTGTGCATGTCTCCTTACAATGAAATTTGGGTTTCAAAGTAATATGTTTCAAAGGTTCTGGACAAAATAATTAATTGGCATATTAACTTTACAAGAGTTTCCGGCAGTTGCATTTGAAAGTAACTATTGTCTATTTAATTGGGGCTATATTTTTACATATAATATAGACCTACCATAAGCATAAAAAATGCTGGAGTCAATAAAGTTACCTCAGTTAACCAGACACAAGACCGTACAAGACAAACTGCAAATACCATATTTCAATGGAACATTGACAGCTCACAAGGTCAGCTTTTGTATCCATTCCAAATTGCATCATTCAACACAACTGAAATATCTTGTATTTATAAACAATTATGATGTTTATTTAATGCAGGTAACAGATGAGGAAGTTACATATCTAGATGTAGATATTAAGTCAGTCTACGATATTCATCCAGATTTTGATCAGTTCAGCTACGCACCTAGAACTTTAGCAGAAGAAGAAACACCAGGAGTATGTAATTTGTATAATATGTTGTGGATATCTAGTATTTTTGTACTGGTCTTAAACGAAGCTACAATTTGATTGGTTGATAACTGTGTTTCTGATGAATATAGTTTGATAAAACTTGGCATATACCTCCATTATAAATAGTCATGCACCTAATATTTTGAATTATAATGCCTGCTCATTTTCAATCTTTGAAATGCAATAGCGTGACTTCTAACAAACTGATATACTAGATTTGGACTATAACATTTTGATAATTCAGTATAAAAATCTGTCACATATGTTCGAAAATGAATGCCTTGCATGCATTTTAAATTAGAAGCCATCTGCAGTCTGTTTGACTGATGTTGTAGTGATCCGATATCAACTTTGAATATATTATATTTTCAGTGTCTATAACCCACGTTTGAACATTAATAACATCTGCACACATTTATTTAGCCTAGTGCATTCTGATTGGTCAATCATCTAAACTCTTAAAAGCTTGAGTTCAACTTATACAAAATCAATGTCACTGACTTCACATATAAAATAACCCTACTGTGATCTGATTTGTTAATGTAAAATTCACTGTGCCAGTGATCTCTCCCTCCTATCAGTCATTAGTGAAAGTCAAATTGATTGACTAGATATTGAGTAGGTCATCAAAGCGTAATCTGCCCGTTTCATTTATTTTTTTTAAGTTACTGTCTTTTTTTACAAACTAATTATTGTATAATTTTTTCAGGCATGTATGAGTATGTTTGAAGATTTAGGGTTCATATCGAAATGGAGAATAAAGAAAGATTGTCTTATTAGGTGAATTACTAAATAGATCACATTACAATAGACTGTTCTCACTGTTGCCATTGCACATTATTTAAAAGATTTAGAAATAGTTTACTTCCGTTTTTTCTTAGATGGTAATAAAATGGGCGTCATAAATCTGGAGGATATAGTCCCAGATTCTTCTACTTTAGTTTTATTAGTATGTATTTAAATCATCGTCACCTATAAAGAATTTTTAAAAGATACCCGGTATATTTCTGTTTTAAATTAATAATAATTTTTCTTCCAAAAAGCCCTAAAAAAACAACAAACAAGTGAAATTTGATTTAGACTGATTAAATAAAATAAACCAATGTTTTGAGAATGCTTTATGTCCATATCGGTGTTAAGTTTGGACTGCATGATCCAGTTTAATTTAATAATACATGATATTATTTATTTTCAGATTTGTGTTAATGGTGAAAAGAGGGTATAGAAATCCACCATATCACAACTGGATGCATGCTTATTCTGTAGCTCATTTCTGTTATTTGTTAATTAAAAACCTGAAATTAGAGGAAATAGTAGGGTAAGACCAACTTTCTCCCACATTCTCAATCAATAATGATTTCGATAACCATCTTGTGAGGCTTTAATTGAGCACTTTGAAATTCTTCTATGTTTTGGGTACCATCTCATTACATTACTTTTTCTGTTTGTTCTCCAGTCAAAATAATGAAATAAAGATTTGCCTTATCCCAGCCTTGAAATGACCTAGTTTTTATAAGTGGACTTTAACTTCATTTTCTCTTTTATACCTGTCTGTTTTTATATTGTTTGGTATATATTTTTGTGTTATATATTTCAGTGATATTCAGGTGTTTGCGTTATTTGTTTCGTGTTTATGTCATGATATAGATCATCGAGGTACAACCAATTCCTTCCAGGTCGAATCAGTAAGTTCTGCTTTCATAATTCATGATATTTTAACACTGTGATTGGCCTTCTTGGGTAAATAAATTAAAATATAATGAGTATGGTATGTTTGCATAAAGATCTAGATCATACTGACAACAGCTTTCAGTGATTGTCATGCCAGATAAAACCAAACATGCCTAATGTGTAAATGAATTGTTGGAGAGTAAATGAGTGGGTGAAGACTAAAGGGGGACAACTCTGTTTTGTTTTTAAAATTCTATAATTAACTGAAATTTGTTATGGCTCAGTTTAGTCTTTTCAATAATAACTGAAAGTATAGAAGGTATTTTGTAAAATTGTAATGGGCTAAGAGTGAGCCTAAGACAATGTATAGTTTTATGAATATGCCTTTAATTTTCAGCAATCAGTTCTAGCAGCTTTATACAGTTCAGAAGGCTCAGTAATGGAGGTGAGTATTGAAAGTTACAATCAGATTTTTAAGTATTCTGTTATCTATTATCTTGTTTATTTAGTTTAAAACTTGTATTCAATCTTGAAATTTTTCTACTACCTTAAATTATTTAATTGGAATTAACTTATTCTGCACATTAATATGTACATGTATTAGTACAGTTCTTTATTGATATGATTTCAGCGTCATCATTTTGCTCAGAGTATGTGTATTTTAAATACAGAGGGTTGCAATATCTTCGAAAATCTTTCCAGTATGGTATGTTCATTATTCAGTTTTCTTCTCTTAAAGAGCTTGATGGATTTCAACAAGTTTGGTAGATGTGGGGTGGTGTTTATTCAGATTTGTTTAAATAAATTATCATCCTTACATAAATTTTGGAAAAATGAAAAGACTGGGTCGTAAAGGACTGAACAGGACACAGGTACCACAGAAAGACAAATTTAAACACATTTTTTACATTTTATTAAAATTAGTATGGTTTAACCTATATAGCACTACATTATTATAATATTTCTTTGACCATCTATTTATTCAGATATCAGATTCTGTGGAAAATTCAAGTGAAATTAACTATTGAGATTACTGTTATATGAAACTTAATTGGGTAATTTGCATGTGACATTAACTAGAGAGAAACTGTGAAAGTAAGAAACCATGGTTTAAAAGAAAGATGACGGTCAACATACATAAAGAACTTGTATTATTTGTTTACTATATCTTTCAGCATTATACCCAGGTGTTAGATTTAATGAGAGAAATTATTTTAGCTACAGATCTAGCTCATCACTTGAGAATACTCAAATCCCTTAAAGAAATAGCTAACAGTAAGTAACACCTTTCATTGCTATAAATATTCATCAATTTATGAAAGAATTTAAAAAGTATTTTAGGTCCACTGTGAGATATAAATTTGAGTATTTTGTTCAGTTGAATTATTTATTTGTTTGAAAAACATACCAACCCAGCTAGCAAACAAAGGAACTTAATTTAATATGTCAACATCTAAATTTCTAATGATTTACATTTAGATGGTTATAATACAGAGAGTAGTAGAGATGTAAAATTATTGTTATGTTTATCAATGACATCCTGTGATTTATCTGATCAAACCAAGAACTGGAAAAACACCAAACATATAGCTGTAAGTTGATTTTAATCATAATAGTTACTCATTAGAGAAATATTCTGTTTTAAAGATGACTTTGGGTTTTTATTAATTGAAACTAATTTCTGGCGACATCTTAAGAAAAGAAATACTATCTAGGTTTTAACAAGTTTATAACATTGTGAAATTGGTAAATCTGCCACAATAGTACATCTAAGACGCATGTAGTGGTTGAAAAAGTAAAGCAGCATTTTTTCCTTGTTATGAATCGTAATAATAATAACAAGGTTTAACTATACAGAGCTTGGTTTTTTACATACTTTGTATCAAATCAGTTTCAACAATTGGCATTATTTGATCCTTTCATATTAGTAAAATTGTAATAATTAATATTACTATGTACGAGCTTATCATAATGTTTATAATTGCAGAGTTTAGTGTACCAAGAGTTCTTCTCGCAGGGGGATTTAGAGAAAGCGTTGGGTCAGAATCCATTAGAGATGATGGATCGTGATAGAGCTTGTATACCCGACTTGCAGATTAGTTTTCTAGATAATATAGCACTACCAGTATACGAGTAAGTTTTTAGTACACATGTATTTAAATATGATTGTGGCATAGAAAATCATAACTAATGAAAAGGTAAATTTTTTCAAAGAATTTAGTTTATCCCCTTGGTGCCTTCGGTTGAGTTTATTTGCAGTTAACAGAGCTTGTTATTTTGTAATAAATAAATCATATATTCTACTCCCACAAAAAAGCAAAATCAACGGTAGATAAATTCCATGCTTGGATTCAATTGGATGAAAGAGAGGCCCATCAAAACATTTTGCCAACACTTAAAGGTGACGCTGGCCTGTTTCAAAAAGTCTTAACAGATACAGGAAAATCATGCTGTCTAAAGATCTTGACCTGAGGTTATTATTTCAACATACCTAGTCACACCAATTGTGGCAAATTGTAACATCACATTGAGTTGCATTCATTTGGATTATCCAGTTAAGTGAATAGAACAGACTTTTGTACACACCGGGAGGCATTAAAAGTTTAAGTCAATATTAATCATGCTGGCTGACATTATGGAATGTTTATTAATGATTACTATTTAAAGAAAATTTGTAATATTAATTAGGTTACATGTATTTTCAGGGTGTTGGCTAAAACATTCCCACGTTTACAAGAAGTCTTACAAAATGTGTTAGAAAATAGAAGTAGATGGGAAAAGATTGGTCAGGTGTTAAAATTACGACGTGGTAATAGCTCCCAACAACTAACTGTAGAGCAAATAATTGCTCTGGATTCAGATTCGGAGGAATTTGAAGCTTTGAAACAAGCTAATGCTGTGAATGGACGTTAAATTTCTTTCTTAGATATTTGTGTTTAAAAAAAACAAGGTCTGTGTCTAGTTTAGATTAAAATGCTGATATAATTCCTTTCTAATTTCAGCCGTGCCTTTGCTATGCAGGAAATCTTGCAAAACTCTTTTTGTGTTTAGGCAGACTTTTTTCACATTTTGTTGATTTAATTTTACCACAGGTTTTTTTAAATGAATTTATTGCAATATTTTGCAGCTATTGATAAAGATTGTAATATTTGATAATATAACAATATGAATGCTTGCGCCTTAAATAAAAATTAATGTAAGCAATGATGATATGAAAGAATATTAATTTAAGCCTATAGTCAATGTAAACCTATGTATATATATATGACAGCACACTTCACACCATATACATGTGCTCTAAACCCCATTCACCAAATAAAACATTCATGTTGTATTATACTTCTCTACAAGCCACTAATTATCTCGAAGATGCATTTTGTAAGTGCTAAATCTGTTTATTGGAGGTATTTCTTTTGGCCTCAAATGCTATATAAACCATTATTTGGACATTTATTCACATGACAAGCCCATGATCAACACTCTAGACCATCGGTTCCTTGTCAGCCACATATACCACTGAAGATCAAGGGCTATGGAAAATGGATCTGACCCGTCAGTCATTTTTCACACCGGAAAAATAGCAGTCTAGACTATTAGATTGTCATGATTTTTAATGGATTGAAAAACGATCATCATTTAGTGATTTGATTTAACAAGCGGTGAAACAAGAGAACAAACTAAACAACTGATTTTTCTTACAATGAGGGGCCATAGTCCAAGATGTTACAGTCTGACCTGCGACAATATCAAAAGGAACCAAGATCTTTGGAATATAAACATATATTTTAAGTTTCATAAACAGTGAATAAAAAATGTTACCTCTAGGGGCTAAAAATGTGATTTTTCGTACATTCAGGGGTCATAATCCATGAAGTTACGGTCCGATATTCGTGAATATCGAAAGGAACCAAACTCTTTGGTGTATTATAAACATATATTTTAAATTTTATCAAAGTCGGATAAAAATTGTGACCTCTACTCTAGAGGGTCCATAACCTTAGTATTACATACTTTTACACTATTTGCATACAAGGAGCAGCCATTTTGTCAGGTAATTTCCATCTGATTATCACAGAATTCAAAATCAACCACCATCAAGGTGTGATGGTGATATATTTGAACGGTTTTTAAAATCAGATAAAAATTGTAACCATTATGTTACGGTCCGATATGTACCAATATCAAAAAGAACCGAGATCTTTCTGTTGTAAACATACATTTTAAGTTTCATCAAAATCAGATAAAACAAGCTGAAAACATGAAATTTCGTACTATCAGGGGCCATAATCCATGAAGTTACAGTCCGATACATGCCAATAAAAAAGGAGATAATGATAAAGATGTGGGCATATTAAAATGGATAATCGAGACTTTGCTTATTATCGTCACAATGGTAGCAATGAAAATTATAATTTCGCTCAGAATAGAGTAATTTGACTGAAATTTTCAATATATTCCTTTTTGCATTATCTATTTTTAAACTATTATAGTGAGAACTGTCAGCTCTTTATCTAAATCTTACATAATGTATCTTGAACTAAAATGAGGAGTTCTATTAAAGTGCTGTCCTGTACAAGACCTGAGCACAAATTCTTTTTCGAACAAAAAAATAGTTTAAATATCATAGTTTATGTATAAATTCCATTATTACATTTAGGAAAGTTCATATTACAAAAGATTTTAATACCAGAAATATCATATTATGACAAGTTTTCAAATAGTAATGAATATTACCGGTAATATAAAGTATCACATTTGCATTGATTTGGATGCTTTTCATGAAATCAAATAAAGAAATGTATAAATTAATTTAAATTATTTGCCTCTTTCCTTGCATAGCTTTCATTTAAACTTAAACTTGTTTCCATGACTATATTATTTAGTTTGGGGATGGCGATAATTTGTGATCTTGCTGTAGATGATATGTGATGTCCCTGTAGATTTTAATAGTGGCTGACTGGCTGGGATACATACAAAACCTCCCTTTAGTGTCAAATATTTGTTGTATTGTGTTCCTGCATAAACTCATCTACACCATTGTACATTTAGAAAGAGAGTAAGAACTTAGTTGGATTCATATAGTTAATTATGATTCTTTTACATAAGATATCTCATTTATTTCATGTCTAATAATTTGTTTATAATTATTAATTGTTAATATGATAGTATTGTTAATTAGTTATAATCACATATATACATTATAAATAGTATACATATTTGTTTTTAAATCTGTTATTAATAGATCTTTTCATTCTTTTACTTTATCATTTTTGATGTGTATTCTTCAATCTCTATATGTATCATTATAAAAAAAAAACAAATGAGGAACTCATTAGCAAAACAAGATAATCACCATTTCAAAACCATTGTTGTATGCCTTATCTTACTGAAGCAAAATAGTATTTTATTGAGTCCAAGAAAGACAAATTCAAAATTGTCTTACAAGTAATATTACTATACTGTTTTCAGAGAAAATTGATGGATTTACCTTGTTTTGCTACTAAATTCTTGAATGTAGAATTAGAATAAAGAATGTTTGTTCTTTATAAAAGGATGTACAATTCACAATAACCATATCGGTCTCTGTATACCTGGGCATTAAATTGCAGTATATCCTGAAATTGAAAGTAGAGCTAATATGCTTTTAAATTTGTGCATTTGTCGGAAGTTGCTTTTATTTGCTCATTATAGTATTTTGAAGACTATAACTACTGCACAAATTTATTTCATTAGACTATTATGTGATATACGTTCATGTCATCATTTATAGATTAATAATATATCAGAGCTATATTAGTACATTAAGAAGTATTAAATTTCTGTGTTTGTTATTAACTTATCATGTACTAACCATTTGAAATATTAACATTGTTACTTTTTTTTCTTTCTTTACAATACGTTTCTCGAAATAAAAATTGAAAGACTACATGATTTTTTTTCTTATTCTTGCTTGATACTCATGCATCTTCGGTTTTTTCTAGATACAAATCCTTTGTATTTTGGGGGTTTGGATGGCCAAATGGTTAGCGGGGTGCGTGTATCCTAAGGTCTGTCAGTGAGTCAATTGGCGTGGTTTCGATTCCCCAGTTGTACGTGACAAGGTCATGGGTTTTCTTTGATGGGTTTTCTTTGAGTCCTCCTTTTTTATCCACTGCTAAAAAACCCTACGCTATGCGAATTATTGAAATTAAATTGAACCATGTTAGTCCCGAGACGACAGTTCGTGTTGAATAGACATTAAATCCCATTTCTCTCCCTTTGTATGTCTTTTTGTGAGTTGTCTCCCCTTACTATAGATAAATTACTACCCCAGAGAGAGAAATGGGGTTAAATGTTCACTCAACACAAGCTGGGTCAGTTGTTTCAATAATTTGCTTGCAGTAGGGGTATGAGTGGGAGAAACTGGAGAAAACCCTACTCCTTGTCAAGTACAAGCAAGGAATGGAAAGCATGTCACTTGACTCAATGACAGACCTTATGAAGCCTATTCGTGCGTGACTCAACATCTTTATTGGCCAATAAAATCTGTTAGACCAATCAATGCATGTACATGTAGTCTTCATTTTCCTTATTTCAAGCAAAAGTTAAAGTAGTGGAAAAAATAAAGGGCATTATATCCAACTATTTTTCCCGACTCGTGGATTGATAATAACCTGCTCGCAGTAAGACCTTACCACTCAAAAATTATCCAGTCCTAAATGATAACCTCTCCTTATTTCTTGGTTAATCCTTACACATGCATGATGTCTAAGCATATTTATTGATGAATTGTGATTGGGTCTCATTCATGGCTGTACTATTTTGAGAGGTCTGTGTGTAACTTGTACTACTGATCAGAGACTGAATCCAAACTATAGGGGAAACAATATTTATTGTTACTATTCTCTTTTAAATCTAACCAGCGGTTGTCAAGCAACAAGTTAAAAAAAGCAATTTTTCTTACAATCAGGGGCCATAATTCAGGAAGTTATGGTCTAAAATGCGCGAATATTGAAACATTGAGATATTTGGGATATAAAGATATATTTTAAGTTTCATCAAAATCAGATAAAAATTGTGACTTATAGAGGGTGCACAACCTTGGTATTACATACTTTTACACTATTTGGGTACAAAGGGCGGCCATTTTTGTTCAGATTTTTTACGAAATTATAACTCAACCTTAATTGATGTGTAATGGTGATATATTAAAATTGATTACAAATTATGAATTCTAGTGGGTCAACAAGCTAAAAATGTGCGACTTTTCGAAAAAATCAGGGGCCATAATCCAAGAATTTACGGTCCAATATGTGCTAATATAGAAAGAAACAAGATCTTTGGGTAATAAATATACGTTTTAAATTTTTATAAAAATTGTGACCTCTAGGGTGTCCACAAACTAAAAACAGATTTTTCCTACAATCAGGGGCCATAATCCATAAAGTTATGGTCCGATACATGCCAATATCGAAAGGAACCGAGATCTTTGGGATATAAACCTATATTTCAAGTTTTGTCAAAATCAGATGAAAATTGTGACCTGTGTAGTGTCCACTAACAAATTGTGGACCTACGGATGTCCAGGGGTGACGGATGTCCAGGGGTGACGACAGTAGGGACTATACGTCCACATGAAAACGTGGCCATAAAAATTCTGCTATTGTCAGAAATGCACAGCACTTGGCTACAAGTAAACGGGACTAACTATAAACTTGAGGTTGACAGGTTAGGTAACCTTCATTATTCTATTTATTGTAAGATTATTAATCATTTCCTGCCAGTGCGCCCGAACGTCCCTTTTCTTCTCCCAGAAAAATTTTGAAAATTGACAACCGCAAACCCATTTTCCAAGCATTTCAGACCAAAGCAGAAGGCAAATTTTTGATTTCCTGATACAATTAGATAACAGAATGACCTAAGAGCACTACCATTAGATGAATTTGAGAATTCTAGTACACTTCTTTTTTTGTGTTGTTTGTCAGTCATTTTTTTCCTATCTTTTCTTTCTCCTGTCCTCTCCTTCTTTCCTCCCCCTCTCCTTTCTTTCTCTTTTCTTTTTTTTTTCTTTCTCTTTTTTCTTTTTTGTTTATAGGCTTTGGCCCACTTTTTTTTTAATGAGCTTAGGCCCACCTGTCACGGACAGGTGGACCCAGTCCGGCACTGTTTCCTGCATATCATTTATTCTTAATAAAGAAATATATTTCAATTAAGAATAATTTATGAGAGTGCAATAGATGATCCAATTAAGTTCCAGGGAATACATCTTTAATTGTCAAAATACATAACCACATATCATTCTTAATGTACCTAAATGACTAATCACAATTTCGGTAACCTTCATGATTTGCAATTTTAAAAATATAGGTTGCCAGGCAACGAAAAATGCCCACACAAGCTAAATTGCCTGTCAACAGGGTTGTCATATATTTTTTCTTTTGTAGATGAGAGCATTTATAAGCCACTGATAGCAATTTCATACCGATTGGATGATAACTTTTGTCGAAATGGCATTCACAAGTTTCTATACATTTCATACAGATCAGACGATTACTTATCATTAAAGCACTCACAAGGTTTAACAAAGTGAAACAAGGACCATAACTTTGGTAGTAATTTACGAAAATTGCTGAAATTCAAGAAGCTTCTTTGTTTCACCAATTTGAATGATGCATATAAATTTCATACAAATCGAATTATAACTTTTGTCATTAGTGCATTCACTAGGTTCTACAAAGTGAAAAAAAGGACCATAATTCTAGAAATAATAAACAGAAATTGTTGAAATTCAATAGCCCTCTTCATCTCACTAATGTAAACAACATCAATAAAAGATCTGATGAAAAATGTAGTGGGTAGAGTGTTCCCAAGAAATAGTGGATGACGGACAATTATATACAACCACATTTCCATATGGTCATATAAAAAGAGCTACAGCAAGTTTGATTTCAACAGGGTAGATCTTGCAACTTCTGCCATACAGATAATAGAAACAGGAATGCTAGTAAGAGCTTACCAATACTAAGTTGTTTAAGACACAAATGCACTTCAAGAAAGGAGTTATAACATACACTCTACACAAATTAGCTACTTTTGGAACCCACAACTTGGTTACCCAACATTTCAAATACACTTTGATATAATAATGCAGATGTTGTCAACTTAGGTCACACCCACTGTGGTTCATGAACAAACTTTCAAATAAAAGAGAAGAAATGATTACTAAACATTTTTTTATTTTTTTATTATTGCATTTTGGTCTGTCTTTGTGGATTGACCATATGAAATTAAGTAATAACATTCATTCATCCACTAAACAATTTCTTTAACTGTACAGAAATAGTGGATTGATTTTCCTTCAAATCTTAATATTGTGTTCATAACAGAAACTGGGCTACCATGCCTATACTGCCTAGATTAAGCAATTAATGACAACCCTAACAATCAAAATGGCAGATTTAAACAGATTTGTTTAGAAATGGTTTATCAATCAACTAGAACTTCTTTCCACATTAACTGTTTACTTTAGTAATATATTTTAAACATTTATAATGTATTTTTGTTGTTAATAAATTATTTACTTTTATTATAGTTAATAAATTATTTACTTTTATTATATACAAGCACATACACATAACTGTTTTAATTAACTAATAATCATTTACACCTAAAAGAATATAATACACCCATTCATTCTCAATGTACATGGATTACAAATTGTATAAATTAAAATATTGATAAAATATCTTTAACTACATGAATAATCATTTCTATGACTTTACAATACTCTCTTCTGTATAAAAACAATCACATATAATTATATACATTGACTAAAACATCCAGATCTACTTTATTGCGTAATTTAAATGTTACTAACACTCAACATTCTAATACATCCTTCTCATCAAATAGGTTAATAAGCCCCTTCAAAACCTTCCACTGGGTTAAAGTCTAAATGCAGTCTGTTGACTTGCCAAAATGTAAAAATATTTTGAAAACATCTTTCTAAAATAATTTAATATTTTGCATAATATAAATGATCTGTTATAGGAGATTTCAATTCAATACAACATGCTTATGATTACAGAATTCTTTTTTTTTTTGCGAGATTCATACAAATAAGTCCCTTTGATGATAAGATATATATATATATATCGAGACACAATGAAAATGCAGCATTGTAAATCTTATTTGGATGCTCACATAACCATCTGGAGACTGATCAATCATTTCCAGCAGACAGTGTCCACTAGAGATCAGCCAATGTCTGGTCATCAACCTGTGACAAAGCATTGACAAGACTGGCACATCATGCTACAACAACTACAGCAGTGCCTTTTCATTGTGTCTTGGTATATATTAAACAAATAGAAGTCATATTGCCAATTACAATAATTAAGTATACTATAACATTATTTGCTACAGACTTTGCACTATATTTTTATGATATCAACAATATAATAAAAATGTACATGTCCCATTTGGGGATCTATTGCTTGTCTTATCACAGATAATTTTTAAAACATTAAATGGAAATTAACAAATTTATGGATGGATAACAAGATGATGATGATTATTTATAATGATGATGAAATATTTTCTGTACAAGTAATTATGAATTATGAACAATCTCATTACAAAAAATGGCTAAAGGGACTTCTGTGAACAAGGCAAGTTTGTGTGGGGTTTAACTGTTTCACAAAGGTTAAAAACCTTTTTGATAAACATGGTAAGTCTGATGTATTTGGATGTCACAGTATAAAATCGTACCCTCTATACCACCAATGTCTATGTAATTTGTTGTAGTTCATATAAAATAGAACAATAAATGTTGATATGATAATAAATAAGTTGCCCTCCACATTGTGAGATCACACGCATATCTTTTGGTATTATACAAATAACAGTTTTATATAAAAAAAATAGCACCTGAAATTAAAAAGAAATACATGATCAGTCAATTATATAAGCAATTTTTAAACAAGAAGTTTGTATAAACAGATAAGTATGTGCTATACACATATGATACTTGATGATCGGGCACTCAGGGGAGTATTAGCACTATAAAGTTCTTTTATTTATGGTACATGTGGAGACTTGTTTCCCTAACAAGCGCTATGAAATTCACAAAAATTTAATGCGCTCTTTTTAGGATAGCAGTCAGTACTCCATACACACACAGCAATTAAATACTGACTGCCAATGTTTTAATTTAATTAGACAGTTCCAGTAAAAAGATCTTTGAACTTACCTAAATATCGTCATGAGTATTGTCTTCGCTTATAGTTGGTAAGCCAGTTTCACCATAATAACTAGGTCGACACCGCATTTTAAAGAATAAACTATTACTTAATCGCTGAGATTTAGGAATAGGCTCTGGTACTGATTCTTCGGCCTTTAATAGAACTAGTTGACATTCAAACATCTCAGAATCAGTTATCTAGAATACAAACATTTTGTTTTAATACTAATACAAATTTAAACATGAAAACTAAACAATGCCTTTTTTCTAATTGTTGCAAATGATACTGCCAAAACATTAACTAAACCATCCCAATTAGAAGTTTAGGTAGCCTCTTTAGTTACCATTTGGATCAAAATATTTTATTAAAAAAGAACAATTCATCCAATTGTTTATTTAAGATCACCAAACTTGAAGAATGTAAAATACTTACTGCACATATTGATTGTAACTTCATTACAAATACTGACATGATGGAATCTAAGAGATCAGCTTCTCTTAAATACTGATAGAAAACACATATAGCTACAGTGGACGGCTGAAATACACAATATAAAAATATATAACATTTTAATTCAATTGAAAATAAGGATATATGTTGTCACTTTTATAGACTCTAAATATAAGATTTCATTAATATCATTTTGATTGAACAAAATGGCACTGAGTACACCATAAAATCTATGTCTATTTAAAGATTTATTTGAAAGCTCAATTTATTAACAACTTACTTTAAAGAAATGACTATAGCCAAATCTTAAATATTTTTCAGCCATATCAATAATTCTCTCCACAGAACATTGAGATCTAATAGCAGGGTAGTTCTCTTGCAATATTTCTAGAAAATGGTTGATACAGGTAAGATATGTTGTCAGTGGAAGTCTCCAACCAAGTTTACGTAAAATAACACTCTCCATTCTACACAGGTCAGATAACTTCCAACGATTTCCATGTAATTGACACAAACCAGTCCCTGATGGTAAATCCTATAAAAACAAATTAAAAAAATTATTCTACACTGATAAGATGAATATATTACATGTTGCACGATAATCACTACATGGTACAATCACCACAAAGCCAAGCTGTCATTGGATAATCACCAAGACTATTTATAAGGGAGGGTCAGAAGCAGATTGGTATTAAAAAGAACTATTCCTGCAAGAATGAACAACTGTAGCCCCCACCTCTAATCCCAACGGCCAATGCATCACACCCTCTTTTTCAGTACACCTGTCTGTCTGTTCAATAATAATGCACGATGACTCCGATGAGCTAGACTTTTATGTCTAAAATGCATTCCAACCTGAAAGTTATTCAGGGGTAGATAATCATTCTTAAGTTTTATTTACCTCTTCCTCTTCATGGATTTTTGTTGCAATAAAATAACAAGCAGCAGCTGCACATGACAAATGTTGAGCTTTAACCTTAAGAGAAAAAATTTATCAGTCAATTTATGATGTCATTATCTTAATTCATTCAATACAAAAACTAAACATTTAAAATTTGGTTAACTCTTCCTCTCAAGGAACTTGGAAATGTCAGTAGACTTGAACTCTTATGATCGATAGATAGTGCATTTAAGATTGATTTATACATTAAATTGTTTTTTGGTTATTGTACTTGTACTGTAACTAGTTTAGTCTACAGTTGATAATAATGGAAATAATAATATTACCTTTATTGTTGCTAAAAAGCTATCTAAAACTCCAATAGCCAGAGCAAATGTATCCGGGGCCCCATCATAAAAAATATGAAGACAGCGAATATTACTTAATGCTGATATACGGGATGTATGAAAGCCTTCAGGTAGTTTATTCACTTGCTGTAAAATAAAATGAAATATGTAAGTTATGCAAGAGAAAAATCCTAACAATAACTGAAATAATTGTCAGGCTGTTGATCTTTACTAGGATTCTATTGTTGTTACCTACACAGGTTTATAGATGCCACAGCAATGAAGGATATACAGTGATGAAAAATGGTATGGATAACTTTCAGGATTGGACCAGCTCATATACTGTAGCTACATGTACCAATTAAGTAGAGTAGATACTTTTAAAACTTATGAAATAAATTTTATAGTCTGCAATTTTTATCAAAAATATATTTTGTACAATCTTACGGTTACAGGACTTACCTGATTAGGAATACTGGCTTGCTTTTCAATAGTAGCCTTTAACTTTTCTACTGCTTTAATCACGGGGGTCTTAAAATGGATGGGGGAAAAAAAGAACATTAAAATTATGTAAGAAAAAATTACATACAAAAAATGAAAACTTAGAATTAAACTAGGCTTGAATTTTTGCTAAAATAACAAATTTCTCATGGCTTAATCCATGCTAAATATGTACCCAGATCAAAATATCAATGCTAGATAATCTCTTGGCTTGAATTCAAACTAGGCCCATCAGGTTCTCAAGTATCAATAAAAGATGGCTCGGTCTTGTTAGCAAGCAGCATAGAGATTGATGAAATTTCAATTTATAACTTTATAATAAATACTGTATGGAATTGACCCATTTGAACAGATATTCATATTAGAGAATCAACTTTAACAATATTGTACATTATGTAGATTGTAGTTTGCATTTTGCAAGTGATTCATGTAGTGCCAAAGCCCAAAATGACGCATCCCGACATTTTACGACCTAAACTCTGTTCATGCAAACTAGTTTAATTACTAAGACGGGGCTAGTAAAATAATAGATTGTAAATAATTTTTAATTTACTTTATCCAGTTATATAAAGGTTGTTTTGGGACTAACAACATTTAGGTTAGGTTAAAGTAGCTAAGTCTAACTCAACAATATCATCAAAAATCTTCGACATTGAAGAAAACGATCTTACAGGGAAAAGATGGGCTTCTGATATCCAATATTCAAGACAAAATAAACATTTCACCATTGGTTCCAAATCGTGTACCATAATGCGTTTCAGCGCCATTTGGAACAAGGGGCTCAAAAAAACTGGGCTAGACAAATTCCACAAGTCATGTCAAATGGTGAGGCTATATTCTTATCAGGAGAGCATGCGCAATAAATAGGCCTACCATCGGTGTAGACTGAAAAAAAATAGACGCTAAAAATTGCCATTCACATGAGACTTCTGCCGTATTTCTCTGTAGAAATTACAGTAAAAACAGAAAGGATTGAATGTAAATCAGTTTATATGAAATGAAATGGGGTTTAACATCCTCTTATTCTGCTCTTATACTGGGCTAATGAAGACGGGCATACGCCATACAGTGTACTATGAGGGAAATTTTGCCCGGGCAGCAGCACTATCGCCTACTCTTATATCAAATTCCAACTGCCAGGGGATCTTTTATGTGCATTCCAATATATACACGGAACCTCGGTTTTTCGTATCATTCGAAGGACTAGACAGCTGTCCTTGTCAGGCCCTCTGTTCTGCACCACTGACAAGAGGAAACCATGTCGGAAAATCCTGATGAACTTTCTCGGCCAATGCAGGGATCGAACACCCGACCTCCAGGCTAGCGAGCCAGCGTCTTAACCAGCTAGCCACCGTGGCTCCCCAGTTTATATACATTCATATAACATTATTATGTGTTGCGACCCATTTGTGTCAATTTCTAGGTCCCAAATATTAGCTCCTTTACAAGCTCATGATGAGGTTAGAGAAACAAGAGATCTTTAGCATACCGAGATCATTTAAGATTTAATTTCAGCCAACTACTGCCAATTTGGCCTAGTAAAACAAAAGGGCTTACACAATGACAGGACACCCAGCAGTAAGCTCTCTACTTAGTCTTAGGACACTAACTAACTAGGCTAGCAGTAGCATTAAAGGACAATATTGGTGCCAGTCATTATCACATATGTGATAGAGCTGGTTAAACACATTCCAAATATAATTTTAAAAAAGAGATCATTGCTACGATAGCTGAGTAATACAGTTTTCCAGAATCGGAAGTGACGAACGCCAAAGGAAAACATGAGTCATCACTCTATATAACTGACTGATGTGACGAGTGATAACTATGGGACGAGTGATAACTATGGAAGCCTATAACTACCATTCATAATTTCTACTTTTCACCTCTTCAGAACACGAAAGTCGAAAAGTCGGAAAAGTAGAAGTTACGACAAAATGTGAGGCGACAAGACGATATACAAGCCAAAATCAACTCGAAAATAGGAAATTAAGAAATAACACACCGCGATAATAGTGCCCCCCGTTATTTTCTTAATTTCTACTTTTCGACTTGCATTTTGGCTTGTATACCGTCTTGTCGACTTTCGACTTAGTCATATTTTTGTATTTATTGATGTCAGTAAGGCGCCAACACGCTATACAAGCCAAAATGCAACTCGAAAAGTAGAAATTAGGAAATTAACACACTGTGCTATTAGCGACCTATGATCTGTCGTACTGTCGACTTTTCTACTTTTCGCCTAGGAAGTTGTTGTAGTCTCTGCCTTGCAGGTCACATTTGAATACGCGCATACCGACATTAGGAAATTAAGAAATAACACACCGCGATAATAGCTCCCCCCACCCCGTTTTTTCTTAATTTCCTATTTTCGAGTTGATTTTGGCTTGTATACCGTCTTGTCGCCTCACATTTTGTCGTAACTTCTACTTTTCGACTTTCGTGTTCTGAAGAGGCGAAAAGTAGAAATTATGAATGGTAGTTATAGGCTTCCATAGATAACGGATATACGGGCGGATGTCTGCTCACTTATAATTCATTCGAAGACCAAAAGTTGTTGTATGAGATTGTGAGAGGATATCTGACAATTCATAAAAAGAATTGACTGCCACTAGATAATGAACACGAAAGAAAAACAGAAAAAATCTGTACATAACCATGTTTTTATAAGATATAGAATGAATAAACAAGGGAATGTACGGACTATTTCTATTTTTCTGGTGTTCTCTTATCTAATGACATTCAATTACTTTATATTGAATTGTCAGGAAATCTCTTACAGTCCCACATATCAACTTTAGGTCTTCGAAGGAATTATTAGTGAGCAGAAATTCGGCTGTATATCCGTTATCACTCGTCACATCAGTCAGTTATATAGAGACTAAGAGAGATGACTCGTGCTTTCCTTTAACGTTCGTCACTTTCGACTCCGGAAACCTGTATTACTCAGCTATCGTAGCAATGATCTCTGTGTTAAAATTATATTTGGAATGTGTTTAACCAGCTATATCACATATGTGATAATATCATAATGACTGGCACCAATATTCATTGTCCTTTAAGCATACCAGCACCTCCCCATCCCCTCAGACACACACCATTTAAGTCCCATAGAAAATGCACTTCACTGACTTCACTGAAGGTAAAATAAATTAGTCTCACCAAAGTCTCTGTGACAATAGTATTTTTTAATCTTATTGTTTTCATGTCAGTGGAAGTCTCAACAGTCTTATCAGATTCAGCTGTCACTGGCAACTTCTTGTTGGTTTGCTGTGTCTTTTTATTTCCTACTTGCTTCTTTTTATCAGATTTAGATCGTCTTAAATTCTTCTTGACTACCATTTTGGTTTTAATATTCTGTTCTTTTTCTCTTCTCTTCTTTCTGTCTTTGTCGCTGGGATTTTTTTCTGCGACAAGAGACGCCTTCCCAGCTCTTCACTTCTGCTCCATTGTGTTGTTAGTCTGACAGCTGATGGTTTCGAAGTTGGCGCGCGTGCGGTTAACTGTTATCTCTTCTGTGATTGGATGATCTAAATGAGAAATGGTTTGATTGGTGGAACCATGACATTGACATAAAGAAATAACAACAACAATAAAATATTTCAATTAGCTTTAAAAACATAAGATTAAACTAGTCCAATGGTTTATTTAGTATCTATGTGTTCTTAATTATGAAAAACTTACCTCATTTGTGCTTAACGGATTGCCGATTACTTGATTATAGCAAGTAAACGGGCACCTGCAATTTTGACAGTTCTAGGGAAACACTTCTAATTAGGTTAACCTTTTGTCCGTTTTCATACGACGCTGTTGAAATAGGTCGCAATTAACACACTATTATTTTGGTTTTTTGGAACACATGTACTTAAATGTACTGTATGAATTATACGAAAGTGTTTCTGTCTGTATCCAATATTTGCTGAAACAGAACAGAAAAGGAAAAACTGATGTAGGGGCCCAGAGATTTTGACAGCGCGCAGTAATATTTCCATCAGTGAATATACCGTGATTATGTTGTTTCTATTTATAGCACACGCAGAATCGCTTTCATTACGTCAATTTTAGATCCTTTTTTCGGGTGAAACTAAACAACTTAATTCAAGATGTGCTAGAAGAAAAGGAACGGCGTTTAATGGACGGCATTGTGTCCTTTTCCTCCAACATTTACCGAGAATTCTCCGAGGTAAGGTTACATACTGCTTTCATCATAAAATTGAGTTTTGACATTGAAACTAAATTGCGAGATGGAATGACCTAGAATATTGTACAAAATACATAGAAACTGCAACTGGCTATGTGAATTTCCATCAGTCGGAAATATTTGCAGATTATCCCAGTAAATACTGAACGCTCTTTTTGCTTTTATCAAAGGAAATAGTATGCAAACGTCCACGATAGCGACAAAACTGGCCAGTATTCATAGTTTATGCTTTTATTTCAAGCTATCGTTCCCTTTATTCTGCTTGTAATAATGGCCGACAACAGAATATTACGGACTTCTTTTTGAAACCCCAGTCAGCAAAATTCAGTGAGCCACTTATTCTGCAATTATTAAATTTAGTTATATCCATATCATTTTAAGTCACTACCCTCGAAAGAAAAAATAATGAATTAGGCCAACATCTTTTCTTTTTTGAAACGTAAATCTAGATAAGAAAACAGGATTTATTTTTTAGGGAATACAAGAACTGGGTCAAGATATTTTAAATGTCAAAACATGATAAGGATATCTTGGGATTTTTAGTTTAAAAAAATATGAACAGATAAAAATATATTGGTGAATTTCAATTTTTTAAAGAAAAATTTCCAAAAAATGTATAATTATATAGAAAAATTAATGTGTTGTAAAATATATTGACCAAAGGTTTTGGCTATTAATATTATGACCATTTTGACCAAAGTGAATTATGGCCATATGACCACATCTTATTATGTAAGGCCCATGGTAAAACAAAGGTAGAAAAAAAAAAATGTAGAATTAAACATCAAGTATACTAGATATCAAACTGAATCAAAAATGCTGTCTGACATTTTGTTGACTTTATCTTTTGTAAAATATATTTTTAGGTGTTGTGGTGTGTGGGTGGTGTTACAAGCAGGGATGAAACTTCACAGTGGTATGACTGCTAGATCACTAGCGCGGCTATTAGGGGAGGCTATTAACAAAGAGCAAAAAAATTGGAAACCAATTGAATATAAACCAACAGATATGGTAAATATAGTTACATATGAGCATTTTATACCAAAATATAATTCAAACCATTAAACACTTTGTTGCCATTTACCAGAGTGGCCCATGAGGTTCAAAATTTGATGCTGACCTGTGGTTTATCTCATTGAAAATCACTACTTTAGGAATAACAACAACCTGGATTTCAAAGCTGCATGTATCTGTAGTTGATAAAGGTGAATGGATTGAAATGTTATAAATAAATTCCCCGTCTTCATTAATAGTCCAGTCGGAGCAGAAGGGTAGGGCATTAAATCCCATTTCATTTCTAAATAAATTCATTGGTGTTGCTATCCATTTGAAAGATCCTAAAATGGTTGCAATCTTCAGACTTTTCATAATGAAAAAATGTAAACAGTAAGTCCTAATTTTAATCAGTAAAAATAAATTTCATAACATTAAATTCATGCTCTAGAAAACATTGTTCTCAAATTGTAAAAGAAAATAATTGTAATTTGATAAGTTTTCTGAAAGAAATACATACATGCATTTAGCATACATTTATGGTTTGATACTATATAGGTTAGTGCCTAAGGCAAGTTTTGTGTATTTTTGGTCTGATAGGATGTTAATATACATGTAGGTTGTAGCTTTAGGGTTATAGTACCTATACAACCCATAAATCATTTATTTTAAGTTTATAAGAATATATTTAATACAGCATGTGTGTGGACTGCACGTAAACATTCATAAAGTCCTCAAAGACTTCTTTTCTAAGGATACAATTTGCATGAAAAGCAGTATGACTACCAATTCTTGATCTTTATTATATTGTCTATACTTGTACAGACTATAATTTTAGTATCTATTATATACTGTATACATGACATGTAGGTAGGCCTATATAATGTTTAGTACTATACTCATACATTAATCAGCTGATTGTATTTGACAGTTCTATAAATAGTAATATGTATTGTGTAGGTCATACATGTATCATATGTTAAACATGTACCCCACATTGAACATAGCTGAAAAACATAAAATATGATTCATGATTTATATATTGATATATAATTCAGTAATCATGTACGATTTTAAACTATGAAGATTGTATATTCATATTAAATATGAATATGTTTTGCATACCTCCATTGACATGTATTATCATTATGGAATGTTTCTTAAAATCTATTTATTTTGACTTTTCGGATGAAGTGCCAGACCAGGAGAATGAGGTCTCAAGTAACTTTGATTAAAATGTGTGCAAACATCCTGCCCAAACCAAAAGGGTTAAAAGTTAACAATCAACACCTTTAAGAGTACTGGTTTGACAGATGCTAGGTGTTTTTTGTTATCATGCCTCTCTAAACACTGCATCCTCCATTGACATTTAATGACCCATTCAATGTTTATTGCACACTGACAAATTCCATTGCATAATGTAAACATTTATAACCCCAGTTTACAGGTCACAGAAATGTGTGAAACCAGCTCATGACACTGGTGCAAAAATTCATCATTTCAAGGTTATCCCCCAAACACTAAATACTGCCCTGTTTAACAGCTTACCCCATGTTGAGTTAACTGGGTCATAACCTCAAATGAATCTATTGGTGGATGAGTAGGCCCAATAAAGTCTTATACTAACTTATAGTAAATAGCTAAACAATTTAGCCTATCTTTAATATTAATTGCAACTTGCAAGAGTAGAAACCTGTTTTCAGCACCTTCATTTTTATGAGGCAAAGTATATCTTGATGCCTTACAACTTGGCTCTATTAATAACATATCACATGGTAGCTAAGACATAAAAATTACGTCAGTATAAAATTATTAGGGAATATTTGGACATTGTTACTGTGACTAAAGTTGGGATTTTTGTTTTCTTTTTTATAATGAGTCCTATCAGCTTTTAAATAAAACAGTTAATCTGACTTGAATGTCTTCTATCCTGGTATTATGCAAGTACATTTGTATATATTTTCATGAAATATTTCTGATATAAAAAATAATACAGTCTGGAATACTTGTTTTTGGACAATTTCTTTTTGTAACCTTTTCAAAAAATTTAGCCATAATTTCCCAAACTGCTCAATAATCTAAAACTTAAACTTTCACACAATCGATGGAAATCAACTATTTTAGAATAATTGAATCAACATTTACTTGTAAATCTCTTATACCTAGTAAAATCTGGGACTGCTCTTTCGAATATGATTACGTATGTGCAATATAAAAACATTTATATTTTCATAAAATTTTGGTCATTTGTTATAAAATGAAAAAATATCATAAAAATTTAAAATTTCATTGTTTCTCATAAAATTATCAAAAAATTTTCAAAATATAAAATTGACCATAAATCGCTACTCCCAATAATAAATTTCTATACTAATAAATCCGAATGTGAATAAAAAAAGTCATCCAGGCAATCCCCAGCTTGATCTTTCTTTCATTTTCTATTTGACAGTGTTCAGTCAATGTTATGTGTGTATACATGTATGAAGATGGAGAAGGTGACTGCAATGCAAATTAATACCACCAGTGCTACTGGTGGGACATTCTTATCCACATACCACTGGCTGAACACGAATTCATGGACCAGTGATAGGTTATTTACTGTCAGTGCAGTTATTTAAAAAAAAATCATAATATTTGATAATGATAAAATCATAAAAAGTCATGAAATGTGATAAAAAAATTATAAAATTCCACTAGAAACTTCCATAAAAATATAAATTTGACAAAAAGCTGTGTACGTTCTCTGAAATGTGCATTCAGGTTTTGAAATAAATAAAAGGCCTGTGGCTGATTTAAACTGTAGGAAAACATGTCTGCCACTGACAATCCATTGTACATACATATAAACAGTGGAGTACCATACCATCAGACATGCACAACACATGTATGTGTAATTTCTCTGATTTGATTGATTTGTAATCAATAAGTCTATTTTTTAATTGAGAACCTATATGTACATGTATGAAATTTCTGACCTCAAACCTTATGTCCTGAGTTTCGAACATTGCTTACATACTTGCATATATGAACATAAAAAGAAATTAATTAGAATATTTCATACTAAGACAATTAAGTTACTTTTGTATTTTATAAGCACTGAATATTTTTATTTTGGTGGGGGTGGGACACACGTACATGTAGTTCTGATAAGTATTAATAGAATGCAATGATTGGCAGCATATGTTGTAAAATACTGATCTTGTAAGTGGATTCTGACGTATGTACATGTACACACCCCCACAATAATATTGAACTGTTAATACTACTGGAACAACAGGTTGTTCACAATGACATCAATATTTTTGTTGTCCCCATTCTATCAGAGAAAGCAGGAGACATATTAAAATTGGTTCAACAATTTGATTTATCGAAATTTTGAAACACAACAACACTGCTTCTACAGTAATGGAGGTAGAATATTCATTAGATCAATATCTTTGACAGTGGTCAAGCAGAGTAATAACCAATTTAATTGGTTGATTTGATACTTTATAAAAAAGATAAATGTGCATATAAATAATGAAGAAAGCAGGGGACTATTAAAAGGGGTCCATCCGACTGTTTGTCTGTCCGTTACTCTCTTTCGAACACAATAGCTTTCCTTCTAATTGATCTAGATTGTTCAAACTTAATGTAGGTGTTTATTAGGTGAATGCCTTGATAGAGTTCGAAGATGAACATTTTCTGCTTAGGGTTATTAAGCAGAGATAAGTGATTTGATTGGTTGATGCTTTGGAACCCAATAACTTTGGTTCTAATTGGGTGAGAGCAATGAAACTCTCAATCTGATTAAAATACAGATCTATATTTCGTTTTATTTTTTTTATACTTTCGATGGCCTACACTACATGAAGATCTGACAAGTTATAGCGATAGGTCACGTCAGGGGTCAAAAGACTGACTTATGACCCTATGACGTCAGACATTTGATTAACCTATCAGCATTGATGTTACTAGTGGATTACCCACAGTTCCGTGAAAAACACGCCCAAAGCTCGCCGTAACAGACCGTTTCATTGGCTTATCCCTGACACCATTCAGAACACAAGTTAAATAACAACTCTTCCAGATCCAAGTGTAGTAAAGACAAGTAAAACGAAACTTTGAACTATAAAAACGAAACGAAATAGGATCTGTGTTTTAACCAGATTGTGAAACTCTTGAGTATATATTAATACATTGACTTAAGTTCGATGATGAGAATTTTCTGCTTAGGCTAAGTAGCGATAATCAATTTGATTGGTCAAGACTTTGGAACATATCAAATGTGCTTTTAATTGAGGTATAGATGTTTATTCAGCGAATGTCTTTACTGAGTTCAAGGATTAATATTTCCCGTTAAAGCTAAGCAGAGCTAAGCAATTTCATTGGTCGATGCTTTGGGACAAGATATAACTTTGAATCTAATTTATGGTGAGTGACAAACAACAGGTACTTCAAAGCTTGACTGAGTTTGATCGTGAACATTTTATGCTTAGAGTAAGTATAGATATTCAGTTTGATTACTCAACACTTTTGAAAAAGGTAAATGTGCAATTACTAATTAGTTATGTGTCATCTGTTTATTTTGGGATTTCAGTGGGGGACATCAGCCTCACTTTTGGCTTGAAAAGGCCATTATTGCCAAAATTGAATAATTTGATTCACCAGCAAATGCAAATTTATATAGAGGTGAAATTTTTAGGTTGTTTATGTGTTGACCTACATATAATTCTCTACACTATTTTTATTGACCTCATTTCCCTTTACCCCTGGTATCTATTAGAGGTGAAAATAATACATGGTTGTATACCTAATCATAAGTCAGTAGTGACCTTGACAAAATCTCTGCCCAGATTTAGTTGATAGAATATTGTTGGCACCCTGACTGTACATTAATATATAGTTATTATATACTATGTGTTAATTTATAAATGATTACTGATATGTATAGTGGTGATACTGGTATTGAGAAACAATAACAAACAACATGTAGAATATTCTAGCGATTACTGTTAATAACCACGGTAACAGATGGAGAACATGTGTTATTCATCATTTCACTCATGTTTATATGTCATTCCTTATTTACATAATACACTACATTGTACACATTGTTATAAAATTCAATAATAGATAATATGTCATTAAAATTAATGACTCATCTACATTATGATTATTTGTAACTTTTAAATATTGACTTAAATATAAACCTGAATAGACAGATGATAATAGTAATTCTAATATCTTTATTTCAAAACAGTAGAAAGATCAGGTTTTTCTGCCTGCCTTATATTTTGCCCTTAGTAACATACAGTTCAAGAATAAAATAATGTTGCTAAAACAAACTTATTTATATGGCTAGCTTTATGAGTTCATGCATTGCATATGAGTTCATGTGTTGCATATGAGTTCATGCGTTGCATACAAATAATTATTTGTACAATGTAATAAATGAGAAGACTAGAATAATAATGTGTACTCACTTATATGCTTACATTCTTGTTTGACTTGCATTTTAATGAATTCTGACATGTTAAAATAAAGCAGGTAAATTATGATAACATTGAATACAACATGACAGAAAGGTATAATAGTGAGCATATCCTGCCTCATGCATGAAATATCACTATATATAGCTTACTGGAGCATTTGTGGATTTTCACAGTAAGAGTTAAAAGATTAATACAAAACTATAGTTTTGTTGTCGGGAATCCCAAATTTCAATCTTCCTTCATTATCAACAGTTTTGTTGTTGGGAATCCTAAATTTCAATCTTCCTTCATTATCAACAGTTTTGTTCCTTATCAATTACCATACAAACCTATCAAGATCTTTATTATAACAATGTCTTAAAAAGACTGACATCTAAGGTATGCTCAAGAAATGTTTTATTATTTAAGTCTATGGATAGAAATTGAGCAACTTATTATAATTTTTTGTATATTTTCAGATAACCAGTGAACATAGAAATGAAGGTGTGATATGGTTGCTAAATCTTTTTAACAAGTTTCGATTTTCACCAGAAACATTTGGTGCTGCTGTTGCTATATTGGATAAATTTATTGGTCTTGTTAAGGTATGTGAACATTTATCTCTATAAATACATCTGAATCAGAAATATTACAGGTACCTTTAATTACAAGTACATAGTTCAACTGGATAAATAGATCTCAAATTGATGCACCTTCCTGTATTGGTTCTGAGCCAAGGTGCATCTGTTACAGACATAATGTGATCCAGACTCATGACTCTGCTATCCTATGGTAAAATGTTTGTACCTATATATATTGTACTTTACAGGTTCCCCCTAAATATCTGCGCTGTGTTACTATTACATGTCTTTATCTAGCAGCCAAAACATTGGAAGAAGATGATGTAAGTGTGTTTTATATTAGGTCTTTGATATGATACATGTATACTGATATTAACATCTTTTATATATCATTATTTATAGTGATGCGACCAGTGGGACATTAAATTTCATTTCATTTAATGTGGTGTTTTTAATGTTTCTCAAGCACTTTCAAATCAATTGATCCATCAATCTGTAAAATGAATACTACTAGGAGTAATCATTGCTTTTAGCATTGGTAATTTTAGATATTTTACACAGTTTTATTAGTATAAAGATATGGGTATTTAAACTAATGTTGATCTATTGTTTCTGTTATAGATTGTCCCAAGCACACAGGGTTTTGCTAGAATCAGTGGATGTGGATGTTCATTGTCCGAGATTTTACGGATGGAGCTGGTCATTTTGAAGAAATTGTGCTGGTCTTTACCTACGACCTCATCCATTGATGCATTGCATATAGTAAGTACCATATATAAACTCACTAGGGTGTAAGGGACAAGAATTATAAGACTTACAGTGCCTGTCTGGTCAGGTATGGATGGGGTATATTTGAATTATTTAATTTTGAAAGAATGTGAATTTCGAATGGAGATTAATGAATACGTTGGCTAAAAAATTATAGAAGTTAAATAGCTCATGAATATGTTTGTCAAATGGATAATTAAAATAAAAGACTGATGATTGTTTTATTTTAGATCCATACTGTGCTGCTTCAACACCACCCCTATCTATTGGATGGTCTGAAAGACATGACCCCGTCACGTCACATGTCAATAATTACACGTAAATTATTGACATGTCTAGGACAACATAGATTGTTGATGTTTCCACCTATAACAGTTGTTGTGTCTATGTTAAGTCTAGAACTAGAGCAGATGACATCAGCCTGGTTTCCACTTATTGCTTTACTACAGCAAATGACTAATGTAAGTTTTCTTAAATCCATTTTGGGAAATTTCTTTTCAGTTATTGTACAGGCAATTACTGCATGTTTAAATAAAGATTATCCTTGCCAGAAATTTTGTTACATATACTTAAGATACTTTCCTTGTTGTCTTGAAACCTTAATATGATATCTTCAAATCATAATATGATGCCTTGAAACCTTAATTTGATGCTTGAAAGTTGAAACCTTAATTTGATGTCTTGAAACCGTAATTTGATGCTTTGAAACCGTAATTTGATGCTTTGAAACCGCAATGCTTTGAAACCGTAATTTGATGCTTTGAAACCTTAATTTGATGCCATCAAACCGTAATTTGATGCTTTGAAACCATAATTTGATGCCTTGAAACTTTATTTGAAAAGAATAAAATGTAAATTAGTACCATGTCCCTACTTGCTGATAAATTTTCATACTTTATAATTATTTGATATTTTTATTATTTCAGATTGATAATCAGAAGTTGATTCACTGTAGAGAAGTTATAGCCAGTTATTTGAGTTCTGTCAGAATGTCAGTTACACCATATCAGAAGATCCTGCCACAGAAATCTAAGAAAAGGAAGGTAGAACAGATTGATGATGATGATGATATATATGACAGCATTAAACGGCTCTACAATGAAGATCATATAATGGAAATACCAACAATTCACGGGTCTTGTAGTTCAGAATTACACCAAAACACTGAGGAAACATTCTCAGTTCATACTGTTTGTGCAAACTAATTTGTACAAACTAGTTTCATTATACCCATTTTCATTCATCGTTGATCATTATTCTATATAGTTTATTCTAGATTCGTTCAAAATATATGTTGACAACTGTCAAGCACATGGACGGACAACTGTCAAGCACAGCTATGCAAGACAACTGTCAATAGTAGTGTAAAACAACTGTCATGTCTGGTCAGTATAGAAATGCTGACAAGATTTGTCTGTTCAGTGTGAGACAATTGTCAAGTATCTTTTGTGGAAAACAGCTGTTTGTCTTGGTCAATGTATGGCAACTGTCAAGCATAGTCTATGGCACAGCAGTCAAGTGTAAACTGTACAGCATAATTATGTGTGCATTATATGTTATAATTAGCTGTATATCATATATGATTTGCAATATGCTTTAGCTAATCAAAAAACAAATGTAGAGGGCCACATTATGAATAAATCTGATTTAGACATGTGGTATGAACGATTGCTGTTGATAGTAATAATGTATTATAATGTAGATAAGTATAGTAGCTTTTGATGATTGCTAGAAATACAATTCTAATCCAATATTTTACATGTATTTAACTCATAAATATTGATGTCTAAAATTACAGTTTGCAGAGATATATTTAAACACATGATCTTCTCAATAATTCAAATTTAGTGTTATCTCTGGTGGATTTATTTTTATTTGGGCTGAACATATATTTTAATAACATTACTCTATATAGATTAAGTTATTAATGCTTAAAGGAATATCTGCAGTTGATAAGATAGAAAAAAGCCCTGTGCAATTAAGCTTATTATGAGAGCCATCAAAAGAAGCATAGATATGACAAGGTTTCCAAAATGTCAACTTATTAAAATATTGTAAATCATTTGTTTATAGGTCATCATCATTTCATTTGTTTATTTTCCCCAATAAATAATGTTGATATTTTGTAAAGCCATGTTTATAACTTCGATACTGAATAATGATTAATATCTTGTGATATTGATATGCACCAGTTGTAATTCCAATATTAAGCAGTATTCTATACATATGCCATTAGATTACAAATGCTTGAGACCTCTAGACCTTTTTATTCCTTTGTTTTATCTCATTATTTTAAACTGCTACCTATGGGGAAGTTAAGTAGATGGAAGCCAAGAAAAATATATAAATATTTTCTGTTTTTATTTATTAAATTTGTTTTTTTTAAAGTTTATTTTAGTATACTTTCAAGATTTTAAAACAAAGCTTCTGTTTTAATTTTTGTAATTTCTAGTAATTGTTGTTGTTAATTTAAAAAAAAAAGATTATTATGTAGTTGCTTAGTATGTTATTCATTTATTTATCATTTCATTATTATTGAGTTTATTCATTATTCATCATAATCTTATAAAGTATTAAATACAAAAGAGGAAAAATCATGTTTTATGTAATCAAAATTTAAAACATTATCATTTTTCTTCACCAAAAAAATCACAAGAAATCGTGAGAAAAAGTATCTCAAAAAAGGAACAAAATGTTTTCGAAAAGATTTAAAAAATATTAAAGTCTTTCATTATGTGTATGTTTTATATATAATCTTACTGTCAGCTCTTTATCTATGTACTAATAGAAGGCGTATGATTTATTGATACTATATTATGTTTTTCGAAAACAGTTAGTATATTTCTGATTTTATGTTAAACAATTCTTAGCTGTACTTTATGAATAACCATTTATCTTTTCTTCTTCCTGCAAAAATATTAATTAATTTATTAATTAATACTTTTAATGTAGGGTTATTCCAAAAGAGCTGAACAGACAAATATGTAAGATGCAGGTACATTTTCTTTTAAATGGTTATTAATTTTTGTAAAGATAAGGTATTTTTAAATACTTTTTATGAGTGATAATATAAAACTTTTAATATATTCAATCACTCGGATAAGAAAAGTCCCTTATATTGTAATGTTATCCATTTGTGGATAATAGGAACAAGGCAGCAACTAGTTCTGTACATTTTTTCGATCAGAGCATAGCTTGCTATCTATGTATTAGGTTATAGTTGTGTTTATTTAAAGCTAGAAACCATCTAGAATGTCAGTTAATTAAGTTGTACCAAAAAGATATTATTTAACATTCCTGTGTATATTTGGAGGAAATTTATCAAAGACATTGACAAGTATTGAGTAATTCATATTATAAAATGAAAAGTTTTTTCTATGTGAATTCCAATTTCTTTTTTATCAGAAAGAATACTTGATTAACAATTTATTAAGAATATAAATTTGAACTATTTCCTCCATTTATATACACATCTTTAGTTATTGTATTTTGTAAAAGACCTGCATCATTTTATCATTTTGTATATAGTACCTTGTAGTGACATTAAGTTAAAATGTTTCATGTAACAGCAAGTTGATACAAACTCTTATCACTTTAAATTAAAATCTTTGCACTAAACAAACTATTTTTCTGGACTAATTATTTTGTTGAAATGATGTAAAAACCATGATAGACAACTAAATTAAATGTATCTACATAATAGTTTTTGCAGTAGTGCTGTTAGTTATATCATCTGTTGCAGTATTTTGTCCTACTATCATCATTTCTTTCAGTGCATGATATAAAATATTTATGGTCAGTTTAGGTTATATTTTATTTGAATGTATCAGTCATGTTGATTGACATTTGAACTGTTATAAATTATGGTGAGTTTTGATTATATTTTATTTGAATGTATCAGTCTTTGATTGATATTTAAATTGTTAACTGTCCATTATATTCAGCATTATTAAATCTTCTCTTCATGCGAAAAAATAGTGTCATTTAAAATTCATTATTGGATAAAGATCCTTGAATTATTTTGTAAAAGTGAACAAAATGGTTTATAATTCATTTGGAAAAGAATAAAATTTGAATATTTTTTTAAGGAAAATTTAAGTCCATTTAAGACAGTTATTTGGTGTTTGATAATTGAAATTAGTTTTGATAGAGAAGTAAAAGCAAGGGATTTGATAAAAAGAAGTAAAACCACCTGATTGTAGGAAAAATTACCTGTAAACAAAAGACTATTTGTATTGTATATGTCATTGTTCTACTGGATAATCTTGTCTCTGATTCAGATTTTAGGTAGGGTGAGGTTTAAGTTTTGTGATCTGTTCCAATTGGGATTCATTACTCTCTTAATTAGAACTGTTTGTGTCTGCTCATGTTTGAAACCGGTTGTATCCTTCCCCTTCTTATACTGTACAGAGACTTATTATTTAGTGAATTATTAGGGTTGTATGATATGATGCTGTGGATTCACTGCTGCTCATAATTGCCGAGCTCAAGAAATTCTCAAAAGTTTATGGCGGAAAATACTGATGCTCTATTAAATACAATTTTATTACACACTGTATAGTGTCTGATATATCTGGTACAACTTGCTTACTAATATTTGTTGCTTGATTGTTCTCCTGTAGGATAATGGTCAGGTTTGATCTGAGAACCAATTTCTTGCATGAGTTCACAAAAGGGTGCACTACCTGAGCAGTGTATGGAACTTTATTGACAACTTACTGTATAGTTTTCTTTTACTTGGAACTATGAGCAGTAATGAATACATCATACTTATTCAGGCATACAATGTTTAATGCTATGTAAAAAGATATCAGCTGATACCAGCCAGGAATTTTTATTTAATGTCTATGATAGAAGTAAAGAAAGTTTTATTATGAAAGGAAGGATGAAGTGAGAAAGAAAGGTTGATTTGTATGATTTACATCTATCAATGATATATACCTTACAACTTGTAATAAATATTTTAAAATCAATTTACTGTTTGTGTTTGTCTAGATGATTTGGTCTAATGCATGCACTGTAGATCATAAGGCTTGTTATTTATGCATGCCATAGGGTTGATTCCAGGTTTATACTTGAATTTAGATTTATAAATGTTTTGGATCTTTTAACTTGGTAGCCTCCTTGGGAGAAACTTCAACACATATTGATAGATATATTGATGGGATTTAATTTCTTGCTTACTATGTCAGGACTGCTGAAGGTGAAATTATGGTTAATCATAAATTTTAGACTAAATAATGTTTCCAGAATATAATATGTGGTCGGCAAACAAAATGCCCATTTAGTAACGGTGGTGGTTAGATTCTAAAGTTAAAACCAATATTTCAAGAATTGCCATTGACCACTGATATCCTCTTTTACCAAATCTAATCTGACATAGTGTGAGGAAATATAAAAAGATGAATTTACAGGGATATGTTCGTATTGGTTAATAAATCTAGTTATTTCAACAAGCATGTTGAGATTCTTATTCTCCATGTTACATAAAGACTATATATATAGCAGGTTTAAATATTACATGGTGTGCCTGATAACAAGATTAAATTACTTTATTAAATAAGCAATTAATATAGATTTCTTTATCATAAATATGGGTGGCTTTCGAGGGTATCTTTGTCTATAAAATGGCTATCAGTCACTATTTAAACATACTGAATAGGGTATGCCACATTTAAAAGTAATAGGGTATGACATAAGCTGGTGATTTAAAACGGACTACTTTTTATCTCCATATTAGGTAAATTGACTAATTTAGGAATGTAACCATTCTATTTTTAGATACACCTACATATTGAACTGTCATAATACCAATTGTGTAGAAAATAATATATTTGGGTTTGTAAATTATATAATAAACAGTAAACAAATGGCCTCCCGCCCTAAATACAACACTATTAGTGTTATAGTAACAGTATATACTTTGATCTGTTTATGACAACATAAACAAAACAAACAATGCATATCTATTTATTCTACTTCCTTTAAATAGTCATTGTTGTATGTGCCCACACACATTATTCATACTATTTTAATTCTTCCTTAAACTGAACAAATAAACTTATGTAATGGTGGTATAATTTCCTGTAATAATATTATATGAACGCATAAGTTGGCCATGATCTTTTAGCACAAACCTAGTAAATCTAAAAAATAGAACTGTCAAATATTCCTACAAGAATATCTAACATGAAACCTATAATATTTGATATTATATTAGATTCACTTTTATAGGCCCACATTTTAAATAGGATTATTCTAAACACTCCTGTCCATCCAATCGTGTGAGTCACAGTGAGTAAGATGCTGGTTCACTAACCAGGGGTTTGAGCTTGATGTTGACAGAGAAAGTTCTCAGTGATTTTTCAGTGTGGTTCGTTCCCCTTATCAGTGCTGCAAGATGGGGCCTGGCAATGAAAACATCTAGTCATTTGGATGGCATGCATGTTTAAGACCTCTTGACAGTTGGAATTCGATATAAAGAGTAGGCCGTTGTGCGGCTATCAGAACAAAATTACCTTGTAGCACACTTACTATATGGCATATCCCCGTCTTCATTAGCCCAGTCAGTGGAGCAAAGTAGGACATTAAACCCCATTTCATTTCCATACAATCATTTTTTGAAAACTTTCTGGCATTGTTTTTTTTTTCAAAAGCTTTTCGTCTTGTACAGCTAGAAATGAGGAACCCTAATAAATACAGAAACCTTGTGAATAATCCAGAAGTGACAGATTTTGAGAACACTGCAGTACTGTAGTATAACATTCTTGCCTTCCTTGAAAATTCTGCCAGTTAGTGTATATTCACACTTCACAGCCTGGCAACATTTGTCATAAATATTCCCATGCCCAACAGTAAGTTTCAAATTAAACCCAATGAGAAACCAATTTTACAAACCAAAGCAACCCCAGTTATTAAGTAACTAAATTTATTTGAAACATTATCTGAAAGTTAGATACTTCAGTGTTTGTGTGGTAAATCCTCCATCTGAATTTTGATGTATCTTCTCCTTAAAATTTGCCAAACAATCAAAGCAAGTTTGAAAAAAAATATATGAAAATCTCCAAAAAATATCATTGTGTTAAATTGGATGTAAAAAATTCAAATTGGTTTCTTAATTCTGATGTAATTTTATATAAATAAAAGTTAAGTCCCTTAAGTAGAACAACACAATTTATATTTTCATTCTAGATAATATCAATCTTTTACAGTTTATTTACTGATAACACATTCCATAATGTTTCTTTCGATACATCATCATTACATACACAGCAGTCTCATTTTTCATGGTGTATTTGTTGATATACTGGGTTTAATAAACAATAGCTATGACATGACATCTAGTGCATGACACACTCAACAATTATAAATACAAAGCCATACAACGGACTTTAACGTTGACAACTTATTATTTCCATTAAGTAAATTATGTGGAATTTTACGCCATCATCATCAATGAAAAAGTATAAAACAGTCCCGATAGACGTGCTTTGATTTTAGGGTTGCCTAAATATTGATGTTTATATATGGGGGAACCACCGCTGCTCAGTGAATAAGACGTTGGCTCGCTAACCTGGAGATCGCTGAATTTTTGGTTGTGGTAACCCCTTGTCAGTGGTGTAGGACGTATAGTCATTTGGATGGGATGGAAAACCAAGGTCCCTTGTACAGATTCTCATACACATAAAAGAACCCTTGACAGTTGGAATTTGATATAAGGGTAGGCAAAATTTCCATCACAGCACACTGCGTGGCGTATGCCCATCTTCATTAGCCCAGTCGGTGTAGAAAAGTAGGACGTTAGACCCCATTTCATTTCACTTTGGTATAAATGTCTAACAGGAAAATTTTAAAAGAGAAACCCTGGGGTATATGTATATCCAAACACAAACGTATAAAAATGTAATATTTTAATATTTTTATTTAGGTTTATGATACAAGTTAACACACAAGACATCACACAATCATTATGTGAGATTTAGATACATAGCTGGTCATTATTGCTATAATAGTTCCAAAATAGATAATGAAGAAAGAATAAATTGAAGATTTCAGTCAAATTACTTTATTCTGAGCGAAGTTATCAGTGTTTGAAGATGTCGCGTAGATTGTTTATTGTCTTACTTGACAAAGGAGACTGAGTCTAGATTATTCATTTTTAAATTAAATTATTAAATGGCAATCGTGATTCGATCCACTTAAATCTTGTCCATCCGATAATCTAGAGAGTTAATTATTAGCTTGCCATGTGAATAAATGTCTAATTAATAGTTTATATAACATTTGAAGCCAAAAGAAAGATCTGCAATAGGCAGATTTAGCTTTTACATAAAGCATCTTTGATGTAAACAAGCCATTTAAAATATACATGCACTTTTTTCTTCCATTTTTGTACAATTCTGATGCGGACTTATTATTCGATAGTCAAAGAAAATTAATTTTATTATTTTGCAGTCAATGCTAAGCTTCATGAGCTAATTTTTCGCTTTCTGGTCGGGGCTAAGATGCAATTATTTCTGTTGGTTGTGGGGGTATCCAAGACATACTCCTTATCACATATCTCGAAAGGAATTTTTGAAAATTTTCTGAGACTTACTAAAAAATTCAATTTGATCAACTGTACAAAATCATATGTAACTGGGTTTTAAAACTTTAAATACACAATGTTTTTTCACTGCTTTTATGAAAATATAACACAATTAACTCTGTTCTTCTTTAAGTAACTTTACCATTGTTTCTTCAACTTTATCCAGATTTGTTTTTCCCTGACATTCTTTCATTACTCTACTACATATACTGTTAAAGGCAGCCACCTTACCTCGTTTACTACTCCTTACCTATAAATATTTATATATTTAGTACATTACAAAAATTATTAAATATTTACTAGTATTTAGACAGGGCCAGATTAGGTAGATGGTCTACAAGATAGTGCCTGATCCAGATTTGTCTAATAATTTGCTCTGTCTGGCCGCACATGTTAAGTCCAACTTTTGGTTACTCAAACTCAAGATTTCTGACTGGCTTATCACAAAACCACATTATTTTATTGGATTTTAATTTTTCTAGGCAACCCAAAACAAACACCATGTTAAAGAGTACTTACCAATTTTGGATTATTTTTAATAATGAGTTTACAAAGTGATTTGATGTCTTCTGGATCAGTTATTTGATATAAATTCTCTTTTTCTATAATATCTTTAACTTTACTATCAGGTCTTGATAACATTAATGCTAATACCTTTAATATATAAAATATATAAATACAAAAAACCTGACACAATATTCTTTTATTCAAGCTACCAATTTAAATGAAATAACCTATTCTTTGTTAGGGTTTTGTTATTGTTAAATATTTTATGTATATATGTACATTCCTGTGAACATAGCAAACCCCATCAGTGTTTGTTTTTTTATAGTATTACAGTCAGGTATTTTTCAACATGGCATCAAAAATGTTATTAAAAAAATGTTGAAATTCATAAAGCATTTATCTGGAGAAGGAGTAAAAACAGAAGTGACAACCTAAGCCCTTTGGCCTGATGGGCTAAAAATCTGAAATCTATGATTATGTTTATCTATATTATTACTATTGTTATTTCTTGTAAATATTAATAGATTATTCGGTTTTGGAACTATAATAAACCTATAGATTTTTAAAATTTAAATGATAATTCCAAGATTTGAATATGAAATCTCAAGCTTAGATTATTATAGTTACTTACTTTACTGATTGTCTCTGTAGAAATGACATCAGCCTCTACAATATCATAAAACTCTTTAAAATCTTCAACAGACAAGGGACTAACATAAAAAAAATAGTGATACCATATCAACCGTAAACTAAAAGCGTGACAAGATATTAAACATAATTTATTTTATATTGTAGTGTACCTTGTAGTGCTTTTCAAGGAGTGTAACATGCATTGTTCTAAGTATGACAGTGCTTGGATTGGTAAATTGTCAATAAGGAAATTGTTGCTATCTCAATAACAGAAATAATACATATAATCTGTATTAAAATCAAGTTGTCAAAATATCTCAAATATAGACACACAATGATGTAAACTCTAAATGGACTTGACATCTGGTTTTAAGACATTGCGTAAGTATTATAAAAATTATAATATACTCTTTAAAAAAAGTAGGGGATATTCAGAAACAATACAAAACTGGGGAAATGCAATGCTGTTTTTATTAGAGGTAACCAGTGTATGTTAATAACAGGCCAATTGCCTACACATGAACATAAACAGTTCATATGGGCGGCTTTCTGACGGCCCCATTGCACTCGCAAAGAGATACATTGTCAAAAGTGAAAATGGACGTTTTTGATTTTTGTTTTAATAATGAGTAATTGCTCCACCAATCCACATTCAGCAATTCGTCGTGGCATGCTCCTAATCAACCATCCAATCACGATTTGGGGCAATCTGACCCACTCCTCTTGCAGTGCCACGACCAATTCTTGCAGTGTTGTCAGTTGACGTTGACGTCGACAAACAAATCTTCCGATCAAATTAAATGTAACACACTAAAGCAAAGATTCGCTAAACAGTAAATCGTATGCAAGAACCGATAGGAAAGCAAACATGGAAAGGATAAACCAGCACGCGGCAGTTTTCATCAACCCTTCCTTGAAGTGTCAAATTTGACAATGAACCCCTCTCACGTGTATGGTGCTACTGCGTGTCGCATATGCAGCTCAGTGGTTCTGTTGGGGCGATAAGTTCTTCATCTGTGAACATACTCTCAAAGTATGTCAAGTGTCCATGACTATTTATCATATTGCAACCTGCATAGGTATTTGCATTTCAATATCCCCTGGGTTTTTTTGAAGAGTACCGGTATATAAAGGAAATATCTGATACAATTGAATTCACATTTGTGGTGTAAGGGCAGACAACAGGTAAGTGGAAGAGTTATCTCCCCTGGACAATCTGTACACTAAACTTGATGACTGTTTCTAATTTGTACAGTACCCAAATCAAAGTAACCTACCTGTCTTCAGCATGCATCTCTACAGCCTTTAACTGTCCCAGATATTGATGAGTAAGCAATGAAGCTACTCTCTTTACATTCCGTTTACCATCTTTAATAACTTCTTCAAAATATTTTAACAAACTATCATCATTCTGTAATTATATTAAAATTTATACATCAAATGTTCTAGGACACAGATGGCCTCAGACATAACAAGCCAAATATGCCCCACCAAAAGCTTACTGTATGGAGCATATCATCTGACTTTTGAACTGAGAAGAAAAGCTTGTTGCTTCATATTCATGCTATACTGATATACTAAACTGTAAGTTACAAAAAAAAAAAATCACAGAATATTTCTCACCTAATTAAAATTTGTTATGGATATCTAAAATTTAAGTGTCTGCCTCCATGTAGTATAGGTTTTTATTACTTGACAATTGACATAATGTAATTGATTTTAGAACCACAAATTCTTTTATTTTATGATTGTGGAAGCATTTCAGAAAGAGTTGACACTTAAGCTATTTTTTGTATTGTATAACACTAATAAATACAGATAGACAAACTCATTTTGATTTTATTTTTGTGGTGTTTTTTTTAAATCATACATGTACCGGTACATTATTTTTGAAAAATATTTAATGAATAATTTTTTGAAAACTGACGTGAATATATACTATTCCTTTGTGCTAGTCATTTTAAGACATACATATGGCCTGGAACAAGAATTCAAAAGTAATTGTAACTTCTATCCCCCTCATTCACATACATAGATAGCATCTATTTATTGATATCATTTTCCTTGCAACAAAGATGCTCTGGCTAATACTTGCTCTCTTGTTAAAAATGTCACAACTTACAACTAAAGTAGCAATAGTAACTAATGATATATCTTCATATTTCTTTTGAAGACGGTTCCGTTTCTCACTGGGTAATTCTGGTATGTTATTTTGTAACTGGTCAGTAAGGACTACTCTGTCTGATGGGATATCAGCTGGTAATGACTGACTGTTATATATATGTAATGGTGGTAGATTAGGCTCTGGCATAAAACGATAGTCTAAAACCTTTTCTTTATCTCTCATGGCAATTGTCTTGCTGAAATATTAATAATAACACATTGCCATTTGCATTACTATCACAAATAATTTACATACAAAAACATCAAAGAGTCATAATTTGCATTTACATGTAATTAGACACATTACTTCTATACATACTTTTTGAAGGGAAGTAACTCTTCCATTTACCTACTTGTCTCCCCTTAGACCACAATGTGATATAATAAACAATCACAAAAATGTTTTGTACAAATAATCTAACTATCAGTTCATTGCCACTGATAACTTACAGATTTGTTCACATATATTACCTAATACTAGCTTAGTGACCCAACATTGCACATCTAAAAAAAAATCAATTTTTCTAACATCCATAATACATTAATTGTCAATTTCATCATTAATGCTACACCAAATGCAGCATAAGTAGCACCATCAAATTAGTTGCAAACATTGGTTGTTGTGAAGTTATTTTAAATTTGTTAACTTTAGTCAGTTGGTTTTATGTACATGCAGTAAACAAAAAACCCAACTCTTTTATACATATATATTACGATAAACATAGAAGTACTTGTACTATATCTACTTCCAATTTCTCTCTACATATATATAGATTCTTCTCTAACATTTATTCTGCACACTTTAATAAAGTATATTAAATTAAATCTTACTAATTTCAGTGATTTCAAAGGCCTAAAGAACTCACCCTGTATTAACATCAAAATTCCTTGTCTCTGTTGTAATTTTATTTCCAGCTTCAAGCTCTTTAATTTGTCTTTTGATTTCATACTCTTTTAAAAAAATAATAATTTATCTTTAAAATAAAGAAGCCAAAAGTTTGACAGATGTTTCCCCCCCCCCCCACACCCACCCACACTCCAAAATAAGTACCTCTAATTAATTATTTACACAAGCTATTGATGTACCGGTAATGAAGCTTTACACTGAGTTTCATCATTCCCTCTCAATTAGATTCATAACTATTGTAAATCTCCACAAATCATATTACTTATCTCTGCTTAGGCTTAACAGAAAATGCTCATCATTGAAGGTAATCAAGACATTAACCTCACGGACAACTAATCCAAGTTTAAACATTCTGACTCAATTAAAAGCAGGGTTATTTTCCTTAAACCAAAACTTGAAATGACTCAATATAGATCTTAGGTCAATCACCTATTGGGTATATAGCGAGACCACAAATATATGTACCATTATAAATAATTTTAGAAATTCATGATGATTACCTATAGCTTTGACCATATATCTTATACTATTGAGATTTTTAACTTCTGTTCTGGTACCATAGGCTTCTCCTGGTTTATTTACAGATATATTCGCATCCACTCTCAATGATCCCTCTAAATATATAAAATAAACATTTATACAACATTCACTCTCAATGGTCTCTCTAAAATATATACAATAAACATTTATACAGCATACACTTTCAATGATCATTCTAAAATAGATACAATATACATTTATACATCATACACTCTCTATGATCCCTCTAAAATATATACAATAAACATTTTATACATCATACACTCTCTATGATCCCTCTAAAATAGATACATTATACATTTATACATCATACACTCTCAAAGATCTCTCTAAAATAGATACAATATACATTTATACATCATACACTCTCAATGATCCCTCTAAATAAATGTAATAAACATTTATACAGCATCTTTTCTTATTGATCTTTCTATATACGTTATTTACAACTCATCTCTAAATTCATTTCACTCATTTCACCATTGTCCTATAATTCAGTCTTCATTCAAAAACATTCTACAGCAAGAGAGTTAATGGTCTGAAATGTTTGACACTGGTCCATCTAATAGCTAATTTGATGGTTGACAGATAGTTTACTGAATTACTTTAAATCATAAATTTATAGAAAACTTCATATTTCTAAAGATACATTTTCATTTATTCAATAGGTTACTTATTGCAAGATGTACCTACAACAATACCAAATATTGTGTCTGCAAAAATGTTTGAAATAGTAGATACCAGTATCATATATACCTGACATTTTGCCATCACAAGTTCCAATAATTTGCAGGATTTTCTGAAGTTCTTTCACAAAACCAGCAGCTTCTTCTCCAGTAGTAAAATCGGGCTGTGTAACAATCTCCATTAGTGCTATTCCTAAAACACATATGCACAGAAGGTTCAGTTCTGTCTATAAATATTTATGATACCGAACAAGGAGCAAAGTGAACTATATGGTAGTAAATTTTTTATATTTTTTTCTTGGGTGGGGTGGGATGGGGGAGTATTTACAATGCCCATGTCTCACAGTCTCAGCGACTAAATTGATTCATCCTGCAAGTCTGGATAATTTAATCAATGTCCAATTAATAATTCAGATTACATTTCATACCCAAAGAAAGACCTGCAATTGGCAGAAAAAAATTCTAGTTGTATATATATCATTATTATTACCAGCTCTGTTAAGATCAATAAGACTTTTTTTATCTTCATCATCATGTAGACTTTTACCACTGTCTTGCTCTAGCTGTATTTGAACTAAGTTGGCTGTTTTTGTCATTGGTTCCTTACTAACAGTAGGATCAAATACAATAAAATCTACCTGACCTCCAACACCTATTGGTTCCCTCTGTTGTGTAATCTGATAACCTGTCTAAATAATTAGATAACATTTACATTAAACGCTCACAAGCAGCTAAGTTGACTGAGCAAGACTATCATAAGGTTTCCATAAAGAAAATTCTTAAATCCTGATAAGGGCCTTATTCTGTATGACCAAGTTGATGAATAATCCCATTATATAGTATGACCAGTAGTTACATTGAAGATCTCTGGGATTTGTGCTCCAACACATTTTCCCTATTTATAGCCATTTTGTGGTTTGGCTTGCAGAGGAGAGATAAAATGGTCAGGTTCTATCATTCTGGAATGTTTTGATATATTTCATATGGATATACATGTAGCATTTCTGCTATTATTTAAATTGACAGTTTAATTCTTTCCAATAATAAAGAGAAAAGGGAGGAGCTCTATGAGATTAACTTTTTTCAAAAGATTAAGTAGAAGTCTAGTTGTTGACTAATTCTAGTTTCAGATTTGACTTGCAGTATTGACATAAACATACAATTGATTATATTTTAACTTTGGCTTTATCAATGAACATAATATTTTGAACTAAGATTGTTATCTGTCAAAAAAAATCAGCACATAAAATTTAATGAAATTTACCCAGATCAACTAGACCTAGCTATCATAAAGTACAACAAGCCAACAGTCATGATGAAGTCCCCCACCGTACTTACTAACACATTTACCATTTTATAAAACATTGAGCAATCCCATAACTTATCAATCTGCTGAACCGGAGTAGAAAATGTTATTATCAAACTTGTTGAAATGAGCATGTACAAAATAGTATTGATATTATGAAAATACACCAAGTTTCAAATTGATTATCTTTTGTTTAGTCTAAGCAAAATTAGAAGCAGAGTTATTGTGTTCCAAAAGGGATGACTGCAGAAATACAGACAGCTGCTTCGCAAAGTAGAAAATGTTCATCACTAAAGACATTCAACTGATGGGTAGTAAAATTTACTTACTGGCAAGTCTGCATAAAAATAATGTTTTCTATCAAACTTCGAAACTTGGTTAATTTTAGATTTTAGTGCCAACGCTGTCTTTACACCCGCTTCAACACATCTTCTGTTTAGCACCTACAATAAAATCACTTTGTTAAAGTTGTTCATTAAATTTAAATCCACAGACATTTTACAAAATATTACAACATAGATGGAGATTGGTGAGGTTCCCTAAAACGCCTACCATCCGCACCGAACATGCTAGCTATAAAATCATTGTCGAAACATCCTACAAAATTGTCTTCTATGGAAATGGTTAACTTCAGTTAACTTTGAATTAGAATAATTGCAGAACTTACAGGTAATGTTCCTGGTATTGCTGCATCAAAAAAAGAAACTTGGCTGTTTATTGGTGCAGCAAATTTAGTAGATGATCCAGAAAAAAGTTTGCTTTCTGATGAAATCTGGGCATGAACTTCCAAACCAATTACACTCTCCCATTTCGATGACTGATGCTTTGTACTGTTAAAATAATATTATCTTTCTTATCAATTCATTAATTATGCACCAAAAAAAATTACTTCGGGCTGTTGGCTTGCGTATAGTATTATTGGCTGGAATTCTTTTTAGACCGATAGCATCAACGACCAATGTGTAGTACCATGCATTATGTACAGTAGGGTAGCATGCAGTTCTAGATAGCAGACAATATATATCAACCTCGCATGTACTGTGCGCTACGTAGCTGACAATATATATCAATCTCGCATGGGCTGTCCAGTCGGTTGTTGATTTACATCTTTTGTGTTAATTGGCATAAAATGATGTGGCGTAAAATGAGTAAAAGGCACCAATTCTGTCCAGACCATTTTGGGTTACTACGTCCGATTTATACCACCATGGCGTGGATTTAGGAGGGGGGGGACGCCTTTTCCCCTTAGAATCGGAAGGGGGGGACGAATAGGTCTCTGTCCCCCCTCCCCCATGATTTTGATCGCCAGGACAGATTTTCAGGTTTATATCCACATGATGGTGAGCTTGTTTCTACGTATCTGGAGCTGAATCGGGACTTGGAACAAGAATTGCCATTCTTCGAGCTCCAGTGTTCAGCCAAATCTATTTCACTTGTGCACGAAGCGTTCCTCATTATGTCACCTGAAGTGAGGCAGATGTTCCCTTCTGTCAAAGCTCTTTTCGTCTCACACTGCTGAACCCTGCTCAGCCGAGTGATCCTTCAGCAATTGATGGCGTGTGCGGTGCATAATGACCCCCTTCATGTCGCCAAGATATTCAAAGAGAACAGTCCTGATCGTAGAACGAACGTCTTTGGACGATTCACTTAACAATTAATATTTATGCAGCTTTGATGTAAGTAGTCAATTTTTCCATATTGTCATCATATTACCCCTAGTTACAGCTTTCATCGAAATAACACTGGTACAGTAAACTGTTCGTAATGATTTATTTTGTTTGGTAATAAAATGTTCAAGATTCCAGGGTTCATCCATCCCCCAAAATTTATGACAAATCCACGCCCTTGTATACCACACACGTTATCAATGCCATATGATGTGGCGAGAGAGAGAGAGAGAAATGGGGTTTAACATCCACTCGACACAAACTAGGTCATTTGGGGACTAACATATGGTTTTTAATTTTATTTCAATAATTCACTTGCACATAGGGGTCTTTAGCAGTGGGAGGAAACCGGAGGACCAGGAGAAAACCCACGAGGTTGGACAGGCGACCCTACTCCTTGTCACGTACAACCGGGGATTCGAAACCACGTCAGTCGACTCAATGACAGACTTTATGATACAGAGCGCGCACGCTAACCATTCAGCCATCCAACCCCCCCCATATGATGTGGCATCACACATAGAACAAATTGGGCGTGACCTTAAAGGTCAGTCATCTTGTACAGTACACTACAGAGTTAAAAGAAAGCTTTTGCATTACCAACTGTGCAACAGATAGAGTTGTATGGTAAAGCTTTTAAAACAATTTGTTTACTGGATTAGAAACATTGTGAAATAATTAAACACTTAGTAATCCAGTGTGAAGACTGTAATGCATAGTTGTCTTCTACAATCTACATCAGACCATTCTCAGCTTTCGGTTTTTTCTACTTCATTTACAGTATCATAACATTCCATTCCTAGATTTGTAATATTGGCTAAGCACTGGCCATGAACCCATGACCTCCAGTCTGCACAGACGTAAGTTTAATCATGGCAGATGAATTCGAACGAATGTTGATTGTTTTTTGTATCGCACAATTCTAGCCTACATGAAAATTTTTAAATAGTGTTGAAATATTTTAAATTTGTGTCAGATGTGGTAAGAAATGATTTCTTTTGGCGAACAAGGAAGAATCACAGTAAAAAATATACGGTACTTAGAGTTAGAACCGAGGTGAAAAGAAAGCCTTATTTTTATATTAGACGTGGACAGGGTCAGGCAGTAACGGATAGAGATTGATTAGACTAGAGAGACGAGCCGAGCCGGCGATAAGAATCCGTTACTGTTGTTACTAAAGTAACTAAGACTATGGCAGAAGTGAATCAACATGACATGGAAAAATATACGACTAACATACACAGTTGAGTGACTAACTCATTACCTATAGAGAGATCTGTTTCTAGCAACATATATATTTTGTAAATACTCCCTACCACAAAATTTACAAGCAAATGCGACACTTCTCATGGGCGCTGCCATTTTATAAATATACCTTTCACACCTTCCAGAAAAGAGAATATTCAAGGGATACTAACGGATGCAGACCACAATTAACAAATTTTGCTCCAAATTTTGTACGAGGTTTGCCACTGAAATTTTGAGATACACATACTAACACGTGTAATTATCCGCCGTACATATCACAGTAACCAACCTCCTAACTATGTTATCCTTCTGCCTCTAAACCATGAATACTTACCAAAAACCTGACAGAAAATATTCTTCTTCAATTCTTGACCAAAAAATCAACACAAAAGGCCACGCAAAACGGGAGAGAGAATTGCTATTAATAGACGAACTGTGATCTGCCTCCTATATGCTTGGAAATAATTCTGGTACATTGCCTTGATTATCTAAATTATAAATGTGAAGGTATTGCATGTACCTCTCATAACTAAGAAACCAGTGACTCAGACTAAAATTAAAAATAATTTCAAAATTTCAATCCCAGAAGTTGACCATTTTCGTATTTTCAGTGTGCAGTATTTTTCTTGAATTCGAACTACAAAATGACCCCCCTTTTCTATTTTAAAACAGAAAATGGGGGATAAGTGATATCTCTCTGAGGTCTCCAATATTCTTAAGATGGTAGAGCAAGAATAAATTGTCTCCTTTAAACAAAAGAATAGTTTCTTTATTTTTAATTTGCATTTCTTTTGCATTTTAAACATAAAATTAAATACCCCTTATGTAAGAGATAAGAAGAAAATGTACATGAAATTAATACATGGAAAAAAATATAGCTTACATATAAGAAATTCTATTAATCTTGAGAAACTATTAATTATGATGAAACTTTAAACCTTTGTACCTATTTTTCTAGAAGGATCTAATGTCATATCATCTATCAAAAAATGCTTATTTAGGATTAAACCCAATTAATTTCATGATGCATACTTGACTGACCTGAACTGAAATAAAATACAGGTTAAACATTATTCAGTAGAAACTGTGACCCAATTAGCTTTTCTATTTTTTTTCTTACAAATCATCAAGAACAGATTAATAATTATTAACACTATGTGAAATATTTTTGATATAATATGTACAATTTCACATTTTAATAACCATACAATGAAGAACCATGATATCCAATAATTTACAATTACATGTACATATACCTTTGGCACTACATTATAATATCTATAAGACATGACATTCATTACATTATCAAATCTATTCCATCTTTTTATGACTAAACACTGCGTATGAAATCATATTAATTGAATCGGTCAAGTAAAATTTGAATAGTCAACATTAATTCATGAAAGATGATTACTTTATTTTTTGCACATGGAATGTAGAATAATAGAAACTTTTTTTCATAACACAAAGGTACCTAAATCCAAATACCTTTTTTAAGGACATTAATGTCAAAAATTGAAAAGAAAGCCTTGAAGAAAGTAATGACATCATATCGATTGTTAGTAATCTACACTGATAATTATGTCCACAATGGATACAAGAAGCTTCTTAATATATGATTCCAGTATATACAAAAACAATGTTATAATAGATATATAAATGATATTTTTAAAAAGATATACACCCTTTTTAAAGCTTAACAAGAACTCTATGGGAAGAGTTCCATTGTGGTGTTGACAGCAGTATTTAAAAATAAGGTCATGGTTCACAAAAGGCAAGGGTGGAAGATAATACTCATGATGAAATAGAATTACGTGTATATATAATACAAAAGACATCAATATAGGTTAAAGTTAGTGCTAAATTTTGACATGTATGGCAAAAACAATACATATTGGTACTAATGGTTACCAATGTTACAAATTTAAACAAAAAAAAAACATTTGGTGGTTTATTACATGACAATTATCTAATAGAAGTTCTAAATATTTATTATTTTTATCACTCACATTAAACTCAAGGTCTAGAAGAAACAGTACTTTCCCTAACCTTGGTCATAATAAAACGAAATTGGTTTTAACATCTTAATATTCTGCACGGACTGGGTTAATGAATGTAGAGTTAAACAACACAATTTTTTTGCATTCATAGAAACATGGGTTTTCCTCTTAGTGTTTTAATGTCGATAATGAGCTACTAAAGGATAATCCAGAATATTTCATACAATATTTGATACATTTTTCATTTGAACTCCACATAAACTAGGAAGATCTACAAATAACAGTTGTTAATTTGATTTGTTGCTATGTACAGATATAGTTTACAATTGTTTTTTACAAAAGAATCACAGTGTGTACATAAAATATGCATTATGCAATAAGCAAATAAAATAACTTTAAAGATGCATAAGAGCTAAATCTGCCTATTGCAGATCTTTATTTTGGCTTCAAATGTTATATAAACTATTATTTAGACACGTTATGGATAGCTGAGATTTAAATGGATAGAAACACGATCGCCATTTAATAAGTTTATTTAAAAACAGATAATGTAGACTTAGTCTTGATTGTCAAGTACCGTTGCTACGATAATAAACAATCATTGCTACATCTTCAAACACTGATAACTTGGCTCAGAATAAAGTGATTTGAATGAAATTTTCAATATATTAATTTTTCAATATCCATATTTGAACTATTATAGCAAGAAAGGTCAGCTCTTCATCTAAATCTCAAATATAATGCATCTTTAAAAGTCTCTCTTTATCAAAAAAAAAAAAAAAAAGAAATAAAGATATGTATTGTTAAAATACAGACAGCCATTTCCCCAAAGACATTATGTAATTCAACAATGGCCTGTCAGGGAATTGCCAGGCATGTACCACTTGCTTAGAAATACAAATAATATGTTGACCAATAATTCGTTGTTGTAGTTTAACATTAAACAGATCAAAGTGTCTAAACATATAACTAAGTAACTCATAAAAAAGAAAAGTTTTACAAAATAAATTCATTCCAAAGACTTCTCCACTCTTGTCCAACCATTTTACCACATAATAACAAAAATGTCTTGTGTGTTATAATGTAGCACTGGACTGGACCAACAGACAGGTACCTCTTTACATTCATAATGTCATAAACTTCTACCTTTTTTATGAAGCATTTAATATTTTCAAATAAAATGCATAGAGAAATACAAGATTATGTTTTTCCACAGGGTAAATGAAGTAAAAAAACAGGTGGATGATTCTCTACGCTAGTTTAAATGCATTTTCTAGTTTTTTGGTTTTTAAATAATTTGTTACAATAAATACAATTTATATACAAACACAAAATATATGGTCCTTCAATTTCAAATACACGACACACTTATAGTTATACAGACAATTAAGGACATTTATATTTACATATATAGGTGATATAAAAATTCTGATAAACTATATATATATATATCTAGGAAAAAAAAAATAATTACTACCCAAAGCCTCTTGTTGATCTTTACAGATCTAGACAATGATAGAAGACTCATTTTTTAAATAAATTTGATCACATTATTACATTTGATTAGCTAAGAATATGTCTATTGAATTATCAAGTTATAATAAATTGCAATGAGCTTCTGCCTCATAAGAGGACGAATGAGATCATGATCATATGACCAGTAGCTGTGTAATAAATTGAACAAGTATATGAACTCTATATTATATAATTTCTATGATTAAATGTATATCTATAAATGATGGTGTCTATAAATGGAATTCTACTCCCTTTATGTCTAATGTGTCATACTTCATTAGTCAGGTCTGAATATTGGAACTTTGGGAATAAATTCAATGAGCAAAACCTGAAAAGAGAGAGTTGAAATATATGAACAATAATTACACCATGTCAATATCTATCTATACTAATATTTGTGACTTTTGTTTGTCTCTCTGTTTGTCTGTCTGTCTGTTCGGGGTTGGCGGCTACACTAGGTCTGCCCCCGAGTCTGAAATTTGGGGTATAGGGGTAGCTCGGACCGGGGAGTAACATAGGCCAGGTGGCGTTAGTCTACCATTTTCGGTTTCGGGGTTATGACCCCGGACAAAGCCGGGCATTCTTCTAGTAAGAAATAAAGATAAATGTTGCTCTCTGACGTCCAATTACCAAGAACTAAAAAATAATTTAGGTGTCCAGCGCTGCCCAAATCAGTCCAATTTCGTACAATGTCATATTTACTGATTTTAAGGTTCCAGATTTTTATTTTTACTTTTCTACCACTCGGTGAAAAGCGCTCTGAAAAGTACAAAATTGGCTGTTGTTGTTTGCTATGGGTTTTGCTTTGTTTATGTCAGTACTGTGTATAAATTTAAAGTCAATCAGATATTAACTTTAGCCTCTAGACCATCCACAAGACTTTTCAAAGTGATCAAGGGCCATAACTCTGGCAGTAATTATCGGAAATCGCTGAAAATCAATAGCCTTTTTCGACTCATGACCTTAAACACTGTGTATAAATTTAAAGTCAATTGGATATTAACTTTGACCTCTAGAGCGTCCACAAGATTTTTTGAAGTGATCACGGGCCATAATACTCTGGCAGTAATTATCAGAAATCGCTGAAAATCAAAAGGCTTCCTCGTCTCATGACCTTAAACACCGAGTATAAATTTAAAGTCAATCGGATATTAACTTTAGCCTCTAGAACATCCACAAGCAATAGTGGACGCCAGTCGGCCGGGGGCGAAAACAATACACAATCACATTTCAATGTGTGCGCATAAAAATTAATGTACATGCCAATTACAAACTACAGAATTCAAATTTATACAAAGCTGTGTTTTGATCTTTTTGTCCCATGAGTCCTGAATACGAACTAACAGTACATGATGAATAGATTTCATCATTCATAAATTCAGTCAGATCCATATTATATTATAATGTGATGGTAATCAAAAGTATAAAACACAAAACAGTCATTTTCTCCTGTATCGATTCACATTTGACGAGCTGAATACGAACTAAAAGTATAGTACATGAAAATAACTTCTAGACAACCCAATCATGGAACAAATCAACATAGTAAGTATAAACTCTTGTGAACCAGAGTGATCACTGATAACTACAAGGTAGCATAGGAAGTGGATTTCTGGGAAGTGCAAACCAGTGTTGACATACTTACATATTCCATCATACTACTTGAATCACAACGCTGTTTACTTAATCTAAAATGTAATCCCAACTAAAATAAAACATAAAAAAGAAAATCAATAAATATCTTATGGCTAATTATTTCAACACTCTTCTTACAGCAGTAAGATTCTGCTGAAAGTTAAAAATCAAACTCTTGTAGAAGGTCAAATTATATCGGTTTTCAATTGCATGAAAAAACTGGATTATAATAACAGATAAAAGTTGATAATGATAACTCATTTATTTACAGGTATAATAGTCTCTTCTGAAAACCAATATAAAATGATTAGATTAAAATCATATGGTAACCTACTTTATGGTAAAGATGACTATTTTCCCAATCTAAACATTTTTCTATTGCATGTCTTGTCTGAAAAAGAGATAAATTAAAATCACTTAGACTATAAACTCAATAATAATACTCCTTCTGTCATGTTGATAATGTATCTTTTAAATATCTACATATCTGATAACAACCAATTATTTTTACATGTACATATATCATATGCTTTTCACATATATGAAAACAAATGAAGTCGGGTTTAACTTATTCATTTTCTGCACCAATTGAATGAATGAATGAAATGGAGTTTTATGGCATGTCATCTCCAACTGGGCTATATTGTGCCAAAAACATATGGTGAATTTAACAAGACAAATTAAAACAATATCACAGACATTTATATATGTAAATAAAAACAAATATCACATTGTCTCCTTAAAAATGTTAGCAATTTATCATATAGCTCTGGTTGAGCAAATAGCCTAAGTACTGATTGGCACTGCACCAATTGGGCTAATGAAGACAGGCATTTCATCCACTCTGAATTCCGACTGCCAAGGGTTCTTTTATGTACATGCCAATGTCTACACAGGATGGGATCTTGATTTTGCATCCCATCCAAACTACTAGTCACTTTCCACAAACCATGTATCATGATTGGTATTATGGGCATGGCTGTAAACAAACAAATTTTCTTTCAAAACACAAATGTGACTTTAATGGAAGGAAAGAATACTAAACCTATTTACTTACTCGTTTACTGAGACAAACAACTGGCCATAAAGAACAACCTAAAGTACAACAACAACACACACAGCCACAAAATAACCATTTAACATTGACAGGTAAAGCTTTCTTTAATACACTATTTAAACGAGTCATAGTAGCTTTAAACTCTTCTGGTGCTACCTGAAAATACAAGGTCATTGATATCCATTTTTAAATGGACAATTACAAATTTACAGTTTAAGGAAGAAAGAAATGAAATGGGATTCAACATGTTACTTGTTTGTAAAGGGAGAAACTTCCACTTGAGACAAACCTGTTCATTTCAGGAGTAACATAATATGTTTTAAATTTATTTCAATATAAATTTGAATGCGGTATGGCGCTTGCGAAAAGGGATCTTTAGCTGTAGGAGGAAACCAAACAAAACCATGCCATGTGACTCAATGACAGATCTTATGATCTAAAGCATGCTTGAGACAATTCAGCCACTGACACCCCCCCCCCCCATGACGTATATACATATACATTTATGAATATCTACAAATTAAGTCAATGACTTAAACTTGTCACTAATATTTACTAAGGTAAATGAGTGTAAGACTTAGACAATGTGTACAATCTCATCTACATATCAAACAAGATCTAACTATTAAATTGTACCTTTGCTGAAAGACCTGGTGGAAATTCTGTATCGAATTTATTACTGAGACCAAATCTGAAATTTGAGAATCAAACTTTTAGTATAGGTTGAGTATTCATGGTTATATGGCAAATGGTTAAAGTTACCTACCCAAACACATAGCAGGCTGTAAAATTTGATTCTACTACATGTTGCATCTAGTTCTACTCTTACATATCAAATGATAAACTTAGAAAATATGGGCACGGAATTAAGTATGTTTAAAATACAGATGTGACGTCATCCTTTGATGTTGGCGTACCATTATTTCAAATAATGTACAAGTAGCTTGCCAACCGTACACTATTTATACTAGATGAAATATTGGACTCATATGATGATGTATTTCATTGAAATGCACATGTGGGATAGTAGGGTGACCCACCATAAATAAATATCTCCATATATCTCGACAATTACGCCACAATATTTATATATATGCCAAGCCTTAAATCAGTTTCACACAATTATAGTCACTAAATAAACGATCATGTTGTACTTAATAAGCTATGACCATTAATCATGTATAAATAATAGACTGAAAACTGGTTCCAAGAGTCGTCCATAACATCCAGACACTTTTGAGTAAAAGATAGGTTATGTGCCCTTTTTTTGAAATTAGTCTCGCTTAACCAGTCTATCGACCATTCTACGTCTGATTGACAGGTCGGGATAATCAAGACTACTTTTTTACGAAACATAACAGAAAGCTAGAACAAGAAATTGAATTTAGAAATAAGCACGTTAGGTAGCTCAACAATCGTTTTAAGAAGCTTGTAAAAGTAAAATGAAACTACTGCTAGTATCATGTTCCTGTCTAACCCGAGTGATTCAGAGATACTATTTGTACTAAACCAAAAGATGCCGCTCTTAACGGTACAGTTAATGATAAAGCGATTTAAAAAATGAAACGAACGTAATTTCTAAATCTGCTGTAATAACCAAGAAGCTTAGTTTTACTGCTTTTCAAAATCGTCAACAATAAATTTTTTACGGCTGTAATAGTTGATAGATTTGTAGAGAATTGCACGTGCCATGGCTATTTATAGTATCATACTGTCAGAAAGTTGGTCTCGGCACGGCGGATGTGCAAGCTTCAGTGGTAGTCTCAAACTATCAGCGGTGGACTGTATTTCTGTGAGTACATGGGTCACCCTAGGGATAGTTTCTGTATTTCATAGCGCTCCTTGTATATTACTTAATGCAGTGATTCTCAACCAGTGTACTGCGGCACACATCTGTGGAAATGCGAAAAACCATGTGATCCCAATGGAGTATTCACTGGTGTCTACTGATAAGTTCATAGAGCTGTGTTTTTCTTTATTTAGTTTGAGTCATGTCTATGACTAGTCTCTGTCCATGGTTGTATGTTTTTATTTTGAAAAATTCAAATATTTTTCATATATATACTGAGCGCCATGGAAAACGCATCACTTAGTTTTTGTATAACAAAATGATCCTGTAAACATATCTTATTTATTTTGCTTCTTATTGTGAACAATATTCAAATGGTAACACATCAATAACAACACATTTGTACACTTATGGATGTTTAATCTGTAATCAACGGTACAAAGTCAGAGGGGTCAAAACCAAAAGTACGACACAGATGTCAGTAGCACGTGTGTCCTCCACTGGCTCTTACGCTCGCTGTGCAGCGACGTCGCATGGAATTTACCAATGTTTGAAAGAAGGCCTGGGGCAAATTGTTCCATTCTTGGACAAGAGCAGCTTCTAAAGCAGCAATGGTGTGCATCTGTGGTCACGATACAGACGGCGTCCAATCTCATCCCAGACATGTTCTATCGGTGCCATGTCCGGAGACATGGCTGGCCAGTCCAAGACATTGATGTTGTTAGCAGCCAGGTAGTTCATACTAAAACGGGCGGTATGCGGACGTGCATTATCCTGTGCTGAAGTGCTGAAGTTGTGGGTGCGCTCGAAACATCGGAACAACAATTGGTTGCAAGACATCATCACGGTAGGCTACAGCATTAACGCGACCCCTGCAAATGTGTAGGGCGGTACGGTGATGAAATGTGAAGCCTCCCCACACCATTACACTTTCCCCACCCCATTGATTCGTTTCGAAGACGCAGCAGTCTGCAAGATGTTCCCCAAGACATCTCCGCACACGTTGACGGCCATCAGCGTGACAAAGTTGAAAGCGACTCTCATCACTGAAGAGCACACTTTGCCAGTCTACTCTTCTCCATGTCTGGTGTCCTTGAGCCCATATCAAAAACGCCGCTGACGGTGATGATCCCTGAGGATAGCTCCAACATAAGGTCATCGTGCACGGAGTCCTACTTCTCTTAGACGACGTCTTACGGTGTTGGCACTTACTGGTCCTTGTCTTCCGACGACTGCTGCACCTGTTCGAGTCGCTGGGTGGAATCTGTCACGCAGATGAGTGACCCGGATGTAGCGGTCTTGAGCCTGGGTTGTAACGCGTTGTGGACCAGGACGTTGACGGTCACGTGTTGATCCAGTAACTCGAACACGTTCCACCAACCTTACAATAGTGGACTGATGACAATTGAAGTGTCTGGCAATAGCCAAGTGGACATGCCAGCGCTGGACATTCCCATGGCTTCATTCCGTTGATTTTCAGTAAGTCTCAGCATCTCTAGCTCGATTCCTTCACACGTCCAACAACAAATTACGACAGATTGACGTTTCACAGTTCATGTACTGCACATTAAGTTGAAAACATGCTTTTAAAGGGCTCACACACAATGCTGCACGTGAATATTGGGTTTTTCATGTGCATCTTGTGCAATTTTTTTTTGTGCACACGGGCAGATATTTTTTGTGTGAAACAATAGTTCATAGTATTGCATAATATTATACATTCAAAACGACCTAGTAATAAAATATTTGGGAAAAAAAGTGATGCGTTTTCCATGGCGCTCAGAGTTTTTAGCCAGTTGTGCCGCTGTTTTTTCATGTGTTCCATCCAAGGTGTTTAAGATCATCTCTGGTAAAAGAAAATCCATTGTAACCATAATGGCTCACACAGTAGTAGTCCAGTTCTTAACGTAGGTCTCATTACACTCGCTCTGTACATTTAGGGGTGATGATTTTCCGTGATCGCGGAAAAAAACGCGGAAATCGCGGAATTGTCCACGCAAAACGGAATTTGAAATCGCACACGGAAAAAGACGGAAAAGTCGATATTTGCTGATACTAAACACAAACTCAAAACAATTTTGCAGTTATCCAAGTATTTCATCTTTTTATTCATAAAAATCGGAAATATTGAATGATATCGCCTGGTTTTGTTACTGTCTATTTTAGTATTTAGCTACTTTCATTTCATCATTTAGGAATCATAATTTTAATCGAAACGAAAACCCGTCTTTCATGTATCCCTGTATAAAATTACTCTGTAGTTTAACTTGAATTAAACATTGTAATGTATATATATATGGCACGTCGAATTACCCAATAACACCCAATAACTGCCCAATAACACCCAATAACTCCAAAATAACACCCAATAACTCCAAAATAACAACCAATCACTACAAAATGTTGACTTTGGAAACACAAAATAACAATTTAGTTGAATTTAAGAAGCATCGGTGCTTTCTGTCCAAATCGGAGTTTCACGCTCACTCGCCTGAAGGGAGATAACTCGTATATGTGATTTTTGTTGACAAGAAATTAATAACACCCAATAACTGCTTAATAAAACCAAATTGTTGACTTTGGAAATACAAAATAACAATTTAGTTGCATTTAAAAGCCTCGCAACGTTGATCCCAAATCAGAGTTTTACGCTCACTCGCCTGAAGGGAGATAACACCCAATAACTGCTCAATAACACTCAATAACTGCCCAATAACACCAAATTGTTGACTTTGGAAGTACAAAATAACAATTTAGTTGAATTCAAAAGCCTCGCAACGTTGAGCCCAAATCAGAGTTTTACGCTCACTCGCCTGAAGGGAGATAACTTGTGTATGTGATTTGTGTTTAAAAGAAATTAATGTACGCTTTCGTTGCAATTCGTTTCAATTATACATGGGCGTCAAATATGGAATAACTATTTCAGCCCCTCCATGGGTATCGTCTTGTGTGTGTGTGTGTGGGGGGGGGTCTTTACCAGTGTGATGACCCAGAGAGAACCCACAATTCTGGACAGACGACACTACTTCTTGACTTCTTGTCAGGTATAACCGGGGAATCACATACACAAGTTATCTCCCTTCAGGCGAGTGAGCGTGAAACTCCGATTTGAATATCAAAACCAGCATAGTTGGATCTGCAAGACCTACACATGTAGTCTTCACTTGAACATTGAAAAAAATTCAACTGAGTAGTATCTATTTTTTCACAATCTGAATGGCACCAACGTTGACATACTTCACAATATAAGCTTTGAATATGGCGAGTTTCTTTCAAACATGATCCGCAAGGATACTCAAATCGGGGATTTTTCCTATCATGTATAATTAAAACAAATTGCAACGAAAGCATACATTAATTTCTTGTAAACAAAAATCACATACACGAGTTATCTCCCTTCAGGTGAGTGAGCGTAAAACTCTGATTTGGGATCAACGTTGTGAGGCTTTTAAATTCAACTAAATTGCTATTTTGTACTTCCAAAGTCAACAATTTGGTGTTATTGGGCAGTTATTGGGTGTTATTGAGCAGTTATTGGGTGTTATTAATTTCTTGTTAACAAAAATCACATATACGAGTTATCTCCCTTCAGGCGAGTGAGTGTGAAACTCCGATTTGGACAAAAAGCAGCGATGCTTCTTAAATTCAACTAAATTGTTATTTTGTGTTTCCAAAGTCAACATTTTGTAGTTATTGGTTGTTATTTTGGAGTAATTGGGCAATTATTGGGTGTTATTGGGTAATTTGACGCGCCCCATCAGAAATAAGCCGTAGCCTTGTGAATCCAGCCCTTATTCTCGAAGAAACGGTAGTAACTACGAAGATGTCTGGATAAATCGCGACTACAACTAGCAGCTGAGAAAAGTGGCTTTGTCTGCTAAAAAGATGAAACGAGCTCACAAGATGTAATTTTCTGTTATTTAATTCGGGAAACAGGTTTAAAAAATAACTAGTCATTGAACATTACAAGTCATTCACAATTCAACATTTGTTATCATTGGTTTAAAATGATCCGTTTTGTAATAAAAGGCATTTTAAGATGTTTTATTCATTTATTCATAAAATAACATTTTATCTCGAAAAAACGGAATATGGTCAGCTCTGAAACGGAAAATAACGGAATTAAAAATACTTAAAACAGAATTTGCTATTTTCTGAAATGGAAAATCATCACCCCTATACATTCAGGAACTGGCCTATTGATTCCTTGTCCAAAACATTTCAGGGGGGGGGAAATTGGAATCTTTGAAAAATTGAGAATCTTCAGTCATTTATTGTTTTGCCTAGCCCAATTACAGTCAAATTTTTTTCACAAATTCCAATTTCGACTCACCTGCTCAGTGCTCACCTAAATTTTGCTTCATCTTACATGGTCGAGATACGTAAATTTGTGCGTTACCCTATAGTTAGATTTCAATGGCTTCTGCCAAGCTGTTTAGCAGAAGGGGGCGTACAAAATGGAAATGGACGAAAATAATGTAAATATTGGAAACAAGTGGCTATGATATCGTTTTGTGGGAGTATTTATGCAAATCAAAACGACTAGATTGAAGAAAAAACATATCTGAGTGAATCGACAGAGGTTTGATTGCCTGACATTACGAATCGTTGAAAAAAACGTGCCGAAGCGAGAGCAGGTAAAATCGAATCTTCAACAGGCATTGCATTCCTGTTCCTTTTTATTATATATTGTCTGGTTGGACATGGTGTATGCATATAATATATAGGAGCTTTTACGTGTGACGTACTCCCGGTGTCTATTTTTAGCCTGTCCCTTTTCTATCCGTATCTTAACATGGTAAATGCTAGGGAAAGCGGGGTTTTCCCTCTTTTTCTCTTTATAGAAAACGTATTCTTTAATGCCACTCTTGTTTTAAGTTGCGTGTAGCATTCAAAATAAATTACCGATTTCAAATCATGTCTAAGTTATTATTTTTTTGTTTTAATGACGATATACTGCGTTGTAGCAGACGATATATGTCAAGCTCGCACACGGCCCAGTTGACCGCAGTACGCAAAAGCATTACAAAGATGCATTGCTGTATGAAGCCGATTTATATGTTTTGTTTTAATTTTACTGCAAACAATTAATAGATAACATCTGTTTGGTTGTAAAATGCCATGAAATAGAGCATAAGAGTAAATTATAGAATGGGTAATTGGAGATGTTGACCTGCGGTTCCACGAAAGAATTATTCAAGACGATATTAAAATTTAAGCACGACCGTAGCACATCATGCCACATCTAATAAAAAAAGAGAACAAATAATAATCACGATGTAAAGATTGTACCGAGTCCAGTTACATATTTCCATTCAACAGTTGTTCTCTGAACCAAATACTGAATAAGAAATTGATAAAATGGACACAAATGAATCGTTCTTCTTCTTGGTTGCGGCAAGATAAACTGATTGGATTAAAATTTCACTGAGTGCCAAAAGCTGAGCCAAAACGATTTATGTGACTACAATTAACAGAAAAAAACAGTTTTAAAAATATTCACAGATTCAACTTGATCGTCGTTTTATTCTTTTTGTTATTCATATCCCATCAATCAAGAGGAAAATTTATAAAAATGGCTGAAGTTTTACCCCGTGCACCAAACAACTATTTTATCATTGGTTAGAGCCGTCTAAACGTGGGGAAATTTACAATAGCTATTGGCTAACAGCACGCATTCATAAACAATCTTATTTGCATATTGCATACTATTTATAGTATTATTAGCTGGAATTATTTTCAAGTCGACAGCCCCAAACAAAGACCAACATAGTACCGTGTTTTGTGTCGAGTAGGGTCGTAGCATGCGTTATAGCAGACGATATATCAACCTCGCAAAGAACTGTCCAGTCGGCAGTTGAATGTAAATAGGATAGACCATTTAAATCTTTTGTGTTAATTAATATATAACATCTATTTGACCGTAAAATGCGTAATAAACTTCACTTAATTCTAGTTCGGGCCATAGAGCACGGGTCAGTCATCCACTTGTTTCAATTGCAAACGGCCAATTACGGGTCTGGTAACTTGCCGTATCTTTCCTATATCGAAGTTTTTGTAAATATCGCTTTCTGACATCGGTCGGTAAACCTTACGCGTATATAGAAATGGCGTTCAGTTCCATTTTATGTAAAAGAAGCTTAATGTACGACGGTATTTTCACAAAAAAACACACACTGGCCTATGGGTTTCAGTCTATGAATAAGGCCAATGTCTGCGCATGACCGAAAATGACGTCAAAATGGAAACCCGTAAAAGCTCCTATACGGATAGAAGGTAAGATTGCTGTGATTACTGCTAGTCCTAGTTTAGATTAGTTTAGGGTATTTGTTAATTGTTGATCAAAAATAAAAAGTTTAAAGGCTAGTATATTATAATATTTATAAATAATATAGCATTTTTTAATTCTTAATCCTGGAATAATTTTCCAATCTGGCACTAAATACTACATGGTAACCACCGCTTCCACGGAGAGTGATAATCACTAATTCAGACTGGCATTTGAAAGTACGACTGGTTGACCTCGTTAAACAGTTTGTTATGGTTTTTTTTGTTATTATTAGAACGTGAACACAAAGTCGACAGTGTAGCGTGAGTGAGTGACGACAACAATAAAATAAGCCACTGGCAAAATAATCTAATCTGGCCTTTTCTCGTCCATTTTACTCCCTTTACTTACATCGTGACATTTCCTCCTCCCCTAACAACAATTGGGTCTGGAACAGTTATCATTAAATCGTCTGGAATTGGTTCTTCGTCTTCACCTTCCTCATAAATCGTGTCGAAGTCAGCCATTGTTGTTTCCGTCAGTCACCTCAACTAACTGTGACGTTTGACTCAATTTTGTGAAGGGAAGCAACTCTTAACTGTGTCAAGAAACTGAAAGTAAACCAAGGAAGTGAAAATAGGTCACAAAATAGGTCACAAAGATTGATTCCATAAATGTCGACAACTTAAATAAGTTACAGACAAAATTTTGTATATTGTTCGTGGGTCAGGAGACCTTATTTTATACCAGATTCGACCATTTTATTTAATGCCGTGTTACGATTAATTTTATACAATATATGAGGTTAAAAATGAAAAAAAAAACCCCCAAAACCCACAATATTCAGCTGGGAGTGCACTAACCTGATAGTCTACAATTCAGACTACATGTTTACAAACTAGAATTTTTGCACCTGCTCTTTGCTTTTACTTGTCCGCGTTCTTTTGAGAAAGCGTGCTTGTCTGTGGTGACAAACCGGTTCAGAGATTTACCTAAAACAATCACTATAATTATTATGCAAGAGCTAAATATGCCTATCGGATCGTAGGTTTAGACATTAAATGTTATATAAACTATTAATTAGACATTATAACATGACAAGACCATAATCAACTCTCGATGCCATCTGATGGGTCCGTTTTTGAACAGATTTGAATCCGATCTGCGGTTCAACGGCAGTTGATCGAGACTTCGGTGATTATCGTAACAACGGTAACAATGACAATCGAGGTTACAGTGTTATTGAAATGAGAATTTCTCGGCCCAGACTGAAGTAATTTGACTGAAATTCTCAGTATATTCCCTTTACATTAACTAATTTTTAACTATTACAGCGAGAACTGTCAGCTCTTATATGTAATCTTCCATAATGCCGTTTTAACCAAAACAACCTGTATTTTTATGTTTTTTCTTTCTTTTTATATGTATAGATATTTAATTTTCACTTAAAGTAGCTAAGTCTCTATATTCGGAATTAAAATCACAAATTATAATTCAATATTGGTCCATTTCAACATGATGTTGTTATGTTGCCGTGAAAATGTGGGATCCTAATATCTAATATTTAAGACACAAAGGACGTTTTAAAATATGGTACACGAGTCGTCTGCCACATCGTTTCGGGCGTAAAACCACTGGATAAAGAAAAACATATCCTTAATTACAATGCGGCAGTAAATAGTAATGGCTGATTCACAAATGATTAAATAATAATAAAAAACGTGAAGAATGGGCTAATTAGGCGTAAACCATTGTCGTTTAGTTTGCACTGTTCGTGTATTTCACAGAACATAATTGATTAGAAATTACTTTTTAAAAAAAAAAAAAATGAATATAAATCACTTTATATACACTCATATTACATTAATTATGTGCTTTTAGACCGATTTATGGTTTAAAAAATAGAGCCATACGCCCTTTATCTTTACTTTCTTAAACAATTCTGGCAAAAAAACGTAAATAAATGGACGATAAGAGAAAGAAAGACAACTCTTATTGTCATAGGAGTGATTATGCAGTTTTTATATATTAACTAATGTTTCAATTTAAAAAAAATAATATAAGCAATATAACCAGCGGCTGCCAGAAAAGATACGCCCACATTTTGCAAGAGATGGATAGAGAACAAGCTTAAAAAAAAAGCAAAAAAAAAAAAAAAAAAGCGATTTTTCATACAACAGGGCCATAATCCAGGAAGTTATGGTCTGAAATGCGTAAATATCGAGATATTTGGGAACCAAGGACCTTGAGTTATAAACATGCATTTCAAGTTTCATCAAAATCGGGTGAAAATAACTGTGACCTCTTGAGTGTCCACGAGCTAAAAACGTGATTTTTCGTACAATCAGGAGCCATAATCCATGAAGTTTCGACCTGATACATGCTAATATCGAAAGGAATCTTTACAAAATAAACCTATATTTCAAGTTTCGTCAAAATCGGATAAAATTGTGACCTGTAAGTGTCCACAAACAAATTGTGGATTGACAGACGGACGCACGTCCGGACGGACAGGGGCGACGACAATATACGTCCACATGAAAATGTAGGTGTTTAAAAATAATTGTAATTTTACGGTTACTTGGCCCCTCAATATAGGGTCGGGTGGCATCCCCTTGTTAGTGGTGCAGGTCGAGGAACAGTGTCTAGTCGTTCATATGGGATGAAAAACTGAGACTCCTTGTACACATTGGCGTGCACGTCAAAGAACCTTGACAGTTGGAATTAGAAAGTAGGCCGTTATATAGTACCTATATTTCCCCCAAAGCACACTGTATGGCGCATGCCCGTCTTCATTAGCCCAGTCGGTGCAGAAAAGTAGGGTGTTAAACCCCATTTCATTTTATGCAGATCCGCCAAGTTATAGTGCAATGAAAAAACCCTCGAAATTTTCTTTGTTTTTGTTTTATTTTTCTATTATATACATTAATCATTCTTTAATAAGAAATTCTTTAACGACAATTATTGAAAGCGTTGACTAGCAAATACTGATGTTCAGAAGTGTGGGAAACTAAAGTGACCGGGAAAAAAACGCACAAGGTTTAACAGACCTTACAACTTGGCACTTACAATCCTTAAAATGCCAGTTCAGTGTTTCTCGGATTTGGAAATGCAATGAAATGAAATGAAATAGGGTTTAACGTCATACCCATTGTTCGCAGTATTCTGTAACAAAACTAGAACACTCGAGAGGTTACTATTAAGTGTAAATTATGGTGGCTGATTGGTATCATGTCCTAATGTCGTGATGTCGCCTTTCATAACGCGACAACCCGACAACCCGACATCACGACATTACGACATGATACCAATCAGCCACCATAGTAAATAGAGCTTTATCACCCAATAATACATTCTACAGTAGATATCGCTTGTGTGATATATTTCATAAACTACTGCGATATCTCCTTAGGAGATATCGCTTTACATGAATTTGATTGGTCAGTTGAAAAGGAACTACTTTTTTTTGTTTTCAAAGAACGGTTCATTTCTTATTAAAAGTACCTTTTTTTTTAAATTAAAAATGAACTATTGTTATTCAATTGACCTTGATGGAAACACTGGGTCAATATAGATGAATTCAAAATATTTAATATCAAAATTAATTAAAGATACATTATGGGAGATTCGATAACGAGTTGGCAGTTCTCACTATAATATTTAAAAACTACATAACGTAAAGGCAATTTGCTGAAAATTTCATTCAAATTGATCCACTATGAACCGAAAACTAAGCGAATGAAATTTCTGCCTAGCCTCGGTCATCTTTACTAAAGTCAGTACGATAAACAGCATAGTCTCGATTATCCATTTAATCGTTTAATCGAGAAAGAAAGTTATGCAGTAAATCGGCTCACAATCCACTTAAGATCGCAGGCTAGCGATGCCATCTAGAGTCGATTATGGTCTGGATAAGTTAATTAATGTCTAATTAATAATTTAGATAACATTTCAGGCCTAAAGAAAGACCTGCAATAGACATATTTAGCTCTTGCATAATGTATGTTTAATTAAGAACTTTGAATTAGTTTTTCATTGTTTGTTTGTCTTTTATTACTGTTACCTTCTTTGTCTCAAAACCTCAAACTCTAACCACGTGCTTGCCGGATTGTTCATGACTTATTATTGTTTACGTTTTGAATTGTATACTATGGGCACCAAAATCTTCTAAGTTCTTAGGCATAGGCGTACGGGCCGATTTTCCCGGACTGCAGTTTGAGAACTAGACATCCTGAAACAAAATCAGAATTGTATGATTTTCCGTAACTCTGAACTCCGGTTGGGAATTGCATCACACCACCCAATGGTCATTAAAAGTCACAGATTTCGGGCACTTCATTTTGTGGGTAGAATAATTTTCAGATTTTTCGTTTTATAGCGCCTAGCGGAGCGAATTTTCTGGAACTGCAGTCTGAGAACTAACTATCCTGAAACAAAATCAGAATTGTATGATCTTCCGTAATTCTGAACTCCGCTTGGGAATTGTATCATCCCACCCAGTGGTCAGTAAAACTAACAGATTTCGGGCACTTCATTTTACGGGTAGAATAATTTTCATATTTTTCCTTTTATATCCACTAAACCATCACTTTTTTCATCATCTGGCCACTGTCCGAAAAATTTGATGATCGTCCGAAAAGAAATCTTCCCCCCCACCATCTGGGAGAACAAATCGGCCCTTACGCCTAAGCATTTAGAAGATTTTGGTGTCCCCATATAGTATACAATTCAAAATGTAAACAATAATAAACCATACATGCGCCCCCCCCCCCCGCGCCCCTCCCACTCATACGCCTATGTGCTCGGGCCTCTATAGGCCTTAATCCGACCCTGCGTTTCCGTTTCTTTTCTATACGCCCACATTAGCTCTTCTGATCACTTAGTTGCAGTGGGTGTATGTTTGGTTTCCTGACGGCTTATCTTTATGTTTTATATTACATTTACACTATATATATATATATATATATGGAGAGAGAGAGAAATGGGGTTTAACGTCCACTCGACACAAACTAGGTCATTTCGAGACTAACATATGGTTTAATTTTATTTCAATAATTCGCTTGTGCGTAGGGGTCTTTAGCAGTGGGAGGAAACCGGATTTACACTATATAACAGTGAAGTTTAACACCATTTTAAAGGGCCAATCCCGATAATATGTTAGAGAATAAAACTGCTTAATTTTGGGTTAAAATCCCTTAAAATGATCTACATAATGGCTGTGCAACTAACTCAATATTTGTGATACATTTTCAAACAACTCAAACCTGTCAGTCTTCATCTGGAACTGGAGACTGGTGTCCCAAGCTGTATTATGCGGTGTCTGGATAAAACCAGACTTTTATTTTATAAAAATAAAGTGTAGTTGAAATTTACCTTTCATTATCAAGTACAGCACATGGGTCATTCACTGTATAGATCTCTTTAGGAACGGGAATCGATTATCAGGTCATTCAACGAAAAAAATTGGCCCGAAATCTTGAAAGGGTTAGGTGTCCGCTAAGCATTTTTTACGTTCACGTCCAAACGACTCAATATTTTGAGCTGAAATTTTGGGACAAGTTAAATAAACCATTCCTCTGTATTTTGGCGCTTAAATTTCTTACGTACTCAGACTTTTTGAGACTCAAATCGGGATAATCCCTTTAAATAAGTTTAAATTCAGTTGTAACATGAACGTGAAATCTTCCATTTTTTCTTTTCGTTGAATAAGCAGATTGTTTTCCCTCTAGTAGATTGGGTGGAACTTAACCGTGCAATAACTAGACATGTTCAATGTTATTGCACGCTTTTGCTGGTTTACACTAGTTTTAGTAGAAATCATATAGAGAAGTGGGGTGGGTTTCCTGTGCAATAACAACAAGCATGTTGAGCAGGTGTCAATGTTACAAGTCATTTATACCAGGCTTTATTCGTTAACTCATGAAAACCGTGCTATAAATATAACTTGACCTAACCCTTCATGCAGCCAATGAACAGGTAACTATTTTACCAACCATGACGATGTCTTGACTTGGAAATGGTACCAATAATATTAGCATATTTATATTTATTTTGATCTTAAATTATCATCCTCTAATTTTGCATATACATGTACAATGGAACCGCCAAGGCCATAGTTCAAGGATTATATTTGTCGACAATTTCCATTCCCTAAAATAACATTACTCTAATGTTCTAACCCTTAATAATTGATAGGATAGGGTTCGTCCTCTCATGACCCCAAGCTTCACAAATCATTTGAATCAAATCAGTTACAAACTGTAGCCTCTATCGCGTTCACAGTATTCAGAAGGGAGGGGGTAACCCCGGAACGGAAGGCCGTAACACGTAAAAACGAAAACATTCGTCCTCTCACAACCCCAATGCTTCACACATGATTTAAAAACATCTGTTAAATACTGTAGGGGGACAGGTTGGCGACATTATACGCTCACACTAAAATGTGGCAGCATAAATAAACCTGCGAAACGGTACCATGGAACTTCAAATTGTTGTTTACGGAACAAGATTTTTAAGGGCCTTTAACATATAATGAAGCAGATTGCAGATTAGGTCGACCCGCCGCAGATATAAAGCAATAAATTGGAAAAATTGAAGTTTTAGTTAGCTTATTGTAATTTTTGGACCCATGGTGAGTAGATTCATCGCCCTTTTTGAGTAAACAACAAAAACGCTTCCTTGCATTTTATACACTACGTTTTTCTTTCCATGTTATAGAAAAATATAGAAAAGGTTTGGAAAATAAAATTTATGTACCTTTATCCTTCAGTGGCATATAGCATTGGACACAATACAAAAATATACAATTTATATTGAAAACAATCACTGGCAAAAATGTCGAAACGTCGTGATAAGGCCTATATGTAGCAGGGATTGTTTTTCATGTTGTGTCCATGTGATGTTTTTCGGTGTGAATTAAACTCCACATTTATATAAAGAGCAGTTTTTAATTTCTTGACGATTTTGTATCCAGTCGATTATTATGGATCTGTAGGCTACTTAATTGTCAAAGTCTGGAGGATGTTCGATGCAGCGGATTTAGTGAACCAATAAAATAAGTCAATTTTTTTAAATAAAAAAAAGGCTAAAGCATATTTTTCAGTTTTCAAACTGCGGTGGGATATGAGTTGAAAGTGATCGCTTTCTCATCAAATGGTTAAATCTGTCCTGTAATGTAGGACTACAGGAAGCTGTGGGGTTTACAGGCTGGTGAATACTCCCGGAAATTGAATCTCTGCTACTCCCGGTGACGTCAGAACAAGTGTTTTCCAAACCAAGCAGACAGCGTAATCCCAGAAATGCAAACAGAAGAGCTTCCTTGTAATTTATCGTCTCTTCGTCCGTCTCCTGTAATTCAATCCCATGTTCGTGTAGCTTCGAAGTGAGAATTTCCACGAAATACTTGTTAAAAGCACCACCTCCTGTGATTAAAACCGTACAGTTGTGGTCGTCCTCTTTTGGGTATAAATTCCCAACACACGCTTCTGTTATCTTGTTGACCACGTGCTGTAGAAACGTTCGCATCAAGTCTTGGATAGTGTAAACCGTGTCCTGAAATTCAGAAAAAAGTCTTAACGTTACCTTGGAATCTGAAATTAACAAATTATTAAAGAGCAATTGATTTATATTAGCGAGAACTAACGTTTTTACAAATTATTATTTAGACAACATTCATTCACATGACAAGCCCTGATCAACCCTCTAATCCACTGAATGGCTTAGATATTCATATCAGCGTTAAACGCTAATATGGTCGTCCAAGTCGAAACTGCAGATAATAGGACTGACAATAGAGACTTTGTTTAATATCTTGGCAATGATACTTGACAATCAAGAATATGAACTGTGGACGGAGTTTCCGTCTGCTACCGATCGGTAATTCTCAACAATCGTCGGAGACAGTTTATGACCATTTCTTGCCAAAGTTTCAAATATTCATAACTTCACTTGAGATAAAGACTGAAATTTTCAACATATTCATTTAAATGAACCCCTTTTAAATAGATAATCGGGTGTGCGTATACGTTGATTCAGCATTCACAAATGAAATAAAATAATATCATCTTTGGAGACCCTCCACAGCCCAGACTCTGAGGCCCCTGAACTGCATCACCTTAAGTTCACTGACATGTTCTAACGCGGCCTTGCTTAGGCCATTTTTATACTTGGGGCGGCTGTGGCTCAATGAGTAAGACGTTGGTTCGCTAACATGGAGGTCCCGTGTTCGACCCCGGTGTTGGCCGAGAAACGTCACCGGGATTTTACGGCGTGGTTCCCCGTTGTCAGTGGTACAGAACGGACTCCCGACGAAGGTACTGGCAACGAACAATGTCGTTCTAATGGTACAAAAAAAACGTGGCCCCGTGTAGACATTGACGTGCACGTAAAAGAACACTTGACAGTCGGAATTCGAAACAAGAGTAGGCCGTAGTGTCGCTGTCCGGGCATTTTTCGCCATAGCACAATGTATGGCGTATACACGTTTTCATTAATCCAATCGATGCAGAACAGCAGGACGTTGAACCACATTTCATTTAATTACTCCCAGTGCTATGAAGACGGCGACTCTATGGATTTAACTGACATTTCTTGCGACTTAGATGTTACTGTAGATGCAAATAATCAATACGATGTTAATAGATAACAATAACAAAGGGACAGATCAGTTCTTGGCTGTTATAAAAGAGGGGTCATGTGAAGGTGGGGTGTTTCACAAATCTGATCTGGAAACCCTAACCCTAAAGCGCAACACAGGTAATGGTAGTCGTGGACCTCAGATTCTGTATTTAGCCGTCATATATTGTATTGACTATCATAGGCACTTACATCTAGTAGTGGGAAAATGTGCTGGATTATCCATTCCATTCCTAAAGATTTTGGAGGTTCCATTTTATAGTAATCCAATTCATCTAACTGCTTCAATAAATCTATTTTAACTACTCCCATAGATGCTATTTGACCATCTTTGTCATACTGCAGGTCTGAATTATGTAATTTTGCCAATCGATTAAATACGATATTACAGGGAGATACATCGTAACCCTGGCTTCCTCGAACCCCAATATTAGCGATGCCTCCAAGATTAATACAAATATCTGTCTGTTGGAACAAATAACGTTCGCCCGAAGGTGCTAAAGGAGCCCCGTGTCCCCCTAAGGCCAGGTCTTTGGACCTGAAGTTTGTCACGTAGGGCGAAATCAAGTATGCAGCCGCTGTTTCTCCGTCACCAAGCTGAAACGTAAACCCCTTGTCCGGCTGATGAAAGACGGTATGTCCATGTGAAGCAATAAAATCAACCTTGATCTCATACTCATCGACGAAAGCTTTCACTGTCTTTCCAATATAATGACCGTAATCAACATGCAGCTGAATCAGTTGTTCACCAGATAATTTCATCGATGTTTTAAGTCTTTCTCTCCACTGATCCGTGTACGGAACAGTCTTCGCTTTTTCAATGCGATAACTCCACACGTCTGTTTCGATATCGCCGGTAAACTCTGCAAAGCAAATATCCAAACCGTCCAAGGACGTACCCGACATAACACCTATACCGTGGAAAGTGGCCATATTGCAGCTGAATTTGGGTTAGTCAAAGTTATAGCTGTTTTCTGTTTAGTCTTGTATCGTGTCCTACATAATATTGTTGTGATAAAGTTAGGTTAAGCTTGCCTTGACTTGTAAGCTACAATCTAAGTGAACATGTGGTATAAAGCTGTACTACCCGGTAATAATCAAGTATTGATCTACAAAAGGGCATGGGCGTCGATTGGATGGAGAACGAGAGGCATGTCATCTCAATTTTTATACGCCAACATTTTCATGTGGACCTATATTGTCGTCGCCCCTGTCCGGACGTCCGTCCGTCCACAATTGTTTGTGAACAGTCTACAGGTCACAATTTTTATCCGATTTCAATGAAACTTGAAATATAGGTTTATCACCCTAAGATCTCGGTTCCTTTCGATATTGGCATCTATCGGACCGTAACTTCATGGATTATGGCCCCTGATTGTACGAAAAATCATGTTTTTGGCTTGTGAACACTGTAGAGGTCACAATTTTTATCCGATTTTGTTGAAACTTGAAATGTAAGTTTATAACCCAAAGATCTCGGTTCCTTTCGATATTCGCGCATATCGGACTGTAACTTCCTGAATTATGGCCCCTGATTGTACGTAAGAACACGTTTTTTGGCTTGTGGACCCTATAGAGGTCATAATTTTTGTCCGATTATATAAACCGTATTAATATATCACCGTTACACCCTAAGGACGGTTGAGTTCGAATTTCGTGAAAATCGGCCCAAAACTGACAGACAAAATGGCCGCCGTTCGTTCTGAAATAGCGTAAAAATATGGTATATCAAGGTTGTGGACCCTATAGAGGTCACAATTTTTATCCGATTTTGTTGAAACTTGAAATGTAAGTTTATAACCCAAAGATCTCGGTTCCTTTCGATATTCGCGCATATCGGACCGTAACTTCCTGAATTATGGCCCCTGATTGTACGAAAAATCGCGTTTTTAGCTTGTGGACCCTATAGAGGTCATAATTTTTATCCGATTAAAAAAAACGTATTATTATATCACCGTTACACCCTAAGGACGAATGAGTTCGAATTTCATGAAAATCGGCCTAAAATTGACAGACAAAATGGCCGCCGTTCGTTCTCAAATAGCGTAAAAATATGATATATCAAGGTTGTGGACCCTATAGAGGTCACAATTTTTATCCGATTTTGTTGAAACTTGAAATGTTAGTTTATAACCCAAAGATCTCGGTTCCTTTCGATATTCGCCCATATCGGACCGTAACTTCCTGAATTATGGCCACTGGTTGTACGAAAAATCGTGTTTTTAGCTTGTGGACCCATTAGAGGTCATAATTTTTATCCGATTTAAAAAACCGTATTATTATATTACCGTTCCACCCTAAGGACAGTTGAGTTCGAATTTCGTGAAAATCGGCCCAAAACTGACAGACAAAATGGCCGCCGTTCGTTCTGAAATAGCGTAAAAATATGGTATATCAAGGTTGTGGACCCTATAGAGGTCACAATTTTTATCCGATTTTGTTGAAACTTGAAATGTAAGTTTATAACACAAAGATCTCGGTTCCTTTCGATATTCGCGCATATCGGACCGTAACTTCATGAATTATGGCCCCTGATTTTACGCCAAAACGCGTTTTGGGGCTTGTGGACCCTATAGAGGTCATAATTTTTATCCGATTTAAAAAAAAAACGTGTTAATATATCACCGTTACACCCTAAGGACGGCTGAGTTTGAATTTCGTGAAAATCGGCCCAAAACTGACAGACAAAATGGCCGCCCATCGTTCTCAAATAGCGTAAAAATATGGTATATCAAGGTTGTGGACCCTATAGAGGTCACAATTTTTATCCGATTTTGTTGAAACTTGAAATATAAGTTTATAACACAAAGATCTCGGTTCCTTTCGATATTCGCGCATATCGGACCGTAACTTCATGAATTATTGTATGACAAATCGCGTTTTTAGCTTGTGGATCCTTTAGAGGTCATAATTTTTATCCAATTTAAAAAAACCTTTTTATTATATCAACGTTAAACCCTAAGGACGGTTGAGTTCACATTTCGTGAAAATCGGCCCAAAACTGACAGACAAAATGGCCGCCGTTCGTTCTCAAATAGCGTAAAAATATGGTATATCAAGGTTGTGGACCCTATAGAGGTTACAATTTTTATCCGATTTTGTTGAAACTTGAAATGTAAGTTTATAACCCAAAGATCTCGGTTCCTTTCGATATTCGCGCATATCGGAACGTAACTTCCTGTATTATGGCCCCTGATTGTACGAAAAATCACGTTTTTAGCTTGTGGACCCTATAGAGGTCATAATTATTATCCGATTTAAAAAATCATATTATTATATCACCGTTACACCCTAAGGACGACTGAGTTCGAATTTTGTGAAAATCGGCCAAAAACTGACAGATAAAATGGCAGCCCTTCGTTCTCAAATAGCGTTAAAATATGGTATATCAAGGTTGTGGACCCTATAGAGGTTACAATTTTTATCCGCTTTTGTTGAAACTTGAAATGTAAGTTTATAACCCAAAGATCTTGGTTACTTTCGATATTCGTGCATATCGGATCGTAACTTACTGAATTATGGCCCCTGATTGTACGAAAAATCGCGTTTTTAGCTTGTGGACCCTATAGAGGTCATAATTTTTATCCGATTTAAAAAAACGTGTTAATATATCACCGTTACACCCTAAGGGCGGCTGAGTTTGAATTTCGTGAAAATCGGTCCAAAACTGACAGACAAAATGGTCGCCCTTCGTTCTCAAATAGCGTAAAAATATGGTATATCAAGGTTGTGGACCCTATAGAGGTCACAATTTTTATCCGATTTTGTTGAAACTTGAAATGTAAGTTTATAACTCAAAGATCTTGGTTCCTTTCGATATATTTGCGCATATCGAATTGTAATTTCCTGAATTATGGCCCTTGATTGTAGGAAAAATCACTTTCGTTTAAGCTTGTTTTCTATCCATCTCTCGAAAATGTGGGCGTATCCTGCCTGGCAGCCGCTGGTCTAAAAAGGAGGGGTGGAGACTGGGCCTCGGACTGTCAGGCGTGGTCCAAGGACCCATCGACCCCGATTGGAAAAAAAAACATTGACATTTTCATTTCTAAAATACATAAAATTCATTTTTGCATCCACTACAAAAATATAAAAGCCTAAATCCGCGGAGATCTTTCTTTAAACCTTAAATGTTACCTAAATTATTAATTGGACATTAATTAATTTACCAAGACCATAACCAACTCTCGATGTTATCGGATGATTGCGATATTTAGTGGATTTGAATATGATTTGTGATGGATGAATTAACCGTAAAAAATGGATAACTGAGACTTTGTTTATTATCGACATTCGTAACAAAGATAGTTATGACGATCGTTTCTAGTCTGAAATTGAATCGCTAATATCTAGGTTCAGAATTAGCATATTGTCTTTTTATTATCTATTTTTAAACTTTTATAGCGAGAACTGTCAGCTCTTTATCAAATCTTACCTAATGCCTCTTCTATGACCTTGGTCGTATATTGTATCACCTTTTTCCGTCCGTCGGTCCATCCATACTTTCTTGTAGATGCTTCAGTTTTTATCTGACTTTTATGAAACTTGTATTATGACAAGACAAGTATCCCTATATGCAGCCAAAATTTATAGCTTGCTTAGAAACATAATTCCGCTAAAAGGTCTTCGAAGCTAAACAAACTATACATGTTTTAAAAGTTTATAAAACCAGGAGCACAAATCCGAGACTTTCAGGAAAAATGTTTGCAATAACTCGATTTAGGGCCTGATAAACATCGTCGCGTAAATGCTATAGTTATACCAATAATTCTGAAGTTGGCATAAAATTGAATATTGGCGAAAACACCCGATACCTCCTTCCTTGGCAAAGAATAGTGTATTGGTTAAATTTTGATTTAAACAAAAATATCCAAAACATAAATGGCGAGACTGAACAAGGAATCGTCTAAATCCATTAACAATACAAAAGAAAGAGTTATTTCCCTTTATGTCAAATGTCTGCAATCGATAACAGACAGTATTTATGTTGCGTGATGCTGTTGTCTACGATATCATCTTAGGTGGTAGTAGACGTAAAACTCTAGAAACGTACGAATGCTGATGCTGTAGGGCGTACAAGACCGGAAATTATGGGCTGGGTGGCTAGAGTCTGGTGTGCCAGGAGATATGTTTGGTAATGGTTGGGCAATATGGTTATGAAGTTATGGAGACCAGAATCTGTCAATAGTATTGTAAATCACATTTAAACCACGTGATCTTTTCCACTAAAATAAAAACCCACACCCACATACCCTTTCAATAAGACTCTACAGTACGTTTACTACATGTAGCTGTAAACCTCTAGTTCAGATATGATTTAAGACCAAATTACAAACATATTTAAACTGAAACCGTATCTATAATTGTGTAATTTGCTAACAAATATAGATATAAGGAGGGCCCGCGACAGGGCACTGCGGGCCCTATCACAAGCAACTCGGTGAAGGGACCGGGTGGGGGGGGGGTCTTCTCGCCGTTCGGAATCTAAAATTTTTAAAAGATACATATATATGTATTTTGGCGTACATCTGGACTGATATTCAAATACTTCCCACGCCAATATACCCACATTTAGAAAATTCATCGATTTCCTTCTACTTAACGCTCGAGTAACAGTGTGTGTGTGTGTGTGGGGGGGGGGGGTCAATAATTTATACCAACAACTTTTTTTAATAAACATTATTCGGCATACCTCTGGTCCCCTCTAGGCTTCGAGCCCCTGGACAAATGTCCCAGTTGTCCCTCCCTCTCACTGACCCTGGATATACGGTAAAAACTAATTATTTATTGAAGTAAATCAATGAACTCCGTGTTAAAATTATATTTTAAATGTGATTAACCACTTCTATCACATAGTATGTGATATTGGCTGACACCAACATTGTCCTTTAATACAAACATAATTATCTGATACGGAGTGACAGAGCAACTCAATAGCTACTCGTTTCATAAGTTTGTTTCTGGTTCGTCTGGGATTTTGTTTTAGCGTACCTAGGATGACGAATACGGTAATACTCAAAGTCGATATAAGGACCATCTTTACTCCCGATACTAGCTATTCCTGAAAATCTGTCAGTAATTTTGTCTCAGTAGTGTGAATAGTTCTACGAGCGCGGTATATTAGTGTTTATTATCAACAATGCAACATCACATTAACTTGTCGGTGTATAGCTAAATAGATAGATAGATAGAAATGTGGTTTAACGTCCACTCGACACAAACTATGTCGTTTCGGGACTAACATGGTTCAATTTTATTTCAATAATTCGCTTGGGCGTAGGTGTCTTTAGCTGTGGGCGGAAACCGGAGTAGCCGGAGAAAATCCACGACGTTGAACATGCGACCCCACTCCTTGTCACGCCCAGGCGGGGAATCGAAACCACCCCACTCGGTGAATAAAAACAACAAAAGTAGGCTAGTACTTTAACAACTTGTATAAGATCTTATTCTTTATTAGTTATCATAACCACAACGAGGCCCCTCTTCTTAATTAGGTATCTAATATTTACATTCACCTAAATAACACAACATTCACAAAACCTGGTATATACATTTTAAATTTACACATAACCATGTCAACCGTCTAACAAATTTTTACCCGATAGCCTAATATAGCTCTATATAAATGATGAAATGTCACGACAAAAATAACCCAGTGTTATATACTTCCAGATTACTATTAGTATAGCAGTTTTAAATTATTTTATAGAAAACCTGACTTTTTTCAATTCGTTTTATATTCCATAGTACAATTTATTTTGTTACTCAACATCTGATAGTCTCGGTCATTCCAGTATATACTGTACTGTTTGCATCAAATTCGTTGCAGTCGTCGAAACGGAACATCTGATAAATCTTGTAAAGGCTAAAAGTCAAGAACCATTGCAGATTTCGTCAAAGGTCACGAATTGTGAATAGGGTTAGTGAACGCAATGTTAACGAAATTTAGGGTTAACCCTAACCCAGGACGTAACCCAAATTATATCTAGCGACCTTTTCGATACTGTGACGTATAAATAGCCTACGAAACGAAATAAAGAAATAAAGTTTTCAAATATGATTGGAAGAGAAGATATCTACCACCACTAATTTACCTTGAAGGTAATTGGTGGTATGTTTCTGATTGTTCATCAGCTGTTGCTTTTGTTTCACAGACCAGAGCACCATGGCATTCATGGACGAAACATCACTCAATAATAAACAATAAATGTACATCATACATGTATTTGTGTGTATATTTTAAATCCCATTAAAACAATTTAGGTTTTAGTAATTATTTGGGGCTATAAACTGTACAAATTGTTTAGTTTCATCCAGAGGAATATGGAGTTGATATTCTCGTAGTCTTGCTTTAACTATGTAAATACTATTTTTAAATCAAGTATAGTCTACTAATATACATATAACCAACATAACCGTGCTTTCAGCTTATCAACTGAAAATTTATCGATGTCATTGCACCCATTTGCTTTTATATGTTACCGATACATGTAAACGAGTTTGTGTTAATGTATATAAATTTTAACATCTGTTTTATCCATCTTTTACGATTGGGCGTTGACCCCATTTCTTATGCCAAATGGAATATCGCCATTATATAAAAGAGGCAAATTAAAGCCTAGATACCCGATAATCTAATCACTTCTTTACCAAAGCGAAACGAATGACGCAAAAAGTCCGACTGATAAAAACAAATTAAAAAACTTAGTATATTAAACTACTTTAGAATTTAGAATAAATTAATTAAAAATAAATTTGGCACATTCTTTAAGTATACCATTGTCGTGAGTAAATAGTACTGAAATCAAAAATACTAAACTAAATACAAAATCTTTGGCACTATAACGTTAGTTATATGGGCTGATATTATCAACCATATCTAGGCTGGCACAAACAACGCCCATTTCTCATTTCTTTTCGCCAAAATGTCGGACAGCGAACATCGAAGCATGGATCATTGTTGACTGTCGGAGCAGGGGTGGTGGTTGTGGTAGTTGTAGTTGTTGTGGTAGGTGTGGTTGGAGCTAATGTGGGTAGTCCTTGGGCACTATCAATACTTCCGTTATTTTCTAACAGGTATGCATCTATGTCCGCTTGGCTCATAGTTCCCCCGAGAGCAATATTAGCCTCTTGTGCTTCTTCTAAAATTACACACCTTAAACAAAGACAAGAAAACAATTAAAAGACGTTTCGGGAATCACTACAGCTGTGTATTTTAAGCTGGCTAGGGGTGGGGCAGGGCAGCAAATATCACTAGCATTTTCTGACGGGACCCCCATTTCAAGTTCACATAACCTTTTTGTATCTTGGCAACATGGGGAATAACCAAAATGATCACTGGAATTACTATGATCGTGATTGGGATTAACTAGAATGATCAATGGAATTCCCAAGATGGTCATGGCGAATTAGCAGAATGATCACTGGAATTACTAAGATAGCCATGGTATATAACCAGAATGATCACGAAAATTGCCACGATGGTTATGGGGAATTACTAGAATGATCACTGGAATTACCAAGATGGTAATAGGGAATTACTAGAGTTATCACTGGAATTACCAAACCAAGCATCGTAAATACAGACCTGCATTGGTTTTCGTCATATACGGTATTACGCCCACAATCTCGACTTCCTGGACAGATACAAGTACAACTCTCGCTATTCCACCTTTGTCTGGGGTTGTTGCATATGTATTGATGTCGACAAACACAGCTACATTCATCGGAAATAAACCTTTGGTTAGGTTTACAGTCCCTTGAAGTCAACCTGCATTGCAATCGACATGATCTGTGAATCGGAATATTTACAGCCAATGGACCAACCCAGTCTAGATGTAACGAACCCTCTTCTCTGGCAATTGCTTTTAGGACCTGCAAACGAAAAAAAAAAACGATAATCATGACAGATTGGAGTAGATATATGGTTAATTCAGACTGAAAGCCTCTTCGAAACTTTTATCATCTACAATAAAATACAAACTGTCATTTTCTCGCCATATGAGTGCCTTGTTAACAATGTCTATATACTTCCAGAGTAATGTAAGCTAGTTATGCAAATGTTTGCTAAATTTTGATTCGAAATTTTCAGGCAATGTAAGTAGACTGTATCGTCACAATTAGGCGTTCGGTATGCATACTTTAAAAAAAACACAGGCGTAATGGCAATTTGCCCGAAAATATTCTTTGTCGCCCGAATATTCAGAATGAATTAATTATTAACTAAAACGAATTTTCCACAAAGCTGTAATGGTTGTTTATTTTGAAGTAATTACACAATTGCAAAACAATATAAATTTACAATATGTTAAACAAAAAACAATTTAATGTTGCCCGAAAAAAGGAAATAACGAAAAACGGTTTGGCACTTACATGAAGTACTGTGGTTTCAACTTCATCAGCTACACACGCAAGCTTAGCTGAAGGGCAGCACCCTCCACATCGCATGACCCTCGTGCATTCCGGCCAGTATATCGTATTGGCTGTATCACCTGGAGCCCTCGGAATCTCCACCGCCATTGGTCTCGGGGAACACTCATCAGGAGCAGCAAGAACCAAACCTATGATAATAAAATACAACAGAGCAGTGAACACACAGTACACGAAATTTATGAATTATAAACATATGAATTATAATAAATACCATAAATCTCTTTGATTCAGGTGAAAATAAAGTATTTAATAGCGTTGATTATGATGATAATTTGATTATTTATGGGACAAGCTACCTGACATCACCACAACTTGTACTTTACAAATGAGCTTAGCGAAAAAAAGGTGATATTCAGGTGTCCTGTGATAGTTAAAATATTATGCCCTTTCATAATACCTATCATAATTGTGGATGAAGGCAATATATGCTACATTTTATTTATCAGGATTTATATACAATGATCCATTGTTTTATCTAGTAACTAATTTTAAGCGACAGAAACAGCTCCAAGCAATGTACACGGGCATTATCAGCTCATTAAACATAAATTATGCAAGAGCTAAATCTGCCTATTGCAGGTCTTTCTTTAGGCCTGAAATGTTATATAAACTATTAATTAGACATTTATTAACATGAAAAGACCTTAATCAATTCTCGATGCCATCTTATGGGTCGGATTTCACTGTATTTGAATCCGATCTTCTGCTCAACGCCCATTGATGGTTTGATGGTTAAGTCCAAAATTGGATAATCGAGACTATGTTTTTTATCGTACCGACTTTATTAATGATGATCGAGGCTAGGCCTAAAATTCAATCGCTAATATCTCGGTTCAAAGTGGAGCAGTTTGATTGAAATTTTCAGCATATTCCCTTATCTAGTTTTTAACTATTATAGTGAGAACTGCCAGCTCTTTATCTATGGGTTTGATGTCTGCTTCCGGATCAGGTTCCTTGAAAATGTTGTTCTCTGTTAAAGAACTTAACAATTCCGTAAAGCCTAATTGATGCCAGTTTGAATAATATATAAAATGTATATCCACAAACGAAAGGTGATGACCTATGATCGTTCATAATTGCTATCTGACAGAAATAGGAGCGTTCACTGACATACGTTCTTTCGTGTGTGTGAATCGTAATAGTTCCGTGTACAACATGATTCATGGCCTAGTTTGTAATCTCATACTGGATAGACACTACGACATGAATCAGAAACAGGTAGGTTTGACGTTTCGTCATCTCGGAGAATAAGTGTACGAATTTGTGCAAAGCAATAAACCACCCTATATATTTCTGACAAATTACTATTATAGGGTTCTTGATTTCCGCCCTATCCGAGTAAAAGGTAGGCTACAATTCAAGTATATTCTTTAAAGTATGACATCGAAAACGAGGGGATCACTTTAATGTTCAAAAGGATACACTACGATTAAGGCCGATTGCAGTATTAATTAAAGATACATTATGGGAGATTTTAATAGATTTGGCCATTCTTGCTATAACAGTTCAAAAATAGATGATGAAAGAAGAATATATTGCAAATTTCAGTCAAATTACTTTATTCTGAACAAAGTTATCACCATTGTAATTTTTGACTAGAAATAGGAGTCAACTCTCTCTTCACCTTCTCCGAGAATGGCCGATCGTTTGATTGACAGGCGTTAACTCCACCTACATAATCTCGATTATCAAGTAACGTTTTCAATGGCTGTGGTACCGTTAGCCTATTCAGTTTGAGACGGGGTTGTAATTCAATTCGTATCACATTTATTTTTACTACAAATTAAAACTAAGACTTTTAATATATAGATAAGAAGCGAAAGTTTGAAAGGAATGGACCAAATCAATGAGGCATAATTATAGCCGACTTCTTGTTAGCCTGCGTGTAGGCCTACTCTTGTTCTGTAACTGGTAGGCGTACGTAACTCTTGAAGCAGACAAATAGGAAACAGTAATCCAATGGACTGGAATTCAACTGGGATGTTTATTAATTTCCATAATATATAGATAAGAAGCGAAAGTTTGAAAGGAATGGACCAAATCAATGAGGCATAATTATAGCCGACTTCTTGTTAGCCTGCGTGTAGGCCTACTCTTGTTCTGTAACTGGTAGGCGTACGTAACTCTTGAAGCAGACAAATAGGAAACAGTAATCCAATGGACTGGAATTCAACTGCGATGTTTATTAATTTCCATAATTTTTCTGTAAACGCAAGTGACAAAAGAGCGTATAACACCGATATCCAAACTCTCATTTTAACCACAACTAAACATAATATCAGGGCCGTATATATCGATCTTTCAATCAAATTGACTGACATGCGTCCTCGCTCAACAGCGGCTTTGCTTCGTACACTCTATCATTTAGCCTCGATCTAAAATTTCCGGGAGTATGACGTCAACGTAACGGTTAATCTCCGCTTACGACACCATTTAAAAATTTAATCAATCAATGAAATCCTGTTTAAATCCAAGCCGAATCCAAGCCATCCGTAGGTCTACCGACTTGATTTTGTGCTTGTTGTGTAAATAAAGACCTAATTTATAATTTCTATGGCATCTGAGGCCTAAATAAAGACTTGCAATAATCAGATTTAGCTCTTGCAGAATGTAGGGCCTATGTTTAAGTGTAATTTTACACCACAGCTAGCGTTTTTGAATGTAATACATTTCCAATGGTAACCAACTAAAAGAATTACATTTAACAAGTGTACCCGATATTTAACACCTGAATAGGTGTAATTGTGAGGTGTTTTGGATAAGCTACACCACTTATACCAATGTTATACTGCATTTACACCAACGGGTGTAGCTATTATTGGGGAATAAATCATAGAACAGCGTTAATTTTACAACGTTTATTGGGTGGCAAAAGTGTAATCGATATTCATGGGTACTGAACACCAGGATAGGTGTAGTCCTAATTGTAGCCGCTAAAGGGTGTTTGGGATGAGCTTCCCCTCTACAAGCGTTTTATTGCATTTACACCAACCCGTGTAATTATTTTAGGGAAACATTCCTCCGAATAAAGTGTGAATTTTACACCGTATCTTGCGTTACAAAAGTATTTTTTGTAAAATATGGCGTTAAATTGCACTAGTAACAAAACTATAACTCATAGATTAGGCCTATTTTAGCTTGTATACACTTAGAGACGTGTAGGCCTAAATGTTCCAAAATATTACCAAGAACAATATCTTAATTAATAATTCTTAATTCAGGTGAGGTGCATAAATGAATAAATCACATTATTCAGCTAAGTTTTAAGGACATGTGTATTGGTTTTTCCTCATCATTTATATTCATTGTAAATTGATACAGATTGTCTAACTGCCCAACAGCAGTTGAATTTGAATCAGCCTGATTGGGTATTTTTCAATTTAATGTCGTTGTAAAATGAAGCGAAGTAGCCGACGGTCTATATGTAATCTGGGTCGGGCTAAATGCCCTATAGGGGCCTACTAATTATCATTGAGACCGATAGCCAATTTCAAGTTTTCTGAACTTAAAATGGAAGTGTAAATCACAAAACATCCTTGAGGGGTAATGCTTAATCTACACCCACGGGTGTAAACTATTTAAGTGTAACATTACACAGTCAGGTTACACTACTGGAAGTGGCAGCTAGTTTCCACCTGATTTGATGTAATGTTCTACACTAGTTGGGTGTTATCTGTTTACGCCACTAAAGGCTAAGAGTTACCCCTATTTAGGTGGCAACTAGTTTCCACCGGAATTGGTGTAAACTACCCTGGCTAAGAGTTACCCCTATTTAGGTGGCAACTAGTTTCCACCGGAAGTGGTGTAAACTACCCTATTATTTTTAACTGTGTAGTAATTATTCACAAAGCATTATGGGCTATAAACACCTGCTCCATAGAAGTGTAACTGTAATGGTGGCTAGGGTCGGGTACTTAGCTGGCGACCCCTATTAGAGGCTATCTTCAAGATTCGATTTGTAAAACCAACATCTAATTTGTCACTCAGTTTTGCTTAACGTCGAGACGATTGTCATATGCAGGTCAGGGTATACACCACACTGATCTGCAGTGAATATTCGCTAGGCCGCTACAATCACTGATAAGGATGACATCAATGCGACTTAATGAGTCTCAAATATTAACTTTTTTCCATTCTAAAACATTTTTTTGATGTATTAGAAAAATAAATAAAGACGTTTGACGTATTTGTAGGTAAAAATTATTTCCTATTTAGTGTAAATGGGTATTAAAATGACTAAAAGGCAACATTCTGCCCGAAACAGTAACGTCTTATGTAAACAATGCACGCGCCATTCAGTCAATCTTTTACAGAGATATTTTGTAATTAATTCTCTGTGAAACAGATTGGGTATACACATATTCGTGGTTTTAATCGTGGAGATCTATGCATTGAGTCGTAGTCGTAGCAATCGTGTTGATCGTATCAAAAGGTATCCGAACGTATCTGCACGTACCAGATCGTGGACTCAATAGAGACTTTTGGCAAGCGGAATTTTCCCATCCGTATCACGTATTCGTATCGTATACGTGATACGTTGCGTCAATGTAGTTTTAGAGTTTTGGCAGATTTTCGCGTCGCGTACGTGTGCGTCGATCAACTGAGCTTAGTTCTATAACAGCATGATGGCAGATATCTACCAAGATCACCATCAGTACTAGTCAAGTGCCTATTAGAGCCGACAATTTCCCGGAGGGAATAAAGTCGCCCGACACTCGCTGAGCTATTTCAGCGTCTAAAAGTAGCAAAAAAGACGTTAAAAGGACACGACAATGATATACGGACCTTTTCCGTATGAAAGCTGTTCGATACGTGCTGCCGTATCCGTGTGACGTATCACGTATGAGAAATGCACACACATTGATGACGTCACACGCAAAATCCATACGGATACGCGATACGGACCAAAAGTCTCTAATATAGGGACAATCCTATCGTAACGCATCGCACTACAGTGGGAACCTAGCATAAAGTTGGCTAAAGCTACCGATTCTACTCCACCTCTCTAAAACACATGATACCAGACATTCAATTTGGAAGTTCTAAATATAACAATTTATGCCATGCTCTTGAATTTAAGAATATTTACCTCCGCTAATATATTCTTTCTCGCCGCTAGGGCTGTTAGCTGCCGCATATGGATAAACTGAAATTAAAAATACAGTTAAAATATATAGAAATAAAACCGAGGCTGATGTTCCTCGCTAAATTCCCAAAATAAATACATAACACTCATTAATTACATTTACATTTATCTTTTTATATAGCATCGAATTCAAACTGCAGTGAAGGGTTCTTGATGCACGCCAATATTTGTATACGGTATCTCGTTTTTTTTGCACCATCCATACGACTAGATGCTGTCCCGCACTACTGACATCCCGAGGAAAATGAAATGAAATGGGGTTTAATGTCCTACTGTTCTCCTCCGACTTGGCTAATAAAGACGGGAATACGCCATACAGTGGCGCTACGGCCTACTCTTATATCGAATTCCACGCCACTTGACTCATGCCAGATCTTATGAATTCACGCGCACAGGACCACCAACCACCACTTTATATAAAGTGCTGACAGTTCTAGATATACTTGTTTAAAAATGGATCATGAAAGGGGAATATAGTGAAAATTTCAGTCAAATTACTTCATTCTAAGCGGAGTTATGAATGCTTGAAGAATAGCCTAGTCTTTTAATATAATTGAAACATAATTGTTGGTGGTATTTATAAAGGAATCGGTGGCTAAAATACTAATATAATTCACAGAAATCATAATCTTTGTATAATAGCTAACTGTTTAATTCGTTGAAGATTAATACCGGAAAAAAACAATCCCTTCTTACCATCTTCAATAGACATGGGTTGGCCATCTTTAACTACCATAGCGAGGAATTCTTCAACACTTCCAATATTTCTTAATCTTTCTAAATACGTTTCTGCTTGTGTAACTGCTAACTGAAATATAAAAATGTAATTCTAGAGGTAGGGTTCATTGGTAGATTGATTTTATTTTTTATTATTATTGTGCGTCGATTATATCATTTTTAAGTCGTAAATAGTCATTGTAATTTTGTTTTTCAATTACATTCAATATCTAAATGTATTTCATTCACATTCACATTTCACTTCACATCTTTACAAACAACTAACTCGTTTGAGGTTAACAGAAATGTAATGAAACTGGGTAGACCTATAACGTTCTATTGCTCTCCTCCGACTGCGCTAATGAGGACGGGCATACGCCATGATAGAAATTTTGCCAGGACAGCTGCGGCACTACGCCCTACTCTTATTTCAAATTCCAGCTACCAAGGGTTATTTTACGTGCACGCCAATGTATACACGGGACTCGGGTTTTCGTTCCATCCAAGTGACTATACGCTGTCCCTTGTCAGGCCCTTTTTCCTGCACCACCGACAAGGAGGAAACTTCATCTGCCAACACCTATGACTTTGTCGGCCAAAACCGGGATCGAACACGGGACTTCCAAGTTAGCGAGCCAACGTCTTACTCACTGAACACCGCGATTCCTTTAAAATATAGAGATACATGAATAAGATTTTGTAATTTGACTATATGCCTATTCAAAATGCGTATAACACAACACAGTTCCACCCATACCCCGTGTCGAGTGGACGTTAAACCCCATTCTCTCTCTCTCTCTCTCTCTCTCTCTCTCCTATTCCCATGGACGAAAATATAGCCTATTATAGTGGTGTTGATTGTTCCACCCCAACATCACCAAATAGATGCTTTCAGTCGACTTATTCTAATTAAACTTTTTTTGATTATTTTTATTTTGATTAATTCCATTATTTTGATTCTTTACACTGTAAAAATATTTGTGATGTTGTCGATACGCATACAGATCAGGCATGGAATAGATACGATGAGAACGTGACACGATCCAGCCGGTAAAAACTGGGTTTATTTGTTCTTGGCGCGACCTTTGAACCATATGACGATAGCCAACCAGTGTTTATTTATACTTATGGGGGGAGCCAATTTGTAATTATTAATTAATGTTTATCTGACACTAATTAGTTTCTTTAGTGTATATAGATCGGGTGCCAACTACGTGGCCATGGTGTTTATAAATAAAGACAAAGAAGATAAGTGATGCTATATCTGCGGTATCTTTTGTTTAGAACGGACGTTATAAAAACTAGGGAAGATGTACAGATAATGTACTCCTAAAGAGGCATATGTAAGATTTAGATAACGAGCTAGCCGTTCTTGCTATAATAGTGCAAAAATAGATAATAAAAATTAACAAGCGGTTGCCATGGAAGATACGCCCACGTTGTGCAAGAGATGGACAGGCTAACAAAGGCAATTTTTCGAACTAATAGGGGCCATAATCAAGGTAGTATCAAAAGGAACCCAGATCTTATATAAACATATAATGTTAAGTTTCATCAAAATCAGTCTAAGTATATTGTGACCTCTAGCGGGTCCACAACCTTTGTATTACATTCTTTTGCACTATTTGCGTATTTAAACGGATAATAATTGTGACCTCTAGTGTGTCTATGAGCTAAAAACGCGAATTTTCGTACAATCAGGGGTCATAATCCAAGAAGTTACGGTCCGATATGCGTAAATATCGAAAGGAGCCGAGATCTTTGGGTCATAAACATGATTGTTTATAATCCATGAAGTTACTGTCCGATAAATGCAAATATCGCAAGGACCCGCGATCTTCAGGATACAAATCTATATTTCAAGGTTCGTCCAAATTGGATAAGTATTGTGACCTGTAGAGTGTCAACAAAAAATTGTGGGCGGACGGACATGGGCGACGACAATATACGTCCACAAAACATTTCAGTCAAATTACTTTATTCTAAGCGAAGTTATGCATGTGTGAAGATTTGAGAGGCTGACAATGGCAAATCAACAGGTCATATCCTCGATTGTCCAATACTATTGCCGATAGAATACATCAAGTCTCGATTTCAGTCCGCTATTCGGCCTGAGTGCCGCCATATTAACGTAGATGTGGCGAACATTGACTAATCCACTCAATATCTAAGTCATCCGCTGATCTATAAAAGAGTTGATTATGGACTTGTTATGTGTATAAATATCCAAATAATAACATTTGAGGCCATGAAAAGACCAGAAATATGGAGATTTAACCCTTGCATAATGCATCGTTAACATTTATATTTGTTTCAGTCTCTGAATCATTAGGTTCGTCGTTGTATTTATGTTATACAAATATTTGTGGTTTTCAGGTTTTGGGTCACTTGTGAAAATCATACTTTCTTTGTTGATATCAGTTATCTACAAAGGACAAGTAGACAGAAGATTCACACAATGTACTGAGAAGGATGAAACAGCTCTTGCCTCTTTGAACGACAGGAAAAGGATGAACAATTAAACCTACTTACATATGACACGGTAACATTACCAATAAGTGCAAATTAAAATGTCGCGTGTGAAAGGAAACATGCTGCAAGATTACAAAATGCGCTAAAATTTCAAAAACTAACTCCGTTTTAATAGAATGATGCCTAATAATTATGCAAAAAAAAGGGGGGAGAAAAATATCTTTCCTGCGTCATCGATAAAATACAGGAAAAGTCCTGCGGAGAGTTCAGTTGCCTAAGTAATTTTTGTTCCATTTGAGATGGTGCCCAATATAAAGTTTTAAGATATCATTTTCCAGGCGTTATACATTAAATATTACACGTGGTGTGAATGGTCTATTAGTTTTAATGTCAAAATGTCGTCCATGTTATATTAATGAATTATCTCAGCAGTGAAACTGGAAATATGTCTTTAGTTTCTGATTGAAATATAAAATGCGCAATTATTATGGGAATAGTACACGGGGTGTATTTTAATTTGACTACCGGTACACCTCTTCGTTTTTACCCCGAAACTGGATTAAATTAAAAGTATACCAATATTTCGTTCCGTTTTATTTTCAGCTGTTGACTCCTTAGAGTGCGCGAATAGAAATGAAATTAAATCAAATGGAGGGGAATTAACATGATGTATGATTTTCATCATTCAATATTGACATTATGAGTTCCGTTTAATTTTCGGCTGTTTTTTCCACTTCATCTTGGCATGTCGAACGTCATATCATTTTAATTAGATTATACACTGAGTAAAATATATGACAAGATTGACTTTTGGTTTTTAAAGAAGTGCATGCATTAACATTCGAAATTGGTTTGCCAATTTAACTTCCAAAGTATTTGAGAAGTGGTATTAAAGGCTTTAGAAATATATCCTGTCCTATGCACGATACACCTCTGAGAGAAATTGAAACTTCATAACGAGTGGTGTTGTTGGGTGTTTTTACTACAAATACGGCTAATAAATTTATTTTCAGAAAACATATAGGTATATTTCGTCAACATTGGCTTTGAATGGTGCAATCTGAGGTAGGTTTTGCTCGGATCATTCAAATTTGACATGTGTATCATGGGTGTTATTGTTTATTTATTACATGTGGTATAAATCAATGATAAATAATAAACCACACATTTACCATTGTTTAACATATTTCATTTCGTTGTTGCACTCAAATTAGAAACAGCGTATACAGTATATCTTATATTTTGCGGTAGGTTGTTTCGTAATGTTGGTAAAGATTACAGCAGCCTACTGAGTAGGGCGTGTTTAGTGTGTGTATAATTTATCGGTAAATTATAAGTTTAAAAAATAAGATCCTGTTCCAGTTTATTTTGCGTTATTAACGCAATTCTGAGAACGGGATGTATTTTTTCCGATGTCTGAAGAAAACGTCTTACCGAATGCTTCAAGATACATTCTTACGAACAATTATGGCAAATTTGGTATATATGGAAAGCCGTGATTACCCGGAAAACACCCATGGGACAAACACTGGGCAAAAGTGTCTAAGTATCACTAACTGGCAACCCGACGGCTTATTGTCTGCCAACTTGACTAAGGGAGCGGTTATTTCTTGACCGAATGGTTAGGCGGTTTAGGGAACATTGAGGGGTGTAAACGTACAACAGACTCTACAATTAAGCGGTGTAAAAAGAAGTTGACAGAAGATAATCCAAGAATTTACTTAGGCTTCAGTATGTATGGTAAATGGACAGTAAGTAACGACAAATACATTCTGAAAATGGGCCCTCCCTCAGTGACAAACATGACTTCTTAAAATAGATTTTATATATCTTGGGGTATTTCCTCCCGATACAATGTTTTGAGGGGGATCTGAAGCAAATTATTGATGCTTGATAAATTAGTTTGAATATGTTTTAGCCCAAATATATCATCAAATCACCCAGTTTGTACACGGGAAGGGATCTTTGAGGCGTAGTTTGATGTGTTGAAAGTATAGAATTATGAAATAAACAATAAGATGACAATCTATCAAACCGGGATACGTTACACGAAACGTTCAGAATTAGTCTAATTTCAAATAGCTATAGATAGCACTGCGGTAGTTAAATTCCTCCGCAAACATATAATCAGTGGTGTATTCTATGGTTTCTCACGCCATTTGTAATAAACAAAGAAAACCATATTCTACAAGACAATGCAGAAGTAACCAGTATTGGCTGAGTCATAAACGACAAAAATAATAATTTTTAAAAAAAACCGTGTAGAATGGACTGCCGGTGAATTCGGGCTGTTCACATATTTCACAGAACATAATTGATTAGAATTACAATATATTTTTTTTTAAAATGTGGATATAAATCACTTTATTTACTTTCATATTACATTAATATGTGCTTTTAAACCAATTCTCGTCTATTTTAATATTCCTGTTTGAGAAATTTTATCATATACGATCGGTTAATTTATTATAAATTGAAAAAAGTTTTTAAATGTTTTTGAACTATGATGCGTAAATACTTGATAAATAAGAAAAAAAAAACATTTCAACATATCTAAAACACCAGGTGTGAAACAGACGTATACGTCATATTGTTTTAAAATGTGGGGCTATGTTTACTTTTCCAAAATAAAAAAAAACTCAGTTGGTTGTTACTTTATCAATGTATGAAATGTTTTCTCCACGGGAGATTGCCTTAAATAAATTTTCATAACATTGATATTAAGCATAACTTGGCGCACGGTTATTAATGTCAATATCAGAAGTTGTTCATATTTTTAGAGTGCAAATGAAATAAAAATGTATATTGTATGTTATACGGTTCCGCACAATAATAAATTAATGTTTGTATATTTTTTATTGCACACGATTCAGTAAAATTAACAGCTATTTGACCACTCCGATCGTTCCGACCCAGACCTCCAGAAAAGAAACAAAAACGAAAAATAAATTTATACCAAAATTCATTGATGTTGTGAGCTCAAGATTGTTGCAATATTATCAATTAATTTTAAATGTATTCTTAAAAATTAACGGGACACATTTTTTAAAAATTTTTTTGCTTTTAACGGTCAAATGATTCTTTTCTCCAAGAATTCGTTTTTAATTTTTTATCGCCTTACAAAACGGACTTTGGATGGCGTTTAAATAGTCTAAGATATCAATCCACGGGGAAAGTGAACGTTAACCCCTATTATTTATTTCTAAATTTATTCTCTCTATTTAAGCGGTTTTATTTTTATTTTTGTTAAGAAAATAAAGCTTTTAATCAATTGAGCCGTAAAACATAAAACAATTTTAATATATCAAAAAAGTTTTTACTTACCAGGTAAGTCGCGTACGACAACAAAACGACAAAATTCGGCATCATTATTATCTTTTCTTGCGAGAGACAGATATTCAAAGCTGTGATTTCAATACTGGCTTGACTCGGTTACAACGATTATTTATATAGCTCTTGGGCACTGCCAAACTCAAGAAATTTGAGTAGTTTCAATCAACACTTGCCACTTTAAACTCGTTTACCATGCCATTATTTTTCAATGTGAAATGCCTATGTCTATTTTGAACTGGATAACCTAGTCAACACGCACCTGCGTTAGTTCACGTGGTTTTACGTAGGTCCGCGAGATTAGAAACCGGAAATGGCTAATGGGGCGCTTTGTGCAAAATAGAAAGTTCAAGTTGTTATTGTGTTTTTGAAGACAAAGTAACATTCTGCAAGATGGAATTGGTTTATAATGTTGATTTTCGAAGCATTCCACGTTCCAGGGATTGGAATATAGAAGAACAGAGTCATTCGTGTCTTTCCTGCCGAAATATCTTTGCATTTAGTCGACCAACTGTCCAAAATATTAACAACCGGTACGGTGCCAGGCTTCAAAATAGTCGCATCACGTGACATTATTTACATTATTTACATTACCTCCACTTCAATTGACTCACTTAATTAATAAATGGCCTAATACATGTGTAATTTGCTATCTATTACGTCAAAGTATTAATTAGTCTATTCGGTGAGAAATAGTACAGTTGAAATGTGTTGTTCAGCGATATGTTTATTTTCTAATTAAAATGTAATTGACTTATATACTATTACTAGACACCACATTATTAATATAATGAAATAAATTTTTGTTTTGTACTAATAACTATAAAAACTATGGTGGCTGATAGTGGCCATGTTAAATCTCGCCCTTTTCATAATGCGACAACGCGACAACACGACATCACGACAGTATTGGCGCAATCATACGACACTTAACTCTGTCGTATCATCGTGTTATTTTTATCCTACAAGTCACAAAAATACAGCTGTACTCATTACACTCATTACATCGGATTAGATACAATAAGACTCGTCAAAAGAGATAATAGGAAAGTGTTGATTAATTATTCGTTTTCTCAAAATAATGAAACATTTTGCGCCCAAAATTGAATTATTGGTATTATATTCAAAAAATCTAGAATTATAATAACAGGACAAAAGTGAGTCAGCTATGTTAATTCCTTGAATAAGAAGTGGTGTCGGTAGGTATCGAACACACTCCGAAAGTCCCCTACGCACCCCCCCCCCCTCTTATTTTGTTTAACAAATAATTTCGGAATCAATAAAATGGCAGGTCCCTATCAATGATGTTTGATACGACTGGAAATTAATGTGTCTAAAATTGATTAAACAACATAGGGTAGTAAATATTACATTTCGAATCCGTATCAATGATACATTTACTCAAAATGTTCCTTCCAATGGATCACCATTTAACTTGAAAACAAGGGAAGCAGCCGATCGAAGAAAAAAAAGATTTTAAAAAACAAGTTTCAATATGACAGTCGTGGTTCGGTCATGCATTTACATCCGTGGGTGTCATCCTTTCTTTGAAAGTAATGATTGTGCCAAATTTGAACAAAGTCCATCTAGATTCGCGGCCTGTAGGTAAAGTGTTGACAGATAAAACGAGAAAAAAAAAACAGACCTATAAAAATATATTTTCTAAAACTATTTTAATTTTGAAATTATATTATTTTCACATTTGCCAAGTGTTTTAGCGAATAGTTATAGAAAGGGTCTTGTCGATTAAGACTGTAGCGCATGTGCAATGTGCAGTTTTAAACTTCCGAGACGACAAGTCGATGATACGACAGTTTAGTGTTTTGTCGTACCGTCGTATCATCGACTTGTCGTGGCGATAAGTCGATGATACGACAGCACGACAAAATAAGGTCGATGATACGACAAAATCAGACGATCTTACGACAGTTTGTTCTGTCGTAAGATCGCGTGATTTTGTCGTAAGATCGTGTGATTTTGTCGTGCTGTCGTATCATCGACTTATCGCCAGTTTAAAACTGCACATGCGCTATAGTCTTTATCTACAAGACCCTTCTATAAATAAAAAAACAAAACTGACACAGTTATATGGGACAACAATCACTGTTTTATTATACACAAGCACAACGTTTCGATAAGTATTCTCTTATCGTTATCATTGTGCTTGATAACGATAAGAGTATATTTATCGAAACGTAGTTGGAATTCGATATAATGGTAGGCCATAGTGCGCTGTCCTGGCAAAATTTCGCTCATAGTATGGCGTATGCCCGTCTTCAATATGACAGTAGTGGTTCGGTCATGTATTTACACCCGAGAGTATCATCCTTTCAGAGGATCGCGTGGCTACGTGGGCAAGACGCTGGCTAGCTAGCCTGGAGGTCGGGTGTTCGATCCCACACTGATCAGAAGTGAATATTCGCTAGGCCTCTGATAAGAATGACATCGATGCGACTTAATGAGTCCCCAATATTAACATTATTCCTCCGACAAATTTAATTCTAAAATTTTTTTTTTTATGTATTAGAAAAATAAATAAAGACATTTGAAGTATTTGTAGGTAAAAAATATTTCCTATGTAGCGTAAATGGGTATTAAAATGAGTAAAAGGCATCATTCTACCCGAAGCAGTTACGTCTTATATAAACAATGCACGCGCCATTGGTCCAATGATTGACACCGCGTGACGTGATTGCAGGTGTTGAAAACAGACGACTTTTTTCACAGATTGGTTCGATCCCTGCATTGGCCGACAAAATTCATCAAGATTTACCGACGTGGTTCCCCCTTGTCAGTGATGCAGGACGGAGTGCCTGACAATGACAGCTGTCTAGTCGTTCGGATGGGACGAAACACCGAGGTCCCGTGTACACATTGGCGTGCACGTAAAAGATCCCTTGGCAGTTGGATTTCGATATAAGAGCGGGCCGTAGCGCCGCTTCCCGGGCAAAATTCCCTCATAGCACACTGTATGGCGTATGCCCGTCGTCTTTAGCCCAGCTTAGGAGAGAACAGTAGGACGTTAAACCCCATCTCATTTCATTTCATGCCATCCTGTCTTTGAAAGTAATGATTATGCCAAATTTGAACATCTAGTTCCGCAGTCTGTAGTTATACCAGAGGGTATAACTTAAAAAAAAACAGATATATGAAAATATATTTTCTAAACCTTTTTTAATTTTGAAATTATATTGTTTTCACGTGTGATAAGTGTTTTAGCGAATAGTTGTAGAAAGGGTCTTGTAGATTAAGACTATAGCGCATGTGCAGTTTTAAACTTCCGAGATGACAAGTCGACAAGTCGATGATACGACAGTTTGGTTTTGTCGTATCATCGACTTGTCGTCTCGGAAGTTTGAAACTGCACATGCGCTATAGTCTTAATCTACAAGACCCTTTCTGTAACTACATGTATTCGCTGAAACATTTAGCACACGCGAAAACAATATTATTTCAAAATTAAAAGAGTTTTAGAAATATATTTTTATAGGTCTGGTTTTTTCTTTGTTTTTTTGTACGTTTGATCTGTCAACACTCTACCTATAGGCCGCGAATGTAAACTGACTTTGTTCAAATTTGGCACAATCATTACTTTCAAAGAAAGCATGACACTCTCGAATGTAAATGCATGATCGAATCACTACTGTCATATTGAAATGTGTGTGTTTTTAAATCTTTTTCTTCGATCGCTGCTTTCCTTGTTTCATGTTAAATGATGATCCATTGGAAGGAACATATTGAGTAAATGTACGTTATCACTGATACGGATTCAATATGTAATAATATTTCTCATGTTTAATCAATTTTTGACATATTATTTTCCAGTTGTATCAAACATCATTGATACCATTTTATTGATTCTGGAATTATTTGTAAAACTAAATAAGAGACGGGGGGTGGGGTATGAGGCTTTTAGAGTGTATTCATAGTTGAAGATATTACTTGGCCTTTTTTTACTCATTTAGGCCCCAATCCCATCAGTGATGTCAAAGGGATGCAAGCCTATATGCGATTAAGGTCAATAACGGCTGCGAATCGTTTTCTCCACCTCATAAAAAAACTCCTGCATCTATTTGGGTGACGTGGGGGGGGGGGGTATGAGGCTTTTAGAGTGTGTTCATAGTTGAAGATATTACTGGGCCTATTTTTACTCATCTAGGCCTCAATCCCATTAGTGATGTCAAATGGGAGAGAGAGAGAGAGGGGGTTTAACGTCCACTCGACACAAATTAGATCATTTCGGGACTAACATATGGTTTAATTTTATTTCAATAAATCGTTTGCGCGTAGGGGTCTTTAGCAGTGGGAGGAAACCGGAGGACCCGGAGAAAACCCACGAGGTTTGACAGGCGACCCTACACCTTGTCACGTACAACCGAGGATTCAAAACCACGCCAGTTGACTCAATGACAGGCTGCGAATCGTTTTCTCCACCTCATTCAAAAAAAAAAAAACTCCTGCAACTATTGGGGTGACGTGCTGCACTATGATAATGCTGTGATTTTAAAGAATGTGACCCGATTTGTTTTTTTTACAATCCCCTTCCCACCCTGTCTTCTGAAATCATTTTTAAACTATCGCTCCAGTCATCTATAAATATTGGTGGGTGTCGTACACATGGCAATGAATGCTTACTTGTTCGATACCTCCCGACACCACTTTTTCTTCAAGGAATTAACTCACTTTGGTCCTGCTATTGTAATTCTAGATTTTTTAAATATAATACCAAATATAATTCACTTGTGGACACAAAATGTTTCATTATTTTGAGAAAACAAATAATTAATCAACGTTTTCCTACTATCTCTTTTATATTTATCAAATCTACTACTTAGGCCTATATATGATGTAATGAGTACAGCTGTATTTTTGTGACTTGTAGAAAGAGACCAGGACAATAAGTCGACACCTCGACGTTACGATAAAAATAACACAATGATTCGACAGAATAAAGTGTCGTATGATTGCGTCAATACTGTCGTGATGTCGTGTTGTCGCGTTATGAAAATGGCGAGATTTAACATGGCCACTATCAGCCACCATAAAAAACAGCTTATAGACTATAATATACACTGCTAGTCTCGGTTCTCAAAAATATTTAGGCCTACTCTACATGTAGTTCTACCGACCTGTTGGTCCCGATTCCATTTCAGCTCTGAGTAATTGTGCTAAGGCTTTTACTTTTATTAATATATTTTAAAGTTAATTTTGATTGTAATTCACTTTAGTACTTGTTTGTTTATTATTTGTCAGCGAAAATAATGAAGATAGGTGACACCAAAGTATCTTTCTAGACGCCTGCAAATAGCATTTTGCAAGGCATATTTGATAAAATAAAAAAAAATAAGTTTGATAGCCTATGATACATTGATGTACTGGTATAGCTAGAAAATAGGTTGACAAAGGGATTGTTTACAGTTAGATCTATCCATTTTCATTGACTGCACCAAATTTCATACACGGTCGCTGAATCTTGAGTTTTCAAACCTTTTCACTAGTTTTATCTTGTACTAATTCTACATTTAATTTGTGTTAGTGATGCTTTGGCTCGCGAGAAAAATTTCACCTTCTTTCATACTTTAGTAACTTTACCCACTTATTGAAACCCCTGCATTAGTACGGTAAAAATTGTGGGTATTGGGGGGGGGGGGGCAGGGGGACTGTTCTTTACCATGTGTATTGACATGATTTTGATAATTTACAATAATCATTGTGTTAATAAATAACTGTATAAAACTAAACAGAACGATCTAGTTAATTAGAGAAAATAGCCTGATTCTTTGTGTATTACGCTAGTTTGATTTGATTGATGTTTTGCTTCTGACTTATCTTTTGAAGACCTTGCCATTATGTATAACCTGGCTCACATACCTCACTGAAAAGGAGGTTCCATAATCTATACAGTGGTCATGTCTGTTTTGCAGTCCATGTTTTTATACGCCCACATTTTCATATGGGCGTATATTGTTGTCGCCCCTGTCCGTCCGTCCATCTACAATTTGTTTGTGTACACTCTACAGGTAACAATTTTTATTCGATCTTGACGAAACTTAAAAATTTATAGGTCTATCTCCCAAAGATCTTGGTTCCTTTAGATATTGGCATATGGCTGACCATAACTTCATGGATTATGGTCCCTGATTGTACGAAAAATCACGTTTTTAGCTTGTGGACACTCTAGAGATCACAATTTTGAAATGCATGTTTATGACGCAAAGATCTTGGTTCGTTTTGATATTTGTGCATATCTGATTGTAACTTCCTGAATTATGTCCCCTGTTTGTACGAAAAATCACGTTTTTAGCTTGTGGTCCCTCTAGAGGTCACAATTATTATCCGATTTAAACAAAAATGTTTGAATATAACACTGTTACACCCTAATGACAGCGGAGTTCGAATTTCGTGAAAATCAGACCAAAACTGCCGGACAAATCGCCGCCTCTCGTTCGCAAATAGTGTAAATATATGGTATACATGTATCAAGGTTGTGGACCCTCTAGAAGCCACAGTTTTGATCCGATTTTGATGAAACTTGAAATATATCTCTATAACCCAAAGATCTTGGCTCCTGTCAATATAAGCACATATCTGATCGTAACTTCCTAAATTATGGCCCTTGATTGCATGAAAAATCACTTTTTGTTTTAGCTTGTTCTCTATCCATCTCTTGCAAAATGTGGGCATATCCTGCCTGGCAGCCGCTGGTTAAAAATGTATAACATAAAAAACAAAGCTGAAAAGTGATAGAACTAGCCCATCAGATAAAAAAAAATATCATTGTTTACACTTTAATAATACTGACCATAAGGTCAAAATTTTGCTAGTTAAAAAAAAAGAAATACATTTAGCTGTTATCGTATCATTTTGTAGTGAATTGAATAAACTTTATAGTGAACTGAGTTTGTAGCCTTAAAATATAGTACAAAGTTCTCATATATAGGTCAGAAGTGAGAAGAAAAAATACTTTAAAGCCAAACTGGTTTGACATGCTCTGACTTGTAGTCTTGGTAGAAATTTGATATTTTTGTGAACTTTGGCACGTAACATATCTATACATTTCATGGTGTTCAACACAACATGCATAGTTTGAGTGTCATGGTAGCCAGTCACCACTGATATGTGCATATCTGCTGCCATGACGATCTGTTTGGGGATAACCAACTGATTGACCCATATGCATTTAGTCCTTACATGTACTTACAAGTTTTGAAATTGATTCATCATATGCTTTCTATATAAAAATTCCACCAAAATACTTAGATCAAAGTGCTGCAAAACAAGACCTTAATGTGAGCTAATTAATGATGATGTAATTATCTAGTAAATGCTGTTTATCTTAAAATTACAAGAAACCAGATAAAGACATTGTTGAGATCCACTTATTGCATTCATATGGAGCTTGTCCCAGCGATAATCAAAATCCGATTAACCCAATTTGGTATTTTATTTTTAGCCTAAATCAAAGAGGTTTTAATTTTTTAAAAACACAAAAGAAATCCCATCAAGACCCACCAGTAATAAGGCTAGGTGTTGTGAATGAGACTTTCTTGTTTTCAAACATAGAGTTTGTGTCATCATTTACTGTACAGCTATTCTACATTAATATGACAATTTTATTCTGCATTCAGTATTTACAAATTTAGCTCTACATCACTTGATTTGTTTTATACAGTTAGAGATTTTGTCAATCCAAAGGCAACAAGCCATTTACAGTAATGGAAAATATTTTAATTAACTGTACAGCTTGGCACAGAATTTGCAGTGAATTCAAGGAACACATAAGATATATTTTGCCTTAAGTACATGTACATGTAGGTCAGTGCATGGATTTGATAATAGGGTGAAGGTCTAACTTGTGGCATGTTCATGGTATCATATCTTTGGTTTTTTATTTGAGTAATCTTTTGCACTATACATGTACATGCTGGGTGTATAGAATAACAACCAATATTAAATGTATCGCCACAATAACACATTCATTGAGCAAACTGGATTATTAATACTACTCTTAGAAAACAAGCTCTTCACATTGAGAGACTTACAGTATTTTTCTTTCATTCTATGCTTTACCAACATTAACCATTTTGTTTTTCCACTGATATAAATGGGTACTCCATCTTTGATTTGAATGTCTTCAATAGCCCAGATGGTGCAGTAAAGTAGGACATTAAATCCCATTTCATTTCTTCTTTGATTTTGGTCCAAAATAAATTGTTGATATTATGTAATATTAAGTACATTTGTGTAGAAAAAAAAATTCATGTAGAATGGGCTGGTTTGTACGAAAAAGATAGCCTAATTATTATTACCGTATTTGTGTAATAGACACAAAGTTAGTGGTAATAGTGTTGATTGATGCAACCATTTTTGGACTAGGAATTTTTTTTGGAATAAAAGTACTTTTGATTGTGTAAGGTCTCAAATTCTATTAAACTTTATTCTGGCACGTCAATGTTTTAAAGACTTCTAAATAAATGTTTGGGTCTTGATAAAAAAGTATTATATGATGAAGTTTGATTGTGTATATTTTCAGTGATTGTTACCTGTATGAAATCCAGTATAAAGTATGTGTATTAGATCTAGATAAACCATGGGATGTATATACTGTTACTACTGGTAATATACCTATATCTTATATACTCTGGGATACTTCTGGTTCTAAACTCCTTGTCATCAATACCCAGGGTATGTTTCAAGTATGGACAATGCCGGTAAGTTCTATTTAAAAAAAAACATCAATGGGTGGGGGTATGTGACTGTGCACTAGTTATAAGACCATTCATTTATGCAGGTGTAATGAATTTGGTTCAGGTTGACTGCCTAAATTCATGGGTTTTCTCAAGGATCTTCACATTTCTCCCTCTTTTTAAGTCCCCTACTTGCAGTTTATTGAAATCAAATGTAGCATATTATGTTACCCAAAGTGACCTAATTCCTGGTGAGTCAACCTTAAATCATGTTTCTCTCCCCATGTTTTTAAAAAATCTAATAGATTAATAGGGATAACTGCTCAATAAATCACATAATAAAAGATTATGAATGAAATTATTGGGTACTTTAAGACAAAATGGTTGATTGCCTTCTTGTCTCATTAGTATCTTGTTTTGTAGTATTTAGAATATCAAATTTGAAGGAAATTTTCATTTTGTTCTTCATTATATTCATCAGTTCTAAATGGATTTTGTCTTACGAATTTGTTTAAATTTCTTTAAGGATCATGTACTTAGTCAATGGAAATTGTTTGGTTCAACTTGTTTAAAAGGAGAAGAAATAATTAAAGTGGCATGGTTACATAATGGCATACAGGTAGGTTGGAACAGAACATTTCATTTCTTTGATTAAAATGATAATCTTAACTGATGTCTAATGCTCAACCTATATGACTTTCCAGGACTATTTAGCGTTTAACACTTGTCTAGGTCAGAAAAGTAAGTGTCTAGTCGCTTGAATGGAACATTAAATAAAGGTCCAAAATATAAATTTTTGTCGCCTATTAAAGATTGAGTGTAAGTTGAACGAGCAAACACATCCAGGCAAAATTTGTACCCCAATTTGCACACATTACCATGTTTGGCATATTAATAAGACGTTATATTCCTTTCAGTTCCATAAAATTTGTTTACTGGATCCTATAGAATGATTAAAACAATATAAAAATCAATTGAGAATGGATCAAATTCCTCTTTGACCACACAATGTGATTCTTCTAACCATATTTGTTTTATATAAAACTAAATGGCTTGAATGTTTTGTTTATAGGTAATGTTTAATCCAGATAAGAAAGATGCTGTTATGTATAATGAAAAGTTTTTAAGGAATCGTATAACTCCTAGTGTTAGTAATTTTGGACGGAAACCAATGGATGGATGGATAGCTGTATCAAGTAGTGGTTTAGTAAGTTCAGTCTAATCCAATAATAATCAACCTAAAGTGGTATTAAGCTGGAAATATTTTTCAGAATTTAACAAATAGACAATTTACTGGTGTTGCCAAGTCAATATGCTATTTTTTGAAGAAATATTTGAGATTTTCAATTCATATTGAATATAATTAATAAAAACGATCTTCCACTTTTAAAATAGTTCATATCTCCTTCCTAACAACATCTTGATAGGTGTTTTGTGTGTTGGTAAACAGATTTCAGTTAGTCATCCCCTATTTGAATCCCTGACTGACCATATGAAAGCCGTACTCTGTCCTGTTTCGCAGAAAAATCACTCCTTACTTTCTTGGATTTAGTCAGAGATACCTATGGTGGTTGGAAAAAATTTGTCAGTAACTGCACTCATTGCTCTCTGAACAAGTCTGTAGGAAAATGTTATAACCTAATTTTAGAATATTAAAATGACTTTTTCAGGTTAGTGTTGGCTTATTGCAAGATCAAGACCCCCATATTATAACTAGTAAAACTAGTCTAGCTTCTGGTCATATACGCTTAACTCAAGTTGATATAGCCTTTAATACCACTGGTGAAGTGGTACTTGTTGTTACTGATGGCAGTATATCTACTACTGTACTGTGTTTCTACATCAACATCACCATACAACATATAACATGTACAGTAACATCAAAACCCGGACCAGGTCTCTTCATGAAATCACAAATGGAATACAGCAATAAGGATACTCAACTGGTTCAAATAACACATCTTAATTTCATGAATAGGGACAGTGCCGATACCTTATTAGTCTGTGCTGGTAGTCATGGATACAGTTGTGTGGAGGTTTGGCAATTAGTGGAACAAATGATGCCTTTAAGTAGAATATTCCAGAATGCAAAACCCGATTATTCTTACAAAACTCCAAAATGGATGCATAAAGCAACTTTTACCTCAAATTCCATGCTTACAAGTATTGCCACACCCATTTTATATATGGGAAAGAACTATATTGATGCCCCTGGCTTCATGTCGTATTTTGCTTGTACTTACAAAGATGGAAATATCAAAATAATTCACAGACATACGATCCAACCTATTCATTCGTGTACCTTGGAATCTCTGGGAGTGTCTGGACCACAGAAATTGGATAAAAAAATTAGAAGTATAAGCCATGTGAATTCGTTAATTCAAACAGGATCTGGGTGTGGTTTAATTGGTGTTAATGGTAATAAAATGGTGTTGATCCGTGTATTTAATATGAGAGAAGGACCTATACAGTTATCTGCACCTATTGTTATACTATTGTTGGAATATATGATGTGTATTGGCAATGATTGGTGGGATATCTTCCTCGCAGTTAAACAAGGTACGTTACTCAAAGAGAATCAGTTTATTGTTTAGTTTCTAATAAAGGTCACAAAAATTTAAAAGGTTGGAAATTGAATGTGTTGTGTGGATTAGGTTTTCATGCATTAAAGGCCAATGTTGCTGTCCAACACGTTTACATACATGTATGAGATCAAATATGTTTAACAGATTAAAAAAAAATTCTTTGCTATGATTTATTTGTAGCTTCTGTAAATTTCAGCTCTTTTGATTCGTCAAAGGACAAGTTGTAATATGAGACTCTGAGAGGATATTGTCCTGCATGATATTTATCATTGTTATTTTGCTGTTAACAGTGGACAGTTTAAAATAATATTACATTAGCATACTCTGGTGAAATGAATATTTAATTGTATGGATTTTGACAAACTTTTTATAAGCCCACATCAGGTTCTTAATCCATTTTAAAATGAACCGGCCACGGGTAGGCCTAACGGATAGTCGTCTTTTCAACAACAAACATGTTGGTTTATGCATACTCTATTCACGACAGTAATTGCATAATTCACTAATTGCATAACGTATTCAGGATAATAATAGCTGAAACTCCGAATAAACAAGACCTTTATAATTGCATACTTGTATTCATACATCGGTATAATATCGACATTAATAGTCATATTATTATTTCACCAACTTGCATTGCATATTCCTACTTTTGCTTTCATCCAACTAAACACAAGTTATGAATTAGTAAAAACTACAAGTACATGCAAATGTTTTTTTAAATTATATTATTCGTAAGCACATGTTAATATATATAAAAATAACAAAGTATATAAATAACAAAGTAGAACAAATCAGTTTCCGTATATAGTCGGAACTCGGAAATATGCTGTGCGTGCGAAAGGTCACGTGGCCAATTGTCGTGATTGAGTTTTGTTTTATTTTTAGTGTTACCAGTATACAATTGTCGGGATTTAATGCAGCAGGAATAGTTCGGATATCTGAGAGGATCTCTTTCTCAATTTCACTGGATATTAAATAAATAAATTCACCACAACAATTAAAATCACGATATAATTTTTTTGTCATTTCATGTACACTGTACCTGCTGTTCTGTCAAATCGTTCAATTATTGTTCATATTTTTCGATGGCAATGTTTCTTTTTGCTATGAAATACGCATTTCGGATTAACGCCCGGTTTGATATAATTTTTATAGATTTGGGAATTAAACTCTTTGTTCTGCCATCGTCTTTCTTTGCTGAGCAGGTATGATTGTCAGATTGATATGGTCTTTTATTGCCAATAATTTGGTTGACCTATATTGGACGTGGGAGGATCTCCGGCTTTTGGAATTTCCATTGACGACGTGCATGCTTGAAGTTCAAGGTCAACGCCGCCATCACTATCTTCAGTTAAATCTCATTTACGTTTCCTGGTGTCATTCTGCGAGCCGTTCAAGTACTTGGCATGATTACCTCAATTAAGTTGTTTATTTATGAAATAAGCCGAAGGTATTCATTGTAATGATTGACTCTTTGATGGGTTTCTTAATCGACGAGTTATAATTAACTCTTTGTAATCGGCCGAAAGTAGATTGATTTATGATACCATAGTGGCTGGTTCATTGTTTTACCAATCGGCCTGATAATTAATTCATTGTAAATCGGCCGAAAGTAGATTGATTTGTGATACCTTAGTGGCCGGTTCATTGCTTTACCAATCGGCTAGATTAAAGATCAATCGGCTAAAGCCGACAAAAAACAGCCGATTAAGATCCCTGGCCCACATGGAAATGTGGTTGTATATTGCCGTTGGTCCGTCCGTCCGTCCATCGTCCTCAATTTTTTGTGAACACTCTACAGACTACATTTATCATCTGATTGTTTTGAAATTGATATATGTTGTTTGCATAAGTGAGATGAAGAAGCCTATTTAATTTCAATAACTTCCGTTAATTTCTACTGGAGTTATGGCCCTTGTTTCACTTTGTTGCACGTTGTGAACGCTCTAACGACAAGTTATCGACCGATCTGTATGAAATTTATATTTATATGTATCATTTAAATTAGTAAAACAAAGAAGCCTATTGAATTTCAGCAATTTCCGTTAATTACATCTAGAGTTATGGCCCTTGTTTCACCCTGTAGTACCCTGTAAATGCTCTAACGACAAAAGTTATTATCCAATCTGTATGAAATTTATATGTATCATTTAAATTAGTAAAATGAACAAGCCTATTGAGTTTCAGCAAATTTCCGTTAATTACATCTAGAGTTATGGCCCTTGATTTACTTTGTTGAACTTTGTGAACGTTCGAACGACAAAAGTTATCATCCGATCTGTATGAAATTTATATGCATTATTTGAATTAGTAAAACGAAAAAGCCTGTCGAATTTGAACAATTTCTGTAGATTACTTCCAGAGTTACGGCCCTTGTTTTAGTTTTTAGAACCTTGTGAACCCTCAAACGACAAAAATTATAATGTCATCTGTATGAAATTGTCTATTAAATTCCCCTAATTACCTGCAAAATAAAAATTATGTGACAACCCTTGTCGACTGCTCGGACGATTTAGCTGATGTGGGCGTATGTTTTGTTGCCTGGCAACCTATCTTTTATTATTCAAGTTGAGAGATCATTGCTTGTTATCAGTTTACAATTTTCTTCCTCTGTAGGTATGGTGGAAGGGATATGTCAGCGTTTATCAGATAATTTCCAGAAACAGCATGGCTCTATGCAGGAATTTCTTAGAATGCGTTTAATATCTCTTCAGATGGCTCTGTATAATTTTGTTAATAATGGACAACAGAAAGCTGCTGATTGTCGAGCCTTACTTATATGTAATTCCATCTCCTCAGTTCTTAAAGGCATTCTTCGACCAAAGACTGTGTCAGCTCAAGATAAGGTAATTTTGATTCATGATTATTCAGATATGAAATAATTTGTGATAAATATGGTAAAGTAAATGGGAATGATTATTTTGGAGAGGTATTAAAACAAGAGGCACAAAGACCTTAAACAACCACTGGTTAAGAGTACATTTATGTGTTAATCGAAGATATCGCTTGATTAGAATACAATGTATGAGCGCCTACAACAAAGGACCATTTTTGGAGGAGAAGTCAAGTGTTTAAATCATACCCCTCTCAGGTTGCTCTAACTTTAATCTAATAATTCAGGACAAGCAACATGTGATAAACACACTTACTGTATTTAGTTGAAATCCATCAAATAGTGTAGGAGATAAGATGAAAATATATGAATTTACCCAATCAACATGCTTCTGCTGCATCGCTATGGGGTTAAGCAACTTCATTGGATCAAATTTGAATAACCGTAGCCAGTTTGATCAGAATTGTTGAAATCATCAAACACTTTGGCAAACAAAGTTGAAAATGACTAATTTTTTATGGACGACAGACATACATGTAAGCCATTGGGGTTGATGAACTAAAAGATTAAATTCTGTTGTTACACATGGAAGGGCATTTAAAAGTGTCATTCAATCTTCCAAAGTACTTTAACTTGAGGTTTTTTTTCTGATCATTGCAAAGATAATTGATGAAAACAAAGTACATGTACATGTACATCAGTGGCAGTTGATTTTTGGCATATTTTTTCAAATCATTGATTGTTTAGATTGAATTATCTTCTTTCTTTTGTTGTAGAGCCCAGCTGAAAAACTTACCATGGTTTGTACAGGTCAGAAAGAGGCTGATATAGACAGTGTTATACGTAATCTTGATACAGAAGAATTTATTGTAGAAGCCTTAAAGGCGGGAGGTAATTCTGAAAGTAAGTGAACTAGAAAATGTCACCTTGTATTTTTATACACCCACATGGAAATGTGATCGTATATTGCCGTCAACCCCGTCTGCACGTACATACGTCTGTCATCCACAATTTCTTGTGAATACTTTACAGACAACATTTATCATCCGATTATTTTAAAATTATCATATGTTATTTACATCAGTGAGATGAAGAATCCTATTTAATTTCAATAATTTTTGTTTTTTTCTTCTGGACTTATGGCCCTTGTTTCACTTTGTTGAACCTTGTAAACGCTTTAATGACAAAAGTTATCATCCAATCTGTATGAAATTTATATGGATCATTGAAATTAGTGACACGAAGACTCCTATTGAATTTCAGCAATATCCAATAATTACGTCTAAGAGTTATCGCCCTGGTTTAACTTTGTTGAACCATGTGAACATTCAAATGACGAAAATTTTCACCTTACCTGTATAAAATTGATATGCATCATTTAAATTAAGTGAAACAAAGAATCCTCTTGAATTTCAGCAATTTCAAATAGTTACTTGTAGATTAATGGCCCTTGTGAACACTCGAATGATGAAAGTTATCATCCAGTCTGTATGAAATTTATATGCATTATTTAAATTAGTGAAATGAAGAAGCCTATTGAATTTCAGCAATTTCTATCAGTTACTTCTAAAATTATGGCCCTTGTTTTACTTTGTTGAACTTGTGAACGTTCGAATGACAAAAGTAATAATCCGATCTGTATGAAATTTATATGCATTATTTGAATTAGTAAAGCGAAAAGGCCTGTCGAATTTCAACAATTTCTGTAAATTACTTCCAGAGTTAAGGCCCTTGTTTCAGTTTGTAGAACCTTGTGAACCCTCAAACGACAAAAATTATAATCTGATCTGTATGAAATTGTTTTGTAAAAAAATACCCCTAATTATATACAAAAGAATAAATATACAACAACCCTTGTTGACCGCTCTGACAATTTAGCTGCTGTGGGCGTATGTTTCGTTTCCTGGCAACTTATCTTTATTGATCATTGTAAATTTGATTATTTTCTTTATACATACATGTACAATGTAGCTATAATTTGAACAGATTAGTTGTTAGATATTAAATAATTAAAAACAAAACAATAATACCAATATTTTGTTTTGTTTTCTGTATCAACTTGGTCTACAGACATTTCTTTATAAGGCATTTTCCAGTAATATACAGGGGGTTGGATGGCCGAATGGTTAGCACGTGCGCGCGGTACCATAAGGCCTGTCATTGAGTCAACTGGCGTGGTTTCGAATCCCCGGTTGTACGTGACAAGGAGTAGGGTCGCCTGTCCAATCTCGTGGGTTTTCTCCGGGTCCTCCGGTTTCCTCCCACTGCTAAAGACCCCTATGTGCAAGCGAATTATTGAAATAAAATTAAACCATATGTTAGTCCCGAAATGACCTAGTTTGTGTTGAGTGGACGTTAAACCCCATTTCTCTCTCTCTCCCCCAGTAAGGCCACACAAAATAAATGTCTTGTTTCTCGGGCAACTGACAGCTGAAACTGTAGGGAGGGAGGGCGGTTTCTTTTTTTTTTTTTACTCATTGATGGTGCAAAATAAAATTTGGCTATTGCTGAAAATTGTTGGGGCGGGAGGGCGGTCTTTCTTTTTTTTTTTTTTTAAATGAGAAAGTCATTACTTGTTTACGTTTTTGCTTTCCGTTATATTCAACTTTATTGTACATACTTAAAACATAAACCCAAAATCAAGTCTACTAAAACACTGAGACTGAACACTGACTGAAAGGAAAATAATTTTCCATATTTAATTCACATAATTGAAATTGGTTTAAAATAAAATTCCATATACGACTATGTAATAGCCCTCCATAAAGACAACAATATTTTTAAAAACTAAGCCTCTTTCACCAGGTGTATCAAAAATAATAATCATGGTAAACAGTATTTAAAACTAAATCTAGTATCGCCGGTTTATTTATAATTATTTACCGAATTCCAACCAATGCATGTCACACCGTGTCATCGGTATTGGAGATTGCCGGAAATACTGTTTCTTGGGATATTCGGTGTGTTTCTCAGGATATTCGGTGTTCTATCCGGTGTTTATATTGAATGACTATTTAAATCTAACTAACAACTGGTCAGTAAAACCATCAAATCGGTAATCCAATTATTATTTTCCGGATTATCGAAACTACCGTAAATGTGCTAATAATGACCCAGATTCTAAGGTATGCATTATGACGACTATCGTCATCGTATCGTATTCTTAGCTATAATTAATTAACCTGTTCTACGGTTCATTATTTTATCAATAGGATTTTCCAAACAAGGACCGACTGAAGCCGGCAATAATGAGCCGATTACGATCGAATGATTGAAATATTGTCGCCAATGACTTTTAACACGAATCAAATTCTAGTTTATCAGGGGAGGTAATTAATATCACGTGATACAAAATGGAGGTTCTTTCGATATCAATAAAAAAGGCAAATCTGCCAAACTTCGCCATTGTTCGGATAAAAAAGACAGCATGTTCATCTGAATCAGTTTTAATACATTTGAATAGATATACATGTATGGCGGATGTAGGTACATGCGGGATATTTTTTTTACGACTTGCTTGTCGATGTGCGGGCGGGCGTTACATATTTATTTTTTTTCATCAAGACTAATAAATAGACTGCACGCGCAACCAATTTTGCGTGCGGGCGGTGCCCGAGAAACAAGTTATTTTATTTGTGTTGCCTAATATACAGGTTATACAAAAGTTCGGTGAAATCTTTTGAAAGGCTTTGATTGGCAGTCTATTCGAGGTCAAAAGAACTATTACTTAAAACATATTTTTAGATGTGAATGGAATGACCAACCAAAAAAACAAAAATAACATCTAATTTTAATAAGATTGTGTAATTGTGGTCGTACACTGGGGGGATGGTTTGATTGTCCCATCTTGATTGTTCTTTCAAATTATAAAAATTCTAATTTCAGTGTCTCTCCAGTTTTTACAGCCATTAATACAATGGGTAGCTAATTTCTGTCTACATCTATTATCATCTATACCTTTATATCAGAGTTACTGTAGTTTCCCTGGATCATCCTTACTACGTGATGTTGTTGTACTTAATAATTTACGTGAACTCTTAGTAATTATACGTATCTGGGGTTTAATTAACCCCGGGTGTTTACCAGTATTTACAACTACATCACAGATTGATTGTTTGTCCATCTTATTCAAACTTTTAACAAAAACATGGCTATGCAGCAAAGAGGGAAATATTGAATATGATGAAACTTTGAATGACGAATGTTTGTTATTACCAAATCAAGTTCTTATACCAGATATTAAACAGAGTTTTGGTGGAGAGAATTACAGTTATTCCGTCTTCTCTCAGCAGCTTCCATTATTTTTATCCACAGGTGAAGAGCCAGATTTTCTCTTCACATTACAGCAGACACGAGCGTTGTATATACCAGAATCAACAGTAGAATCACGACAAAAATATGACATTGTACGACAGATCCATCTCGGTATCAAACCATCAGGTCCAGTTCGAGAATGTTGTCGTTGTGGATCCTCATCATTATTAAATGCCCCTGCAAACTCCTCCATTTTAAAATCTTGGGAACAAAGATTTGTTAAAACTTGTATTTGTGGTGGACATTGGAAAGTTGTGAAGTAGTGAACAAAACCATGAAAATGTCTGATCATTTTGAAATTATTGCACAATGCAGATTTAAGGGGCTAATCCCGATAATTTTTGGGAGAATAAAACTGTTTAATTTTGTTTTAAAATCCCTTAAAATCCTCTACCTAAGGGCCGAGAATCTAACTCAATATTTGTGATAAGTTTTCAAATAACTGAAACCTGTCAGTCTTCATCTGGAAATGTAGACCGGTGTCCCAAGCTGTATTATGCGGTGTCTAGATAAAACCAGACATTTTTTGTATAAAAATAATGTGTAGGTGAAATTGACCTTTCATTATCAAGTACAGCATTTGGGTCATTCACTGTATAGACCTCTCAATGAACGGGAATCGATTATCAGATCTCCCAACGAAAAAATTGACCCAAAATCTTAAAAGGGTTACGTGTCCGGATAAACAGTTTTGATGGTCACGTTCAAACGACTCAATATTTTGAGCTGAAATTTTGAGATACGGTCAATACACCATTCCTCTATATTTTGGCGTTTAAATTTCATACATACTCAGACTTTTATTTTTGAGACTCTGTTCAAATAAGGGATAGTCCCTTTAATGTTTATTATTTGACTTTGTTTATGACAAAAGTCATTGTGAAAACATCTTCTCATTGGAATGAGAAATATGAAATTAATATTGATTAAATTATCAAATTAGTGTTTTAATATTGATGACCCAAACACCATTATAATATCTCCAGTAAATGAAGAAAGTCTGATAACAAATATTGTAAATGTTATTGTATACTGATGTTTGTTTTTAAAAAAATCGATTACCTGTATGAAATGTTCATTTTCTTTGTTGTCATCCACCAATTTCCCATTAGTGTATTCTTTAAGATGTTGATTTTTCTTGGATTATTTCTTGCCATCCACCATTTGATTTGAAAGGTTAGATTCCAGATATAATGTAGCACTTTGGTCCTTAAGACAATATTGGATCTTTGAAAAATTGTTGCTTCATTCTGTTTATAGTGTCAAATCACACATAGTTAATGAACATGAATATGAATATATAGTTATACATAAAAAAAAAGTGATATTTTGGTAAATCATAACCATTGTCAAAATATCCATCAAATTCTATCTGTTTATTGACCTATGGTTGGTAGACCAAATAAGGTAATGTTTCCTCCTCTGGTCTTGTGAAATCAAGAGGTTTATTCAAGGCTACCTAAGATGTGAAGAAATTAGGGGGTTATAAAAGAGGGTGTCGAGCGAGACTGGGCAGAGCTTACCCAGATATTCCTAGCAGCTATTATTATTGAGAACGAGGAACCTTCAAAGCCATTACAGCTTAACAATAAAGTTGTAAGAACCATTTATTCTGTAGTGTTATTGTGATCACGAAGAAAACAAACAAGAAAAGAAGTCTGATAGTACGGTACTACAATAATACTAAAGTAAAGAAATTTGCTGTGGTTGTTCAGCTCATGTTCTGAATATGACACAAATACAGGAAACTGGTTATTGACAACAGAGTTGTAATTGGAGGATGTTAGTTCAAACCTAAATATCTATACCCTGGGTATCATACTGAACAATGGCACCTTGTCTGAGGATACATGATTTGTATGAACATTTGATGTTTATTGGGAACTGCATTTAAATATAGTATTTGATAAATAAAGATGGCCTCATTTGCAAGTCACGGCTCTCTACTTGTCAGTAACAATAACTTTGATGATGTGGATCAAACCATACATGTAGCAAAGGTCTTTTAAATTTATTTATTCTGCTTTTTGACAGCTCTCCTTTTCTTTATATTTAACCGTATTGGTTTATGGGAACTATTCAGATTGTTCTCAGTATTGTCAAAGCAAGAAATAATTCTTGATGATAATCTTTATGATGTTTGAAATACCCCTTCAAATTAGATTTAGAAGTGTTAAGAAAATGCAAATGGGAAAACTTAACTAGAATGGTCGTTTTATTAAGGATCTACTTGAATCTAGCATTGCATTGCACACTTCTCTGATCGAAAGTTAAAAATTACATGTATGTGTCTTCAGCTAAAACCTTCGGCTAGAAAGTACAGTGGCCCAAGAGAACAGGCAAATAAAAATTTGTTTGTCCAACGGGATTGATACATGTATTAAAGAGAAACTGATATGTTTGTTGCTTACTTTTAAAAAAGTGATCTAAAAAAAAGAATTTATATTGCATTTTATTTATTAACAAAGGATAAAAATAAATATTTGTCAAATAAAAATAAATATTTGTCAAATAAAAATAAATATTTGTCAAATAAAAATAATATTTTATTAACAAATATATACATTAAACAACATTTTTACATTATGAATTTAACTGACACAAGTCGATATTTACAAAAGTATAACAGAATCCTCAAAATAAATAATTGAATTCCATTATTAATGACATCACAAAAATAATCTTACAAGACTCTTCAAATAGTGTGCGTAGATATATCTGTAAGACCAATTTCGGTAAAAATGGCCATTAATCAGAACTAATTATTACGGTAGTGCTTGTTCTTTCAAACTAAACCAACAAGTCATACATTAAATTATGTCCATTAAAAGTTGAGGATGAAAATATATTTAAATTCTTTGCCATTTAAGTTTGTCATTATTAATAAAATAAAAGCATGTCAATGGATTAAAATCAACATATTAACAAATATATACAATAAATAAACAATTTGGCAGTGTTTATATTTCTGCCTGTACAATGGAGACGCATGTTCGCAATAGCATTTTTGGGTTATTTTTTTTGTATTTCATTTAAAGTAATAAAAAATAAGAAAAAAAAAATCTGTAAAATTTAAAATAAAAATCTTTTAAAAATCTAAAATAAATCTATATATAATTTAATCAAGACACTACTGCAACAATGGGCCACAAAGTATTTCTGGTCGCTCTAGTCTTGCTGTATACTGGGTCTGGATACTCAAAACGCTATTGCGACCACAGGCCATGTCTGGAATTATTTTTTGTTTTTCATTTAAAATTTTATTTCTTTTCTTTTCTTTATTTTAAATTTTAAAAGATTTCTTTATTGTAAATTTAAAAAGAAATAAAAAATTTTTGGTTTCTCTTTTTTTTTTTACTAATATTTTTTATTACTTTAAATGAAATACAAAAAATAACCCCAAAACACTATTGCGACCATGGGCCACCATACTGTACCCATCATTTCTGTGACAGGAACAACAAATCAACATTTCCGAATTTTTTAACTTATTGAATAATACCTATGTATAAAACAACAAAAATAGTAGGGTAGAGGTGCACCTGTGGCACATGATCACTAACATCCAATTATCGAGTCCTAAGCTCCAAAACAACTACACTCCATCTTTCCTTGGGGTGAGGTCAACTTGGAGTACATTTTATTTCCGCATTTTCGAACTAGGAAACCTGAATGCTGCAAAAGCTGCTTTTCATGATTTGTCAACTGGAACTAAATGCAGCATTCCAATACATAGTAACTTGGCAAATAACTAATTTCAAAAACTCTTATATTGTTTATAAATTCTTATCTCTTAATTGAATTCGAAAAAATCCTGGTTTCTCTTCTGCATACCTGCAACATATAATAAACCCCCATGGCATTAGTTAAATATAAATACCAATAAGTTGAAAGTAACATTCAGAGACAATATTAAAGGAGAAGTTAAGCTGTTGCAGATTCTTAATATTTTATTTCTTATCTTGTATTGAAATTGTTTCGATCATGGGAAACCTTTTAAACACACATGTTGGATGTGCTATCGTAAAGAGACAGAAACTAGGTCATTTCGGGGCTAACATATTCTTCAATTTTATTTCACTAATTCTTTTGCGCGTAGGGGTATTTAGCAGTGGGAGGAAACTAGAGGACCCACAGAAAACCCATGTCAGGTAGAAGTGGGGAATCAAAACCACACCACTTGACTTAATGACAGACCGTGTGATCCAAAAACGTGCATGTCTTAACCATTCGGCTGATACAACCAATAAATTTCTTTGTAGAAACATTAATTTTTCCTGAATGAAATTTAAACTTTTGTGTTTCGAGAAACTTACCTGAAGTTATTGGACGATAAAAAGTTGATTATAGCTGGTCGTATTTTAGCTACACCACCTCGACTATTTAAACCTCGACCTGTTATAACGAAGAAATGGGTGCGTCTTCTTTCAGGTCTCAAAAAATTCTCTATAAAAATATAATATTAGAAATTTATATTTATTCAAATTATGGATGAGAAAACATTTTAGCAGTGTTTATATGATACATCTTTTGTCACCTTGAACATTTAACAGAATGATCCATTTCTAAAATGCAAATTGATCAATGCCTCATCTACTCAACCATTGATCAATGCCTCATCTACTCAATCAGATTGTTTGCTCCAAGGTTTCAATTCGTGTAAATATTTACCTCTTTCTTTCTGAGCTATAACTTTATTGAGAGCTGATATAGCTTCGTCCACATGGAATCCATGTAAATCTAATGTCATACCATCTTGTACTTCACTTCGTCTACAAAATAACAATACTAAATGTGACCATATTTATTCTGACTAATACTACATGTATCAACAATAATAGTCCCTCTCCTAGGGTCACCCCTCTTTCTATGATATGCTGTCTTTGAAGTTTTACTTTGAATTATTTAAATAGTCAATCAAGGATGACCAGCTAACAACTACTAATTTGTATGCCAAAAGACAACATCTGACATTCTCCCTAACCTAACCACTGAAATAAACATTATTTAATTGTATGTAGATAATAGTGTAGAATTATTATATACCTCATATCTAATATCTTTTGTGAAGCTCTCTTATTTGCTTCTTTGACTTTAGTGCTATGAAGATGGCCCTGTAATAGAGAATTATGTAAATTATTAAAAGCACTTGAACTTTGTGTCATTAAATATATGCATCGCTGAATAACAGCACTGTCTATCTAATATATTCATCAATGAATAACACCATCACCATCTATTAAATATATGCATCACTGAATAACAGCACTATCTATCAAATATATTCATCAATGAATAACACGATCACCATCTATTAAATATATGCATCACTGAATGATAACAGCACTATCACAAAAATATGCATCACTGAATAGCAACAGCACTAGCTATCACAAAGCAAGATTTGCATGACAGCTAAATTAATTATATCAGGTTAAAGATTTTTATAGCTCACCTGTTGTGCATAGAATGATGAGACTTCTGGCATACCACGTTGAAAGGCTTCTTTAGCTTTTATAAAACAATTTTGTCGGAGCATATGATGAAGATTGGCTTCACCTCGAAGCTCCTGGTAATTTACATCATCCGAATCAAACGTTTGATATTCACGATGCTGGACTTGTTTATATGATGGTGTCTCCAACTAGAAAGAGAATAAAATATAAATTATCTTGGGCAAGAGATACTTTTATGTTTAGCCTTGTGAAAAACTATCTGGGTTTGGAGTGGGTCTAGAAGAATTTGAAAGGGGGCCTTGAAAAATGTTCTACATATTTTGCATGCAAATCTTGGTAGTAGAGGGTTAAAAAATACAAATATTGTTTTGGTAAAGGTGTATAAATGAAATTAACCCTAATTTATAACAACATTATATTTCTAATTGAATCAGGATTGGGGAACAAAATGTGAAGCATGTCTTCCCTCTTCATGATATTTTTGTTTCACAACACAACTTGTGCAAATGTCATAATAAATTTTAATGTCAATCAATATCATCATATCCTACCAAATCTAGCAGACTTTTTTGTTTAGCTTCATCTATAAGTTTTTTGTAATATTCTTCTTCAGCTCCTGGTGTCATCACTGGACCAATAACAGATTTAATAGCTGTATCTGTATCTTCATAACTATATCTGTATAAAAAAACCCAACAGTCTCTTCTTTAATAAAGGCTTACAGTGCAAAGATTGCTTTTAAATCCTAAGGAATACTCAATTAAATTCAAAAGAATACAAAAGAACTTTCAAATTGTGTCTCTAAGCATATACAATAAAATGAACTTTTAATTTTTCAAATGGAAACCAAAATTTCTTCTTAGAAAACATTTAGATTACATAAAAAAAATCCCTACCCATTAGCTTGAAATATTTCTTCAAAAAGCCCTTCTTCTAGACCTGGGAACTTTTCTAACAGTTTCTGTCTTTTTAATTTTGTTGCTATGGCAATGTGGTCTCCTGTAGATTCTAAATACTTTAGCTGAAGAAATGAAATTATAAATGTATTTATATTTAGACAAGCAACTATTCTACACCCCGATCATGATAATAATGTTGGCTGGCTGATCATGATAATAATGTTGGCTGGCTGATCATGATAATGTTGGCTGGCTGATCATAATGTTGACTGGCTGATCATGATAATGTTGGCTGATCACGATAATGTTGACCGGCTGATCATGATAATGTTGGCTGACCATGATAATGTTGACGATTTGTTAATATATGGAGCATATGAAAGGGGCATATTATTTAATATTCTGTTTAAAATTCATTTTGGCTCAATCGGTTATTTTAGCTGCACCTGAAAGTACTGAGTAAAGCTATTTGAAGGGCCTCTTTGCAATTTAATTGAATCAACCAGGATATTATCTGCCATTGATATTCTGGTTTTTTTATTAAATGTAAAACAATCAATTTAGATACATTTTAGCATGTATTATCCCTTGAAAAATTGGATATTGTTCCAAAAATGCCAATGATGATCAGAAGTTTTTAAGGCTGTCTATATAATTTTGTTCGGCGTGACCAGTATGTGGATCATTTATTGTATAAGATTGTAATTTATAACTTACATGTTTTTCTCTAACCACTTGTCGATCTAGTTCTTCTTGTATAATATCACCCAATGATACACCTTTATTTTTACGCTTTATTTTCCTTTTAGTATTATCTGTTTTTTTATCCTCATCTTCTTGTATTATTCTAGCTAATGCTTCATCTATAGAAATAAAGTTTAATTGGTTTTAAATTTAAAGGTAAGCTGGATTATTTCATTGTTGGGGGAATCGCTTGCTTCATTGTTTTGTTATTTCATTCACTCATTCCCGCTAATACATGTATCTCTCTCAAAATTGCCTTTATTTTACCCTTGTTTTTTTTTCTTTCATGCAATGGGTATTTGTTTAACAATACTTTCAACATCAAATGTATTGACAACTTTGATTGGTCGCCCAGTATGATGAAATTGCAAACAAAGACAATGTAATATTACAGGGATTTGTCAATATGAAATATCTTGTAGAAAAAAGGGTGTCAGATATAGTAAAATAAGTTTAAATTTATTGGTTTAGATGTCCTAAATGCTTAAACTTAACTATACTCACCATTCATAAGCTGCCTTTTTTTCTCTATGCTGCCATTTGCTATTGTAGATTTCAAACATCGATGAATTTGTTTAGCTGCCTTTAGATCTAAAAATACTTCCTGATCTTCTGTAAAATAATTCAAAGGGAAAATTTTAACATATTCGTGAAAATTAACTAAATAAATCATAATTTAATTGCATTACAGATAAAATACAACAAAAATTGATTTGCATGGTACCCAAGTGTGTAGCTACCCCAGTATACATGTAGCTTATTGTCAATTTAAGTGAGGCACAAAACTTTTCTACAATTATCTTTTAAGAATTTTCCTTCTTTTACATACAAAATGGGTCACTCTAAATGCGCACGGAACTTACATCAAAATTTATTACAAACATCCATATCTAATTCTCACCTGATTTTGATTTTGAGTGAGCTGGTATTATGTGGCCAAATAATTGTTCTAATTGATGTACAAAATCTGATGATAATGATATAGATAATTCAGTTCCAATATCATCAACCATTGGTAAACTAATCTCAGCTTTATCATTACTAGTTTTTGATTGGTTCTGTGTATTAATACTATCTACACATACAGAACTATTTTCTGTCACAGCACTATTACTAGTAGAAACAAAGTCTTTTTCTGAATTAATATCGATTGAGCACTTTCCAGTCAACTGTTCAAGATGTTGCAAGTTACTAGTTTTAAGAGGTGAACTTGAAGATTCATTTCCAAATGTCAACCTTTGACCTTGAATCTCATTAACATATTCCTCATTAGAATCATTAGAGCTATCATCATATTCGGCAAGCATTTCAAGATCGTTTGTTGATTCAAGCACCCCTTCACACTGTAATCTATCTTCATTCAAAAAATAACTCATTGAAGTATAGTAATCAGGGTTTTGTACTATCGTTTTATTAATCCATCGTCCTGATGCACCTTTAAAAAGATCATTATCAACATCGTCCTGTGAAACACTTCTCATTCTTTTTAGTCCATGAGTTTCAATCTGTTCTAATCTTTTCATGCCATTTCTGATTAAATCATTCTGAATTTCATTTGTTTCGAGTTTATATAATTTAATATTTTTTCTACAAATATCGAAGAGAGATGTAGGAGAAGTAGCATTTATATTTTCGGCATGCTGGGTATCGTCCGACCTTGATAAAGAAACACTTTTACTAAGCTTGAGCATTTCTGTTGCAATTTCTTCTTTATCGCAAGATGTCAAAGACAAAGAATCACAATCTAAAATCAAATTAATAGCCCATTCCACATCATTATGACACATTTCCAAGACCTCTTGCCTTGACATCTCAGATAAATCTGGGAAACTGTTGCGTAAAAAGTCTAAATTAGGCTGTAGATAAGATAAAATATTGTCCGTGTTGCAGCCCCGGTCAAGTTTATTTACTCTTTTATTAACAGAAGAATTTTCTCTGATAGGTGTTAATTCGTTGATATCACGACTTTTTACAAACATTGTCTTTAGAAAATCTTTTTTCGATTCATCTAAATGTGAACCATCAGTATGTGTTGAAGCATCACAAGTTTCGATGGTTTCTTTTTTGACGTCTGACACAAGAGGTATAACTATTGAAGTGTTCTGGTTTTCATCAATAGCAAAACTATTCCAAGTTTGTGATTTAAATTTATTTTTCAATTCTTTATCAATAAGGGCAACACGATTTTTTCTCTTTTTTCTAGATTTTGGTTTTGGCGAGTTGCTAGCAGATGCTGAATCGGATGTGTTGTCACTTTTACCAGAACTATCAATCACCAAAGACACTAAATCTTTCTTATCAACATCTCCACCATCTCCTTTTCCTTCCTTGTCAAGGAATTCCATATCCTTTTTTTCACTTTCTTTTAAAGTTTCAGAAACTTCTGCAGCAAATTGGTTTTGTTTTTCTATAGAAACTGTATTTGCAACATCACAACCCCCCTCTGTATTAATAAGATCAGGGCCTAAAACAGTATCGTGAAACTCATTTGTTCCACTTTCTTTATTGACTTTATGTATTGATCGGACTGGGTCAATCTTTTCAGAAATCTGTTTATCATCCGCGGAAGGGTTTAAAATTAGTTTATCCATATTCCAACTATCATTTAAAACAATATCTTTTTCTTTTTTAATGGACTGGAAATTTTGATTAAAATCATTACAATTATTTTCTGATTTTTCAACTTTAATGTCTGTAGATTCAGTTGTTCCATCTGTTTGAGAATTTTCAGATGACTTATTTCGCACTCTTTTATTTCTTTTAGGTTTTGGGCTAAGTGGTTTAACAGAGGTATTTGTATCTGTTGGATTGGACCAAAACAAATCACTAGTCAAATGCAGTTGACTAATCTCAGTCATTTCTGTTTTCGGTTTTATGTGACATGAATTATTAGTCTTATTAGAGTCAACTTTTTCTTGATTGTTTTGCAATGATTCTTCAGAATCTTCAACACTTTCTCTTTTGATATCAGAGATAAGACCTGTATCATCAAAATTTTTTTCCAACACAGAATTATTGTTATTTCCCTTCTTTAGGACATGTAGAGTTTTGTTCATTTCCTCTTCTTTCACCATCTGTGGCTGTATTGTCTTTTCTCCTTGTGATTTTAACTGAGTTGGAATAGATCTGAAAACAAACAATAAAAAACAATCATTATAAATCAATAGATGTTAAAGACTAGAACATTGTGGGATACATCACCTAAGTTACAATTTGTATTGTCAGGATTCTCGATAATAACCCAAGTCCAAGGATTTTTTGAAAATGGTACAAAATAGCAGAATAAGACTCAAAGTCTATTTCCTTAATTTCTAGAACCTCTTACACATATTCTAAGCCACAAATAACAGATTATTATTACAATTTTTCAAGTGGGATCAAGGGGATGCTGCTTTAAAGAACTGCTCTTTGTTGTAAAGTTAAAGGGTAACAATGAAGTAAAATTGGGTTATACTCATTCTAAAACTGAAAACACTTGGTTAAATGTGTGTATCAATTCGGTAATTGATAAGAAAAATTATTTTTGTATACAAAGGTGAACCATCATACTGCATTTACTTTATATGACAACGCAAAGTAGTTCACCTGATTGGGAAACCCAGTAAAAAAAAGGGGTTCAGGCAGAAATTTTAGTCACCATGTACACAAAGAGAGTAAGTTTTTACATGTTTTTAACTATCCAATGTTGACCAACATCTAGAATTGCAAAGGGAAAAAAGACATACACGTAGCACTATGTCCAGAATATTTCAAAATAGTCAATGAGATGTTAGCTTTCAATATGGGTCCACATTATAACATCAATCCAAAAGAAGTAACCACCTTCCTTGCCATAAAGAACAGTTGATAAAATAAAAGTAAAATCTACCTATCTGTATTAGTAGATAAAAGTTGTTCAACAGTGACATTCTTGTCATATCTATCTTTCATTTTATGTATAACATCCTTACTCACTCCATGTATATTTTTCCTGAAAATTTAAACATATGTTTTAAAAAGACCTTAAACATCTTTAAAATTTAATAGATATCCACACAAAGCATGGAAATACATGTATGGCCACATAGTAGCTATGTCTCAACAGCTATCCAAAGGAAAACTTGGATGTTGACCAAATTTAATAAGGATCTAGCATCCGTCGATGATGATGATGATAATAGTTCTTATATTGCATACAGATCCATTAAAGTAAATGCTCAAGATGCATTTAGCTCTCCGCTTATCACAAGATAAAAACACAGTTAATGTTAATAAGCAGTCAAACAAGATAGGTCTTAAACTGCTTCTTAAAACAGCCAAGAGATTGTGGATTTAATCGTTATGTTATGTTATGTTATGTTAGATTGTGGATTCTTTATGGTCAAAGGTAATAAATTCCATGGGTTTAGTACAATGTATGAGAAGCATCTATGACCGAATGACTTAAGTTTATAGTTAAGAATTCTATACATGTACATGTACTTCACAAGCTTTTCTGGACAAATAATATATCTCTGAGATTACTTAAAATCAACAGGGTTCATCCTGGTTGAGGAACACTGAATAGCGGTAGGATGATCGCCAACTCAACCAAAATTTGTCAAATCTAAAAATACCACAATTATGAATAAGGCTTCACTTAGCTATAGATAACGGATGTGTGTTGTACCTAATACCTATAATCTATATTTTACATGCCATAGCTGATCTCTTGACAAGCTGATAACTAGCTGTGAACTTTGACCTGCACAAACAATTGTCTACTAAACCTGTGGTTGACAGGATGGATTTCTTTCTTCGGTAGGAGAATAGGAATTGCCTGTAACCTACGGATTGGTAGGGTAACAGGAATACAGTATTCAGACTACACTAGATGACCTAGTTAATTGATATTTTCTCATCAAATTTTCCTTTATATAGCTAAACCATCTATTGGTGTAATATCATATGGTATGTTAATAAACTTACGCTTGTAATTCTCTGGCTTTAAATTTCCATGGTGTATCTGGTTCCATTATAACAATATTATATCCATTCTGTAATGCCTAAAATTAATAAAACATTACAGATTTAACTAGAAAAACTGTCATTGGTAATATTTGAATCTGTATAAATGAATAAATTGACTAGATATATATTTCAATACTAAAGATGCATTTCACAATTTGGAGTAACATAAAATGAAAGTTGCATCAGCCATTGAAACTGTATGTACATGTAACATTCACTTCAATGTTGAAAGCATATTTTCTATTTCAGGAAGGATGTAACACAAGCCAAAATAAATGTGTGTACAGTAAATTAATAAATAAACTTAAAATCGTAACTTTATACATTTTTATAATTTTATTTTAAAAATGTGGTCAATATACTTACAGATTTAGCATAAGGTTTCATCTCCCATATCTTGGTATTAGTATTATCTATAATAACAGGATTGGTACCAGCTTCCATGGCATTTATAGCTGAAAAACATATCATTTAATTAATCTTATATATCATAAATAACAACATTTAAATATTCATATCCCATGCATATGCATTTTCCTGATATACATGTAGTAAGTATGTATCTAACCTCTGATGTCTAGCGTATGACAAGAGTTCCCCACACTTATATGTGACAAGAAGTAATGTCACCTGCCTAAACTTTAGGGTTTTCTTTGGGTTCTTGATTGTTTCACAAGAGTTGTAAATACATATAAGCATCCTTCGAAAATAAAGGGTTGTGGAAGTACATGTATATCAAGCTAAATGTCTATAATGCTAATTGTAAACTGTCATTAATAGTTGAGATGTGTTCTTGGGATGTTTATAGTTGTGTTGGGTTTAATGTATAAAATGTATATCATTCCTATTTATCATCCAGGAGTTTTTAACATTCATGTACATGTTATAAGTTATATTAAAGGGATATAATACATGTACAAACCTGGAAATACTGATTTTGGATGTATAACGTACCTGTTAAATGAAGTACATGAGTACATGTACATGTACTTGAGATTTTGAAATTTACTATTTAAAAATATCAATAAAAGGCTGAAAAAAGACAAATCTGTGCCCGACAAAATAAACGACACCAGACGTTTTGTGCCAAAAAAAGTTTGAATAAGTAGTGCCTGATATTGTGACAGGTGTTTTAAGTTTCCAGACTTGAAATAGCTAGATATTGTTTTAGATGTATCAAAACTAACCCCTCTGTCTATTCCATATATGAGCTGTAGGGAGGTCATTAGGTTCAAACATATAGATACCATCTTGTATAAAATAATCATCTGTTGATAGTATTATACCGTTACCTTTAATCTCTCTATAATATATAAACAAACAATTCTTAAGACAAATTATACGCTGTAATAAGAAATTCAATTAAAGTACCCTACACTAAGGTTAAAGTAGACATGGTTTTTACTGTATCCCAGTATTCACATGATAGAGGTGATCAGAACTGAATAGACTATATGTCAACAATGAAATTGTATCAAATCTTTTTAATCTGATTAAATCCAAGTTGGGAGATTATCTACTGTTGATATTTTAATTTTGTTTTCTAAATCAAATGTTAAATAATAAATTTGTTTAGTAGATTTTAGCATGGATTTAGCTGTTGAGAATTAGGTCTTGTCTGAAAAATGCAAATAAGATGATCAGCTTGAAATAATAACGGGTTGAAAAATGTGGATAGCTTTTGGGATTCTCTAAAAGTTTTCATTTTTGGAATATTTGTGAACTATATGTTGTTTCAAGAAATTAATAAGTACAAGTGACTGCAAGATGGTTTTGTTTTGAACATATACATGTACATGTATATACATGTATTTCTTGATATTTTGGAATTTTTGTTTGTGTGTATTTTAACTTTAAAAGAGGGCCTTCAATTCATAGCTTGTCAAGATATATAAACATTAGGCTCTACCTTGCTAAATGTGACTTGCCACTTCCAGGTAATCCTCGTAATAAAACAAGGACTAACTTTCCTTCTTTTAAATAATTACTCAACAACTCCCTTGGTGATAAAACCTTCTTATTGTTCATATGATGATAGGCATGTTTGTTGACCACTCTCACAAAACCGTCTTCCGATATTTTTGGCATGGTTTTTGGAATATATGGCATCCTTGGAAAAGGAACATGGGGATATCTCTGACCATAATGCAATTGTTGGGGTAGTTTTGGTCTTATACGGTTGGATGTAGATGGTCTGGGAGAAGTGGTTGATCTTTGATGAGGTGTAGAAAAATGGGGTCCCTTAGGCATCATAAAAAAGGGTTCTCCAAGATAAGAACTTGATTCCAACTTATCACAGTGTAGTCCCGGCTGCTGAGGAACAAAAACTGGTGCTTGTGGAGAAAGTTGCTTTAGATCTGTTGTATCGCAGTTAGTATTAACAGATGTATTTGATGTTTCATACTTTGTGTTTCCCATCATATCTTTCAAACGATCATATGTAACAGAAGTTGAAGTGGATACTGGTAAATGTTTATAAGCCATAACAATACTGCTATCATCCATGATTGTAGAATGACTACTTTTAGTTTGGTCACAATCCTTTTTAAATTGGGTATTTGTCACTTCCCTCAATGTTTTATCTCTGTTTTTAACAATATTTAAATGTGCATGTTGACCTTTTGTCTTTTTAATATGACCTTTAGATAATTCACCAAGGATTGGTTTTGAGCTGATGAAATCTTTGCCATTATCGTCACAAGTATTTGGCCTAGATTTACATGTGTAATTATCGTGAATGATGTGACAGGTGTCATCTGGTCCACATTTATCTGCATCTGTTATCTGACGGTTTTCAGTCTGCTGTTTGTCTATACTAGTACATGTATTTACATGTGAAAGATGATTAACCAGTGGTTCAGTCAATGTACATGTAGCAGATGCATTTAAAACTTCGCTCGATAACCCAAATGATCCACCATATAAGGCCATATAAGACTGCAAAGAATCTTCTGTGACAGAGTTTGATTGTGGGATAAATTTATTAAAGGCATCAAAATTAAAACCATTCTGAATTTCAACTTTCGTCTGATCTTCTTTGGCATCACACACTTGTGTCATGGAAGTACCTAAAGAAGATGACTCTGTCTCCCTGGAGTCATTGCTGGACATTGATTTGGGAGTGATTGAAGAGTTATTTCCCTTGACATGTGATTTTATAAACTTTTGGGGTAATTTCTTAACATGATCTGATGCATGTGTTGGGGTTTTCTCCTTCATTTTTCTATTTTCTTTTTTTACAGGAGTAGTAGTATTATTCGAAGAACCCATGGAGGATTTTGCTATGGATGTTAAAGCAACATTTTTATGACTTTTAATTTTTTCTTCTCTATTTGTCGCTGTGGTCATTACAACAACATCTTGATTAGGAAGTGATTCATTTACAGCTGATGATGCTACTGTCGTCTCTACACTATCCAGAATCTGTTGCTGACTTTTGACTACTTCACTTGTTGGTTCAACAGTATCAAGTAAACTGAAGGCTATCAAATCAAGTTCTGACAAGGAGCTAGTTTTCACTGGCTTGTCACTTAATGGTACCATAGAAGATAAAAATTCCACTGCTTCTTCCACTGTTAAAAATAAATTACCCCAAATTATTAATCGTTATCAGTTTCCATATAAGCCCCTACAATCTGTATAGTATAGAGTATTAAATATCTGAGGTTGTCCAAATTTATCACTGGCAAATGTAGTGATTATAAAATCAGTGTTATTTGATTTCACAATAAATAATAGGCCTATCAGTTCATTGATGAAGATGCAGATTGACACATTTGACACTTTGTAATTCTTTTATTTTTATGAATTTCTGTTCCAATGTCAAACAAAAGGAACGTAAAGTCGTAAGTTGGATTGTGATTAAAACATGGGCCTTGTGCCCATGATTAAACCATTAAAAAAATACTTACCTATCCATGATTTTTCTATTAGCACCATTTGGATAACATCTGGATCTATCTGACCGTCAAACATTTCCTTCACGGTTTGTAACATTTGAATCTGTTCTTTTTTCGTTGGCGACTTGTCCAAAACGATTGGTATGGGGCCTTTGACTTTCTTTTGAGGGCTTGAACTTCGATTCCGTTGATGTTTTGACATTTCTGTAGATAACTACAAGCATTTCTTATAGAATGAATAGAACCTGACAAATCGTTAGTGATTGACATTTACAACTTTTCAAGGATTGTTATTGTCCTGAGGTGCACTTCTTTACGTGTTGACTATTTTTGTAACTCTGCGCATATTTTATGCGCACTCGTCTTTGCCTAACATGCATGAGAGGGGCGTTTTGATTGGTTTTGCTTATTTTATTCCCAGGAGTTAATTTAGAGTTATCACTAAAACCAAATAGATTACAAATAATTTCCATGATTATAAATCGATATCAACACCCAGTCAATTAGTTAATATGGTTGGACATAATACGATATAGACTAAATACATAAAGAGAAAATAAAGTAAAGACTTTCTGACAAATTTATTCAACCAATCAAATCGTACGGCTGAATATTTGGTCAGAAACAGTATAGTGCCCTTTCGCGCCGTTTCCTGCTACAAACTCCTAAATATTTGTTATTTTGTGCATGTCAACAAAGGTCAAATTGATTTACGGGACAGGAATATTTACCGTATATAAACCAAACGTTGAATGACATCAGGCTTATAAACTTAGGTCACATATATTCATTAAAGCAGGCGATACAGGTAACTTGCTAAAGAAACTCCCGATAAATCCAATCCATCATGGCGGCTGAAATTTCTGTGTTTGTTGATCAACATGATGAACCTATATATAACTTGTGTTCTTTGTTACAAACCTTTTATTACTTTTGTATCATCACCGGTAGTAATAAATCTGTGAACTCTTTTCGTGGATATCCACGTTTAAAAGAGCAAGGACGTTGACTGGACCCCGTTTGAATAATGTCAAAACTAGACAATCAGAAAGTGTTTATTAAAATCGGGTATTTATAATTTCACTGACGATTGATTTAATCAGGGTTTGCAATGCAAACATAATTTTTCGTTTTGAAATAACATAAGACAAAATAACAGTGATAAGCATAGGACACTTCCTATCCTTCAGAATCAGAATTAATATTTACAGAACCCAACTAAGCCTAGTACGGACCTTACTCTTAATTCCAATCATTTGTATTCAAGTTGAAAAATGACCCAAATTGTGTAACTTTAACAAGAAAATCATGTGAAGAGCCAAATCAAATATGTCATTAATGGCCTTTATAAGATATTGATTATTACATACATGTGTAATATACAAATTAATTGAGTAGGCAAATATCTTAAAGTGAAGCCATTTTATTAGAAACATCTAATAATCAGACAGACAAGGCCCAAATAAACTTCAATGATAGATTCAGATATAAGCTTTTCATTTATCCTGCAAATAAACAATAGAGAAACGTATGTTTAATTGCATATCGCAGGGATAAATCTACGATTATTGAAAGTCCTAAACTTAACTGATAGAATGTACTAAAAGAATATACCAGAATCCATTCTCACTATAGGCTACTCAATATTGTTGTTGCACTTTCAAGGAAAAAAGGGTAAAACAGCTAGATTTCTTTGATACCTTTGGCTTCCGTGGAACTATATATTAAGTATAAATTGGTTTAATTTTGACAAACTGGAATATTTTTACAAAGTTAAAACTTGTTTATATATATAAATATTGTGGTATAACTGTCGGAATGTTTGGAGATACCGGTATTTATTTATCGTTGGGCACCATATCAATATGTTTCATTATTCTTACTTTTAACACTTAGTAACCTATTTTGCACTAAGAAATGGTCGGATGTAATGGCCGCTCGTCTTTTGCCTTTTCAGTCTATTTTTTTTTAATTGATGTTTAAATTGCTATACCTTGTTTAATACAACATTTAGAGACTATAAATGTGAGAAACTAAGTTAAGGCTTGTCATATATAAATATTGTGATATAATTGTTGGACTATTTGGAGATACCAGTATTTATTTATCGTGGGGCACCATATCAATGTTTCATTATTCACACTTTTAACAACATTTTGTCCCAAGAGCTCTTATTTAAAAAAAATATAACTGAATGTTTATACTTTATTGAAATTTGTGACTAAAACAAAAAGACTACTATGGCCTTTATAAATGTATATTGTTTTTTGTGCAAATCTTTAATATATTTTTTACTTTTTTTTATCCTAGATGCAGTAAACAATAAAGTATGAGTAGTAAAGCTATTGGGAAGTCCACTAAGGTGGTCTATCCGCCTGGCTGTAAAGAGATCAATGAAGAACTCAGTAAGGATGAGTTAGTTAAGCGTCTCAAGGTACATTGCATTAAATTTCTAAATTTTTTATGTCCACTTCTTGATGTTGTCCTATATTGCAGTCTCAGTGGAGGCTACTGTCTGTAATCCATGTCTTTTAAAATTGATGTGGGTTAAAAGTCTTTTTGAAATGAGAAACCCTTTTTCAGTATTTTTTGATTGATTATTTAAAATTCAATTAAAGATACATTATGGGAGATTAGATAAAGAGCTGGCAGTTCTCACTATAATAGTTAAAAACTAGATAATGTAAAGGGGATTTGCTGAAAATTTCAGTCAAATTGATCCACTCTGAACCAAGATTTTAGCCATTGAATTTTCGGCCTAGCCTCGATTATCATTACTTAAATCGGCACGATAAAAAACATAGTCTCGATTATCCATTTCACGATTAAATTATGGATGGAAGTCGAACAGGAAATCGGAACCTAATCCAATAAACATTGCAGGCTAGCAATGACATCCAGAATTGATTATGGTCTGGATAAGTTAATTAATGTCTAATTAATAATTTAGATAACATTTCTGGCCTAAAGAAATACCTGCAGTAGGCAGATTTAGCTCTTGCATAATGTATGTTTAAGAAATCAAAATCCCTCGGATTAAAAAGAGGCCCACCAAATATTTTAGCGAATATTGTATGTGGCACAGACTTCTTTTGATCATAAACATGTAATATTTATATTGTCAGCAGAGCGTTTCATTTGATGACAAATTTCCAATTTATCATGGAATTTACTATTTTTGGATTGATGGTGGTATTCATTTTAGACATTCAACTTGTACAATATATACTGATATCTGTCCTTTCTTATTTCATCAGAAAATTTATTTGTAAAATAGACTACACTAATATTTTGTGTATTTCAGTTATTAGCAAGAGCATTTCAAGATATGAGTCAAGATGAAAATGCACAGTTTTCAGGACTTGCATTGATGTTGGCTTCAGAATTTTTCACAGATCATCAAAACAAAGATGTTCGTCTGTTGGTTGCATGTTGTATTGCTGACGTGTTCCGTGTTTTTGCTCCCGAGGCTCCTTTCAACGACAACGACCAGTTAAAAGAAATATTTCTCTTTTTGATCAAACAGCTACGTGGTTTAGAAGATCCAGAATCTCCCTCTTTTAAACGTTACTTTTATCTATTGGAGGTACGTTTTTTAATTAACACCTACAACAAATGTTTGATTTTAAGAAATATTATATCATTACATGATGCTGTATAGTTTGAGCTTTTGTAAACATGAAAATCCTTTATTAAATGCATTAATTATGATCTTTTTAATCTCCTACTTTTAGTGAACCTTTTGTCCTAGAAAAGGAAGACTATCCTCATCAAAATAACTATTTTCTATTGAGTACCATTTATTTCACACAGGCAGGCCTCAAAAAATGTTAGGGTAATTTATATGTACTACATATGAGCCAAGAAGTGCCTGAAAGTCCATAATTTAGATTATGCAGAGTCTGTATGAACAAGGAGGCTAAGTGGGTACGACACTGGCTCTCTAGCCTGGAGGTCACGGGTTCACTCCCGGTGTTGGCCGAGAAAGTTCACGATTTTCCGGCGTGGTCTTCTTGTCAGTGGTGCAGGATAGAGGGCCTGACAAGGAAGGCTGTCTAGTCATTTGGATGGGTCCCGAGTACACATAAAAGATCCCTTGGCAGTTGGTATTCGATATAAGAGTAAGAGTAGGTAAAATTTCCCTCGTCGTAACACACTGTATGGTGTATGCCCGTTTTCATTAGCCCAGTTGGAGTTGAACAGTAGGACGTCCAACCCCGTTTCATTTCATTTCATTACTCTATGAACAATAATTTACATCTTGGTTATTGCTCTCACAAATAAAACTATTCATGTTCCTCTTTATCTGTTGAGTTTGAAAGGGAAAGGTCTTTGTCTATATAGAACTATTTTATTCTTAAAGCATCAACCAACCCACCTTACCGTCTAAATGTTTATTTGTTTTATTTTTTTCTTTCAGAATTTGGCTTGGGTAAAATCGTTTAATATTTGTATAGAATTAGAAGATAATCAGGAGATATTCCGTTCATTATTTAAACTGATGTTTTCAATTGTCAGGTAATCTTCTTATCTTTAAATTCCTTCAATTCTCTGAAAGTTCACCTCTTTCATTTTACTGCTGTGCACGTTATGGTATATTCAAATTTTGTGTATGTGTTATTTAATAATAGTTTTGAATATTCAAAAACAAACAAAATTATATTGATTGGAAAGATTTATAGTTTCTAGAAATCTGAAAATTGACCAAACCTGGTCTCTATATTGGTCATGTCAAGTAATTCAAATTACATTCAACTATTAAAGATACATTAGTTAAGACTCTAAGAGTTTAATAAAGAGTTGGTCATCCTTACTATAATAATTCAAAAATAGATGATAAAAAAAAGAAAATATTGAAATTTTTTTCAAATTACTTCATTCTCAGCCAAGTTATCATTGTTTGTAGTTTTGACAAGATGTGTGCACATTGGTTACCAAAGCACTGGTATAATCGGGACAGCCTCGCTTTTCCATTTTTAAATTAAATTTTTAAATGGCGAACCGTTTTAATCTATTTAAAATCTTGAGTATCCGATGCCATCGAGAGTCGATTATGGTCTTGTTTTGTTAATAAATGTCTAATAGTTTATATAACATTTCCGGCCTAAAGAACGACCTGCAATAGACATATTTAGCTCTTGCATAATGTATGTTTAAATGATGTAGAATATTAAAATAGTAAATTTAGGGTTTGTATTAAAAAGCACTCTGTGGCCAATTTGAAGACTTCTAAACATTTTATTTCTCTTTGAGGGTTTAGCTCAATGGAACTAGTTAGATGAATTTAAATTGAAAGTTTTTATTTTTATTTGTAAATGTCATTTTGCATAAGTTATTTAAACATACATTATGCAAGAGCTAAATCTGCCTATTGCAGTTCTTTCTTTAGGTCTAAAATGTTATCTAAATTATTAATTAGACAAAAATTAACTTATCAAGACCATAATCAACTCTCGATGCCATCGTTAGCCTACGATATTAAGTGGATTTGAATATATTTTTGATTGATGATTTAACATAAAAATGGATGATCGAGACTTTTATTATCGTATCAACCATATTAATAACGACCAAGGCTAGTCTGAAATTGAATGGCTAATATCTCTGTTCAGATTGAAGCAATTTGACAGAAATTTTCAGCATATTCTGTTTTCATTTTCTATTTTTTAACTTAACTATGATAGCGAGAACTGTCAGCTCTTTATCTAATCTTACCTAATACCCTTTAAACGTGTATTTTTTTAGTGATAAGCATTCGAATAAAGTGAAGAATTTTATGTTGGATATGATGGGACCTTTGATATCCGAATCTGATTCTGTTTCACCTGAATTATTAGATACTATATTAATCAATGTCGTGGAACCACAGAAGGTAGGAGATTTCATAGATACAAATTAATACAAATTATATTGTGTTATGCCTAAACAATATTAGTTAAATTTCACTAGTCAGTTAATTTTAACATTGTTTTGTTTTCATTATACAGATTTGTCTGGAATCTAGTTGGGGAATTCATTGACTTTAAATTTTTGTAATTAATAAATTAATTTTGAGTGTGTTTATTGTATTGGTTGTATTTTAAGATACATGTTTTTATTATATGTAAATTGAATTTAATTTGAACCCTCTTTGATTTATTATCATTTATTAGTTCCGTTTTGGGTGAATTAAAGTGACTTTTCTTTTTACTTTCAGTCACAGAATAAATGTGCTTATAATCTGGCAAAAGATTTGTTGAGAAGAACGAGTAATGCTATAGAACCCTACATACAAGCTGTAAGTATAGATGCTACTGATGAGAATCCTATCTTCTTGTAATGAATGTCAAGAAATGTATGTTTCTATAACAATAGTAGTAGACTAGTAGTCGTGTTGTAATCCATCCATGCATTTTTTATTCTTGATAATTTATCTTTTTGAATTGCTAGGAATTATACAAACATTCAGGTCTTCTGGTTGTTACATTTAATATGAAGTTAGGCATGCTTGAAAGAGGCAAAGTTTATATTCCATCAAAAACAATTTGATGTCATGAATATTCTTTTACTTGTATTTGTATTTTGTTTATTTCAGTTCTTCAACAATACATTGATGTTAGGAAAGACATCTAAAAGTGATGTGTCGAATCATCTGTATGATCTGATATATGAGTTAAATCAGATATCACCTAATGTATTACTGGCTGTTTTACCTCAGCTAGAGTTTAAACTCAAGGTACATCACTCAGTTTATTCAATCTATCTATTAGGCTACACAAAATAAATGTCTTGTTTCTCGGGCAACTGACAGCTGAAACTGTAGGGGGGGGGGGGGCGGTTTATTTTTTTTTTTACCTCATTTCTGGCTAGAGGATGGTGCAAAATAAAATTTGGCTATTGTTGAAAATTGTTGGGGCGGGAGGGTGGCCTTGTATTTTTTTTTTTTTTAATGAGAAAGTCATTACTTGTCTACGGTTTTGCTTTCAGTTATATATTATACATTCTTATAGAACATAAACCCAAAAATCAAGTCTACTCAAACACTGAACACTGACTGAAAGGAAAATAATTTTCCATATTTAATTCACGTGATGTAGCTTACTAATGGTAATGGTGACAACCATAATTTAAATTGGTTTAAAATAAAATTCCGTACGACTATTAATAGCTGTCCATAATAACGACAATATTTTAAAGAGTAAGCCTCTGTCAGCATGTGTATCAAAAATAATCATCACGGTAAACGACACTTAGATCTAAATCTAGTATCGCTGGTTTATAATGATTGACCTAACTCCAACCAATGCATGTCACGTGTCATCGGGATTCGGGAAATGACTGTTTCTCAGGATATTCGGTGTGTTTCTCAGGATATTCGGTGTTCTATCTGGGGTTTATATCGAATGACTATTTAAATTTAACTAACAACTGGTCAGTAAAACCATCAAATGTGTAATCCAATTATTATTTTCCGGATTATCAAAACTACTGTTAAATGTGCTAATGACCCAGATTCTGACTAAGGTATGGTGACTATCATCGTATCGTATTCGTAGCCACAAGTTATAATAATTAACCTGTTCTACGATTCATTGTTTTATAAGTAGGATTTTTTCAAACATGGACCGACTGAAGCCGGCAATAATGAGCCGATTAAGATCGAATGATTGAAATACATTGCATTGTTGTCAATGACTTTCGGTGTTTAACACGAATCAAATTCTAGTTCACAAGGGGAGGTAATTAAAATCATGTGATACAAAAATGGAGGTTCTTTCGATATCAATAAAAAAGACCCGTAAATGAGCGTTTACATCTGAATCAGTTTAATACATTTGAATGGATATTCACGTATGGGGCATGTAGATACATGCGGCATATTCTTTTTATGACTTGCTTATCGATGTTCGGGCGGGCGTTACATATTTTTTTATTTTTCATCAAGACTAATAAATAGGCCGCACGCACAACCAATTTTGCGTGCGGGCGGTGCCCGAGAAACAACTTATTTTATTTGTGTTGCCTTAGACAGTTTTCCCAAATTGTTTAACCCATCCAGTAAAATACAGACCAGATATTAAAGTACTCTACCATCAATTTATTGTAACGGACAGCAAAAGCCTGTTCCCAATTCAATTCAGATATTCTGAATAAAATATTGCTTGTATATAAAAAAAAAAAGGGAATGACAATGCTTTTTGCAAGGAGATTATTACTAAGTGCTAGAACTATCCCGATGTTAACCCTGACTGAGTAAATGACCTTTGGCTGCATGTGACACTAAAACTTAAGATGAAAAATAATACCTACCTAATGGAGGCCGTGGTAGCCAGGTGATCCATATCAATTTTAAGCAGGTTTTCCTCATATTGTCTTTCAGATCTGTTTGGATAATTGAAAAGTTTATAATGAAAGTGTGCCATGAATAAAATAAGTAGAAAATAAATATTTGTTATATGAGATGTGGTGTCTAGTTAAATATTAATTATTTATATATTTACAGAGTAATGAGGAACCAGAAAGAAAGAATGTTACTAAATTGTTAGCTAAGATGTTTTCTGAACCTGAATCAAATTTAGCCTCTCAAAATAAGCCGCTGTGGATATGCTTTCTTGGAAGGTTTGTATTTCTTTTAAATTCTATATCTATTAGAGGTTAATTTCTTCTTTATAAAGAATTTAAAAACTGTATTTAAAGGAGCTAAGTCGCTAATATTTGGGACCTAGAAATTGGCACAAATGGGTCGCAACGCATACAATAATGTAATATGAATGTATATAAATTGATTTACATTCAATCATTTCTGTTTTTACTGTAATTTCTAATCAGTTAGGTTTGGCGAAATACGGCAGTATTCTCAATCAAATTTCAATCTCTAGCTTCTGGTTATTCCAGTTTACGCCGATAGTATTTATTGGGCATGCTCTCCAGATAAGAACATAGCGTCACCGTTTGACATGACTTGTGGAATATGCCTAGCCTCGTTTTTCAAGTCCCTTATTACAAATAGCGCTGAAACGCATTATGGTATACGATTTGTGTACCAATTTTAAAATGTTTATTTTGTCTTAAATATTGGATATCAGAATGCCATCTTTTCCCGGTAAGATCACAACATCAATGTTGATTTAAACCGACAAATAAATCATGTTTTCAATGTTGAAGATTTTGGATGATATTGAGTTAGAGACTGAGCTACTTTAAGTTATTAGAGATCTAATTTATAATAAATGGATCTCAATTGCGACTGTTAGAGTGGAATTCGAATGACACAACCGTATGGTTTCAGAATAAATTAGTCTATTGAGTGTACAAGATCTCTGCCTACGTTTAATCCAATTCTCTTCATTTTGATAAATGTTTATAGGAATGAATTTATATATTACAGGTTTAATGATATCAGTATATCAGTTCGAACTATCTGTGTTCAATATGCTCAATATTTCTTTCTACATCATCCAGAATTAACTAAAGAAATATTAGGTAAGGATTTATTATAATATTATTTATTTCATTATATGGCTTCATAAATTCATGCACATACTTTGAACAAGAAAGAATATTAAATGAGCAAGCTGTGTCGACTTTTCTTAAAAAGATAAATAAGATAATTATGAATTATTTTTACAGAGCAACTTAAAGTACGACAACATGATCAAGAAGAAACAGTACGAGTGGAAGTTGTTAATTGTATATTAAATGTTGCTAAGAAAGATTTTGATTGTTTGTCCATGGAAATGTTTGCATTTATTAAAGAAAGAACAAGAGATAAAAAGGTTAGTTTTCACTTCTTCTTAGTGTTGTGATTCATTAATTAAATTTTAAAACCATTGACATTATGTTCTGTTCATAACACAGTCGCATGTAATACCACATTAGTGATATCTAGGTACATAAAATTTAAGGCAAAGACAGATTGTCATCTCATAATAATACCATTATAGTCCGATCGTCAATGTAAATCCGTCGGCTTTTTGGGTAGAAATCGTGGAATAAGCTTTATTTTGTAGGTTTTGATGTTTGATTACAAAAAACCAATGTTGACATTTTTTTTGAGTAGGTCTTCACGGTATGGGTGGCCATTATTTGAGGGTAGCCATTTTGCGATAATATTCCAAATTATTTTTTATTTTCACATTATTTATAATGTTATCGACATATCAACTGTGATTTGGCAGTGTATTAATATTGACGGCATTCATGACTATATCTCAAATTGTTTTCAATCATTTCATGATTATATTTCCAAGATGGCACCCATTTTTAGCGGTAAAATCAGTCGATGTGCTGATTTCGATTATGAGTAGTGTTTGGTGTCAATATATATGTTTTCGGGGTCACAAATTCCATTCCTGACATTTACAACCTTGTAAAATGATCACATGTTCATATACTTAGCATATTACCAAGATGGCGGGCATTTTTGGCCTGAAAATGAGACAATGTGCAGATTTTGATTTAGTGGTAGTGTTTGGTGTCAATATATATATGTTTACGGGGGCGCAGAATCAATTTCTGACATTTACAACCTTGTAAAATGATCACATGTTCACATATTTAGTATATTTCCAATATTGCTGCCACTTGTGGCGGGAAAATCGAACGATGGGTTGATTTCGATTAAGTAGTTGTCTTTGGTGACAATATATATGTTTTCGGGGAGGCAGATTCGATTTCTGTCATATACAACTACGTAAAATGGTCGTATGTTCACCAATTTAGCATATTTCCAAGATGGTGGAACGTTTTCTAAACCCATTATTAGCATTTATTTATCATCGATTTTCCTGGGAAAGTAAAGCCTATTCCTGGCATGAAGGGAAAACGGGCATAGCGGCAGCGTTGTGCTTACGCCGCGTGCCCATCTTGCGCCTGCAACGACCACACCAAGCGCTTACTACAAGATCTATCTACGCTCATTGCCAAGATCTTGCTGCGCGAAAAGTGTTCCCACCATGATCTCACGGTTACCAGTCAGACCGGGATACTTTCTCACCACACTCCGGTGACATGCCTACCAGGCGTAAGGCGTTCTCTCGCCACGCCTATAGAGACTGTGCCATGCTCATCCGTCCTCATTCACTTTCAAAGCAGAAAACAAGCAATCAAGAACATTTCATGGTTTTCTTGAGGTTTCCTCTTTGGGTGCTAGACTGGAGCTGATGGACGAGGCTCAGTGTCTTCCCTATATATACATAAAGGTCGTAACAGCGTAGCAAGCATATGGCCAGGAGCTTCGTTCCAGCCTGGCAGCAACGTGGATGATAGTGGTGGGGACGTGCCTGAAAATGAAATACTTGCTAAGAAGCCCTCATAGCATAGATTATGTTATCAACTGACTTCCAAGATGAATGTAGAACGAACATGTGGAATGATATTGCGCTGGAGTTCAACTACTACATTGTTGGATAATATACCTAATGGGTAAACTCGGCACAGGCTTCCAGGAACATGCTACAAGCTTATACATAACAGAATTGGATTCAGAAACCTTTACAGTAATTTGTTTAGAAAACGTCCTGCCACAAACAAAAATATGCTGAATGTGTGAACATACCACCATTTCACGCAGTTGTAAATGGCAGAAATCGAATCTGCGCCGCCAAAAAACAAATATTGACACAAAAACGCGACTACGTAATCAAAATCAGCACATCGTCCCATTTTCCTGCCTGACATGAAAGCCATATTGGAAATATGCTAAATATGTGAACATGTGACAATTTTACACAGTTGTAAACGGCAAAAATGGAATCTGCTCCCAAAACAATATATCCTGGTACCATAGATGACTACTTATTCAATATCCGCACATCGTTCCACCTTCCCGCCAAAAATGGCCGTCATATTGTAAATGTGCAAAATAATCATTTTACACAGTTGTTACTGACCGAAATGGATTCTGTGCCCTTGAAAACATATATATTGGCACCAACGACGACTACTTAATCAATATCAGCACATGTCCTATTTTCCCGCCAAAAAATGACCGCCATCTTGGAAATATGCTAAGTATATGAACATGTGATCATTTTGCAAGGTTGTAAATGTCAGGAATGAAATCTGTGGCCCCAAAAACATATATTTTGACACCAAGCAAAAATGGTCGCCATCTTGGAAATATCAAACTGAAATGATGGAAAACAATCTGAAGTATAGTCATGAACCCTGCCAATATTAATACATTGCCAAATCACAGTTGATATGTCGATAACATTATAAATAAGGTGAAAATAATAAAATAAGTTGGAATATTATCGCAAAATGGCTACCCTCAAATAATGGCGTCCCATACTATGAAGACCTACTCAGAAAAAATGTCAACATTGGATTTTTGTAATCAAACATCAAAACCTACAAAATAAAGCTTATTCCATGATTTCTACCCGAAAAGCCGACGGATGGGAATTAACAAACCGAATCCGACTATTAATTGGACAATTTTGTTTTTGCCCCCCCCCTCCCCAAAGGCATTGCCATTTTTTTAGATCAATTTAGTTAAGCATTATTATGCACAACCAACTTAATAGAAAATTTAATTTTTTTCTTTTGTAGTTTAAGATACGTAGAGATGCTTTGTTAGGTCTAGGTCAGATGTATAAACATATAATGAGTCAAGAACCAAGAGAAGAACATAATGTAGCTAAAGTAGCATGGATTAGAGATAAAGTCTTCCATGCTTATTATCAACAAAGCAATGATGACAGGTAGATCTATTTTATGTACACATTTCTTTTTGATTTTAGGGAGCCATTGGCTTGCTAACCAGATGGTCTCGGGATCACTCTGGGTGTTGGTTGAGAAAGTTCCTCTGGATTGTCTGGCACAGTTTTCTCTTGTCAGTGGTGCAGGACGGAGGGCCTAGAAAGGACAGTGTCTAGTTGTTCAGATGAGATGAAAAACTGGTGCATGTACACATTGGCATGCACGTAAAAGAACCCTTGACAGTTGGAATTCGATACAAAGAGTCAGCTGTAGCAAAATTTCCCTCAAAGCACACTGTATGGCGTATGCCCGTCTTTATTAGCACAGTCGGTGTAGAAAGTTGAACCCCATTTCATTTTTATACGGCTGTCTGCCTGTCGTCCACAATTTTTTTTGAATTCTCTACAGACGGCATTTAATTTTTAGAGTTGTGGACCTTGTTTCACTTTGTTGAACCATGTCAACACTATATCAACAAAAGTTATCATCCGATCTGATTGAAATTGATTTCAGTGTCTTGTAAAAGTTCCCATTATCTAAAAAAGATTAAATATGCGACAACTCTTGTTGACTGCTCAGACAATTTAGCTACTGTGGGCGTGTGTTTCGTTGCCTGGCAACCTATCTCTGATTTCACCACTAAAGATGATCACAGAAACTTTATTTTTTTAATAATCCATGACATAGTTATACACATGTATTGATGTTATATTTTGGAAGAGGTTATTTGTAACTGCAATATTTAGTGCTAGGGTATGGGCAACTTCTTATTGATATTGAGACAGTGTAAAATAAACAAGCTCATGGAGTGGTTGGTACATGAAACTTCAATGATCTGGGGTTAGGGTTAGTTCATCAATGCTTCAAAAAATATTGATAAGGCCCGTTTTCCATGTACGTCTTGCATTTCTCTTAGACCAACTTTTTTGGCAGCTTGTAGATGTAAAACTGTTCTAAATACAGTATTTACAAGGTAATTGTAATTGATAAAAACTGTGGTTTTGAATAACCTCATCCTCATATTGTAGAGAAAATATATAATATAATTAGTAAACTATTAAATGTACATGTAATATTTTATATCTTACAGATTATTAGTAGAGAGAATATTTAATATTTATTTAGTACCATACCAGATATTGGTACAAGAGAGAATGCAGAGATTGTTACAATTATACTGTCAATTAGATGAAAATGCTGTCAAGTAAGTAATAAATATTCATTGTATAAAATGAAATGGAATGATTTTATGAGAGAAAAAAAATAGCAATGGCATTGTCTGATTATATGGAATGTTACTGATTTTTCTAGATGGTTCAGTAGTTGGCAACAGATTACTTAATAAAGAAATCTTCAAGAAATCAATTGAATTAGACATCTTCTTGAAATTACTATCTTCAAAATATTTAGCATATCTTGCACTTGAAAGTATTGCCCTTGTTATAACAAGACTGTAATTTTTTTATTTTTTTTTTTGCTTACCTTATAGAGCAATGAGAGAAATGTTCAAACACAGAAGCAAGTAAGTAGATTTTATGAAAGAAGATCTTAGACTGCTGGTCATAATTTTGAAAAATATTTATATATATTTTATCTCTTTTGCTGACAGTACATTTTTCAATTATAAGAATATTCCCAACAGATAAGATTTTTTAAGGGTTTGAGAAATACATTGAGAGGTACATTTCTGTTTGAGAGAAAGTAACCATTTTTAATGTCTGCTCTTTTCAGCATAAAAAAATGAATGTTTATATTTACTTTTATATCAAATAAAGTCATATTATGATCATATTTTACATTGTATTTTCAGTGCCCGTCTTAGTACAATATCTTTATTAGAAGGCTATGACCTTGCTGATCAGCCCAATGCTCCTGCTATATTACCCAGACTCACTGCCTTAGCCAGTAAGTTTAATATATTTGTTTATTCAGACAATATATCTACACTACCTGTCTTTTATATACATCCATGTCGGGACTAATTTTTCATCATTTGTTATAGGTTTGTATTCTCATGACAGCAATCAGCGAGAATTGATTAAAACCAAAGATGCTTCTTTTTAAAGAACTGAGCATAGATGAATTTTTTCCTAAAGGAACTTGAGTTTGTGTACTGAATACAGGCATATTTTTATTGTCCCAAAAAGTGGCAGATAAATTTGGTTCAATTTTTGTAATTTTTGCAAATACTTTGTCAGGATTCAGATGTTAAGATCACCAAAAAGTTCTGTGCTAATCAACTGAAAGATATTCAAAAGCTAAATTTGCCTATAGCAGGTCTTTCTTTAGGCCTTAAATGTTATATAAATTATTAATTAGACATATATTAACATGACAGGACCATAATCAACTCTCGATGCCATCGGATACTCAAGATTCTAACTAGATTAGAATGATTCGGCCATTTAATGATTGAATTTAAAATTGAGGAAGTGAGGCTAAGCCTCGAATATACCAGTGCCAATAATAAACAATCAATACACACATCTTGTTAAAACTACAAAAACTGATAACTTGGCTCGGAATAAAGTAATTTGAATGAAATTTTAAGTATATTCATTTTGCTTTATCTATTTTGGACGTATTATAGCAAGAAAGGCCAGCTCTTTATCTAAATCTTACATAATGTATCTTGAAAGATATTCTCAAAATTTCTCTAGCTATTATGTTCTTTCAGATATTTTTTGTAGTAAACAATTGAATCTGTGTTCTGTTATAAATTAGAAATACATTTCTTGTTTTACAGGGTCTCTACCTGAACAACAAAAACCTCAAGAACAGTTGAAAAAGTTTAACTTAATTCTACGTGATGATCGTAGGATGAGAAATCTGCTCAAAATGATTATCTCCCCAGAATGTACTTGTAAAAAAGCTGAAGAAATAGTGGTAAATTTATTATTAAAGATTGGGAGTGTTGAGTGGTCTAATGGACTAACGTGCGCTTTAGATCATAAAGTCTTTCATGAAGTCAAGTGGTGTTGTTTCGGTTCCACACTTGCACATAGGGGCACCTGTCCAACCTCATGTGCTTTCTCCAGATCCTCTAGTTTCTTCCCACTGCTAAAGAACCCTACACAAAAGTAAAATATTAAAATAGAATTGAACCATATGTTAGTCTCAAAATGACGTAGATTGTGTTGAGTGGACATTAAACCCCATTCCTGTCTCTTTCTCTCTCATTAGTAAAGTTATAAACACATCTGATTTATCGTTAGAAAATCTGTTTTAATGGTTTTGAGAGTGCTCTAGTATAAAGCACTCTTCTAATAGCTTTTGTAATTTAAAATCTCTTGTGTCATTTGCTTTTTTCTGAAATATATCCAATTTTCTACACCTTAATTCACGCTAATATGTACTCAAATTGATTATTTAACATTGGATTAAGAAAACAGAATCAAAATATCTAACGGATTAAAAAGTAGTCCATCAAAAGATTTCCACAAAAATTAGAGATGACTCAGACTTTTGATGACTATCCTATATATTGTCTCAACAGAATTGAATCAATTTTGGACCGATATTCACGATAGAGATTAAACTTTCAAAATATTGTAGTTTGCAAGTTATTAATAATCCATCAAAGAATAATGAAAAGCTTTAATTTTAAAGGTAGAATTGTAATATTGTTATTATTATTGTATATTATAGAAAGAAGTCTTAAGAAAATTGGGTTTTAATTCTGGTGGACCCAATCATCTTTATAATATGGTGAAATCTTTATTAGAGAGAATAGCACCTGTGATGATTGATACAGAAGCTATTGATGTATTAGTTAAACATATAGATGATGTAATTACTGGTAAAACATCCCTAGAGGGTGGTATAGATAACACACCAGAAAAGGGAGTTAATTTATTATTGGTAAGATGGCATTTCTTTAATCATAATTCATGAAAAAAAATTTTAACATACAAAATATTCTGAGACACTTTCTCTTTGGTAAATTGGTATATGTAATAAAGATGACAATGAAAAAAATAATATAAAATATAATCTGGTTTAGTAAGATAGTGAAATTAATTAAATGAAATTACAGCAATTAACAAAATAAAAATACTACAAAAATGATCTTGATACATAATATATTATTGATTGATACTATGTTTAGAGTGTTAGACGGTGTGTGTATTATGATTACAATTTAAAACATCTAATACAAAAAAAGAAACTGAGAAATAATTTAGCACATTTTATTTGTAGAGGAACTGTTTTGTAAATCCTATTGTTTCAATATATGTATTGAATTTACGTTGTTCTAGCATTTATCAATATAAATTTTATTATTTTCAGGGTTTGTCTCAAGCTTTTCCACATTATTTCCGTACAGCTGATGTATTTGAAAGATTTCTTTCTTTCTTAAAACAGGATGATGATGTTGTTTGTAAGTATTTATATAGTTTACATTATAGTTTTATCGTGTTTATCTTTAATGTCTTGGTAAGAGTTGTAAAGCTGTGATCTATATCGGCTGTTTTTCATCAGTAACAACTGATAAGCCGATTTATAAAACAAGGATCTAATCTACTTTTGACTCAATGATAAAAGGTTAATTATTACGTGTTGATTAAGAAATCAATCAATTTGTCCTCTAATCCTTAAATGTGATGGAGGGTTGAAATCACAAGGTCTGTCGTTGAGTCAAGTGGCAAGGTTTCAGTTCTTTGTTTGAGGGTGACAAGGAGTAGGTCACCTGTCCAACCTCATGGGTTTTCTCCTGGTCCTCCGGTTCCCCCCCCCCCCCCAGGTGCTAAAGACCCCTACACACAAGCAAATTATTGAAATACAATTGAACCATATGTTAGTCCCAAAAGTTTGTGTTGAGTGGACCTTAAGTCCATCTCTCTCTCTCTCTCTCTCTCTCTCTCTCTCTCTCTCTCTTAACTGTGATACCTTTGTGAATGATAAATGTAGACCAATTCAGTTTACTGTACACGTAATTACCACATTGAACTGATTATTCATAACATGTACAGTAAGCAACCTATTGGTATCCCAAAATATTTTCTATGCACTCTGAAATGCCAATTTATTTTAGTCATTTTCTCTGTCGGTGAAAGTTTGATTAATTTTAAAGTGAGCCATATTGTTATTTACATTATTAGGTGGTGTAACATTACAGATATTAAATCATACTGGAGCTAGAATACAAACCATGCATCCTAATATATATACGTAAGTAATCATTGTATCTATATCAAAACATATAATTGGAAGTCAATTCTTGTTTTGGGTTCTTAGACTGGTTTCATGCTATGTAAGTCACAGATTCACATATAACTCCTGTTTAGTTACCCCAACCTAGTTTGTGTCAAGTGGATGTTAAACCCCATTGCTGCTGCTTTTTCTCATGGTGAGTGACATCAAAGAATAGTTCCTTACAGATTTGTCATATTCCTGATAAAAATTGTTCAACATTAATGGTTTGAGAATTAATTTTTGTGCACAATGGAAGTAACTTGCATTATGTTTATAGTTCTTGTGATATGGTACTTGCATTATGTTACATATTTATATTTTCAGTGATATAGTACCTGTATTATGTTATATATTTATATTTTCAGGGATATGGTACCTGTATTAGTGAGTATAGCGAAGATGGGTAATCCTAAACAAACTAAACATGCTATACGTTGTATCAGTACAATATGTGCTCAAAATAAAGCCAGTGTATTAGGACAGATTTTCGAGGTAAGAGACATATTTCATCTTTTCGCCACCATCTTTTATTTCTTGATTCAGTTACAGAAATTTAAGAAAAATTTATTGCTCAGATCAATTACAGATTTCAGACCCACTTTGATTTTAAATTTTACATGGGAATGATGCATCATTTGCATTTTCGCAATATCAAATTTCTCACGGCTTAATCCATGCAAAATATGTACTCTGATTGATTAATCAACATTTAATTAAGATAATCTCCTGGTTTGGATGAAATCAGATTTGAAATGGGGTCATAGCGAGCAGCATAGATCTATAAATTTAAATTCAACATAACTTTATAAATACTGAATGGAATTGGACTGATATTCCTATTAAAGATTAATATTCACATATTGTAGTTTGCAAGTAATTTCTATACCGTTAATTGATGCATCGAGTCTTTAATCTAGGATCTGTACATAAAATGTAGTTAAAATTCTCTCTTGTCTTTAGGTGATCAGAATAATGTTTTACTGGATTCTAATCACTTGTTTTCTATTTATAGCATGTCAAGAAAAATCTTCATCCTGATTCGGCAAATTATATCAATTCCATCGTAGCACTTGGTCATATAGCACAACTTTGTCCAGAAGAATTTGGTGGTGAAATGAAAAATATAGTATCAAAGATAATTGTAAAAGATTTAATGATGCATGATAGAGTAAGTATTTACTATTATTCTTTGTCAGTCTTTATATGTTTAGATTTCATTTGAATCATCAAGTAATTTGCAAACATCTTGCAATCTGTTGGGGTAGGATACCAAAGATTACATTTCTTGGTTAATGGAAGTGCCATATTTTATAACTATTTTAAATAGATGGGTTTGGACGGTGTCATGGTTTGATTCGGTACCTTATTTTTCTATACGCCTACATTTTCATGTGGACGTATTATGCCGTCACCCTTGTTTGTTTGTTCACATTTTGTTTATGGACACTCTACAGGTCACAATTTTTATCCAATTTTGACGAAACTTGAAATATGGGTTTATAGTCTTATACTCAACAATCTTTGTTCCTTTAGATATTGACATATATCGGACCGTAACTCCAAGGATTATGGTCCCTGATTGTACAAAAAATCACGTTTTTAGCTTGTGGACACTAGCATGATAAATCATTTCAAATAGGTTCAAACCATGTCAGTGGTATTGTTACTAGGTTGTATGCTTTTAGTACACCATCAGTAAAATATAAGCACATCATTCTCAGATAGGTTCTCATGTAGACAAAACACATGGAAGAAATTACACATTGATCTTATTAATAATATTAAGTATGCGAATGTATATTAATGATGAAAGGCGTCACAGATGGCAATTGGTTTGAAATGCTGGGAAATGGATCATTAGTCTGTTATATATATGTTATGAGTCTGATCACAGTGTAATTCTGGTGTTTACTCTTTCTGCTCCCTCTACTAAAGGAATCTATGTGCATGGAAAATGATGAAATAAAGATAAGCTATTGATTTCTCTTTCTCTCTATAAATAGACAAGTGGACCTGAAACTGATGAAAGTTGGTATGCTGATCATTTAGTTACAGAAGAAACACAAGCTAAGGTATTTATTTTCTTTTCTCTATATATTACTTATATTTAATTATAAAGGATTATTTAATACATCAGAATTTGGAAACTTCAGGTCAAAATGTATGACTTTATAAATGATAATCCATTTCTTGCAATCTGATGAATTCTTAGGGCAACCATATCAATTTAATCAGCAAGTAAACAAAGTTTATTGTGTAATTTGGGCATGTTTACCATATTAAGATAGACCTTTAATAGACATTAATTGTCCCCCGCCTTTCGAAGAAAGCAGGGGACTATTAAAATGGGTTCGTCTGTCCGTCCGTCTGTCCGTCTGTCTGTCTGTGAGAGAGATGAAACTTGGTGTATAGTTTCATTACATCAATACCTTGACTAAGTTCGATGATGAGCATTTTCTGCTCAGGGTAAGCAGAGCAATAAGCAATTTGATTGGCCGAGACTTTGGAACACAATAACTCTCCTTCTAATTAAGCTAGAATGTTCAAAACTTGGTGTAGGTGTTTATTAGGTCAATGCCTTGATGGAGTGTGAAGATAAACATTTTCTTCTTAGGGTAAGCAGAGATAAGCAATTTGATTGATTGATGCTTTGGGACACGATAACTTTAGTTCCAATTAAGTGAGAGTGATGAAACTTGGTGTATAGTTTCATTACATCAATATCTTGACTAAGTTCGATGATGAGCATTTTCTGCTCAGGGTAAGCAGAGCGATAAGCAATTTGATTGGCCGAGACTTTGGAACACAATAACTCTCCTTCTAATTAAGCTTGAATATTCAAACTTGGTGTAGGGGTTTATGAGGTCAATGCCTTGATGGAGTGCGAAGATCAGCATTTTCTGCTTAGGGTAAGCAGAGATAAGCAATTTGATTGGTTGATGCTTTGGAACACGATAACTTGAGTTCTAATTAAGTGAGAGTGATGAAACTTGGTGTATAGTTTCATTACATCAATACCTTGACTAAGTTCGATGATGAGAATTTTCTGCTTAGGCTAACGAGCAATAAGCATTTTGATTGGTCAAGACTTTGGAACATAACAACTCTTCTTCTAATTGAGGTAGAATGTTTAAACTTGATGTAGATGTTCGTCTTGACTGAGTTCAATGATTAACATATCGAGCTAAAGCAAAGCAGAGATAAGCAATTTCCTGCTTTGGGACAAGATAACTTTGATTCTATCTGATAGAGAGGGATGAAACTTAGTGTATAGTTGATAATCAGTTTGATTGCTTGATACTTTGGAAAAAAATAGATGTGCGATTAATTAATATGTGTCATCTATTTATTTGGGGATTTCGGCGGGGGACATCAGCCTCACTGTTGACTTGTTTCTATAAAGAGATGGATTGTGTATAGAGTTTTTGTTTATTGTAGATTCAAGCATTAAAGTTATTAGTGCGATGGTTAAAAGGATTAAAAAATAACTCGTTTAATTCTGGCACATTATCTACATTACGATTACTTTATACTGTTATCATACATGATGGAGATCTCATGGAAAACGGAAATATCAAGTAAGTAAATCGCTGCTTTGATCATAAGAGGATCTGCTAAGGGCAGGGCTGTCGGTAATTTTTCACAGTTGATTAGCAGCACTGCTAATCAAAAAGTCCAATTTTGCCAAATTTGATTAGCAAATTTAAAAATTGATTAGCAGTTTTTCAGTTTCAACGTAAAACACCTAAATAACAAGATATTACTTTAATTCATAACGAATTGAAATATGATTAGATTCCATTCTGACTATTCTTAGATTTTTTAGCACTGCCACAAGTACTTGTGACAGTTTGTGAATGTGATGTAGACATTTAGTTAGGTCTTATGTCTGAAGCCAATTCTTGACAGTGACTTCCGAAGCCCCACTCATTTTAATTGTAATTTTTTTGTTACGTTAGAAATCTTCGTTAGAAAACAATTTCGTCTGCTTTGTATCGTGTATTATTATTTTTGTTCAATCGGGCGCACCTCGATTAACTAGACACACGCAATATAAACAATAATATTTTACGGGAATTTTTACTTTGATTTATCATTTTACAATACATTAACATGTGTTTATTTTTTTTATATTTTATTTACAATACGTGGGAGATACACTGGATTTATTTCTTTCAAAATGAATATGATATAATTACTTGATGTCTCACAACGTGAGTGGTACTACTTGATTCCCTATTTCCGGTTTAATAGTCCCTATTCATAGAGTTATGTCCCTGTGTTATATAGTATTGTGTCTGGGCATTTCAAGAAAAAAATGTCACACGGAGAATTCAGTTTTGTTTATAAAATTTTATTCAACATTTTATACACGTTGAAAGTGTTGAGTAAGCCTTCTAGTCTTCAAAATGCGGATTATTCTTGTGTCAATATCCAAAATGACAGGCATATTAATGATTCGCAGTAACTGCGAAACAAAAACGTTAGATTTTAATTTTTGGTTAGTTTTATACACGTTGAAAGTGGACAAAATATGTATCGCAAATTGCGCTGCGATACTGGTTGTCGGCACCCCTGGCTAAGGGTATCCCATAATGTGCAGAACATGTGACATGGCTGTTCTATATGGACATAGATTTTCTTGTAATCATTTATTTTTTTATTTGCAAACATTTTCTTGGTTGTATCTGGCATAGTAACCGCTTGTTGATTTCAGAATACACCATTTCTTATTTTTCAAGAGAAGATGCCAACCTGACCTTAAAATATTTCTTTCAGTAAACCAGAATTGGCTAGATTACGGTTACAAGCAGGTTGTTGTATGTTAAAACTAGCTGAAGAACCAGGATATGCTGAAATGGTGACATCTGAACAATTTCTGGCTTTGGCTTTACTTATTATAGTAAGTAAAAATTTAATACAGACAATATTTACAAAAATTACACCTTTTTGGATATAATAATGCTGTTTCTAATTGAGGTAAAATGTTCAAACTTGATGTAGATGTTTATAAGGTGAATGTCATGACTGCTAAGCCGAGATAAACAATTTAATTTGAGGAACACAATAACTCTGCTTCTAATTGAGTATAGTGATGAAACATAGTGTATGGTTTTATTACATCTGTATCTTTACTAATAGGAATTTACTGCTTGAGTTTATAAAGTAAACATTGTGCAAGGTTCTTTTACTTACCTTGAGATTGAGGCTGGGGCCAACAGACTTACTGTTGGCTTGTTATCACTGTGGATGTCCTGCCACTGCTGATAAGCTCTGCAAGCAAGCTTATTATTAGGCTACACAAAATAAATGTCTTGTTTCTCGGGCAACTGACAGCTGAAACTGTAGGGGGGGGGGGGGCGGTTTATTTTTTTTTTTATCTCATTTATGGCTAGAGGATGGTGCAAAATAAAATTTGCCTATTGTTGAAAATTGTTTGGGCGGGAGGGCGGCCTTGTATTTTTTTTTTTTTAATGAGAAAGTCATTACTTGTCTACGGTTTTGCTTTCAATTATATATTATACATACTTAGAACATAAACCCAAAAATCAAGTCTACTCAAACACTGAACACTGACTGAAAGGAAAATAATTTTCCATATTTAATTCACGTAATGTAGCTTACTAATGGTAATGGTGACAACCATAATTGAAATTGGTTTAAAATAAAATTCCGTACGACTATTAATAGCCGTCCATAGTAACGACAATATTTTAAAGAGTAAACCTCTGTCAGCATGTGTATCAAAAATAATCATCACGGTAAACCACACTGCGATCTAAATCTAGTATCGCTGGTTTATAATGATTGACCTAATTCCAACCAATGTCACGTGTCATCGGGATATGACTGTTTCTCAGGTTATTCGGTGTGTTTCTCAGGATATTCGGTGTTCTATCTGGGGTTTATATCGAATGAGTATTTAAATTTAACTAACAACTCGTCAGTAAAACCATCAAATGTGTAATCCAATTATTATTTTCCGGATTATCAAAACTACCGTTAAATGTGCTAATGACCCAGATTCTGACTGAGGTATGGTGACTATCATCGTATCGTATTCGTAGCCACAAGTTATAATAATTAACCTGTTCTACGATTCATTGTTTTATAAGTTTTATAACATGGACCGACTGAAGCCGGCAATAATGAGCCGATTAAGATCGAATGATTGAAATACATTGCATTGTTGTCAATGACTTTCGATGTTTAACACGAATTAAATTCTAGTTCACAAGGGGAGGTAATTAAAATCACGTGATACAAAAATGGAGGTTCTTTCGATATCAATAAAAAAAGACCCGTAAATGAGCGTTTACATCTGAATCAGTTTAATACATTTGAATGGATATTCACGTATGGGGCATGTAGATACATGCGGCATATTTTTTTTATGACTTGCTTATCGATGTTCGGGGGGCGTTACATATTTTTTATTTTTCATCAAGACTAATAAATAGGCCGCACGCGCAACCAATTTTGCGTGCGGGCGGTGCCCGAGAAACAACTTATTTTATTTGTGTTGCCTTAAAATGAAAATATACAATGATGAAGTTGGATTGAATTTAAAATCCACTTCTTTTTCTCTCTAAACAATAAATATATTTTGTTTGTATATGTTTCAGGATAGTTGTTATAATGTGAGATTAAAGTTTGCTGCCAAGTTACATAAAGGATTATTATTAATGAAACTACCCCTGGAGTATATGAGTATATTTTCTCTAGGAGCTAATGATCCTTTAAAAGAAAGACGTGTACAATTGAAACAGTTTTTACATATCAATGTTCAGAAAAGACGTGAATATTTAAAACATCCAGGGCTCCGAAAAACTACACGTAAGTATAATCTTTTTCTTTTTGTCTAATTAAATTTCATACAAAGTGTTTGTGTTCATGAATTTGAAACAGTTGACAATAATTACTGTCAGAGTTATTGTTCTTGGTAATTTGAAAAATCTTGTTAACACTCTAAAGCTAAAGTTACTATCCAGTCGAAAGAAAAATGCTCCGTTACAGGCTAAAGAAGAAATATTTGACAACCTTTACGGACAGCTTGAACAACTTAAACGCTGTGTGTTTCGTTGCCTGGCAACCAATCTTTTATGAAGTAACTATTTTAAATTAGAAGAGGGTGTAATTATTATTACTTTATTTCAGAATTGATGACAACTATATTACCAGATTATGTTTTACCATATACCATCCATCTTCTAGCTCATGATCCTGATCTTAAAACATTCGATAATAGAGATGCACTAAAGAATATCAAAGAGTAAGTTTAGATTTGAATAATAGTTATTGCGTAATGGTGTTCTTAAAATAATAATAAAAATAGAAGAATTTAGAAGATTTTTAGTCTTAAGGGCTGGCAACTAATATAATATACAATTAGTAATTTTTGACTTCTCCCAAACTGCTTGATGGATTTCATCAATATTTGGTAGATTAACTGGAATAATCTCCCTTCAACATCTTATCTCATTAAATGATGTCAAACAGTCAATAAGAATTGGTTTAAAAAGATTTCATAAAGTGGATATTTCTTTGTTTGTTTCTTTTAATGCTTACTTGCTATTCACATTATTTTCAAGATGTTTATTTTTCATCTTTCAGATGCCTGTATTTTATTATGGAACCTTTAATAGGAAGGGCAGAGGACTATAATTATGCCTTTTTACGTAAAATGATTGAAAATATTAAACAAACAAAAGATGCCATGGGTCCAGATAATGAAAATCTCAATAAGGTTAGTCTGATTATACAATGATAAAAAGAGTATTGTATGTTGTACAGTAGTGTAGATTCTCAATGAAATAATGATAAATGCTGATATCCCATAATCAAATGTGAATTCTAAGGAAGCTTGTCTTTGTAAATCTGTACTAGCAAGTCTGAAGCATTGTGGTATAAATTGTATCGAACTGAATAAGTTCTCATGCATTAATAATAGTTCTTTCAATTAAAACTATTGGGTAACCAAATTGTTTAACGCATGGGTTTTCTCTGGGTCTCTAGTTTGTCAAGTGGACGTTAAACCCCATTTCTATCTCAATTAAAACAAATCCCAATCTGAGACCTAATGTTTCTTGTTCTGTTATGTAAAACACAGAATATTGTTTTTGACATTAGTCCGAACATCGTAGGTTGGCTTCATTATATTAAAAATATTTGTGGTCATAGAATGACAACTTTCTCTGATGTTTTGCAAAACACAGAACTGTTTTTTGATTATAGTGTTAAACTAGATTCGATTTTTTTTTTCTATTTGAACAGAAATTATATGCAGTTTGTGATGTAGCTCTTGGTATTATGTTGAGTAAAACTAACATAACGTTAAAAGATTGTACGTTTGAACCTCAGTTACCATCTAAACTATTTACTACCATGGATAAGGTAAGATGAACGTTATACACAGCAAGGATATCATTTCTTTTTCAGAAATAAATTTTCTTATTCTTAGTCTCTAAATAATCAGGAGGCCCAGAGAGTAATCTCTGTATTGGCCTAGAAAGTTCATGATTTTCTAGTCTGGTTCCCCCTTGCTAGTGATGTAGGATGGAAACCCTGGCAAAGTCTATTGTACACATTGTCATGCATGTAAAAAAAAAAAAAAATTGGGTGGTGGGAATTCCTGTATATGGAAATGCTACTGTCTCGGAAATATATCTTAGCACACTGCCTGGCGTATACCAGTCTTCAGTAGCCATGTTAGTGTAGAAAAGTAGGAAAATAATCTCCATTTGATTTGTAAATTTAATAATATACAGATATTTTGTATATAATTGTAATTATTTTATAAGAAATGTTGCCACTTGATGATTATGATTTTCTCATTTATTTACTTTTTCGTTGCAGGATTATTCCAACACAAAAAGTTATTTACCCAAAGATTTTAATTTTGATGCTCCTAAGGTAGGATATCTGTATATAATGTTTGATGGGTTGTTAGTTTTTGTCACAAACACCATTTTCATGACTTTGATTTCATGTAGTGGTCTATGAAGTCATGCGAATAAGACATCAGATGACTGACTTGAATTGGTTTGTATTCTGATGTAGCCCAAGAAAAACCTGAATAATTTTTCAAGCATGGTTCCCTCTTGTCATGGTTAATGCCTGCTGGACTGAAAAGGAAATTGTCATTGGGATAGGACAGAATACAGAATTTTACCCCTTTCTGATGAAACCTTTAATTATGTTTATATGAAAGTGACTTTGTCCTGATGAATTATTGGAGAAAATCATGGAGTTACTGCTTGATAAAATCACAAATGTCATAATTATTCCTTGAAATTGTACGTGTAGCTATTCTTATATTCCATGAAACCATTAGATATTCAATGAAATGGTGAGTATAAAAATTCTTATGTTCTTTTTAACAGAGAAAAGGCATACAGGCATTGATAGATGGTCCATCCAAATCTAATTCAGCTAAACTATATACCACAACAGAAATTATTGTAGAAAGTCCAGCACCAGTTATAAATCGAAATCCAAAATCACCCCGAACAAAACGAGAGAAGAAAGTCACTGAGAAAAAAACAGATAAAGGGTATAACATATTACGATTCACAATAGTTTCAGTTGTATTTGCTTTTTCGATCCCTGCATTGGCCGAGAAAGTTCATCCAGATTTTCCGGCGTGGTTCTCCCTTGTCAGTGATGCAGGACGGAGGGGCTGACAAGGAAAGCTGTCTCGTCGTTCGGATGGGACGAAAAACCGAGGTCCCGTGTACACATTGGCGTGCACGTAAAAGATCCCTTGGCAGTTGGAATTCGATATAAGAGTAGGCCGTAGTGCCGCTGTCCGGGCAAAATTTCCCTCATAGCACACTGTATGGCGTATGCCCGTCTTCATTAGCCCAGGTTAGGAGCAGAACAGTAGGACATTAAACCCCATTTCATTTCATTTCATTTCCTTTGTATTTGCTTTTATTTGTTCGTACATTGACAGATCACATTCATTTAAAAAATGACACTAAAATTGGAATCATTATGTTGTGAATCAAGAAATCTGACAAATAGAGACATTTTAAAACTTAAACAAAATATGTCGTAATATTAATGCTATTTAATGTTTATAAAACTTTTTAGAGATTTAAAATGCAAGTTCCTAATTCTCTTGCTTTGCATTGAAAAGATCCAATTAAGGCCAAGGAAATGATTCAGCTCAGTTAAAAGTCTGATTTTTTTTGTATTTTAGTAAAGAGAATATCAAAAAAGATGATGCAGACTTGCTAACAGAAGATGAAGAATCGCGGAATGATTCTATAACCAGTGAATCAGAGGAAAGTAGAAATTCCAGTCCAGAAATACAAGTTCAAAAATCTCGCAAAACAAAACAAACAAAGACTGCTTCCGCTTCGTCGAGTGAAACGACAAACAATAATAACGTTAAAGCAGGAACTAAACAAACAAAAATGGATGATTTCAGTTCGGCAGGCGCGTCGTCTAAACCATCTAAATCGCTAGTCAATGGCAGTACTAAAGACACTAAAGGTGGTAAAAAAACAAAAACTGTTAATACAAGTGATAGTGAAAGCAGTAATCTGAGTGGATCAACACGGAAACGACAGGCAAGTTCAGATGAAGAAACACCAGTGAAGAGAACACGAAGAGGGGAAGAAACAGATAAATCACGAACAGCAGCAAAAACGTAAGTACCACGGTGCAGCATATATTACTGACATTGGTCCAAGCTATTTTATTTCAACAACCTGCTTTAGCACCATTTATTTGGTCTGTCATTGAGTCAACTGGCGTGGTTTCGATTCCCTGGTTGTACGTGACAAGGAGTAGGGTCGCCTGTCCAACCTCGTGGGTTTTGTCTGGGTCCTCTGGTTTCCTCCCACTGCTAAAGACCCCTACGAGCAAGTGAATTATTGAAATAAAATTAAACCATATGTTAGTCCCGAAATGCCTAGTTTGTGTCATGTGGACATTAAACCCCATTTCTCTCTCTCTCTCACTATCTATTTTTGTTGATATATGCCTGATAACGACTTGAGAAATCTTGTTGAAATGTCGCAGTGAAATAAACCATAGTAATTGTTTTCCATAAATAGTGTTTTACCTTTGTAATGACCTAGCTAATTTCTTGCAGCAGATAATGTTATTACCCCTCTACTGTGAAATAACATATTCTTAGTCAAAAAATTGAGCTTTGTGGACCTTATTTATATTTTTATGAGATAGATACCTATTATTTTACAGTCAAGTGGTTAAAAATGTCAGTCCAGAATTAAGTGGTAGTGATTCTGAGAGCGGTCCATCAACAAGGGGATCATCACGGAAACGGGCTGTATCCCCACCTCCCCAAAAATCATTACCCCCTAAAAAGTAAGTTGTGTGTTTAGATCAACTGATGCATATTTATCATCGGCACGTGCGTACATGTTACCTTAATGTAATCTTCATGATAATAAAATATAATAAAATGAAGTCACATTTTAAATGCAAAATTGTAAATAAATATGATTGGTTTCTTTGTTGGATATGTGCAAGAAGCATTAGTAGTTATATGTTACTACTTTTTCGAGGGATGGTCTAAAAACCAAATTTTATTGTGACTAGTCAGGTTATTATTGTAAACATTACATTATGATTGGACATGTAAAGGAATGTGGGAAATGGTATGCTTGTTTTTGCTTTTGATGTGGGTAGTAATTGTTTTATTTGATCTCTGTGTAGTAATTATATTACCCTCTTGTTATATGTGTATTTTCAACAGGGTTTCCATAAATCTTAAATATGTATTGATAAATGATCTCCTCTGTAACACAAGCAAAAAAAGTTTTTGTTAGCGAGAAATTAATTTTTATTAAAACCAAAAGTGATGTAGTTGGTTCAACACGCTCATTGGTCTCTATAGTAGGCATACTGATTTAGCATAGGTTTGCTGCTGTATCTTGTTCACGTGTCGTCGTTGGATGAGAATCCAACCAAAGGGACTGTTTATTTAGATATTATAAATATTGAACTATGCTTACTATAGAGAACAGTGAGTGTGTTGAACCAGCTATATCACTTACGTTTTTAATTAAAATAAAATTTCTCGCTTACAAAAACATTTTTACTTGTGTTACAGAGGGGATTATATATGAATATATATTTAAGATTTATGAAAACCTAGTTGAAAATCGTTTGTCCTCCCCTTTAATTTCCTTCATCTATATGGTACATCCAAATTTTACACTCCTTATTTTCTGTACGTGTTAGGCAAATACTTGGTTTATCAGCTGCAGATCATTAAAACTTTCTACAATGTTGATCATAGGATAACAATTCCCAATAGATATTCTGCCAGTCTTATGCAAAGGAATGTCCGGTTGTTGAAGGAATAACCAGAGAGGGGAATAGCTTGAAAAATATGGATGTTTGGTACATGTACTAACAAAATATGGTCTTTACATTTAAAAAATGGGATGAAAATGATCTATTACCATTCATGCCATATTTTTTTTTATTAAAGCTGCTGATGGTCCTTTGTATTTTTTTAACAAAATGGATTCATTTGGATTAAAAATAGTCCCATCAAATTATTTTACTTAACACTTATAGGTGGTGCTGGTTTGTGTATATTGTCTGAAATGAACAAAATTGAACAATTTTTCGACTGACATTCACTTTAGGGATTCAACTTTGACAATATTATAGCTCACAAGGGATTCCAAATCCCTCAAATGACAATCGGCAGCTTTTAGTTTTGGGGATCTATACTGATAAACATGGTATAAAAGAAATAGTAGTAGGACTAACCAATATGAAGGTAGATATTGTGTTGTGATGTGAAAGTATTCCAGAAATTCACCAAGATTTTTTAAACAGAAAAAATTGCTTCAAAAATTTGATCAATCATTAATTTCTGGAATTTAATTAACTAGCATGTGTGTGTCTGCATGTTTGTTTTGTTATTAGATCCCGAGTGACACGAAAAACTGTTAGAGACAGCAGTGAAAGTTCCGAGATACTACCATCTCCTTCCAGTGATATTCTGGACTCATCACCAGTAAAGAGTGATACCAGAAGATCTAGATCTACACCTACCAATACTGTTACCAAGAAAAATACACGCTACGTGTAAGATTTACCTAAAAAAATATTCCTTATCAATTATATAGATAATAAGAAGCATGGAGAGAAACAATAAAATTAAATATAGGAACTCTTTCATATGTGAGAGCTGCGGTGACTTGCTAACCCCTGAAGGTCTTGGGTTTAATTTCACTGTTGAACAAGAAAGTTACTCAAGATTTTGGCTTGGTTTCCCCATGTCTGGTGCAGGATGGACAGCATGGCAAGAAACAGTGTCTAGTCATTCAGATGGGACAAAAAAATCACGGTCCAGTGTATACATTAGCAATAGCATGCATGTAATAAAATCTGAAACAGTTGGAAATAGAAATAAAAAGTAGGCTGTAGTGCCAATGTCCTGGCAAAATTTCACTCATAGTACACTGCATGGCACATGGCCTACTTTATTAACATGGTGGGTACATAAAAGAAAAATGATAAAATCCCCATTTCATTTCATTTTATTTGTGTGATAAAATAAATTGATTTGATGTGTTATTGCAGGAAATACAAGCTCTAATTGATAAGGATGGTAGGATATGCTACACACAATACCTTACAAATCTTGAAGTAATGGTTAAACTACAAAATAACCACAATATTTGTCAGTTTCTAACACCTCATGTTTTCTATTTAGCCCAACAGAAAATAACTTAAGATAGATTGTATACAATAGACATTAGTATACAACCAAGACTTCAGAAATGTTTTTCTTTAAGGACCTGCCACATTTAGCTGTAAAGCATTTGAAAAAAATCTGTTTCCAGAAATGAAAATATAATTTTGTATTAACTGTCCATTTTGACAATTAAAATATGCATTCTTTGTTAATGAATGGGTAGTGTTTGTATCTTTATTTTCACGTGATAGTTTTAGATTCCTAACTCACATTCATTTATCTCATTCCTTTTTTTCCTCGATATCTAGTATTGTTGTTCCACTTTTAATTTTTTATCATTTATCCCATTGCTTTATGCCACCATTCAGTCAGTCACACTTCCATTCAAAGTGCACGGTATGATAAGAAATAGATCTGTGATTGACAAAATACAAGTTAAAAACATCTGTCATGTAATTTTCACTTAGACAATGTTTGTATTTATTTGTGTAGACGTAAAGCGAAGACTAACGGTACATCTGATGGTGAAGATGCCAATACTCCAGAAACCGACAGTCAGTCTTCACTTTCCCCTCGTAAAATAGCCATCTTAAAACAAGCCATGGAAACTGGTGACATGGACTCACAACCTACTGTAAGTTTAGTATTGGCTTAAAATTGAAGAGTAAAGAAGTTCATTTTGATGATAAATCATGAAATTAAGAAACTGATAATGCCCTTGAGAATAATAGAGCACAATCGCAAATCTATTCAGTTTTGTATCAGGGCAATTTTAAATCTTATGATGTTTTTGATGTGGGTATCTCAATATATGAAATATATAATGTTTCTTTCTTGTCTGTTCTAACTATCTCTGCTTGTGCTTGCTAGCATGTTATATAATCAATATACACTGGTTGTGGTACTTAATCATTCAATATTTTATTGATGGCAATACCAGCATCAAATTTATTGTGAAGTTTTTATATCTCAGATACTGATTACTTTGAAAACTGTATTTATTATAATAGTTCCTTAGGCCACGCCAATTCAGGCATGTCCCACCCATGCACCTCATTATGGCTGATCTGGAAATATCTTTATATGCCTACATTAAAATGTAGTCGTTCGTATATAGTTTGTCATTCCCATCCGTCCATCATCCACAATTGCTTGTGGATACTCTCAAGTCTACAAGTTATTATCTGATTGGCTTGATACTTATTCAATATTTTAAGTTCATGAGACAAAGAAGTCTATTGATTTTCGATAATACTCTCAGAGTTCTGGACTTTTATCACTTTGAAAAATCTTGTGGACACTTTAAGACTTCTTGTGCTTGATCACTTTTGAAAATCTTGTGATTTGAAATTTATGTTCATTAGACAAAGAAGTCTAGATTTTGAATGATTCCTATTTCTCGAACAGCCAATGTTTGCACTAGGAAATACTTGAAGCCAATCACATTTTAATTATTTCTAATACTTCATTGGTTGTTACTTAGTGCAGTCATTGTTTTTTAAGGCGAGCGATAGCTCTCCAGCACCTGCCGCTCACCTGAATGTCGACCAAGGGGAGTTTTTTTTCCCTCCCCTTAAAACTGAAAATCGCTCTCCTGAAACCAGGAATAATCCCATTACATGCAGTTATTAGTCTTAGAACCATTTCCCATGCACATAACTAATCACACTCCTTAATATCAGATCACTCTCCTTAATATCAGATCACTCTTCTTATCAAAACTGGGAGAGTTTTTTGAGGGGAGCGATTTTTTCAATTCGTTGATTGTGGGGTGCTTTTTTGGGGCTCTCCTCTGAAATACAAACAACAACGACTGTTAGTGTCTTGTAAATGGTACCATTACTTACAAAAGAATAAACATGTGACATCTTTTGTGGACTGCTTTGATGACATGTGGACATGTTTTGTTGTCTGACAACTTATCTTTTACCAAGAAAAGTCACAATGGTTGAAATCAAAAAGTCTGGACTTGATTAATAGCCTTATGTATATAATTTTAAAAGAAATATTTTCATTTTTACAGATCAAAAGGCAAACAAGAGGAAGGAAAAAATGAAAAGAAAGTTAAAAAATAAATTAAGACAGACTGTTTAGTAATGGCAGCTTGACACATATTATTTCAAAATAATTTAATGCTGCTTCATGGTTAATGATTGAATTCTCCACCATCTAAATGCGGAAAACAAAAATATTGTTTATGTGAAAATTTAATACATGGAGAGCAGTTTCCTGGTTAAAATTTACTTGAAGAGTTGCTTTCCTTGAATTATTAAGTAGAATAGATGATGGTGTTACTTATAATTCTTAAGATAAACATTAAAAATGACTAGAAACATCTGATGAAATAATAACCTTTAATTGTCCTACCATATCGAGGTAATTAAATGTGTTGATTTAAATGATAATCGGTCAGAATTTGTTGGCAGTTATTAACCTTAAAAGAATTGTTCAACAGTTTGTATAGTGTATTTAAACTAAATGTACATGATATTGTCATTCATTCATCACTGTATTCACACATTTAAACATCTGTTATTATTGTATTATTATTTGGACTCGTTTAATTTGTATATAGAAATGAACATGTTGGTTGCATTCTTACTGTAGATTCTAATGTAAATATTTTAGCAATTATGTTGACTCAATCCTGTGTCTTTTCCCTCTACCCCTTTTCCTTCTCTAAAAGATGCATTATGTAAGAGCTAAATCTGTCTATTGTAGACCTTTCGTTTGGCCTCAGATGTTATATAAATCAGTAATTAGACATTTACATGCCAAGCCTATAATCAACTCTAGAAAATCTGATGGTTGTGATTTTCAACGGATTTAAACACGATCGCCAGTTAATAATTTAATTAGAAAGTGGATAATCAAGACTACACTATTCTTAAATGTTGAATATATTCCCTTTTCATTATCTATTTTATAACTATTATAGCCAGATCTGTCCGCTTTTCATTGAAGTCGTACATAATGCATCTTTAACATGTTAGTGAAATGAATAGGCTGCAAATTGCTACATTTTGTTAGAAAAATCTCTTGCCATTGTCATGATAACTAAATACAATTATAATAGACTTGTTTCAATATTTCAACAATACGATAGTTCAAAGCACGCATATTCACACAACAATGACTATTTCAGTTACTTTCAACAAATTTTATAATAAATTCAGTGCAGAACAAATGTAATTTTATTGTAAGGTAAAAATATGGAGATTTTAAATGCTACAAAAAGCGGTGTCAGATTGCATTCTCTGAAGTAGGTTTTGTTAAACGAGGCATTACCACTTCAACCAAGAAAATAAATATAATTAGATTTAAAATGATTTTAAAACTTGTCAAATTATCGACAATTGAAGTAGCTGAACTATATAAAACTCACACATCTGTATTTTAGAAATGGAAAGTCACTGTACTTGAATAATACAATAGAAGTGTAACTAGTTAATTTTACTAACAGAACTATCAAATATCCACAAACTTCAGGTTCTGCTTAAAACAATAAATGAATTGGATTGCAATAATTTTCTTTTCTTTTTAATCTTTTTATAATGTCGAAATTTAAACATCATATCTGAAATACATTTTAAGTTATCGAAACATGAAAATTAATGTTAGAACAGTGTATTGTTATAAAGAGACAATGATCAATAAGTGCTGTATTTTGTTTTATATATATATATATATATATATATTGTGTATAGATCATCATCACAATGGTTTTATTACATCATCCATTGTTTCACTTCAATATCATCTCTCATTGAAGACCAAAAAAAAAAATCACATTTATCTTATCATCCATGTTAATTTAAAAAAAAAAAAAGTTGTGTGTATCATTTATAGGTGGGGAACAAAATTATGTGAACATCACTAGTTTCTTTTCTGTACCAGTATTATTTTTATACCACCATCAAAAAATGGTGTGGTCGCATATTATAGTCATTCCCGTCAGTAATGAAAAAGTAAAGATCATTCAACAAGTTAGTGCTCTTGTTCTTAAAGCTCTTAGTGAGCTCTAGAGAATTGAGAAGACAATTTTACTGCGACATTTCACTCATCCCATTTTAGCTTTTAAGAACTTTCGGTGTAACGGTTTGTCCAACAGAGTTATTGCCCTTGACACTTAAACACACAATCTGTGAAACCCACTAAACTGGAAATATTTGCTTAAGATAAAAAAAGAATAAATGTAGATGTCAAAACTACTGGCTGATGTATCATTGTTTCCTGGCAACTTAGTTTTTTGCAAACATATCTGCTGATGAAGCCTTTTTCAAAAAGAATATGCCAGTTTATATCTGTTTTATGTCTTCTAATCATGTTCAAGTTGCCCACCATTTTATTTTAGTTTGAATAATGAAGTTCATATAGTTTATGATTTTTTGAACTGTTTTTGTTTTTCATTTTCTTCTGAGAATAAAAGCTATGCTTGGTTGTGAACCAGACTTACGGAAAATTTGAAATAAATTGTTTTCCCACATGATGTCACTCGTATCTATTATAGTTATGAATGCAAAAATATGAATAGTGGGAACAAGAAGGAAAAAGACAAACCATTGGCAAGACACGTAGAATGAATTCATAAGCCCGGTTGGTTAAACCTATACTTGATTATTCCCATCCTAGAATACTATTGGCCAGTCTTGAATAGTCTTGCCTTACGATTCGCAAGGAGAATATTTGGTAGACCAAATCTTTTGTTTCGTAGCATCTGATAGCACCTTGGTGCGCAATCGTATTATTGAGTAAGGCGCTGGCTCGCTAAGTAGTAGTTCAGGGTCCTGTTTCTCGAAATCTTAACTAAAGATAAAATCCAAATTTTATTAGATACTTCAATTTTGATTAGCTAAGCACTAAAATCAATCTAATATTATCCAATTAAATTACTAAAATTTGGATTTTATCTTAGTTAAAATTTCGGAAAACAGGACCCAACTCTGAACGTAGGTCTCATTACACTCGCCCTGTACGTTCAGGAACCGTCCTATTGAATCCTTGTCGAAAAAATATCGGCCCCCAGTCAATTTTACTGGGCAACTTTTTACAGCTAAACGGTCGTGTGTCAGTCCCTGTGAACGCCTGAACAATGTAAAGGGATATTTTAGTGAGAAAATAAGACCTTGCTTTCCTCGCTAGAGTCAGCATGTGCAACACAACATGCTGTTAAATATACGCCCCCTTCGGCTTCTGCTAAACGGCTTGGTAGAAGCCATTGAAATCTAAATATAGGGTAACACACAAATTACGTAACTCAACCATATATATAAGACGAAACAAAATTTAGGTAAGCTGGGGAAAAAAATTAGAATCTTTGAAAAGTTGAGAATCGTCAGTCATTTATTGCTTTGCCTATCCCAATAACAGTCGATATGTGGGAAATTTCGCCCGGGCAGCGGCACTATGGACTACTCTTATGTCGAATTCCAACTGCCAAGGGATCTTTTACGTGCACGGCAATGTATATACCGGACCTCGGTTTTTCGTACCATCCGTCCTGCACCACTGACAAGGGGAAACCACGTCGGAAAATCACGATGAACTTTATCGGCTAATGCATACTTATTTGAGTAAATTATGAGGTCCATGAGTAAACTAATATTTTTGCAAATAAGTATTTTAAAAACTGTTTGCCTTAGGTTATTTCTGCTTCAAATGGCACAAAGATAAAACAAAAAGACAAACTTGTATGTCATTTCTGTGTATTTTATTGATGAAAAGAAAAACTAAATTCTGTACTTATTTGATGCGGAATATGAAACGTGGAATTGTCTGTTTTTATTATACTAAGTGAAATAAACTAATGTAAGTTAATATTATGAACAACTATAGTCTTAGAATATCATATTTCTATTTCCTTTGGACTTTGTTTTATTGTCATCAACGCCCTAACCCTGAACAACATGTGACGCCAACCCAGAACTGATAAAACAGGTCATTGTTTTCGGATTTGGTATTTAGAGTGAGTTAAATTTACAGCTATTAATTATGTAAATCAGTGAGAAATAACTTCATTCGAATTAAATAAAAATGTCCTCATTATTACTCGCCCAAAGTTGAAATGGGGGTATATTGTCTTCACCCGTCAGTGGACATTGTTTTCTTTTACACTTACTGGGGTTGTTTGGCCATGTTTTGGGAAAAAACACCCAAATAACTGGAAACTAATAATTACTGGAAAGAGCCAGTTAACTAAACTTCAATCCATTTCCCGCACTTTTTGTACAATAATGTTATCTCTGTGACCACGAAAGTTTGATTTTGATTGCCATGTGTTTCTAGCTATTACAGTGCTTTGACAGCCATTTGATTAAATTTTGTTTAACTGGTTAACGTGTTAAAATTTTAAAGTTAACGAGTTAATTATGGAGGCTACTAAAACATGGTCATTTCCGTACCCAACCTACGGAAGTGGACCATCACTTTCATACAGGAATACAACTGCATCGGCTGCATTAGGCTGGTATTAGAACTTTGGATTTACGTGAGCTAGGGAAAAAAAATCCGAAATGTTTTAAGTTTCATCAAAATCGGATAAAAATTGTGAGCTCTAGAGGGTCCATTACCTTCGTATTGCATACTTTTACACAATTTGCGTACAAAGAGCGATCATTTTGTCGGGCAGTTTCTTTTCGATTTTTCCGAAATTCGAATTCAACCTTCATTATGGTGGAATGGTGATATATTTAAACGTTTTTTAAAACCGGAAAAAAAATCCAGGAAGTTACGTTCGGATATACGCATTTATCAAAAGGAACCAAGATCTTAGTGTGTAATGGTGATATATCCACATGTGTTTTTTTTTAAATCGGATAAAAATTGTGACCTCTACATGGATCGCAAGCTAAAAACATGATTTTTCGTACAACCAAGGGCCATAATTCAGGAAGTTCGGATCTGATATGCGCAAATAGTTTCATCACAATCGGAACAAAATTATGACCTATAGAGGGTCCAGAACCTTGATATACCATATTTGTACATTATTTGCGTACGAGGGGCGGCCATTCTGTCTGGCAGTTTTGGTCCGATTTTCACGAAATTCGAACTCAACCGCAATTACCATAAAATGGTGATATATTCGAAAGTTTTTGTTTTAAATTGGATAATAATTGTGACCTCTAGAGGGACCACAGTATAAAAACGCGATTTTTCGTACAATCAAGGGCTATAATTCAGGAAGTTACGATCCGATATGCACGAATATCGAAAAGAACCAAGATCTTGGGGATAAAAACATGCCTTCAAGTTTCATCAAAATCGGATCAAAATTGTGACCTCTAGAGGGTCCACAAGCTAAAACCGTGATTTTTTGTACAATCAGGGGCCATAATCCATAAAGTTATCGTCCGATATATGCCAATATCGAAAGGAAGGGAGATCTTTTGGAGATAAACCTATATGTCGAGTTTCGTCAAAATCGGATAAGGATTATGACCTGTAGATTGTCCACGACAATTGTGTACGGACAGACGGACGTCCGGACAGGGGCGACGACAGTATACGTCCACATGAAAATGTGGGCGTATAAAAATGAAATGAAATGAAATGGAGTTTAACGTCCTACTGTTCTGCTCCTAAACTGGGCTAATGAAGACGGGCATACGCCATACAGTGTGCTATGAGGGAAATTTTGCCCGGGCAGCGGCGCTACGGCCTACTCTTATATCGAATTCCATCTGCCAAGGGATCTTTTACGTGCACGCCAATATGTACACAGAACCTCGGTTTTTCGTCCCATCCGAACGACTAGACAGCTGTCATTGTCAGGCCTTCCGCCTTGCATCACTGACAAGGGGAAACCACGCCGGAAAATCTGGATGAACTTTCTCGGCCAATGCAGGGATCGAACACCCGACCTCCAGGCTAGCGAACCAGCGTCTTAGCCACTTAGCCACGTGATCCCCGGGCGTATAAAAACAAATGAAACATAAATATCAGAGAAAATAGCAAAATATTAAAAATGTACAAAATATTTTCATACAAGTCATAAGCAAAGGGGATGGGGGATCTTAGTGGCTTAGTGAGTGTAAGATGTTGGCTCGCTAAGAAACATGCACTAGTTCAGAAGTTATAAATTGGAAAAAAACACTTTGCTCATTAAAAAACAAACATAAAATGAAAATTGTGTACATAAAAGGAACATTCATTGCATAATATACAAGCACCAGGAATACAGGCTATTAAAAAAATAAATGAAACATAAATATCATAGAAAAGGCCAAATATTAAATAATATGTACAAAATATTTACATACAATTCATGTATGTGACTAATTGGGTATGAGATACCGGTGTTTGTTTCCATAACAATATTCAAAATTAAAAACACGAATTAGAATTCAATATTTGTCAATTTCAATCAATATTGATGTTATCTTGCCGTGAAAGTATAGGATCCTAATATCCAGTATTTAAGATACAAATACCATGTTATAATCAGTACACGAGTCGTGTATTCTGTGATTTCGGGTGCCACTTTGTAATGAACAAATAAAAACATATCCTACAAGACAATGTGGTTGTAATCAGTAAAGGTTGATTCACAAACGACAAAATATTAATAAAAAAAGCCACACATTATTCAGTGAATATTCGCTAGGCCCCTACAATCACTGACATCGATGCGACTTAATGAGCCAAAAATATTAACTTTTTTTCTCCGACAAATTAAATTCTAAATCATTTTTTTAATGTTTTAGAAAAATTAATAAAGACGTTTGGAGTATTTGTACGTAAAACTTATTTCCTATTTAGTGTAAATGGGTATTAAAATGAGTAAAAGGCACCATTCCGCCCGAACCAGTGGCGTCTTATGTAAACAATGCACTCACCATTGAGCTAACGATTGACACCGCGTTATGTGACGTACGTGTTGAAGGTAGTCATCTTTTACAGAGATATTAGAAGACTTTCGTAATTCACTGTGAAACAGTTTGTAAAAAAGCGTGTAGAATCCATGGATAAAGCAGGCGTAAACGACTGCCGTTCAATTTGAACTGTTCACATCTTCCACCGAACATAATTGATTAGAAATTACAATATATAGTTTTCAAAAATTGAATATAAAAGCTTTTTTTTAGTAATTCTGTGTATATTTAATATAAATTTGATTTCAAGATATTCCTATTTAATGCTTTAAGATTTCTATAAATTCTGGAGAGAATTAATAATTGCTTGTGTTAGCGAAGGATATTTAACATTAAAAACAGAAAAAAAAAGGATTTAAATAACAGGTCAAATACAACAGATAACTTGATAGCTTTACCATCACTGTATTCTTTTCCAGAATTATAAAAAAAAATTGAAGATTTAATGTTTAAAATGTATGGTTGGGTTCTCTCGTTGTTGTTATCATACAGAAATAATCTTCCAAGGATGTTTCGTCCTGAAAAAAAAAGTAGACTACAAATACACTTTCTATGGTTCACAATGTTTAAATAAACAATTCATTTTGCCACATATTGAGTGTCTATTTGGTTTCAA